TGATTTTCCCCGATTTTTATTGCACCTACTGCTGTCCCGGTACACCCAGTAATGTCCCTAGTAGCCAAAACTACCATAAAACACGCCTAATCCATGTATTCAGCACCCTACCACCCTGCTACCTATTTTTTACTACCCCCTACATGTTTCCCTACCCCCTATCCAGCATCCCAGCATCCCATCCCGGTCCTAGGAACCCCTACCCCGTCCCCAACCCGCCCCTAGACCCTACCCGGCCACCCAAAATCCAAATCACTACAGCTGGGCCACACCTAGGATGAACATACTTGTGCCACACCTCCGAGCACAAAGTATCTACCCAGTTATATCTCTTTTCGGATGTCCAACATACTGCTTTTATGATTTACAGCAGAAATAATATATCACATATTGACAGCTGGCCCAATTTGGCCGGTACAGGCAGAGGTCTGCAAGGGGTGTTCATTATAATGAGGGGCCCACCAAGGGCCCACGGGATTGCCGCTACTCATTATAATGTGATTTCACGGTACTACCGTGACTCATTATAATGAGGCTGCTGGCTCTGGTGAACATGGGCCATTTGGAGCCAACCGATGTTCTTGAAGAGTACCTCAATTCTCCCTTGGTACCCACTGATGATCCTATTGGGTACTGGAATTCCTTCTCGACCACTCCCCGTACTGCCCCTCTTGCTCGCATGGCTCTTGATGTCCTCTCTTGCCCTGGTGAGCTTTTTATTCATCGAAATATTCGTCAGGCACTCACTAGTTACTGCAGCTGCTTCAACAGACCTTGAGACTGGTTTCTCCCGTGGAGGCCTCACCGTTTTGAAGCTTCGCCACTCTATCTGATCAGAGTGTTCGTGCCGCCACAATCGTCGGTTCTTGGCTGAGGCTAGGTATTCCCGGAGTCTTAGATGAAGCCGAGTTGCTTGAGGGCCTCCGTGATAAGCCGAAGCGGTCGAACAAGGGAAAGGGTAAGGCTATTGAGTCCGATATCGATGTCCAGGTTGTCGAGTAGGGGTGTGGGTGCTGCTAGTGTTTACCTTTTCTCGTTTATTACTTCAACAGTTTTCCTTTTCATACTTCAACAGTTTTCTCTCCGGACTTCAACAGTCCTTCTCTCTTTGGACTTCAACAGTCTCTCGCTTTGTATTATTTTTGTGTCTCCCTGAGATCAATATATTTTCTGTCTGTTCTAATCCTCTGAAATGAGCTCTTATAGTGACATCCGACACGAGTACGCGTAGGAGGTACCTGCTACCGCTCCCTGTTACACCTGTATCCGGGGAGGTATCCGTGGGAATGAATATCTGTATCCGCGAATACAGGTACTCGGCATTGTGCCTGATGGATACTCGTCGCAGGTACTCACGGGTTTCGGTACTCGTGGCATGCCCTGGCGAGGTGGACGGCGATAAGAAAGAGGATAGTTAAAAGGAGTTGGAATGTCGCGACCACTGCGGACTTCTAAGCTGTGTTGCTTAGATGAGCAGCTAAGGCCGAACGTAAAAACCCTAGATGCTGGGTTACGTGAGATCGGATTACGTGGGTAGTATCCGAAGGGTGGTTCCTAGGTCAAGATCGCGGCTGGTGGCGTGATCAAGAGATGGGCGACCGGAAGTCTAGTCTGCACTCGAGTTTGGCGGGGTGTGCCGAACGATGGAGAGAGAACCAAGATAACGAGTATATTCCAAGGAGCCTTGTGGGCGTGGAGATAGACCAAGTAGGTGTAGTCGAGGTTGGAGTTGGTAACCGTACCAAGTGCAACAGTGGGCTGGTAGACAAGTGTCTTTGTACCGGGTGACTAAGAGGCGGATCAGGTTAAGGGAAAGTGAAGGTGGAAGTACCCAAAGTATATATACGTAGAAGGGGAAGGGACGCGTAAGCGTGGGAAAGGAGACGCGTAAGCATGGGAACAAAGTATCAGTAAGCAAGGGAAAAGGATCAGTAAGCCAAGGAGAGGACGCGTCAGCGCAGGGTAAGCAGAATGAGTAATAGTACAAGAATAGAGTGAAAGCCGGGAGAGCGGAGAGGCATGGGTGTACGCGTAAGCGTCTGTAAATATAGTCCGGACATCCGTAGGAAACGAGTCAACAGAGAGGAGAGGGGAGAGGGAACCGGGTCACGAGCGATAGAGGAAGGAAGGTAGAGGAAGATGAAGAAAAACAAATAGGCCATGTCAGGACGGTCATGACATGGAAGGGGGTTCGGGTACGGGTTCCTAATGCGAGGTAGGCGGTAGCAGTAAGGGTGGTAGTAAAAGATCGGAGAGGGGTGGAGAGTGGAGAGTCGGTGTAGTCGTTGATGACTGCGAGGAAGGCGACGGCCACGAGTTCAGAGAGAGTTACTATTCCGACCTGAGGAGCCGAAGTATCTGTGTTCGGCTGCAACGGCCTCTCGGTACTCCTGGGGCGAAAGGAGAATGAGATTGGAATCGTTGTCTGGATTGATGTGGTAGTCGAAGCCTGTGGCGCCTGCAGAGAGGGGTAGCTCGGGAAGGGGAGGGGATCCGGACCCGGAAGTAGATGCCTGGGGTTGGTTGGGAGTCGGGTCTGCCAAGCGGTTACGAGCTCGGAGGCAGATGGAGCAGTTGCAATGGGTCTCGGGGCGGTGGTCTGCGGCGAGGTTGTCAAGGGTTGTGGCTGAAAGACCGAAGAGAAGGTGTTCAATCTCGTCGAGTCGTCCACTAGAGTGGTAGAATTGGAAGAGTCCCTTCCGTGCCTGTTCCTTTGTATCCGTCTCCTGGGATGTGGCTCTCTCCTTTCCTGTTCTGCTTGGGAGAGGGCGTTGTAGGCGGTGTTCCATGTGGTCTGGATAGTCAGGGAGTTCATCGATGAGGGTTCGGGAAGTCGTTGCCGCTGCAACTCCTGCGAGATCTGGTTCCCTGATCCCGTAGTAGTGTTGGTAGTTGCGTTTCCGTTCTGCTGGAGATAGAGAAAGGGGTTTCTGTTTCTTCGTGGAACGAAGACGTCTGTTTGAACTCCTTGGGCTTGGTATGTTCTCGGTGTCGAGGGGTTCAAGGAGACCGGAGTCGGTGTAGTTTGTTGGTGATGGAAGGGGGGAGTCGAAGAGAAGGAGATCCGGGGTGGTATAGGTAGAGGGGAGTTGGATTGGTGACGAGGAGGGGGAGAGAGTTGTGGGAGATTCCTCAGGTGAGGAGGAAAGAGATAGGGAGTAGGGTACGAGAGATCGAGTTGGTTGCTCGAAGGGTGTGGTGTAGCGACTCGGGGTGGGGGAGTGTGTCTGGATGAGATTGTCGGAGAACCCGTCCAATGAGAAGTTGGGGTCGAAGGCAGAGTCGTCAGGGAGCTCAGTGTCAGAGTCGGGGATGGGGCTTGGGGGGTATTGAAGTTGAGCGCTCGGCGAGGGAGAGGGGATATCAGGCGGGGTTGGTGGTGAGTAGAAGGGGCACTGAGGTTTGTGAATGACGTGCTTGGGGCAGAAGCAGTGAGTGAAGTTGGGGTGGTTATCGTAGGAGATGGGGGGTTCGTTTCTGTTGGAGAGTTCTTGGCCCCTGAGGGCTGCGCGTGGGGATCCAGAGAAGAAGTTGTCGATTACCCAGCGTTGGATGCGCCGGGCTCCAAACGCGGAGTTGAAGGTTCGGGGGGGTTGAGCGAAAAGATGTGCGAGTTCTTTAAAGGTAGAGGGGTCCGATAGCATAGAAAGGTGTAGTAGTGTAGATGGGGATGATGCGGTCACAACGTGGGTACCTGGGGCTTGCTCCGTGACACTTTCCAGGCGGTAGTTGTGGGGTTCGGTGTATGAAAGAGCTGGGTCGTGGCTAACGTACGATGACCGTAACACGTCGTCCGCAGAGGAGTGCGGGTTGGCTTTCCCTTCACCAATGTTCTAGCCCCTACAGACAGTCGGCAGGCAAAGGAGGGTTTGGAGAGAGGGAGGTGGAGCTTCGAGATAATGTCACGGCCGGACGAGATGACGCCCAATCCTGGGTAAGCCTCCCTGGCAACGTGGGGTTCTCTCAAAGAGTGGGTGGGGTGTCCGCGCGCTAGCTCAACACACTAGCGTACCGACGGGGACGATTGAGAGCTCCGAGGCAGTGGCTTCCATAAATGTCGGGCCTGGTTACCTTAAGATTCACCCGGAAGGTTGCCCCCAGCGCGAGATCAAAGGACTAGTTGACTACACTAGCAGCGACGTGAAGACGTGAGGATGAAGAGGAGTGAGCCTCTGTTCTGAGTTGTTCGTCCAGGAGTTGACGATCTCGAAGCTGGGGTATGTACATGCAGACTATTCTACCTATATACCCAAGCTGGGAGGGACGCGTAAGCCATGACGAAGGGGACGCGTAAGCGGGGGACGCATATGCGTATCAAGTCATAGTCCGTAAGAATGAATGGATGGGGATGACGAAGGGCCGCGCGTCGAGTAGGAAGGAGAGTGGAGGGGAGCCGCATCGTAGAGGAGGGAAGGTAAAGGATGGAAAAGGAAAGGGACGCGTAAGCCAGGGGTGACGCGTACCAGGAGTCCGCGAGTCCGTGGGGGACGCGTAATCGTAAAGGTCGTCAGGATGCCGTAGGTGTGTCATGAGGGTCGTGATGTCATGGGGACTTCGTAAGGGGATGATAAATGGGTGGGGAAAAGGAAAGGGAAAAGTAAAGTAAAAGGGAGAAAGAAATGAGTGTGGCGAGTGTGGCGAGACATACAAAAGAAAAGAAAAGAAATTGTCCATAACCGGCCATTCCTAATACGAGTTCAGCAAATAGGAGAGCAAGACCGATCTTGAGCTTCCAGTCCTTCTCCCAGTCAATTACATCCACCTCATAATTACAGCTGAGCATATCCAGCAGGATGACCCGTGCTCTATCTCCCAGTGTATGAACCGCCTCCTTGGCATTAGTGGTAGCCTCTGTGCTGAAAAGCGGAATGAGATCCGCATGCCAGTAGTGAGTAGGGCCGAAGGCGGGGAAGGATTCCTCCTTTGGCCACTGGAACCGGAACTCGGCACCGGAAGAGATGGCACACCATTCTTTCTTGGTGAGTGGGTGGACCGCGGGATCACGGAGGGAGAGGATAGGGTGCTTGAGAATTTTGCCACGAAACATGATCAATAACTTCCACTGAGCCAGGATCATTTCAGGATTGTTGCCGCAGAGGAAAATCTCGAAAGGTGACATCCAAAAGGTCTGCGCAGCCTTCTTAGGCTTCAAGGTCGAGGAAGAGACGTAGATCTTGAGGTTCTCGTAGCCGGGGTACGGATGAGGAAACCAGTCGGGCAACTTGGAGTGTTTCGCAGCAGAAGCGAGATTGGAGTTGAACGCTTCAGGATCCTTGGGGCGATTAAGGAGCTGCATGATATTGTTGTCCTTCGGAGCCTTTCTTGTCCGATTAGAAGCTAAGAGCAACTCAAAGTTAAGATAAATCACTAGACAGACAACAAAAAAAATACATACCATAAAGCTTCTCCAGCTGCAAGTTAGCCTGCCTCTTCTGAATGTTTTGGTTGCGATTAAAAAGCTGGGGTGTTGGTGCTGCTGGATCAGTGCAAACGGCTACACCTCAAGCCTCCCATTTGAAAGCCAAGCCATCCGAGCCACGAGGCGGATAGAAGATCTTGTCGAGCTTCTGTCAATCATCTAAAAATATATATACTGTCAGTAAGAGCACGAAGAAAGTAAACACCAAGCCTTACCGCTTGTAGCTATGCTCTTAACTGCGACCTTATTACGCCAAGGAGACCAATCCAACTTCAGAAATGGAGGATCAGAGTGAGGAATTTCCGGAGAGGTGAGATAAACCGGGGCAGTCATGTGGGCAAAAGCAAGGAAGATGTCGCTGTCAACCGTAGAAAAGATGGACCCGCGTAAAGAGCGCAAACTATGATCACAGCCACACTTTGGGTATGACTCAACATCCTGCGCCCAGAAAAGGAATGCGTTCAGCTCGACCATGGTACGCTCGTGAGCTCACATAACCAGCATGAACTGCTCCCAGCCATAAACACCCGCCACAAGCTTGTGGAAGAACTGGAACTCTCGCTCGAGGATGAATGAAGGGAGATCGGACTCGCGGACATCACGGTTTAATGGTGTGCGACGCTCAAGGACCAGACGCAAATATTTCGGAACTGTCTGCCTCATCGAGTTACCCTTCTTGCGAAGCGGGCCCAGAATACTCTCAAGAGGTGACATGAGAGGCGTCGAATTCATCCCCGAACAAAGCATGCCTCCAGTTCAGAGGTTGCGCCAATTTTCGTGAAGAAAAGGTTGTCGAAGAACTTCGTGGGAGATGGGGATATAGAGGAGCCAAGGTGCGTGGTGGTCGAATCATTGGGGGTACAGCAAAGTGTCCTTGCGACCCCAGTAGCCATTGACATAGATTATGGAATCCTCAGAAGATAGAAGAATTGGCACGTAAGTTGTATTGGCACAGAGAATGTTGGTCACTTGGTCCACATACACATAGCCTGAGTACCGAACCTCCATCGGAAGTGGAACACGGCCAGTGCTATTCGGTGGCGCACGAGCAGGATAGCATAAGTGGATCGGGGCAACATTAGGGGGAATGACGAAGGGCTGGGAGGGTATTGGTGCCTTTGGTGCAGCAGGGACAAAGTTCTCAGGAGGATCTTCACCATAAAAGTCCCAATCCTCCATCTCCTCATCAGTATCACTCTCGAGTGTAGCGAGCTCAAGATCCTCCACTGTCACTCCAGAAACCTTCAACCTCTTCAACCTCTCCTGCTTCTTGGCCTTCTTTTCGCGCTTGGAAAGCCTCCGTGAAAGATAGATTGTGGCCTACCCAACATTGGGTTCGTTAATGGCGGTATGGTGGCACTTGATCAGCTCCAGCTCTTCACCGGGGTGGCATAGTATGAGAGGACCATCTGGGAGGGCATGCTTGAAGTGGACGAGAAGCTCCGGCTTCAGTTTTGTCTTTGCCTTCAATGTACTGGCCTCACGCTGAGCTTTCAACTCAAGACAGGTCGACAATCGTGGTGGCGACGAGCCAGGTATTCCACATTTCGGCTATCCCAATTGATCATTGATGAGTACAGGACAGAAACAAAAAAGAATAAATGAGATAGTTTACCATCATAGAGTGGAGGTGTGGAAGAGCTTGAGGGAGTGGTCGACATGACAGAGAGATACTGTGAATATCTAATCAGTGTGATATGCACGACGAGGAAGAGCAAAAGACGTACCTAAGGAACGGAAAAACGAAGGAAGGTCTTGAGCAGCCGTCAAGCACGAACGTGTTGCGATGGATGTGTTGGAACACTGGCAAAACAGAGGAGGAATATCAAAGAGTGAGCAAATTTTATGACATAGACTCAAGGAGAGGAACTCACGGGAATCGTCGAGGATGGGGACGGTGGCAATGACGAGTAGAAGAACACCAAAAGCATGTTATAAGCGGATAATAAATTGGAAACATCAAGGAAACGATGTCAGTATGATAACTGAGACAAAAAAAAGTAAAGAAAATACTCACGGAAATCATTGGAGAAGGAGCCGATGATGATGATGAGTTGAAAAATGTTGAGGAAACTGAGTTAGTACAATAACTAAGGTGAAGGACCAGAGAAAACACACCAATAAAAAGAAGAAAGCACCAACCCCTCGACACGAAGAGTGTCAAAACCGGCGCGAAAGGGGTGTCAGAACCCCCTAAAATGGATGGAGGCACATAGAGCGCGAAAGTGAGTCTTGAGGGGCGGAAGTACTGCCAAAGTGACAAAAAACCGAGCCTCAGAGCCGGCAAAGGAGACACGACACATTTATCCTATGCTCGGACCTGTGGGCTCAATCTATAGGTCTCTGGGGCTTGCAGAGGGTGTTGACCGGGAGCTTGATGGCGAGGGAACCGGAGAGTGGGATGGATGTGCGGAACATGTTGAGGGGTGCATGGGAGCGTGTCGAGGGTGGGCGGATATGCGGAGATGGGGAGAGGGTGTGCAGAGACGCGTTGAGGGTGGAGGGGGGGAGTGCGGGAGGGATTGAGGGCAGAGAGGGCGGGTTGACAGGGCTCACAGATATGCGGAGAGGGCAGGTGGAGAGAGCACGCAGATACATGGATACGTAGAGACCTCATTTTCCCAGCCAGAATACCCACCAGCCCATGCTCTTTATAAAGAGCTATTAATATTTTGGCAGTGGACTCTTTGCACTGGAGAAGTGTCAACTTTGTCGCCGAACACCTTGCTTGACATATATACTTTGCTATGTGCACAATTTCTCATTAACGAAGTAAAACAAAGTACTTCGGTCAACTAATATCTGAGTTATCAACATTGCAGATATCATTGAGACTGGGGAGATGGGTCAATGGCCGTGCTTTGTTACATGCAAATGTATATGCTCGTTGTACTGAGCCACACAAATTGACATGCCACACCAATTCTCAGCCACATTGACTGGAATGTAGTACTGTCATAGAGCTCTTGGGGATTGACTGTTTGGTTAGTTTGGAGTTTTGACAATAAACCCTTCTTGAACAGACACCGTGACCATGCAGAAGAGTTTTGGGCTCTAGCAGACAAGACAGCTGATTTGGTAGACCAAGCAATGGAGATAGTGGGCAGCCCAATTACACCCAGAAATCTCAGGACTATGGTGGTTATATCATCAGAGCAAACATTCTTGAAGCTGCTTTTGGAGCAAAAAACATAGAGGATAAGAATGTGTATTCAACGCAAGCCTTGAAGCATAAAATGACAGCAAATGACGGGAGTGCTGGGGAACACTGGTTGATGCTGTATTGTTCTTCCCATGATTTGTGGATGTCCAGGGACCTTGCAAGCAAGGTAAAAGAGCCAATAGTTGGGCCCACAATACATCCATTCCAGCAGCGAGACGAGGAGGCGCAATCAAATTGATGCGTGCCTTTGTCTCGCAAGCGCAGAGAACAAAGTCCGAGAAAAAGACGACATGGCAGATCTGGGCTATCCAGAATTAGAGAAACCAGGATAAGGCTAGGGAGAGAGCACTGGAAGATTAATCCACCGCGGGCTCTTTGTCAGCAGCTACTGGTGACCATTTCGCTGCCATAAAATTGCAGATCAAGGCCACCTGACTCACCTGTGGCAAACCTCCGAAACAATCCCTGGCATATAATGATCTTTCAGTTCATATGGCCTGGACGAACTACAACATCCGGGTCAAGGATGCCTTCCCAAATGCCAAACGTATAATCTCTTGTGGGATTGTGTAATCTAAGAATGATGACGGCATTAATTTTGTGTGTCCTCAGTCCGCTCGTCGGTGTGCTACAGCCGACTCAACATATGCAGCGGCCACCACCAAGGCTCAGGACCGGTCACCGAGCAAACTAGGAGGAAGTTCCTCCTGCTCATTGCAAAAATCATGATGCAACCCGGTTTTTATAACACCCTGCTCAACGCAAAGCACATCACCATTGGCCATAAGCAGTGCAATTACCATTGCCCGGTGAACCCCGATATCGAGCAGGACAAAGTACTTTGTTTCCTTGCTCATTGTGGGGTTACACTGGAAGAGCCAAACAACTCTGTCCATTGGGTGCAGGAGTTCGTTAAGTGCTACATAGCCATGAATAACTGCGAAGATCACTTCTTCGACCTGCAGATGTGGTACAACATCGCCCTATCATACACGGAGCTACCCTTGCTGTCTGACAACACACTGGTGGCTCCCTTCATGTCTACGGAGCTTCTGGGGCAGTATAAAAGCAACCCCGAAGGCATGCCCGATGCCACAAACACTGACATCAGTGTGCCCGCTCCAGACACCACCTCGACAGCCCTCGCAGCCCTACTACCTCTGCCGACACATTTTTGGCAGGAGTGTTGTCACCATCTGTGGAGGCAAATGCTAACATGGACGTTGACGCGGACAAAGAGCAAGCGGGTCCGTCTATTGAGGAGCCGATAATGGAGGATACACTACAGGAGATGGACAAGGATGTCGCAGAGGCCGAGCAGGAACCGGAGACATGGAGGCCTAAGAGGAAGGGCAGGAAGGTGTGGAGGTAGAGGATGGATGTTCCAATGATGTATGACCCTTGTGGATCATGCATCCTACACATACTATTAATCTCTCACATCAGTGGAGTCACACATTGTAGCCCACATGGAGTCTGGACTATATCTTTCAGTTTTGAAGATACTCATTTTTTGTCTCGTTTCTTGATTGATTTCTTTTCTCTTTTCTTGTTTTGCTCTCGCCCATGGCTTTTGCTGGAGAGGGCAGGTGTAAGGCCCACAGAGTCTTCCGAGACCCGTGCCGTAAGGTCTTCAGTAGTTGAACTACTTGTGCTCTTGTATCTGGTGGTATTGAGGAGATGGATAGAGATACTACCTTATCTTTCTTGGCCGTAGTCACGGTCTGTCGTATCTCTGGTGTGCATGTGGTTATGATACAGTATTTGTCATATCTCGTAGTATTTAACGGGGCTTCCTCACCTTGGGGAGCCCCAGTCACTTTTGTACCTACGTAGTCTATCTGTGGAATCTTACCATCTGGTCTGGTTCTCTCACGGTATAACCTCAAGGTACCGGCGTGGCTTACAGTTATTCTCACAGTATGTTCAGTATATGCACAGAATATCCTCACAGTTTTTGAGCTTGTATTGGTGTTGAAAAGTGTGACATATATAGCACTGTTTCAGCTATGTTTCACCTCTTTCTCAATTTGCTGGCTTTTGCTTTTGGTCAAACAAAGGGCACGGTATACGAAAAACAAGGGGGTCGCGGGAGCGAAGCGACCACTACGGGGGTACCGTGCGAAGCACCTGCCTGTAAAGGGAATTGGCTGGGAACTTACTACTATATATAGTAATTTTATTACGTAGGTAGTTAGGGTGCCCGTCCTCGAGAAACTGGGACTGGCTTACAGGAGCGAGGAAAAATCGTAAAAAATGTCAGAATATTCAAGGCGGATATTCTCAGATATCCACAAAATTTACCCCCCCGGATCAATTTTGAACTTTGAGATTCCGAAAAAATCGGGACAATTCTCCGTGCCCAATAAGACGTCGGAATTCGACCTCGTGTATTTTGGCGTCGCTTCGCGACCCCCTTGACGAAAAATATACTATTACATTGATTTCAATGAGAAGAATAGACAAAATAATCTTCTGACAGTCCAGGAAGCTGAACATGCACAAAGTTACAGTTCTGGGCCACACTTCGAGCCGTAGCAAACCACAAAATGAACTGGCTGGATTTTTGAGAACATGGTTGTCTTTGTATTCGCAAGGGGTGTCCGCTCATATAATGTTTGGGCAACATTTTGAAGGTGTTACAGGTGATATACTCTCCGAAAATGCAAAACGGTTCTTTCTGGGAAAAAATCCGCGCTGCGCCTTGAGTACTGCAAACAGCTGTAATCATGATGGGCCTTATGCCAACCTTATACAATATTAGAGTTATGATCATAGGGATAATATAAGAAAAACAGATTCATCAAAATGTCCAATAATGTGGCACCTGATCATGGTTCTCTCTCAAGTTCCTCATGAATTGAGAACCCCAAACGTCTCTGGGTTTTAGTTGCTTTCCTCCCTCCAGTTTGCCTGTAATAAAGAAGGGTCGATTAGAAAGGAAATAGAAGTGGTCAAAACGAAGATGCAATCATACATACCTTTGTTCTTGGCATACAAAACTTTCGGGTGCACCCTCCCAATCCTCTAATTGATACTTCCTCACTCCTTCGTTAACCCTAGCTTCTCTCTCCGGCCCCCCAAATAAGTCGAGAGCAAGTTGCGTGTGGCTGACACCGGCGTACGTCGTCACGCACCGCGGATTGACGAGAATCCTCGCTGGTGGAAATAAGGAATTGGCTATGCTGAACCTGGGCGGTGGAAGTGCGTCCTCAAGAGGAACGTCGGAGTCTGGCATGGCATCGTAGTCTGATCCTGCGTTTGCATCTGCATCCGCCTCCTCGGCAACTTGCCTATGGCCGATGCCCTCCTTTCCGGCGTCGGCCGCCTCGTCAACCTCCACTACATCCTCAGCAGCACGTTTTCCGACCCTTATCCCATCAGGTTCATCTCTGCTCATGTCCTTCATACCAGCCCTCGCCTTCGATGCCCATAAATCCCTACAAAACCAGGCCTGACTACTGTCTAGACATGGCGCATCTGGGTCTCGCTCCTTTGCGCTTTCTTTGGAGGTCGTATTGTGGAAATCAGATCCCGCGCGATACGAGATGCCTTCGTAATAAGATTGGGCGGGATCGACGACGTGTGTACCAGATTCGCAACAGAATACCTGGAAGGGCAGATGTTGGGAATAGCGCTGAGCGCCAGCGGCATCTCGAGGAGGGACAGCGTCTGGCTTTGAAGAAGACTTCGACTGACGAAATTGGTCGCCGTTGATATCTCGCGTTCGCCAGCTGAACACCCTCTTAGATCAGAAGGAGCCTCGAGAGATGATGATGCGGGACATACCGATCCGAGAAAATGAAGAAGCCGTTATGCTCTGCCCAGTCCATCCCGCATACCATAGCCGCCTCATTTACCTCGCTCACTTTGAGCGTCTCGAGAATATCGTTTGGACACGTGAAACCTTTGAGCCATATTACCCTGTGGAACTTGATTTTCCGCTTTAACCAAAGCTCTTTCAGAGGCTCTAGGGCGAGATTACGGGTGTGTGCCTCCTCTAGTGGATAATAAGCCATGAGTGGGTCCTCCGTCATACCAGGGACTCTTCTGATCCTGAATGGGACGCCGAGGAGCGTAAGGACTGCCTCGCTCAAGTCGGTTAATGTCGCAGTACTGTCCGTGGAGTCGTAATCAAGCATGGAGACGAAAAGGTTTGAGGGACCAAATCGCTTAGCAAGTTGCACGATAACTGCGAGCTGGTCTACGAGGAAGTGGTCCGCGGAATGAATTATAATGGCAACGTAGTAAAGGTGATTTTTGGATATGATGTCGTCGTAGGCGTCTTCGTGCTTGTTCTGATCGAATGGTCGAGTAAGCGTCGGACACAGGGCAGCGACCCAGCCGTTGAGCGAGAATAGCTGTTCAATCGACGTCATGACACCTTGAGCATCCATGTGGGCGGTTTCTTTGCCTATTATGCTAATTCGTATCATTCTGGTCAGTAGCAGGTACGATATCATGTTGTTTTGGCACGAACTAAGGCTTTTGAAATCGTTCCCAATAATCGTCCACACCATTCATCACAATGTCGGAGAATATGTCCTGACCCTCGTCCCTTCCCATGCGCGTCTGAAGAAACTTGTGTCTACGGACGTCGAGAACATTGTCGGAGCGGGATACCAAGTCAAGTACGTTCTGCTCCTGTATTTCTTGGGTCTGCGCAGGAGGGGGCGAAGTGAAGATGACCTTGGCGAGCAGCACAAGGGAAGCGACAGTGATAATCCTGGTCGCATTTCGACGTCGAAACAGGAATGCCATCAGGTAAGGTCAAGGCAAGGCGATGTCGCCCAGGACGAGTTGAGTGATGACAAGGCTTGAGCGGACTTGGAGAGGAGAACTGAGAACTCTGAAGCGCGCGGCGCGCCGCGTTGGACGCGCGTGTCACGTGCATCAAATGACATTTAGTGTTGGAGAGTCAGGACGATTTCCATGTCCTCTAGGTCCCGCCATTCGACGTCCACTATGGCGGTGGAAACGGTGCGTTATCAAAAACACAGTTCTTTCGAGGATCCTGTACTGTACTCGCACTCACAAGAGTTTTTCGCCTGCATATCTGTGTTCTGCATCGCAAACTCTGATGACAGCCAGTGATGGGCGATGCCAATTCGCGAGATGCGTACTCAGCTGTACATATTGTCTAGTGATGGTCCAGACACAAAGGCACAAGAACAAAATCGTACAACCATTGCGTTTGTGGATGCCATGTTCCCAGGTACAATTACAGTGTCACCGTTCAGCTTGTGTCCATCTCCTCCCCGGTCCCCCTCATCTCGGTCTGCCCAACGCCTCCTCCCAACCCAATCGTCTTCTCCTCGACCACTAGACTCCTGATTTTCTCCGCAGTCCAAGCAGTCGTTCCCTCCCTGAACTTGTATCTTCTTTCTTTCTGGGCCCTTTCGTTGGGCTTGACGAAGTTCCGGAGCATCTCGGTAGAGTTCGCTGTGATGACGCAGGCGTCGACGTTGGATCCTGAGCCAAGGTCGTTGAAGATACCAGCAGAGATAGCAGCAGTGACAATTGCAAGAGCGTCCTCGCGCTACATGCGGCACAAACCAGTCGAAATGAATGAGCGTAGCTCAAAAGCCAAGGGAAACTATTCAAGTGGCACCGTGAGAAAGGACGTACCGACATGTCTGGTTTCCAACCAGACTCGAAGACGGCCATGGCAGCGAGCGAGCCGGATCCCATAGTCACGTATGGCAGCTTGTCTGTTGAGCCATGTGGGTGGATCGTGAAGAGATGAGGCCCGGTGGCGTCCACGCCTCCAAGGACAAGTGCTGCACCAATCTGGCCCTGGTATCTGTGGGGCGTCAGGGCATGGTCAGACGAAACGATCACAAATATATTGGCAACGATCCATGGAATATAGGAGAGAGCGCGGAAACTAGCAGAGGTGCAGAGGTTAAATAATGCAGACATACTGATAAAGCATCTGTTTAAGCATGGTCATGGCAGTGACTACCCTTGGCTTCCTGCCGGTTGAGAGGGTGTGAAGCTCCATATTGGATGAGATAAGGGCAGTTGTGAACTCGGTGTCTGCAGCGGTGCCGGCGCCACAGCATCTAATGCTATCTGTTATGTAGTGGATCTTAGGACTCCGTCAGTGTGGCGAATTGAACTGGGCTTGTTGTGAGAGCCACGCACCTTTTCACAGTTCTTGTCGGCTACAATTTCTCCCTCTGTAGCACGAGTATCCGCACCGAGCACGATTCCATCCCTGAACAGGCAGCCGACGATTGTAGTACCGGTGCTGGTGGCCTTAGGCACGCCGACGCCTTTCCCTTGCAAGAAGGAATTGCTATGTAAGGAGAAAGCAGACGTGAATATTTCATCCAAAGCCCGAGAGCACAGTAGACACCCACCGGACTTGGTTAGAGAAGTCGAAACCAGCTGAGCGATATGTAGAGGCCATGATGAGGGTACGTATGCAAGTAGAGATGGGACGCCTTTCGACCCGACGCGTAATGCGCGTCGTGACCGCGGGGTTGGCCTGATTACGTCATACGCCTGGAATGGACGTGCAACGCTCGTGCAACACCGCCTCGACCATTGACCTCGACGTTCCCTCCACCCCATCCCCCACGACAAGAGATAACTCGACGACCATGGAAGGCTGGAACAAACTCCAAACATCTTTTGCGGGGCTCAATATTGGGCAATCCGCTAACAAGTTCGCCAAGGGCTTCAACTCATCCGTTCAGGCTACTAGGGAGCGCCTCGGCCAAATATCTGCTGAAGAGATTACTGAACTTCCTCAGGGTCCGTTTATCATACTCTCTGTCGGGTTTTGTGTACTCATTCTACTGGTTTATATGTAGAATACAAGGATCTTGAGGCTCGCGTCGATGCCTTGCGCAACACCCATCTCACTATCCTCAAGTGAGATCAAACCCCCGCTCTTGTTGACGTTGACTGCGCTTTGTTGACCCAGTTTTATCCAGGATCACCAAGGTCTACGAAGCAGAGACGTACGACTACCCCACACAGATTCAGGAGTCTATCGCGGAACTCGGTACCACAATCGGCCACAATCTCACTTCCTTCGCTGCTACCAACCTCAAGGGCACAAACCTTCCTACACCCACTCCAACGGCGCCTCTGGCCGCTCAGCACAAGACTCTTCCTCATGCATTGGGTCGTGCCGCTACCACCGCCGCTCACACTCTCGGCGCCGAAGACAAACTCGGCAGGGCGCTCGCTGAGTACGCCCAGGCTTGGGAGAAGATTGCTTCCGCGAGGGAGACTCACGACGCGACAATTCAGAACAACTTCTTGGCGCCGTGGCAGACGACTCTGGCCACCAGCATTACTGTCGCCATGAAAGCTAGGCAGGCCGTTCGGGTTAGCCGCTTGGAACTGGATGCGGCTAAGCAGACGTATGTAACTTTCCCTTCCACTGCTCATGTTGATACTGACCACCTGCGATTTAATAGCTTGAAGAATGCCACACCCACCAAACAGGAGCATGCTCGTCTTGAAGTCGAGAATGCGGAGGATGATCTCGTGCAAAAGACCGAGGTCGCCATCACTCTCATGAAGGCCGTGCTCGATAACGTACGTCGCAATTCCGCCCACGATTCAGCTGATCGCTTGCCTCCATGTCTGTGCGCTCACTGGTCTGATACTGATTATTTCGCCCCTATAGCCCGAGCCCATCAAGAACCTGAACGAGCTCGTCAAAGCCCAGGTTCGTATTCTAGACTGTCACGTTTGCCTGGTGGCTGATGAAAATTGACCGCTTCCAGTTGATGTACTTCGCCGCCGCGGCCGAGGCTCTCTCAGGCGTGCAAGGGGAGATTGAGGAATTGAGCGTTGCTGCCGAAGGAGAATACAGGTTCGTAGTATCTACGTCAATTCGACCATTCGATAATCTCTAAATTACGATCATCAGGAAGTCTCGCGACCACTGAGGCGCCCAGGACGCTGCAGTGAACTTGAATGGGGTAGGTGCTGTATAGTCCTGTTCTGCACTTCCATGCATACGTTTCTTTCTATACGCCCGTGTTGTCTCTCATGCTTTTTTTCTCTACTCCGTTCGAATTTCTGTCGGACTCTTGTTACAGTATGCGACATATTGATCCCCTGAGTTGTTTCTCACTCTCTTCGCTGAGACTTCTTCTTTACTCTTATATGATTCCCCGAGGAAATGATATCGCATGAACGTCACGTTGTATGTGTGCTACATTAGTGTGGTATGATATATGGAAATGAAAGTACGGACAATGACTGCTTCGGATTTGAGGCCAGTTCAGAGATGGTAGTAGAGTATGAGTGGCAGGGATATGAGATCTCCAGCGTCGTCTCTGTCAGTTTCAGTGTTGGGACTCCACTACAGACAACACCGTCTTCCAAGACGTTCGCCGACAGTGGCAAGTGCCCCATTGCAGTGGCGAACAAATCCGGACCAAATATGGTATTGATTGTGGTTGGTTGAACTGTGTGCCGCTCTAGCAGGGGAGTTTTTCGAGATATCGGAGCAGCAAACTTATCAATGACCCTCAGGATCCATCACCGAGAATATATACATACAAAGATAGAGCCATGGAGGGAGATCCCGAGCTATAGGAGGAAGGAGATGCATATGCGACACGAGATGTTGTACAGACTGTAAAATGAGCAAAGTAGCGTAACAGAGAAGAGACATAGGCCGAGAGACAAACGGTAGTGAGATATGACTGTAATGATAGATGTAAAGTTAGAGGACGTTGGATGTGACAGGGTGACGTGTACAGGTCGTGGACAATGATTGTGTAGCGCGGACCATCGTGGCTCGTATGCAAATCGCGATAACCGGGAGAGGTAAAGAGGAGACGAGACGAGGAGACGAAGAATGAATCAGACAACACAAAACAAAAACAAAAGAGAAAGGCTGTCCGCTGGGATCGCTACGCGGAGTTTTTGAGCCTGATTGTGGACGGTGTAACGGAAAGTACATGGAGAAACGAAAAAAAATATATAGAGAGAGAGCGGAGTCCACCGGTGATATGCAAGTTCCTGAAGAGTCATCTAGTGTGGGCTCTCTCGACTTCAATGAGTCTGGTCATCACGACTCCGCTGGTGAAATCACGGCGACTAGTACCGAGATATCTATTGGCCAAAGATCGGTTAACGCGCTTGATCGGTTCATGAGAGAGAGAGACGCACCATCAGTCTTGCCTCCTCGGAACGTCCTGCCCTCCTCCCTGGCTCTCCTTGCAAACGGCACCTCTTCCTCGAGGATGGCCGATGTCTGGTCCTTGAAGCACTGCGCATCCAACTTTGCACTCTTCCCACCCTTCGCTTCCGAAACCTTTCTAGCTCTTGAACACAACGCCTCACTCAACATCCCTGCCAAAGTCCTCCTCCCCAACAAACCAGCCGTCCGCGATGTCACTGAGGCAGGTAATCCGGACTCCGACGTCTCACGAGTACGTTTGGTCGAAGGGGCAAGAAACGCCTTGCGGAAGCGGCTAACTTCGTCGAGGACGTCTTCGTCCCAGAGGTTATCGCTCAATCCGTCCGAGGCCAGGATGAGGATATCGTCTGCTCGGACCGGTAGTGTAATTACTTGAGCGGATGAAGGTGGCGTCCTCGAGGCTGGGCCGAGCTGTAGAGGTGTGTTGAACTGTGCGTGGTGCATTCGAGCTTGATCAGTCCGTGGTGCGGAAGAAGTATGAGTAGAAGAACACGCACACTCCACCACATCTCTTCACTCCGCCATACAATCTCGTCATCGCGGACCAGCATGCCCATGCAATCCCCTAGATGAGCAATCCGGATGACCGCATCGCAGTCAGCATCGTCCGATCTTGCCGTTGAGGGAGATGCCGGTGTTGGCACTCCCTGTGCCGAAGACGGCGTGGGCACCGTACTAGACGGCTGGATCGTGACAGATGGCGCAGGTGTGGGAAGGGATGCAGGAGGTGCAGAGTCAAGAACAGCGAGGAGGGCAGTCGAAGAACCGGTCATGAGAGGTTCTGGGTCTTGTGGTGTGTGCGATCGGCTCGATGGTGGCGAAGTCGAGGCTGGAGGAATGACATGAGCCTTCAGGGCCTGCTCATAGGCTCGCTCGAGGATCATGAGCACATCGAGGCCTTCCTCCAAATCGTCGAGGGTATCGTCTTCTTCCTGGACAGCTTGTAGGTCGGAGACGGCCACTGGTGGCGCAGGAGTATTCCACGGAGCACCATAATTCGAGATGTTAGGGAAGAAGGGTGTTGACAAAGCTGGCTCATGAAAGTAAATGGAGGTTGGCGGTGTAGGACCGATCTCTGGACATGAACACGCGGTCGAAATCTCGGAGGAACAGAAGTGCATTAGACGGCGCGCAAATAATGCAGAGGGCGATGGGTCTGAGGGGACCCTGGAGGGAAGTTCTACAATCGAGGACGCATGTGAGAAGTGGTTGCTCCGGATTGGTAGACATCGACTTACTCGATCGCGACCAGCCACCAACACCGTCCGCTACACCCATCGCATTTTCCCTGACGAAATAAGCATCTTCACCGACCTGAACAGCTAGGTCAAGGCCGTCCGTGGTACGAGAAGCGGGCGAAGAGGAAGCCCAGTGAGCGGCCGTGCCACGACCGTCCCTCCCAGAGACAACGGAGCCTCTGGTGTTTTTAGGAATTCCGTACGCGCCAACATCGAAGTGGTAGCGATGCCTGCCGGTGCGTTTGGCGCCTTGGGGGGTTGCCCCGGGTGGATGTGAGTCAAAGGAAGGATCGTACGGGTCTGCGCCCGTGGTGGAGAAGTTGGCATATGGGAAGAAATTGGGGGGATTATGGTGCGACGAAGAGGGAATTGCGGGTGGTTGACTGGACGGATTTGAATGGGGTGAAGTAAGGGCTATTGAAGACGGAGGCGGACCGGTTCCGTTTGAGGAAGAATGAGATGAATTTGATGCATGGCTGGGTGATGAGGGGCCATGTGGAGGGGCTTCGGCCTCTGCTTTTGCCTGTATGGGGAGACGGGGAGTAGAAAGGACAATGGGATTGCCAGGACGAGAGGATGCAGGGGGTGCTGGTGGGGCGTCGAAGAAGGCGAGACCTGAGAGGGACGACTGAGACGCGGTGTAGAGCGATCTGGACGACGAGGCCGAGGCAGAATTGGAACGAACGCGGGGCACGCGGGAAGATGAGGGTGGGGAAGAGGGCGAGCTCGCCGCTGTGGCGGCTCCGCGCGGAAGAACAGTATAGAGCCTCTTCTGGATCGACGAAATCCGTGGACCAGAGGCAGTCATCGTCGACGACGGCGAGGGCAGGGGCGGGAGCAAGAGAGACGGTGGTGAGCGGTGGTCGGGAGTAAGAGTGTGCAATGATATCGTCCTCAGCTCCCTCGGGCGTAGCCGGGGCCCGATATGGCATCTCTCTCCTTCCCATTGGTTCTCCGTTTTTTTCACGCGCAACCTGAATGGTCTTTATTCACCGTCCGTCTTTTTTTTTTTTTTTTTTTTTGGTGTAACTCCCCCGTAACCAATCGCGAATGGCAGCCGTTACGGGATCAACGTCGATAAGCAGGGGTTATCACCCTGCAGATCCAAAGGAGGGAATGCATTTATGCACGAACCACCGGCTAGGCCGGCGGAACAGTGTGGGACTCGGAGGGGGCTGGCCAATCATCATTTCGACAACCACGGATGCGCAGGGCAGAGCCGGCGGGAGTGCGCCGCAAGCGGCAAGCGTTTAAACTTCTCAGGAGCCCCTAACCCCACTACCCACTAAACCCACCTACCAGCGCTGGGTTCGACCTATGAGAATCTGGAATAAATCACTGTGTGTGAGAATTGAACCAGAGGCCTCGCCACTTGTGCGGATTTACCCACACGTGACTCCCCAGCACGAAGGCATAGAGCAACGAGATACCCGCTACACTATGCTGCCGGCATTCACCGTCCGTCTTGCGACTCGCCCATTCTCATCCTTGTCCCGTCCTTTGTCTATCCCTCCGTCCCGCTCCTAAATTGACATCCCCTTGTGGGAAGCTTCAAGTGAACCGCTGCTTCTTATACTCGTCCGACGACAGTTCCGACTTGACCCAACTTGCCAATCTCTGTCAGTTCTCCTGCTTTGAGTCAGAGCCCCTCGTTTTCTTTGCACAACGTTTTCGATGACGCTACAGTATTTCATGCTGGCGGCCCGGACATGTCATCTCGTGTCCACTCACAGCCAGAGACATCCGATGCTTCCGACGACGGAGCAGACCGGCTATAGGGTTAGGTTTCCTGATGCGGTACCGTGACAGCCAAGTTCATCCTTCACTCAATCTGAGCGCGTCGATCCGTACGGCCAACCGTCGATGACGATGCGCCTCGCTCACAGTCTCAGACTCTGTCTGTCCGTCTGAATCTACCTCCAGCTTTGAATCATGTATAAGAGATCGTCGACGGCGGATTTTTTCTGTACCCCGCACCATGTCTCCCGCCTTACCCACACAACGCACTCGAGTCGCCATCGTCGGTAGCGGCGCATCTGGAATGTCTGCCGCTTATGCTCTCAGCAGACATCCAGATAAATTCCAAGTCACTGTCTTCGACAAGGAGCCACAGCCTGGCGGCATGGCCACGTCCGTTGACATCGATCCCGAGAAATACGGCGCCTCGTATATCAACGACGGCGTCCAAGGTCAGCTTCTGAAAAGACATACCAACTGGTGTCGCTGTGCTAATGCATATTTATAAAAACAGGCTGCTCTCCGGCGTTTGCAAACACGATACGCATGTTTCGCGAGCTCGGTTTTGCCCCAACCTCCGTCGGCATGCAGTACGTCCCCTGGCCCATCTTCTGGAGCACAGTCTGATACCCGTGGCAGGATAAGTTTCGGCAAAGGAGAAGACTTCTGGTCCAATGTCTTTACCTCTGAACTGACAGCCCAGTTTTCATCCGACATCAAGAAATTCGGCCGCGTACTCAAGATCATTAAGAAGCTTGAAGTGCCGTTTGCGGTCATGCCCGTCAACAAGATGCTTAGGCTCTTCAGGTTCTCAAAGGACTTTGGAGAGAAAATGGTATATCCACTCGTGGCACTCTTCTTCGGGACAGGGAATCAGACGCCATATATTTCGTGTGCTATACTTGTACGTATATTTCTGACCCTCAACGGCCACCCTCTGACCCCTCCTCCCGTGGTCGTAGGAGCGCGTTTTTATGGATCCTAGCATGCGATTGTTCGAATTTGACGAGAATAGTTTACTCGCCAGCATCCCGACGATGTATGCTTTCCCAAAGGTTTGTCTCTGTTTTTACCATCCCGTCATTCGTGAGTTAACCATCTTTGACGCTGTTCATAGCTCGGAAATACATATAAGGCTTGGGAAAGGCGCACTACCTCTACCGGCAACGTTACATTCAAGCTAGGACACGAAGTCACCCGCATTGTCAGACGCGACAAACGTGAAGTCGTCCTTGAATATAGACCTCCACCCGTACCCTCTACCTCCTTTTCAGTCTCCGACCACAATCGCCCCAAAGTCGAAGAACCGCAGCCGCAACTAGAGACATTCGATGAATTGATCTTGGCATGCGATGCGGATACGAGTTTGAAGTTGCTGAATACGAAGGGGGCCGCTGGGCCGAGTTGGATGGAGAAGAAGGTGCTGGGGAATGTCAAATACTTGTGGGATGTGACGATTACGCATAACGACGCGGATTACATGCGCAAAGTACGTCTAGCCATCCCCTCAGAACTTCAAAGGGCGTTCGTTGATCTATCCCTGCATTTGCTGCAGTACTACGAAACGGGCTTCAACAAAGACCTCGCGGTAGACTCGAACAACCCGGAGAATCAACAGTCCATCCGTTTCGCCGAGAAGAACTTCCGGCCCCTATATTACACCATGCAATATCCGACAGACAAGTCCAAGATCGAAATGTCCTTCGATCTCACGCATTATCAGCCACAGTTTCGTGGGGAGAAACCCTCGGGCCCTATCGAAGAGGTGCTCCGCGAACGGGCGGAGTCGGACGGCAACCCTGGGACGAGCTGCATTTCCGATAGTCACGCGTCCAGCGGGAAGGCCAGCTCACGAGATGCGCTCGTTCAAGAAGCCCAGCGTTCGGAACTGGGTGCGGAAGGCGCAGAAGCGAGAAGGGGGAGCGACCCGGAGGGAAATAATGAACCTAAGTTCGAGGATCATGTGTTCCAGACAATCTTCTTGGACAGGGATGGGAGCAGCCAGCTGTGGACGGAGGGGGAGATTAGGCAGGAGAAGAGAATCTACGAGAAGTGGTGGAAGCAACAGAGCCATCGATGGCAGCACTATGCGGGCGTGGTACCGTGGATGATGTGGATCAATGGGAAGAGGAGGACGCAGTGAGTCTTGAACCTTCCCTATTTTCTCAGTTATATTCTCCGTAAATATTTATCGTCGTTCCTCAAACAGTTACGCCGGTGCCTGGTCCAGTGAGTAAAATTTTTAGCACGATTCTTTGTCTCACGTCGAAGCTGTTGCTGATATCTCATAGTCCTCAATATGCACGAGCTCGCAGTAACGTCGGGGTTCGCGGCGGCATATCGTCTCGGTGCAGACTACCCGTTCAAGGGCGATGAAGACTGCCAGCGGTTGTTTAGGTTGTATCTAGCAGCAAGTCATGGTGTGCGAATGGTGAGTATTTGTTTATAACGCTTTCATACGTTGCGGCAAGTCGTTGGCTGACCTATATCGTAGCGCAAGGAAGATCGTGAGGGAATTTTGGCATAGATTTCTCACAACGCGAAGATCATGGTCGAGGATCCCGCCTCGCTGAATACTTTTGGAATTTGGAACCAGTAGATCTATTTATACTCTAGTCAATGCAACACAATTGTCGCGAAAGTTCTACTTTAGCCCAGTAAAATGGTTGTCGTGATTCTCAGGAGATGGGCGAATAACGTTGACATCTGATTGGACCTATCGCTACTGGTAATGATGCCTTCGAGCCCATAGGCACAGCTCCACAAAGGCACATCTCGATACTTGGCAACGAGGGATGTCAAAGTACATGTTTCAACAAGCAGACCGCGGTATATAGAACAATGTGAGACGCGTTGTGCATGTGTATGTACGTGAGCACGGTATTAGACAACAAGACGGCGGACAAGAACGAAGACTGGGTATTGAGGCACAGGTATAACTTTTGTGACAAATCAAAATTTATCGACAGGAAAAGAATGAACAGGCAGAGACTGCCAAAGAGTGACGACCGGATGCACAGGGAAAGCACAAACAAAGAACACAGGAGGAACCAAGAAAAGGAAATGAGCCACTGGGAATGCTCAATGTGTCCGTCCGTAGGGTGGGCGATGGCGACCAGGATTAGAACGATGCGCTGATGAACAGGCAGGCCTCATCAGAGGGCGAGACCAGCAAGGGCGGCGAGACCACAGGCTCCGGCAGCGTATAACATCCCACGGACGTCAAAGGCAGCGCGAGCCGTAGCAGCACTGGCGCTGGAGCTGCTTCCAGCAGCGGAGGTGGAGGTCGAGCTGGCTGAGCCGGAACTACCACTACCGGTAGCACTGCTGGATGAGCCAGACGCAGACGCAGACGAGGAGACGACAGCTGGTGCAGCTAGATAAGATACGCCCGGGTTCAGTCAGCGTGCATAACACCGAGTATAGTTTGAATATGAAGACATACTGCCGTTGGGTTTGACTTCGAAGTTGGTGCTGTTTGCGAAGACTTGGGTAGTGTTGATAGCATTTACGAAGACAACTTGATAGTTCGATCCGGGTAGCAAGGTGACATTCGTGACCGTGAAGGACTACATTGGAGGGTAAGGAGGTTAGTCGTCATGTTCAAACCGGAGAGCTTGGGGACACACCATCGTAGAGACGTTCACGAACTCAGCGATGGAGAAATCACCATTAAGTGTCGTATTGTCCGTGTTGGTCACAATTATGGACACTGGGTTCGGGTCATTTGCTTGGAACGTCCATGTGATGTTGTTGCTCGTGTCCGCCACCCTGTCCGAGGAGCGTTGGATGAGTTGAACTTCAACACACAGAAATAAAAACTCACCAGTAATCACTAGAGGAAGGACCGGTGATAGAGATGGCTAGATTCCGAAGGAGCGGTATGAGAGGGAGATAGATGGGCGCGGGAAGGAGGAAGACTTACCAGCAGCGTAGACGGGGAGAAGGGAGAGTGCGACAAGGGAAAAGCGCATCTTGAGTTGGGGAGAGGAGAAAGAGACAGACGGGGACGTGAGAGCGAGGCTGTGGGGAAATATCCAACCACCTCGCCTTTTCAATCGACTGTCAATTTCAAATAGGTCATGATCATCGCGCGAACACAACCCACGTTACCCCTGATGAGTCCATGACCACGATTCCTGCCTTCACACGCACGAGGTCTCGCCCAGGGTCGCCAAAGTATACGAGAGTGAACGTTGAGCTTGCGATTTCAACGGTACATGCGAGTAGTGAGACGACAATATGAGACTGAGTGGTGGTTATGAAAGCCTAACGTCAAACTTGACTACGAAGAAGTGCACGGTGAGTAATGTATGTACGGATATAGAATGAAAGCGTAAAAAACATAGCGCGTATAATGGATGACGAAGTGCGGAAGCAAGGTTAGATGCAGCAGAACGGACCGTGGGGAGTGGGGGGCGTGAGGGACGTGATAGATGCAATAAGGTAGCAAGGAACCCGAACAAAGAAGAACGTGACACGATACTTTTGCCACCGCGCTGAACGGTGATGAAGAGACCAAAGATGAGAGCAGTGATATGGGAACGGAACAAACCAAAAGAATGGTTTAGAAGCCGCCCATGCCGCCCATGCCACCCATTCCACCCATTCCACCACCCATCCCTCCGGCAGGCTTCTCCTCCGGGCCATCAACAATGCAGGCCTCGCTTGTCGTCAATAAGCTCGCCACGCCAGCAGCATCCACCAACGCCGTCCTCACGACCTTCAACGGGTCGACAATGCCGGCCTTGATCATGTCCACGTACTCGCCCTTGCTAGCGTCGTATCCCCAAGCGAATTTGTCGGCCGCACCGTAGTTTGCAGTGAGGGTCCCAACGATGACGGATGACTCCTCGCCGGCGTTCGAAAGGATAGTACGCGCGGGTTGAGTGAGAGCACGGCGGATGATGGACACACCGAGGTCCTGGTCGAAGTTTGCAGTGGGAATCGGGGTGATGTTCGGGTTGGAGGCAATAGATGAGGAGGAGGCCGAGTTTGGTGCGCCGGGCGAGGAGGAGACAAGGGCAAGAGAAGCCTTGAGGAGTGCCACACCACCACCTGGGAGAATACCCTCCTCGACGGCAGCGCGAGTCGCATTGAGAGCGTCGTCATAACGGTCCTTCTTCTCTCCGACCTCGACCTCACTCGACCCACCAACCTTAATGACCGCAACACCACCGCTCAACTTCGCCAAACGCTCCTGCAGCTTCGTCTTGTCGAAATCGGAAGTCGTAGGGTCCGCGATGAGAGAGCGAATCTGCTCACAACGAGCCTGGACGGCGTCCTTGCCGCCCTCTCCATTGAGAATGATAGTATCCTCCTTAGTGATGGTAACGGCGCCAGTCGTACCCAGGAGATCCGGGGTCGCCCTCTCGAGCTTGATGTCCAACTCATCGGTGAATACGGTACCGCCGGTAAGGATGGCGAGGTCACCAAGAATGCTCTTCCTGTTATCACCGAAGCCAGGAGCCTTGACAGCGGCGACCTGGAGCTGACCACGAAGCTTATTGAGGATGCAGGCGGCAAGAGCCTCACCGTCAACGTCCTCGGCGATGATGAGCAAGGGCCGCCTGGCTTGCGCGGCAGCCTCGAGCGATGGAAGAATATCCTGGAGGAGGCTGATCTTCTTCTCACTGAGGAGGATCAAGGGCTTCTCAAACTCGACCTTCTGTGCCTTGACGTCGGTGACGAAGTACGGTGAGATGAAGCCACGGTCGAAGCGCATGCCTTCGGTGATCTCAATCTCGTCCTCAGTGGTACGGCCCTCCTTGACGGTGATGACGCCCTCCTTTCCAACCTTCTCCATCGCCTGCGCAATGAGGTTACCGACGTGAGTATCGCCGTTTGCTGAGATGGTTGCGACCTGAGCAATCTCAGCGGTGGTAGTGATGGTCTTGGTGTTGGCAGAAAGGAAGCTGACAACCCGCTCGACGGCAGCCTGAGAGCCACGACGAAGATCCATGGGATTGCAACCGGCTGCGACGTTCTTCACACCCTCGGCGTAAATGGCACGAGCAAGCACGGTGGCGGTCGTAGTACCGTCACCGGCAATTTCGTTCGTCTTTTGAGCGACGTCTTGGACCAACCTAGGAGTATTCATAATCAGAAAGAAAAAAGTAAATCCCAACGAACGACGGCATACCTTGCACCGAGGTTCTCAAACTTATCCTTCAGCGTAATCGACTTCGCGACCGTAACACCGTCTAGGAAACAGGGATTGGTCAGCCAAAGTAGGACAAAACAAAGAAGTGCAGCGAGTCGCAATCATGGGAAAATTCGACCGCTTGTAACAGAGGGAAGTACAAAACAAAGGATGTAGTGACCACGAATTGCACCGTGCAGCCAATGTGAGAGTGCAAGACCATTAACGCGCAGACGACGTGTTATCGAGGAAGAGCTAGGACAACGCTTTATCTGTCCAAGTTTCCACTTCCCAAAGGAACAGAAAAGAGGGCACGAAGAAGTTAAGAGTAGTAACATACCCTTCGTGATCTTCGGACCACCATAGCTCTGTTCAATGATCACATTACGACCTGCGAGGACACGTCAGCAAATGTCGAGGTCAGCCATGACGAGAGAAAATGTACCCTTAGGACCGAGAGTAACAGAAACGGCATTCGCGAGAACGTCGACGCCGTTCAGGATGCTTGCTCTTCCTTCGTTGGAGAACTTAATCTCCTTGTGAGCACCTCGCGTTTGCGTCTTCAGGACGCTTTTTTGAGCAGCGCGACGGATAGAGCGCGAAGAAGTCGACGAGAGACGATGCATGGTAGGCTCGAGAAAGGTAAAGGGGGGAAAGGAGACAGAAGAAGAGAACGAGAACAAGAAGAAAAGGTTTGGATGTGGACGTCGCGTTCGTGCAGATGCGTTCGCCCGCCTTTTTCAAGCCAACCCGGAAACGGCCGAACCCCGCAGAAAAATCGAGAACTCCGGCGCGTCAGCAACACAGTACGCGTTCCTCGCCGAGTTTATGCAATATTTCCCGTCGGAGACGTGTTTGGCTGATCATACTATAACCACCCTTGCAGCGCGACACAGGTGACTTGCTGTGGACCCCGAAGGTAAACGTCAATAAACAGCTGTTTGCCCGAAGTGACAGACTAGCGGTACTTTTATTAAAAATTTGTTCCTCGAATCTCACTTCATGCAGCCTGAGAACGAGGACTTGTTCATTGGTGACCCCCGATTATGACGTTATCTGCTAGGCAGCTCGAGCTTCGCTGTGTCTCATTCCACGCTGCCCAGTGCGATGATCAACGAGCGTGGACGAAGGGAAGCAGCGAGAAACGCCTGCGGTTCGCGCACCGTCGTGACGCATTGGGAGAAGATTTGAAAGTATAAAATGCATTGGTGCCCTGTAATACTCGGCGCAAAACATCGATGTTCTTGAGATACTCTACAACACGATTATACAAATCTCACTTCAACTTCGCGAACATGGTCTTCGACAATTCCAGCGTGGAAATCTCGGCCTCAAACGTCTTCCTCTGGTGAAGAGGTGAACAAGTCAGTCACGTTCTGAGAGCAGACAGTCGACGGATCCACACCTTTTCTTCATTCGACAAGCGCACGTTCGCGGGGATGGTCTCCTCGTAGTCTGGTTGAGCTTCAATCTTCGTGATCTTGTTGAGATTGAGGCGGGCGAGGTCCAGCTTCTTCTCGCACTTGGAGATCTCAACATCCAGATCGACCAACCCCTGTAGTAAGAAAGGGGGGCAATCAGCTAGGAAAAGTGTTAAGAGGCATTTGGTCACGCACCCGAACAAGTACATGCACGGCAACCGTCGGCGTCAAGGAAGTAGAACCACATCCCGCTGGGATCTCATCAAGCTGGCGCACCACCTTTAGACTCTTGCAGCCCTTGGTGAGGGTGACCATGGTAGGCGCTTGTTGCTCGAAAAGGGCGGCTTCAGCATCCGTCTGAGTATGAATATACACTAGAGCAGAGAATCAGCATGACCAGCCACGGACAGGGATTAATGATACCTGCATTGGATGTCTGATTGAAGATTGTAAGACGCCGCGAGCGATCTGCCTGTCCGCACGATGTTGAATACCAACTCGAACTGCCGCTCCGCGTCATCGAAGACAAAATCTTTGTCCTAGAAAATACATCAAGGGAGGTTTTGGAAGTTTAGTGAAACAAAAAATACTCACGAAAACCGGGTATTGCGACACCATGATGGAAGGGGTGGGGTCATTAGGCCTTCGCGCCAGCCTTTGCCACAATTCTTCAGTGACGAACGGCATGAAGGGGTGAAGAAGCCGCAGGCCGTAGTCCAAGCAAAGGTATAGAGTCTGCTGAGAAGAAGCGCGAGTCTCCGCAGGCGCAGTTGGCTCAGTCATAGGCTTCATAGCTTCCTATATTTTCCATCAGCGACCTGCCATTGCGAGCAAAAGTGGATGCACTGACAATGTAGACATCGCAAAGCTCGTACAACCAGAAGTTGTAAACGGCATTGGTGGCAGCCATGTGATTGCGTCCCTCGAGCTGCCTGTTGACCTCGTCGGCAGCGATGTTGAGTTTATGAAATATCCATTTTTCGACCAAGCTCTCTTTGCCTGTAGGCTAAGTAACAATGAGTCAGCGGTATGTCAGACTTGTTTGTTGTCAACGAACCTTCGGTCGGGCCTCTGGCACGAAAGACTCATCAAGCTTCAGCATCGCAAATTTCGTCGCGTTGAATATTTTGTTGCAGAACTTGCGGTAACCTTCTACGCGGAGAATCTCCAAGTTGATGTCGCGACCTGTGTATGATTTAAGCGTACACTCTGAGCTGCTTTATTACGATCCGCCTTACCACCACCGCTGTAGGCGCAAAGAGCGAACCTCAATGCGTCCGCGCCACACTGGGGGATGCCCTTGGGGAAGTCCTTCTTTTGGCCAGCCATCGCTTTCTGGATCTCCTTATCCTCTAAGTTGCCCTCGTAGAGCTTCTGATGCAGTTGATCCAAAGGAAGGCCTTGGATCACGTCGAGGGGATCAATGACGTTTCCGAGAGACTTCGACATCTTGCGTCCATGGGCATCGCGAATCATAGCATGACAGAATACCTCATTGAACGGCATCTTATCCGTCAAACGAATGCCCAGTAGCACCATACGGGCCACCCAGAAGAAGATGATGTCCCAACCTGTCTCAAGCATGCTCGAGGGGTAGAATCGGTCAAGGTCAGCGGTCTGTCGGAGTGAAAGTATGAGTGCAACTCATGGTGCTCCGATATGCAGGTGTGGGCGCACCTTGTCTGGCCAGCCAAGGATGGAGAACGGCCAGAGACCAGAGGAGAACCACGTGTCCAAGACGTCCTCATCCTGCTTCAGCGTAAACGGACGGTCGCCAGCGAGTGCCTTGGCTCGCTCAGTGGCCTGCTCGAGGGTTCTACCCACAACCCAGTTCTTGCCGTCGGAGTTCTGGATGAACGAGGGTCAGGAGGATGAAACGGAGTATATGTGGGGAGAACGTACATCTTGCTCTATTCCTTCGATGTCGACAAAGTATGCTGGACACTGGTGGCCCCACCAGAGTTGGCGAGAGATACACCAGTCCTGGATATTGTCAAGCCACCGATACCAATCTGCCTCTGACTGTTTTGGCGCGACGTGCAACTCGCCAGCTCTCGTTCGCTGCACAATCGGAGACGTAGTAAGTTACCTCGACGTGTGGTAGAGAATACAGCTAATTCACCTTGATGGCTTCCTCGGCGAGGGGCTTGCAATTGACCCACCACTGAGGTTTCAGTATTGGTTCGATGATATCTCCGGATTTACTGGTGAAGCAATGTAAGGACTGAGTAGAGATGGTGGCAAATTGAGAACATACAGGCACAAAGGGATTTGCATAGGGTTGTCCTTCGTCTCGATAAACAGGCCAGCTTCTTTCAGCGCCTTGACCACCGCCACTCTCGCGTGGAATCGTTTCATGCCCTACAAATGATCATAAGACTTCAGCGCAGTCAAACAACAAACTGATCAAATCCCGGACCTGGAATTTCTCTCCAGTGTTTGCGTTGAAGGTTCCATCGTCGTTCATGATGTTGATGAACTCGAGTTTGTGGCGCATGCCGACTTCGTAGTCGTTGGGATCATGAGCTGGGGTGATTTTTACAGCACCCGTTCCGAACTCCATGTCGACGGCTATGTCATCAGTGACGATGGGGATACGTCGGTCGACGAAAGGATGCAAGGCGAATTTTCCATGTAGATGCTGATGGTAGACAGTGCGGTCAGAAACGATGGTACACGACCGCGTTGAGAGCACTGACCTTGTAGCGCGAGTCATCGGGGTGAACAGCGATAGCAGTGTCACCGAGCATCGTTTCTGGACGCGTGGTTGCTACTATGATCTTCTCATCTGAATATGCCTGAAGTCAGCGACCGTTTTCCGAATCCGGGTTCCTACGTCCATACGCACCAGAGCCCTCTATAGGGTAGGCGAACGATGTGATCACACCAAACTCGAACTTTTCTTTCACGTCGTATCCGGGGACGTTGAGCAGAGTCCTCCCGGTGAGTTGTTTTTGATCAACCTGAGTCCCAGTCAATCAGCCTTGCTCAGCTTCTCATCATGAGGAACAATCATCCGACCGACCTCAAGATTTGACAACGTGGTGTTCATTTGCACACACCAATTCACGAGACGGTTACCGCGATAGATGGTTCCATCTTCGTGAAGACGGCAGAAGGTCTCTATGACCGCTTTTGATAGTTGCTGGGTTGGGCCACTCGTTAGCGTTGTAAGGAGAATAGCGTCTTCCATCTGGCTTACGCACCGGGTCCATGGTAAACGCCACTCTCGACCAATCGTAACTACCACCCAGACGGCGAAGCTGGTTCGTTATGCGACCTTGGTAGCTGAATGGGGAGAACGTCCAGATCAATCACCAGATAGACCGATGTGATCGTCACGACGTACTCATTTTTCCAATCCATCACGGTCTCAACAAACTTTGGGCGGCCAAGGTCGTGTCTTGTCTTGCCCGCGGTCTTCCACAGCCGCTTCTCGACAACAGATTGTGTTGATATCCCAGCGTGGTCAAATCCTGGTACAAATAGGACAGTCTTGCCCAGCATGCGATTCCTGGGAAGGGCGAACGTCAACTCGGGTTTCTCGTCATCCAACGGCTCGAACGTGATGGGTGAATCGATGTGATAAAGTAACAAGGGAATGGGTCGAAGGGTGGGACGTAGATGAGAAACGCGTTCGATGTTTGCGATACGTTGGAAGACGAAGGGTGTGAATGTATTTGAAGATGTACCAGATGGGCCACAAACGCTTGAATGGGACTCACCAACGTATCAATGAATCTTGAATAGCAGTCGCCAACGCGTGGCCAATGTGGAGACTTCCTGTGACATTCGGTGGAGGGGAAGGGATCACAAACAAGCCCTCTTCTTTTGGCTGGCCATCGGGCTTCAGAGCAGGCTTGAAGAAGCCCTCTTCAAGCCACCAGTCATACCATGCAGACTCTACGGCGATGGGATTATAACCCGCAGACATAGGCTGAGTGGTGTCTACATAAAGACAGGGGTAAAACAACGCTATTAACATCAGGACGACACAGGATAGGAAAATGGACGCACCTTTCTTCGAACCCTTGGGCGTAGTGTTGACATAGGGAGGCTCCTCTTCCTTCTTCTCTCTTTCAGCCTTGGCCTTCTTCTCTCCGGTAGCAGTGTTAGCGGTGACTTTAGATGCCTTTGCAGCGAGCTTTGCTTCTTTCTCCAAGCGCTTGGCCTCCTTTTTTGCTAGATTCGCGATCGAATTATCAGTCCGGGAGCAAGGGGGCCACAGCAGAGCTCAACAAACCTGCGCTTTTGTTAGGAACGGGAGTTGCAGCCCCCGAGTCTGGAGGGGTGGGTTGGGACGACATTGATCTGGAGCAGGCGATATAGTGATATCTACTTGACCGGAGAAGAGATCGATGTGGCGAGGACAGAACTCTCAACATTCCGGTCGACCTGATTTTACTTTAGAGTCCTAAAGAGTGACTCCGCTCGACTCCGCTCATTCCTTGACCATCTTATCTTATCTCCCCGGATCTCACGATCGACAGTATACGGGTTGCACAGGGCTGCAACCTGCTGCAACTTAGACTACAAAGGCCTTGAACCATATTTATTGCGCAAATTTTGAGTATTCCGACGTCAGTGAGCAAGACGATTTTCGTTACCCAAAACGCGTATTATGTGACCGTCACCACTACGCTGTGGACCTCGGCCAAAGTATATCGCGGTGAGAGCCTCGGTAGAATAACGAATAAACCTTCACTGGCACGCAGCTATGACGAAGTGAAGACGGGATGAGCACTTCATCTAGATAGGCGATGATTCTGTTGAACGGTGGTTGAGACGACATGATCCACTTTATGATCCAGGATTCAGAGTCGAGAGTTTTCTTGGTGAGTCCGGGCACGAACACTATCGAATATACGAGAAGAATATTATGATGGATAGCACCAACACATCTTCCACCACTGTACAGCTCCACCTCTCGAAATTTCCAGTAAAGTATATAGAGATGACTTTATGTATGCTCTAGACCTTGTACCGCCGCCCTGTCTTGGTGAAGAAGGTTTGCAGCACGTAGACCTGGAAACTAAGCAGGGAGATCAGTCGAGTGGACGGAATGTATAAGAAATCATACGTACATTGCCATGCCGATAACGCAAGCGGTCTGCCAGATGGCATACCAGAATAGACGACTGGACAACGGGGCAAAGAAGTATGGGAGAATCATCAGAACTGTCATGTCGTGTGAGGCTACTAAGAAACATACCTTTGAGTAGACTTAACGGTGGAAAACCCTCGGTTCTCGCGGGTGTGGAAGCTAAACAAACGTAGTTCGTCAGTCATACAGACATGACCGGCACCACCAAATATTCCGCAGGCATGTACACAATGATAACTCACTATTTCTGCGTCCTCTTTATGTTCATCAACATTCCGTTCAGTCTGTACACGCTCTCCTCCAATGGCGTTGTATGTTCGCTGATCTGACCCGGCTTCGCAGGGGCCTCCCGTCTGGGTTCGCTCTCGACCATGATGTCAAAGTCGACGAGCTTGTCGGTAAGGGTCGACATGTCGTTCTCAAAGCAAAACGCGTATTCCCCGACGGTGTTCGCGGTGAGGACGTAGTCACCTTGTCGCTCAGAGACGCCGTCAAGGAGGATCTTTTCGTTTGGATCTTTGACATCGAAGGAGATATCGAAGGAGCCTCCGCTTTGCACCTAGACAGCAGGATACTAAGGTTAGACGGGTATGTTGGCACATGTGACGCAGGCTGTTTCAAGAGTACGACGAAAACGCACAGCAAAATAGAACTAGACGAGAGCCATCATCAGAAGAGCAGCATGAGAGGAAGGAATCATTGGGAAACGCACGCCGATCTTTTCCCCAGCTTTATCCACGTCCGCGTAGAAGCATAGGCGTTCGTTAGGAGAGATGGCGGTCGTCAGTGCTGACCCATGTACTCTTGTTGTGAGGAATAAAAGGAAGAAAGAGAGGAGAGGGAGAGGGAGCAGCCAGGCCATGGTCGAGCAGGTATGTGGTTCGCCGAGAGTGGCAGTCGTGGCGTGACGCGCCGCAAACGTATCCGCATCCGTGGAAAGGAAATGTATCGCCACAAACAACGCGTCCACATCGCGTCGTCCTCTCACCCCGGCGACGACGACGACGACGTCCACATTGTTTTCATCCGTCACCGATTTCGTCCAAGCAGACATGGGCTCTCAGAGCTCTCCAGGCGATCTCGATTGGTCGCCGTCTAAACGTGAAGAACACGACTTTTCGTGGCTCTCTCCTGAGCAAGGGCTGACCGCTCATGTTTTCGATGCGCATACATCGACCTATGCTCCGTCTGATGCCCTCCTGCATGCTCGCTCTAGCCATACTCACGATGCACCCTCACTCTTGCACATTAGCTCTCCTTCCCGCTCGAACTCTGCATCCACCTTCGGACACTCACAATCGGACACTCATCTCTCGTTTTCTCAAAGCCAACGAACCTCCTCTCTCTCTTTTGACTCTCCGGATGGGAAATACGGACCGTCGTCGCTCACTTTCTTTGATTCTCCTATCTCTTCATCTCGCATTCCTCAATTGGTCCACTCGAGTCACTCCCCATCTGTGGACGATCCCGCTCCTTTTCCACCTCTCGACTTGTCCCCTCCATCTCACGTAATCTCCTCTTCCAGTGCTCTGATCTCATACTCGCAATCTCCCATTCTTGCAACCCCAAATCCGCTGCTTGCTCTGGACTTTTCCGCTACTCCGCCTTCCCAGAACCCTTTCTCGTTCTCGCTTAGTCCCAATGGTGTCTCCCCCGTCGAGCACCATCGAAGCTCCCCTCAATGTCCATCCCGCCCATCTTCTCCACCGAACCCTCATCGACGCAAGTTTACCTCCAAAAAACGAAAAGCTGGTCCCTCACCTCTCGTCGCCGGTGAAAGTGTATTACATCCTAGGTCGGACAAACGCGCTCGTGTTTTCCAACGCACCACAAACTACAACCATGCTGTTGATGCCGAAGACGGGATAAATGGGCGCATAGATGCACCCCCACCATCATCTTTGATGCAGCAGCTCCTTCAGGCTCGCCCGCACCGGCACGCCATACTTCATCGCTCAGCTCTCGCCTCTGAACACAACGTCCTGGATCCTAGCTCGGATGACGCCCCCTCTCCACCCTCCTTTGTATCGGCTCTTCGCTCGTCATCACCCATTCTGGCAGATGACTCCTCAGATGTCGGGCGTACCTCACCTCCACCATTGCCTTCTATGGATGCAGAACTGGCAATGGAGACGGACTGCAATCCACTTTCCTCGGGCTCTTCAGACGAACTACAAGAAGACAGGTCGCTTCTCAGTTCCCCGGTTCATCTCAGCTCTGAGAGTGCGCATATATCCGTCTCCCCCAAACTAGCCTCCCTGAATCCCAGTCCTCAGGCTCCGCCACCTGCGCCTACCCGCCTGCTCGCCCTCAGCTTATCGCCACTCTCCTCACTCTCCTCTTGCTCATCGCGCTGTCCTTCTGCGACTCCGAACAGGGGTGGTCCGACCTCAAACAGCCTTGGGTTGGATCCCGAGGACGATACCTTGTCTTCTTGCTCATCTGCGCGTCCACTGGCCGAGCTTCTCCGGTCCAAGGGTCAGCTGCCGGCGTCCATCCGCCGAAAGTTGAATTCGGAGTCAGTGTCACCAAGCAGTAACACCCTTAAGGTGCGTATATGGTGTCTGATTTGTAAATAGACTACTAATTCTGGTTCGTAACTTCGTCAGGCAATGGGGAGGTATACACGAAGCAGCCGCAATTGCAACTCAGCCGATGCATATACTACTACTCCCTCGCCTCAATCAAGTCGTGACGGCAGTCCGGTCTCTGACACAAGCTCTCCAGTCGACTCGCAGGATGACATAGCCACAGCAGATATACAACAACGCACGTTTCCTGCAGACCTTCCCCGCAATGCGAAATATCTCAGGTTCTACCGACGCTTCCCCATGTCTTCGTACTTCTCGGCAGAGGAAGATGACAAGCCGTATGTTCTCGCATTGTTCATGCACTTAGGCATTTGCCCTGACTTCTTTCGTCATACTGCAGACCCTCTCTTCCGCGCGCACAGGGAGCTATGTGGAATACTCCGCGCCACCCATCCGATCTGTATACGCCTCGTTTTGTCCGCGGCCGCGGCAAGGACAAAGTAGGGTTATGTCCCATCTGCTGCGAAAGCGTTCAGCGGGGTGGCGAGGGCAAGAAAGTGTGGTTAGCGATGAAGGTCAGCGCCTTTAAGTGGTGAGTTATTTGTTTCCTAGCCCCTCCGCATAGGCATTTATTAACAAAAACACCTCTTGGCAGAGTACACAGAGTCTTTACCCTCGTGAAGCATACTGATCGGTTTGGCGTGTTTGCTTGCAGCTACCACATGCAGTACTATCATGGTACGCAGTACTGCTCCGCGTTGCCTCAATGTTTTCAAGTTCATGACCTTCAATTCTCTGCTCGTCGTCGTGTGCAGGTATCTCCTCAGCTTCTACTCAGCCGTTTTCTCCTCCGCTCGCGTTCCGCGTCGTGGCCCGTGTGGCGGCCAAAAACGAAAAGTCTGAGATCGAAGAGGGGAAATGCCACAAATGCAAGAAGTGGATACCGCTTGAAAGCATCAGAGACACAGAGCTCAAGGTTGGTCCAGTCTCAACCTTCTGCAACCCTCACCTTGTCTAAATGAACATTGCGATCAGGTCAAGGAACTATTCTGGTAAATGATTCAGGGAATTGCTGTCATAGTCTCTGTTACCATTCTTAACGATTGGCTTCAATGTAGGTGGAAACACGCTGCGACATGCCACCGCGAATCCCGTCTTGAGGGCGAACGCGACATATTCCTAGAGGACGACGTCTGGAAGAAGCTCCGTAATATCTAATCCGTTGTAACCGCCAACCAAACGGCCGTTTTCTGATCATTTCCCTGTTGGTCAACTAATCTCATACTTACCCCCTCTGCTCACGTACCCCAAAACATGCTTTCGCTCACATCTGACCGCTGTTCACGAACCCTTGGGACTTTGTCCGTATCGCTTTGTATCGCTGTTTCTCTCATACTTACTTGCTGTATCTTAATCTGTACTCGTCGTCTACTGTATCTCTTGGAACCCCGTGCTCAGTTCGACTTCCCCTCGTATCGTGCTTCTTACTGTATTGCTCGCTGTGCTCCTGTCGTGTCGTATTTGACTGCTTCCTAGTACGGCTCCTCGCATAAGTGACTCCTTGACTCGCTGTCCTGTCTTTCGACTTCTAACTCGCGTAGGCGCTGCTGCCTGTACTGACTCGCTCTCCCTGCTCCTGCATTTATTTGATGGCCATCCGCATACGTAGTCCGATTCCCTGCATGCATAAATCCTTCATATCATTTGACCCGTTGACCTCTCGTCTGTATTTGCCGCAGAGTATTTCATAGTCGTAACTTGCTGTATCTTCATGCATATATTGCCATGTTCTTGTTCGTGAAGGCTGAGAAAGGTCGGAAAACGGACCACGGACAATACACGAACGCCTATCCCAGTTCTTCGCCATAGCTAAAGAGTATTCCAGTCAAATGTATACGGCAGTGAGCAAAATGGCCCCACTGGGACAGCTGTGCGGTATTCAAGTCCATTGTTGGCATGCCATTCGATTCAGTGCATTTGCATTTATAGATGGCATAAGTGAAGACAAGCAACGCGATAACAACCTTCGGAGGTACAAGAAGACACATGAAAGTGGTGGTGCAGTACAGGATGACCCGCGACAGCAAGCCGGTTTACCTATATAGGCTTGATCTTGAAGTGAAGAGAAATGAGGGAGAAAATGAGGCACTATTTGTGGCAAACATAGCCAAAGAGTGATATGTGTAAATGCTGAGTGTCAGTGGCCGAAGAAAAAGACAGTAAGAGGGGGATGGGAGGAGACGCACGCGAAGGTCCTGCACCAGGTAGTAGAACACGCGAAGACCCTCTGGGTCCTCACTGTCCTGGATGTCCGCCAAGGAACCTATTTTTGCCGTCTATGGAAGATGTCAAGACTCGTCAAGATGTGCTCTTTATGAAACAAGACACAGTCTGGGAAAAAGAAGAAGAACCGACCTCGAACGCGATGTGGTCATTTCCTACGCGAATCTCGAGCTCCTGTTTTCCTACAATGCTCTTCTTCGGCCAGTTTGTGTCATCCTCCCTAAGTGCACATGCAGTGCTCTGGGTCAGAATCCCGATGCGCACAAAACAAAAAACACAACTCACTTCGTGATCTCGCTCGACTCAACGATCCTCTTGAGCTCCTGAACCACGAGTGGCCCGACCCACACTAAGAAATCGCACGTGAACGTTGACAGAAAAGGTTCCGGGGGAGCAGAGTGAACAGGCGTGGTACGAGGGATACGATACGGTTAGAAAAGCGGCGCAAGCAAGGTATGGCCATCTATACGCACTTTCTTTGCGGATCAACGAATCATTCCTATAGTTGGAGTTGTTCGCATATCGCAGACGTCCATGCGAGTACTCAAACTCAAGGAACTCGTGTCCATGTTTTCCAGAGTGGCCGGTGCTGCACAGAAACGAGGAGATCAGACTGTTGACCTCACAGGGCAAGGGGTCGGGCAATCAGAGTATAGATGACACGTACTAGTACCTATGAGAGCGCGGTCAGTCTTGCGAAAGTTTCGAGAGGAGATGTGGATGTACCGAAGGTAAAATGGATCTTTGTCGTAGGAGGTCATGGTGTCGTGGTGGTCGGTGAAGAAGATGTTGAGCGCGTGGGGTCTGGACGCGGACGCGTCGGTATCCGGAACTTGCCGGTGATCTTGCTCGAAGGTTCAACGAGACCTCATTTATAGAACGTTTTGCTTTTTTTGTGGTATATACACATTCAACGATTTCATGACCTCAGGCAGTGGGAGAGAAGAATTAATTTCCCGGTAGATGTATATGCAATGTCGAGAGCACTTTCAACTAGGGAGCCGGTGGCGCATTCTCGACGACCTTCATCTCCTCCGCAATGATCTTTTGACTCAATGCTTTTACCTGCTCGCCACTCGTCTTCGTCTTCTTATTCAACCTGCCCAGGACTCGTTTGATCTGCATCTCCCCAACTCCAACAGGCACCCTATGCCACCGAACGACCCTTATCCCAATACCTCCCTGCGCGTGCCTCTCGATATACTTGATCCATCTATCCACGACTGCTGGATCCGCATCATATGCTTTGATGCAGCGACTGTGGACTATCCTCTGGAAGTTCTCCTGTGACTTCTTGAAGACGAATGGAGCCTTGATGACGGTCCAGAGGCTTTTGCGATTGGGCAAGGTGGCTGTACCGGAGACTGGAATGCCAAGCGAGGCAGCGGCATGTTCAATGAAGTGGCAAAAGAAGGGAAAGAGAGAAGGACTGTAGGAGCGAAGATGAATCATGGCGACGGGAACCCCATAGTTGATGGGGTGGCGGAAAGCAGCGAGCGAGCTGCGACCGTGGACGATTTGGGAGTGCCAGAACTGCTCCTCGGGATCTGCGACGACGCGACGAAGTGGTTTGAGAGCTTGAGCCTTGGGTTTTGATGGGGTAATAGCTTTAGTCCTAGGCCTACATGGTGAGGGTTATTGACAGTACAAAAGCGGCTGCGAAAGGGTACATACGTGCGAGGTACCAATGGTATGGGTTCTTGAGATTCTGCAGGCGATGTGACAACAGGTCTGGGTAAGGCAGTCAGGACATTAATACAGTTATTGATAATGAAAGAGACGTACGCCTCGGGTTGGGATGATGAAGCTGCAGCACCTTCTGTGACCGAAGCAGCCACAGGCTCATTAGACACGATATCTGCTGGCTTGTGCAAGATCTCAGCGGGGGCGACAGCAGAGGGGTCCACTAGAGGAAGATCCGCTGTATCTTTCGCGGGGGTCAAGCTGGGGTGAGAGGGTGAAGTCGCTCGAGCAGGGACAGACTCCTCCTCGATGGGACTCGTGGTGGAGAGCGGGTCAGTGGGTGCAATATGGGTGGAAGTATCTACGGCCGGAGGCACAGTAGCGAGCTTAGGCTTTGAGGATGCGGCGGGTGATGTTGCCGTGGAGAGGAGAGACTCTGGAGGGGAAGAATTGCGGGAATCGTCTCGGACAGTTCTGAAAACAAAAAGTATGTTTTAGACGAGTGATTGTTCGGGAAGTGACGGAGACATACGGCGTCCGAGCCAGGCCTCGCTTTTGTTGTCCCCAAGTAGATAGCACGGGTATACCATGGTGGGTTTTGCGGACAAGGGAGCGGCGAGCGACGTTGGCCAGCATCGCGTACACTGTGCAGAACAACGAGCACGAAGAGCAGACAGCGTTCTCGACAAATTCGAGACACGTGATGTTCCGCGTCGCGTCTCAATCGCGTCCGCCACTCGCCACCCTTGCTTTCCTCTCAACCTCCTCCATGCCTCCCGCAGGCCATTCAGAGGCCGACATTGTCAGTCTCTACGACCAATCACAGAAGAGGCTTGTGCAGTCCGGAGAATGGGACAAGTTCGTACCCTTTGATTTACTCAAGATTCAAGTAGTGCACGCAAGGCTCAGCCCGCTCACGTTTGTTACTCACTCACAATGTAGAATCAGCCTTCTTCTCAAATATAAATTGAATGAAGACGGCTGGTTGGATAATGTTCGAGGGCATGCAAAAGGTACGCCTTATCTCGGTGCTTGAAGGATGTAGTTCTTTACTTGTGCTACCTGAAGAGCACGCAAGGATAATGGAGCCTCTGTCATTGCGAGGTCTGGTACAGAATATTGGGCCCGGTGCATCGCGTTAGTTCTCCCTTGCATATGCTACCCTATATCACTCACTCTGGACCTTACTCCGCCCAGACTCTGTTCCTGACTCCGTACGCGCCCATATCATGGCCGTTATTCGACAATTCCTCGAGCAACAACTTGTTGAGTGAAAGCATGGTTGGGTGAGGTACGATTGTATTTTGGTTGAACATAAATTGACCTTTGTTTTGTGATACATCTATGGTACGCCCCAGGTCTTCTGAATTTGTCGCGTCTGGGATCAGTCGCTTCCAGACTTTTTCTCTAATGGACTGCTCGTGCAACATATACATCCGCAAACGTATCACATCGCCTTAAGCAAGCCCTAGTCACTCTCTGACACGTTAGAAGAATGCAGCTCTTGACCGTCTATCGAAAACAGTACAAGCACTAGTCTACAGAATCCATCACATGGACAGCGCCATATCAGCATTCAGCCATAACAGCCACTCCGGCGCTGCCGATTTCTGCCTCGAACATCCTCGACAGATTCGGCGCCGGCTTCCTACGTGACCTCCTACTTCCGCCTCTGGCAGCTAAGCAGTCCTCCGCCATTGTTGAGATTTGAATTGCCAGTTTTACGCGGTTCTCCCTCAGCCTATTCTCCTTCTTCACCGACCTAGCCCTCTCTGCTTCCTTCCTAGCCACCTCCGTCGCTGCATGATGCTTTTGAACACACATATTAGCAGCGGCGAGCTTTCTCAGCTTGATAGAACCATTCTTCGCACGACGCCTGACGTGAGCGGCCTCCGCTTGAGCAATCGGCGTCGTGGACTTGTTACGGATCGGCGTGATGATGAACTCGACTTCGACCTCACCTCCTTCTCCCACTCCCACCTGCTTTCCATTTCCCCTATTTCCCTCCGGGGACCACACAGCCGCTGGACAGAGTGGCTGCCTCGGCTTCGCAGCCAAGTTCTTCAGATCCTGCAATAGCGTGGGCCTATTCTTCATCCTCTCCTTCTCCTTGGCTTCAGCCCCCAATCGTTGTTGAACGCGTCGAGCCATCGCCGCTCGATGTCGAGCCGTACAGGAGTTCAACGCCGCCAGCTTCCAGAGTTTCTTCGACCCCTCGGTGACGCGAAAGTGAGAGCTACGCGTATACGTGACTGCGCGCGACGGAAAAGACGTGATCAAGGCTGGATCCACGGGCACTTCTACGTCTAGAACGGGAGTGGTGGTGTTGGTGGTGGTGATGGGGGCAGGGACAGCGACGTAGATAATCGAGGTATCGACGCTTGAATGAAGTCTTGGTGGTGGAATAGTAAAGACAGTGGTGGCGGTGGCGGTAGGCTTCCTTGGAGCGAGTTCCTGCTCGTCCGACAGTAGCGAAGGCGGGTCAGAGAGGTCACCCGAAGGGCGCAGGGCTGGAAGCGGGGATTTAGACCATGCAATGATGCCAAGCTGCTCGGAGAGCACAGAAGTCAATCCAGGTGGCGTAAGGGGGTAGGCTTGCATCGGGATTTGCGAAGAATAGGAAGAAGTGAGAAGGTGAGTTTCTGGAGGTAGAGAGGGGAACTTGATGAATAAGACTAAGAAGTGTGAAGTGGACGGAGGGTTATGGGAAAAGTTTAACGGGTTAAAGGTCCCCGCAATAATTCAGGCTGCCGGGCGTTGAAGGTGTTCAGGGGTGCCCACTCGACGGAATGACTCAGTAAGGCAGTCAAGATCGTGAGCGAGTTGACGCGGGCGTCTCAGTCGAATCTTGGCGCAATACGTCCAGCCACTTTGTTACCGCGCAAAGCATCCAATCAAGGGTACAGGAGCGCAACGTAGGAATTGAACAAGTTCATGTCACGGTTAATCCATGTTTCACAAGAGAAAGCAACGATTTTTCTTCCGTCCTTTTCTGGCATTGAGGTGAGACAAATATCAGCTTGAGGTCTGCGATTATCGGCGAGACACTGTGGATCGCTCTGGATCAACAAGTGGACACTCTGCTTCATGAGGATTCAGAACCTTCACGCATGGCCCACACTATGTAGAAAGAAATAAGATTCACTGTAAACACCGGAGAAGTTGATACTGACCCTATCTCCCAGCTCAAAGTCGGCGCAACACACTCCGCCGACGGGTTGACGGGTTGAACGGGTGGGAAACAAGCATCCGCTGCAGCAGAACCGTTATTGCCCTGCGCAATAATGCCAAAGACACAGGAGCATTTATCAGAACCTGAGTTCTGGAGTAAGAGGGGAGGCCTACCAGGTCCTGCCAGCAGAATTCCAAGGGAACGGTGTTCAAGTTCTCGAAGAAGAAGCGACAAGTACCGAAAGTCAGCTGTTGGATGTGGCCAGGCTGGACTATAGACGTAGGAGCTGTTGCGAAAGCCAACTCAGCCTGGGCCAGAATGAAGGGGTAAGTTTGCCTAAAACACTCACAGGAGTTGCCTTCAAAGATCTGAATAGCTTCCTTGACGACCTGACAGTCGTTCATGGTAGGAGGAAGTTGGCCGGACTGTGTGCAGAGCGTATTGCCTAGTATCATTCCAGTCATTGGACATGTATTTGCGTACTGCAGCTCGTACTCACAAACGGTGCCACAGACGTTGATAGCGTTGGTAGGAGTTGAGCTTGCGGTCGCTGTCGCAGTTACCGTCACCGTGTCAGTAAGAGTAGCGGTCGACTTCGGCGCTATGGGAGTGAATGGCCAGCCGGGGGGAAAGAATATATCAACCATGTCAGCCGTGACATCGCTGCATGCCAGGTCGACTAGCATGACCGTGTGCGCTCCCACGGTGATGCTCTGGTTTGCGACGGCGGGACACGCAGGAGAGGTGGACGTATCAGTGCGAACGTAGAGGGAGAGCACTGGGGCACTCAAAGAGGCCACGACAGTGAGGAAAGTGGATAAGAGCATGGTGGGGATACTGCAGATGAAATGTGGCGAAGAGAAGTAAGGACTTGGATGAGCAGATGCCTGCTTGTCCCGCCCGATAATGCAGGGGCTTTATAGGCCCCAAGCTGGGGAGTGGCAATTTCGAAACTAAGAATGAAACCGTAGGTTGAGTGGCCTTTCGAGATTCACTCCGACCAATGGTCTGACCATCCGGTCTCATGGAGAAGAGACGGCCTGAGTGTACAGGTCAACAGCGTTCGACATAGTGTGTGCTACAAGGCCAGGGGAAGTGACCTGCGTGAAGGGCGGTGAGACTGACAATCCAGACCTTGCTTTGGGAGAAGTCATGGAGGTACAGCGGGCCCTCAGAGACGAAACACTTGTTCATGTTGGATGAGAGTTTATGTCTGTGTAAGAGGCATAAATGTATCAGGCACATATAGCGCCTGTTATGATGTTCGGGGATGCAGTCGCTTTCAACGCGCCTCTTTCTGTGTCTCCCCAAATAGGTGGGGAAACACAACCAATATATTGCGGTGAAAAAGAGGTGGCCCCTGTGGATCCGCATTAAAATGAGGTACGAGACACTCAGGCAGTGCGAACTGCGACGACATTCCATCATAGCCGATAATCTGCACCCACAATCCGCGGAGAGCTGGCATGTCCGATATCCCCACCTTATTTCAGAAGCTTGTAGACCATTTCTGCGAAAAGAATGCAAAAAGGCTGGGAGAACTCACATATATTTTCCGCTCACGACCAATAGATGGCAATGCCCTGGAACATGCAGAATAAGAAGTCATCTGCTATAATATCAGGAGGTGACGATAACTCACATGAGTTGATGTTGGTTTTGCAACGGTGGCAGTCTGGAAGGTAACTGAGCTTGTTTTCAAGAGCCAACTTGAAGCTTCTCACCCAACAGCGAAATCGAGATCCTTGTAAGACCTTTCAGCAGAAATTATAGCACTGCCTTCTGAGTATCGCCGCAAACTGCAGACTGGCATGAACCCTCTCGAGCATCACCACGCAAGAAGCTAGGCCCAAACCAAGCACAATTCCTGCCCACGTTAGAATACACGGGCTGCAGAGTGCCCGTCATAGATGTGGATGTTGCATGGCATATTCATGGAATTGACATAGGCAGATGCATGCATGCGAAAAGCGTGAAGACAGGACGAAACCTCAAGTACACCGCCACCCTCCAATCCAAACCTCCCCACGAGACATAAACGCACAGAAATGAAGAGCGCTCATGCCTTCGCAGAGGCCTTCACCGACTTCCTGACGCTGTCTCTCCTCTGCTTCTTCAGCACCATGACGTTGAACCTCTCGAAGTCGCTCAATGCCCTCCTCGACTGGACTGCGGCCAACTTCTTCGCCCATGCCGACGAATCCCATTTTGAGACGGTCTCCTGCTTCTCGAGGAACTTTTTGATGACACCTGAACCAGCAGCGCGGGGGAGGCCCTTGACGAGGAGAGGAGTGAGGGTGAGGTATTTGTAGGGGAAGGACTGGCGGGGAACTGAGGTGGTAGGGCCGTCAATGATTGCCTGAGCGAGCAAAAGTCAGCAACACGGTACATTGAGTCATAGCGATGGATCTATGTCTCCCATACCCGGTTGTGGTCAATGATTTCGGAAATCACTGCGATGTGGCCGGCGGAAGGACCGCTCTTGACGAGCACGACTAGAGCGCGAACGGACTCAAGGTTACTGCACCATAAGAAACCGTAGACACTAACATGTACATACCACGGCCGACCTCAACGAAACGGGTAAAGTTGGAGTTTTCCTATAATGTTGTTCCAGAAGCAGTCAGCATGGCGAACGATGGACTCAACCTGCAAAAACCAAGGCTGCAAAGCGGACCCAGCCAGCGTCATCCATCCGACCATCCAACCATCCATACTCTCATCTCTCTCCCTAACTTTCGCTCTTTCTTCAAACCATGCCCAGCAGCCTCGGGAGCGAGAGACGTACTCACAGACATCGGGAATATTCTTGAGGGGGTGGGTTCGTCGTCGGCGTCGATGAGGACAGTCAAGCAATAGACTTGCGCCAAGATTCCGCGGCTTCTCGGCCGGAGTTTGCCGGCCACAAGACGAACGGCAATTCTCTTCCGGAAGAATTGTGCTAAGCAATATTCAGTCTCAAGCACCACATTAAAACGGCAAAGGCACACAAGATGGACAGGCCAACGCCCGATACTTGTATTGAACAGAGCAGAAACTATGTAAAGATATAAAAAGTACAAAGCAGGTCAAGTATATACAAATTCACAAGAACAGACCCTGAAAGATGAAGTCGAGGGAGGATAAGAAGGGAAAGAGGACGAAAGGGAAGAAAAGAATGGGAATGAATCGAATGCAGATGGTGGTGGTTGGGGTGAGACGTTCCGTTCGTGAGAGTAGAAAGGTTGAATGAAGAAAGTACGAGTCCGTGATGAGTCTGCAATTGGGCTAAAAAGAAGTGGGTGCATTGAGAAGGGAGTTTGCAGGGAGAGGTGCTCTGTCAATTGTAGTGGCACTCTTCCCGGTGAGAAGATACTGTAGAACTGAATCAGAAGCAAAAGAGCGTGATACATAAATAAGAGAGACAAGATGGGGGAAAAGTGAACGGAGTGATTGCGTCGACGCATGGATGTATTTGCACAGTGACACGAAGAAGGATAATGGACGGTGTGAAAAGGGAGAGAGGGGATGGCAGTAGATATGCATGCACTGTTCAAGATGTTTGGTGAAATGCGAGAGAATGCCAGAAACGAGTGGAGGGAAACTTGAAAGGCAACGACGACGAGACGCTCTGGATAGGAAGCGCCTCCGAAAAACTCCACTTATAGAAGGTACAAAAGGTGAAGGTACAAAGGTCTACAAAGTATGAATATTGACATTAGTCGTTGCCACGGGGGAAAGGCAGAAGCAAACACATACCTGTTGATTAAATGCTACCAGCCCTTCGGCATAGCTAGTTCCAAGCGGCAAGCATCCCAGAAATGCACAACTAGCTAACGCAGGGCCACAATATGAATACCGCCATCGAACCGAATGGTCAATCGAATCCGAAACCAGAACCCTCAGGGTCAATGGTTGAGATAGAATATAGTGAGGCTGCGTCAGGCGATAATGAAGAATAATATGGGCGGCAAGGTAGTAGAAGCAGTCTTCGAACGGTGGACAGCTCTGGGTGGGGCGGGCTTCCGTTCGCTTTGTGTGGCAATCACGTCACCATACTGGTTCGACTCACTATAATACACATTAAGCCGATGCTCGTTACAAACAAAGAAAACACAGGAGACAGCGACTCACGTCAAGCATCCTCCAACGTCAAGCCTACAAGCGCACATAGCATCCTCGCTACCCCCTCCCCGCACGACTCATCATGAAGTCGCCCACAATGCTTCGGCCCTCTTCTTGCAAGCCGCGCACGTCCTTCCTCTCCGCTCTCCCTTCCTGCCCACCATCCAATCGAATCCTCTCCATTCCTGCGACACGTCTGAGCCCGCGAGCTCCAATTCTGGATACACGACGCCCATTCTGTCCCCCAAATCGTGGAACATCCGCCTTAAAGCCGTATAATCCGGCGTATCCCCAAACTGGAGCCCGCGGGCATACTCGTGGAGGGTCTTGAACTCTCTAGGAAGCCCATGAACCAACGTGCCCGCACTTTCGCATTGGAGCTTCGCGTCCCTGATGAGATCCCAGGTTCCCGACACGGTCGTGCTCTTCAGTTTCCTCCACGGTAATGTGCCCCGAAGGAAGTAGATGAGCATGTAGGATAGGGACTCGAGGTCATCTCGTGGTGAGCATTCGATACCCTGATGTGTGTTTATGGATGCGAAAAGAGATGTGCCGACGCCGTGATGCTCGTCTTGGTGGTATGGGATATGAGCGCCTGTTCGGTGATCACGGTATTTTTTGGCGAGGCCAAAGTCAATGACATTGACGAGATGGGAGGCTTGATGAGTGCCCATGACGAAATTTGCAGGCTTTATGTCGCGATGGACGAGCCCATTCGCGTGAATAAACTCAGTTCGGAGGAGCTGAAGATGGAGAAAACGTTGGTCAGCTAAAAATAATGACGGGATGACGGGGTCGCGACGTCAGAGGATTTCGCGCGGGACGGGATGATGAAACCAAAGGGCCATCGAGATCCGAAGCTAATCAAGTGGCCTTGACGAAACAAGGAGAGGGACAGCGGCCTGGAGCGTAACTGGATAGCCAGATCTCCCAAACGGGAAGTGGCAATACCGTATATGGAAGGTACGCGGGGTAGGACGACCGCGTAAATCGCGATAAATACGAGTACTCACAAGCTGATCGGCTAACAGTAAGACGGTCTTGAGGGAGAAGTGACGATTGCACATCTTGAAGAGGTCCTCGAGAGAAGGACCGAGGAGGTCGATGACCATGACGTTGTACTCTCCCTGTTTGCCCGAGTAGAGAATCCAGGGAACTCCTGGACCGCCCATGAGGCTCTTGTATATCTTTGATTCGTGTCTGAGAGGGCTGTGTTTCGCGATTGCAGGCTCAACCTTGATCGCGACCTCTTTGCCCGCGACGTTGTGGACGCCATAGAAAACGGTACCTGTGATGAGGGTGGCGGGGTGAGAACTTGGTGGGGCTCGAGAAGGGGAAAATGACGAACCACAACCACCAACGGCGAGTTCCTCTTCGAGTCTGTACTTTCCTCCAAAGGTAAAGTCCATGCTAGAGAAGGAAGATGAGGAGGAAGAGGAAGCATTAGAGGCACGTCTGCGAGGAGGCATGGCGGGGGTGAAAGACTGACTGTGTTGAGAGCAGGATGGGCTTGATATATGTGTTGAAAGCGCGGGTGCAGATGGCATCAACGGCTGCGTGCTGAGGCTACGGCGAGGACGAGGACACGGGCGAGGGGGCAGGCTAGCCGGAGCTCTGGGGGCAGACGAGGACGCAGAGGAGAAGCGAGGAAAGGAAAGGAAAGCAGGCCAATGCTTGAAACATTCAACTAATCTTACATAAGCACCGCGTGACATCACACTCTTTCATTTCTCTCCCCACACATCCCCTTTCAGCTCCCTCTCTTTCGTCCACCACAACGAGGCCTTCGCTCCTCACCTTCTGTCCTCGACCACCACCATCGTCAGCCGCAGCGAGCTCAGACCTGCTAGCCTCGCTTGTCCCGCAAGCTCGATCCCCGTTCGCTTTTTTCCCTTCGGAACTGACGGAGCGCACACGACACGCCTTGTCCTCGAGGCGTCTTATTTTCCGGCTCTCCCCTTGCCGAACGATGAACGTCCTTACGCCACCCATCTCCCATGGTCGTAGAATGTCCTAGTAATAGCTCCTTGCTTGTTGTCTTGCTCTTGGAACTCTGCCTATGGCCACTGATATCGATGATCGTGCATGTAATGACATGCCAAACGGATTATTTCAATGCCGATCCCGTTCTGCGCCCGCACAGAAGCATCCTCTCCGTTTCTTGTGACGCCTTGTGGCACCTTCAATACAAAGGATCGCCCGTGGCTTCCTCAGCTGAGTTGCAAGGGATGTCTCTCTTCATCTACTTAGCTTGGACCTCGCTCGGGCTTTCCTTGTCACTACCACGAGTCGTAGATCCAGTGGCTACGATCGGGCTCTGTAACTATGGGCTCGCCTATGCACCCATGGCATTTCTTCCTCTCGCCTTCCATGCACAGACCAACACACCCAAACGGCGATCGTTTATGTGGAGGCAATGCTGGTTTCGATCTGCCCCTCAACATCCGACGGTACAGCTCCTTTGAGCTACCTTAGCCGTCGTCCTTTGGTACTCCTCATTGAGATCAGCTCCTACGCCACACTCGTTTCGTGCTGCTTAGGTTCTCCAACGCTACTATGGCCTCTCGCAGCTTGGACGTCGTATACACGTTTAAGCGAGCTTTCTGCCTTGGAGCTAGCACCTCCTGCTCGAGCTTCCTCGTGCAGCACGCAACATGCTTCCACGGATCGCCTTCCCTCTAGGAGTCTTCATGATTTGCAATGCCATACACTACAGAAATGCATCAACACTCCCTCATGTTTATAAACTCTCGGAAGCGGATGTGACTGAGCGGGTCCCCTAATTGCCTGCCTGTATTTGTATCCCGAGTTGCTTGAACTCTCAACAAATGGCCGATCCTGATCCTGTACTGAGGCTCATGTTCCCCCTCTTGGCGCCACACCTCGCTCGTACCCAGACACGATCCCAGGAGGCGCATGTACCTACGTCCTGTGCATGCACCCTAGCTACGAGCGCGAGCGCGAGTCCAACAAACAATATAAAAAGCACCAGGGTTGTAAATTAGGGAAGCGCATAGTATCCACAACCACGAAAGTATGTACCCAACCATCGGAAACCGACAAGGAAAGGATAAACGACCGCAAACAATATCCAAGCAACTTTAAGTCAATGAGCGGGGAGGGGGTTTGGAGGTTCGCAAGATCGCAATACAGACGGAGCGAGCATACTCGAGACGAGAACAAGGAGACCAAGACCAAGAAATAATTATAGACAACGCAGTATATAGATGGTATGTACGTAAATAAGAGCACGGTATTGTACAGCCGTGACAAAGACGGCCATAGTGAAGAAATAATCCAAGGGGTAATATGGTCAACAGCAGAGAGATCGAGACAAATGTGAGAAGCACATATCAAGGGGGAGACGTAGAGAGACGTAAGGATCGTGAGATTTTGGAGAAGGCAAGGACAACAGACGCAACCCAAACAATAGAAAAAAGGAATAGAGCTGCAAACGGGGCGGTATAAATCAATCGAAAAAGACGTGATGTCCTACCGTACACTCATCCACAAAAAACGCGAACTAGAAGATTGAACATCGAGGATTACCGCCACAGAACCACGCTCCGTCTTTAAGTGTTCAGTGCGAGGCCTAATCGATACTGCCGGCAGCGCTCCCGCTCCTGCTACCTTCACCGCTCGCCCTCACACTGCGAGTCCCGTCCTCGAATGAGGTGTTCGGGAACGCGTCCTTCGGCTGCGAAACGACCTGCGCGCCAGTGAACGCCTTACCCTTACCCTTGTCCGGTTTCTCAGCAGGAAGATGGTCCCTACTACCCAACAGACGACGCCACTTCTGTTACAACACGACCGCCCGTCCAAGCGATTCATCATTAGCACCACATTTCCAGAGATAAACTCATGACAATCGGTTCAGCGCACCTTCTTGTCCTTCCCCTGTACCCCGTTGCTAGCCTCCATGTCGTCATCCCCCTCGACGATCGAAAACTCCTCCATCGCCTCCGCATCCTCTTCCCCGTCCCCAATATCCTCCACGAACTTCCCATTCGCAGTCCCACTCGCATTCGTCTTCTTCCTCGACAAACTCAATCCACCAAGCCCGAATCCAACACTGGTGCTCTTCCCCTTAATAGTCCCGGTCGCGGTATCATTGACAGCAGTACTCGAACCAGCGATGTCCCCGCCGATGTGCTCGTCCTCTCCGGTCTTCGACTTCTTGTTACGTAGGAGATTGCGCTCCGAAGGTGAGAAGAACGGATTGGCTTCATCGAGGCGGGAACGGAGAGAGCGGTTGGATCTCGTGCCAGTGGATTTTTTAGTGATGCGCCGAATGATAGGGGGCATCCATCCGCGCTGCACACAGAAAAGGAAACGTATAGCGCGTCAGTATTCGCAACGTAAAGCCAAAGTGCAAAAGCTATGGTATGGGTGAAGGCGAAGGTAAGGGGGTCTACCTTACGCAAGTTGTCTTCTTCCTCTTTCTTCTCAACAAGAAGTTGTGCTTCGGTCTTGGGAGGCGGGGGCGGGGGTAGCGGGGCTTCGGATTTGAGACCAATGGCGTACATGAGAGCGCCGAAACGGGAGGTAGACGGTGCGGGCGCAGGCGTAGGCTGCATTTAGATTTGGACTGAAGGTTAGCAAGTGGGGATACTGAAGGCAGGATGATGAGGGCAGGGACCGACGAACTGTGGCGCTGACGCCACAGCGTCAATCCTTGAGAAGCGCAGCACAACGCACCGGGAGGGACTCGTCATGCTCATCGTCGTCGTCATCATCGTCCACTGGCCCAGGCGTCTGCCCACCCCTGCTCCCCGAGGTACTCGCCATCCTACTCACTGCCCTCCTCTTTTCCTTGATCCACTCCTTGGTCTGTCCTGCTGACCTCCCCACCTTCCCCATCCCGGCTCCCATCGATCCTGTAAAGCCACTCCTGATACTCAGAGTATCCTCCCTGTCATTTCCGTCCCTCACGTCCAGCACGGTCACGATGCCATCCTGCATTCTGTGGGCGAAAAACTCCTTGACAAGGACGGACTGGAGGGAACCATCATCTTTCCAGAAGCGGACCTTGGAGAAGGTGCCAGAGTCCGGTGGGTTTTCGACGAATATGCGAAGGTGGGAGGAGCGGAGGCGTAAGGTTGGAAGCTCGAGGACGGCTTCGAGGTGAGCGTACGATAACATCTCGACTTCAGGCGGAGAGACGGAGAATTTACGGCGCCAGCCGTGACGACTGTGGGGTTGTGGACGAATAAGTAAATCAAGAGAAGCAAGAAAGAGACTTGGAAATATGCATGAAAGGGTCGAATGAGAAATTTAGGACTCACAGGCCAACGCAATTGAGGTGACCCTCTGCATGACCGTCATACTGCGAAAGCGTTTTGGTGCTGATTCGCGTGTGTTGCGTGTGCAGTGATAATTCAGATTGAGACGCCATGGTCTCGAACGGGTTGTGAGACTAAGATAGTGAAGATTGATATTCCAGACACAAGCAAGTCGTTACGCGTTACAGCGCTCTATATCGGAGAGAAAAACAGGGAATGACAGGGGCAGAGAGAAAGAAGAGGATAACAAAGGAAGGAGCGGGAAGGGAGCGTGTGTGCGAAAACGAGGCCGGTGGTCAATTGGGGATTAGCTTTATGTAGATATCGGATAAGCGGTTGATCTCACGAAGGTTGTTCTGGGCTACGAGGTCGTCGTCGTCGTCGCCCGCCAGCGCAAATGCTTCTGTCGCCATAGACACCGGAGGACGTCTTTTACCTGCCAGGGTCTACCTATTGGAGAAATGTAAGAGAAATGTGAGCGTGCGGGTAGGTGCACGGGGTCCTCCATTGACAGTACGAAGGGCAACATAGACGACAACAAAAAAAAATCTGAACATGGTGAGCAAAACCAAAGAATATGAAGAGAGGAGACTGAGCGCAAGGTAGGCAGGTGTCGAGGACCAAGACGGTCGTCATGGCATGGTTGGCCGGATTCGAAGACGGCGTTGAATGTGTGGTTGGGGGAGGGCCCGGGACACTCCTATGAGGGTTCCCCGGTCAAGTTGCGTATTTTTACGCAAGTTGAGGGCGAAGCCCTCCCGAAAAATTGCGTATTTTAAGCCCAGGAGCACCGAGGTCTCCCGAAAATTTGCGTATTATTGGTGTGAGGCCCACATAACCTCAACTTTTACCTAACCTAACCTTAACTTCCCCTAACCTACACTAGCAGCACGATAGAGACACAGAAGTTGATCCTGATTAGGCTAGGTTAGGATAAGTTGAGGTTATGTGAGGCTATAAGGGTAAGATCGAGCTTGCCTCGCCACACAAAACCCGCCAATAGGCGCCCTACCCTTCCCGGAATTTGCGTATTTTAAGCCCTCGCCAGGCCAAAATTGCGTATTTTTACCTGTTTTTGAGGTCGCCCTTCGGGCAACCCTCATAGGAGTGTCCCGGGCCCTGTTGGGGGACGGAGAGTGCCGGCGAGGTTGAAGAGGGTTGAACTTGCTCAAGCGAGAAGTTGTTGATCCTGACGCTGACCGAAGCCACTTCTGGGCCTCACAAACGATGTTCTCCACCTTGCATTCTCCACCGTCCTCCTTGCTTTCATCGGTGTCGTCAGCCTGGCCACACCAGCGACGTCTTTAGAGGTGGCAGCTTAGATCTAGTTCCGCCGGACTTCAGGCGATTGCTTTAGACTTTTGAATCCGAGCTTTTTGTGTCGCTCTGCGGAAAACAAAGCTGAAACTGCCTCGACCACAATCTCTGCGGATGCAGACAGTCGTCGTGATCGACAGCAGCGCAAAGAGACGTCCGCTCTGTCTCCGCTGCTGCTCGTCCATCTTCATGCTTGTCTTGCGTCATCACTTGTCTCGCTCTGTCTCGCAAAAATTGGTGTACTGGAGTATGTGGCTGACAAGGGCTTCTGGATACAGGATAATATTTCTTCGATTTTCTGGAACAACTCCGAATTCGTTGGCGAGTCATTTCTCATGAAGTAGGGTTCGATCGATATCCTACCCTCTCGTTGCCCCTGTCCTTCGTGGGACTCCCGTTCGCTCACTGGGCTGCGCGATTATACTGTCATCTCGGGAAAGTCGTTTACAATGATGTATCTGTGGGGGTGCTCCACCCTGAGTGCACGACGAGCTTCATTGGTGAACACTGAACCGATGAAGCAAAACCCTGTCACTGTCAAGTCAACGTCAGGCTCCCGCCTCTGGATCCCGCTCTGTCTGAGTGGAAGTTGATTCACTTACTCCATTTCCTTCGTCATCTATTTCCAGAATGACCGCATTGAATCCTGCACCGATCTCCCCCTGCATCCGGCGCCGACGTAACTTCCGCCCCCGCCATGGTGTCCTATATAAACCAGAACCGACTTCGTCTTGTGCACAACCTATCTACTCCTGCCTCTCACATCGAATTCCACCGCGCATTTTTATCACTCTACCACCAATACATTAACAAGTCATGGGCAAGTGCTATCTCCCTTTTCTTCTTTGCTCCTCTACTCACGACTCCCTCTTTGTGTCACAGGTATCGGCTCCACCATTAAGAACGCGCTTACAGACCGCTCGGACTCTACGCATAGCTCCAGTAACGATGTTGCTCCGATGAACAAGACCCATCGCCACACCGCTTCCACCGACAGCGGCTACACCAGCAACGGCGTCACCGATTCTTCCAGCGTCCCCACGGACAAGACCGCCGGCCGCGACACCGCTGCTCCTGGTGCAACCAACGCTACCACTACTTCTACCACTCCTCGCACGGGCGGCACCGCACACACGGCCCCTCGCGGTCGTGATGCTGAGGCTGCTAGAGCCGGCGTCGGCGCTGCCGCTGGCGACCGTGACAACGACCATGGAGCTAACATGGCCACTAGCGGCGTCGGGCGCCAGCTTCGTGAAAACGTTGGTGGAACTGGCCCCACTGGCAGTGGTCGTGCTACCGAGGACGGTTACGAGCCTGTCACCCACATTGGCGGACAACGCCCGGGCGGTTCGTTCTTCATGTTTCTCGGCGCTTTTTTTCGTGTTGCTCACTTTGCCATTCTCAGACCTTACCGACCCGCACAGGCACGGACACCCCAAGGGCGCCACCGGCGAGATTAAGCCAACCGGTCAAGGCAAGATCTCTGAGGACACCAACCAGCTCAAACGTATGTACGCTCCTCGAACCGTTTCGTTTCCTTAACTTACTTTCATTTCTTAGATGTTATCCACGATAACGTCCGCCACATCGAGACCGAGGAGGTACTTCGTGAGAAGGACCAACACCGTCACGGTCAGTCTTAACCCTCTCTTCTTATTTTGTCGCTGTCTCACTCGTCTATCACAGTCCACCACGTCCAACACCACGTCCAGCCCATCCACCACGTCGAAGAACGCCCCGAAGTGCACCACGAACAAATCCATCCCGTGACTCACGTCCACGAGAAGCACGCCAGCAAGACTGAAGACGCTCAGTTCCTCAAGGCCCAAGTCGGGCAACACAAGGATACCATTCAGCACGGCGCCAAAGAGAGGCAAGTCGTCGACATGGGTACTCATGTCAATGAGCACACCCACCACCACCTCCACCACGTCATTCAGCCCGTCATCGAGAGAGAGAGTAAGTCGTTGACCCCACGCCTTAGGCTGCTACTCTCTAACCTTTTCACTCAGCGATCGACAAGCACCGCATTCACACCGTTATCCCCACTCGCGAAGAGACCCACGAGGCGCCCATCATTCACGAGTCCACCATTCATGCTCCTCTCTCCATGAACGAATTCCTTCACGGTGGCCGCAAGCTCGACAGTGGCGTCGCTCACAACGAAATTGGCAGCAAGCTCCTCCACGGTGGTGAATGCTCCCGCGACGTCGACGGCGTTGGTGAGCGCCTTGCTGAGCAGCTCCACCTCTCTCCCGCCCAGGTCAGTCCTTGTTCCGCTAAATCCGCTTACCGTGCACGTAAGTACACCTCGCTAATGCTCACCATTTCCCTCCGCTATAGCCTCACGACCTTGAGCACGTCTCTACCGCCGACCGCACCACTCGCACCGGCTCTACCTCCGCCACCGGCAAACAGGCGAGTGCCATCTGAGCCGCATCGTAATGGTTCGTACCATTCTCACCCATTGTCTCTTACTCCCATAGTCTGACTCGTTTGGGATGGATTCTAGCACTGTCATTTCTGTCGTGGGAGGTGCATTGCTCCTCGGAACTGAGTGGACTGTTATTTGCACAATCGTCGGTGTTGCCTGCGTCATGATGTCGTTGTTACATACGTTGAGGCATGTTCGTTATTCTCTTTCGTCCTGATCATTCTTGCATTGCCCGTGTCTGCAACATGTAGCTTGTCCCACCTTTTTGTACTGCATCCTAGCCCCGTCCTCTTATGTATTACTATGCTTATCGTCACCGGCTCCTTGAACAATTATCGTGTTATCACCATCTTCTTCAGTGGGCGTCGGCCAAAACCAATTTACTTTCTCCTTCGCCATCTCGGCATTACCTATCCACTTTATACGCTCTTGGTCCCCAATCAATTCTCGTACTTGAAAGTATAGCCACAAACCGGAAAAAAGTTGCAAGCTAGCTATGATTTTTAAGTAAGTCTTGGCACGACATTCGTCCAAAGGTATGTCTAGGTATTTAATACTTGCACAATTCTCAAGCACGGATCGTTACCGCGTTAACGCTGCCAGCTCGATAAGAGGCAGTTGCTGACACGAAAGAGCGTAGTAGTATTGAATCATTGACGTATGCACATTCGCAATCGTACATTCACGACTCTCGCTAACGCCACTCAAGTTCGCCGCTGACGTCAAGAAGCAAGTATCGGTGTTACACAGGGTAGAACATTTGGGGAACAGTACCACCACTAATCAAAACACACTAGGAATCATCTTCCACTTCACCCTGCTCGCCCACTCCTCCCACTCCTTCCCAAACTCCTTTTTCAACATCTTCTCCTCCGACTCCATCCTCTTCATCAGCCACGCATAGACCGCCACCTCCCACACCACGAACGTCAGCGCATACATCCTCGCAATCCACACACCAGCGCTCTGACCATGGTTGAACCACCCCTGCTCCGCCACCCACGAGCCGGGAGACACGAGACAAATCGCCATGCCGACGAAGCCGCAGAATGTACCGATGTAGGCCGGGTGACGGACGAGTGAGTATGGGAAGCTGGTGACGAGACGGTGTTGGTCCCGGACAGCAAGTTCGAAGGTGAAGTGACGGCCAAGGGTGCGGTAGCAGATTATGCGAATGGTTCCGCCGACGACGAGGAGCCATCCGAGAATGAAGGGTGTGCTTGCTCTGATAGATGTAGAAACAGACGGTGAGTAGGAGGAAGAATCGATCGGTGGGGATGGCGGGGTCAACGGGATGTTGTTGTGACTGAGCGTTGGAGTTAGAGCAGAGGCGATAGAGGTGGCATAGGGGAGGTTGGGATATCGGGTAGCGAGGATGGAGAGAATTTCGCAGGTAAAAATGAGAAAGAGCGATATCTGTTGTATTTCCGTCAGTCTAATGACCGCGACAATTCAGGAGAGGAGCTAAAAATAACACGTACATGGAAGCACATAACCTGAGAAGGCCACATTCTGCTCATTATGTTGGTATTAGTCCCAGGTGGTGCTCTTGACCTCTCATTTTTTCGTGGTCGAGCGGTCGGAGAGGTCGTCACAGTATAGTACGCATAATATGCGGAGACCAGCATAGGTATTTTGAGTAAGGACATGGTGGAGATTGAGTCAAATCAGTGCCGTCATTGTGCCGCCTTTATACCATGGCAGGAGCCTCAGTGGGACTTGGATCCCGCAGTGGGAGGTGGTCATACGAGCATCTCGTCTATTTTTGCGTACGGACGATATTTATTACTCACGCGGTCTGGATGTTCTAAAACCTTACTGAAGGCTATTTTGCCACAAAGGAGATGACGGAGTGGTGGGACCGTGGAAGTACCTCGCATCGAAGCAGTAGGATCGCCGCGGACATCGATATTTCTTTACCCAGCTGCTGTTTCCACCGGTGGGGTATTTAATTCTTTTTCTACCTCCAAGCAGAAAGACCTACATAGCGTGTCGGCTCGCAGCAGGGCTACATATGCCCCCACGAAAGCCGACGTGAACCGAGCGCAATCCCTGAAGACCGAAGAAACAATACTGAAGCACTGGAGACGTAAATCGCAGGCCTGGAACTGAAGTGAAGGCGCCTGGCCGTGCAGAATGAAGAAAGGCATATGGACGAGGTGCTCTGTGTAATGTCCGGTTCCCTTGTCCGACTCCCAGGCTTCTACCGTTCTGATTCGTGCGAAGGAAAACGTTTATCTCCAGTACAAGCATGCATGAAGACGTACTCCGGCCATAATAATTTGATGCATCTTCCCGACGAAAAACGTTGACAGACTAACAGAACGACGCCACAAGCGAGGTAGATGACGAGGTGGAGTCACTAGATGCCGGGGAAGCTCGAAATTCGCAAGATATTTGCCGCTGCGAAGTAGGTATTGAAAATGGAGACAAGGGTAACCGTTCGACAGGTGTCAGATATACGTGTTTTTCTGATTGGCCTCCGGGGGATGCGGTAAAACGAAGATGGAGACATTTGGAGCCACATGCTGCATGCCAGGTACATCGGCGACGAGATCCAGTGGTCGACCGTAAATCAACCGCCGTACGCACGAGCCGTGCAGAAAAACGGATTAGTACGCCAGCACCGAGAATTGTTTGGCAATAGGGTGATTAAATACGAGTAGTCAGAGCTGTACAAGCTCTGTTGAGAGGGTGGGACGCAGGCAGATGTGGCGAGACGAGGAAAAAGATGAGGAGAGGAATCGGGGGAAGGCCGCTGCTCCGCAAGTTCCGGGCCGCGTGGGACTATAAGATCGAGAGACGACCATCCAACCGAATCCGAATATTTGTCTATTTTCGTGCTCTGGAACCTTGCAGTGAGTCGCCCGAGCCGTGTTCGTCTCTTGTATCTGTACCATCACCATAGAGCGCGAGCAGGATGACCTCTAAAGCTCAGAAGAACTCGCTCCACATCTATCTTACCGAGTCTGTCGTCTTTCTCCGTTCTTCCGACTTCTCCGGAAGGCGACAGGCCGCCAACAATGCAGCCACTTCTGTTCTCCGCGGTCTCTTGACGCTTGAGCTCGTAAAGCCAACTAGAATATGTAGCATCGACATCGAGTTGCAGGGGAAGACCGCCACAGTGTGGCCCGAAGGTGCGCCACTTTCCTTACCACCTTGACCTGCGCAGGAATTTAGCCAATTCAACAGGTATCGGAGCACGAAGAACAGAGGTCACAGAGGAGCATAAATTGTTTACTGCTACTCAAACCTTCTTTCGTGCCGCGACGACTCCGACTACGAACTCACGTCGCACACTCTCTGTCGGCCCCGGTCTCGCGTTCTATCGGGACGAATATGAGCCTCGACAAGATTCCAGTCTTCAGCGTCGACCTCCTGAGGCACCCAACTACTTCTTCTCCAGCTTTGCCGACCGTTCTCCCTTAACAGAGGAGCCTATTGAACGGGGAAGGGACAGGACAAGACGACGACTCAGCGCAGATTCGACGTATTTCGGGCGCGATGTCGCACCACACGTCGTCGGACAACAACATTCTGGCTCCAGATCCCCTACACCTATGTATACGCCTCCAGCAAGCTCGTCTGGCCACCCGACCGCAGATGGTTTCCCCTCTTCGAGAAATGGCTCTGTTAGTCGGTTCACCTCTGCGCGAAGGGCAGATGACGAAGAAACCAATCGCTCATTATCTCGTATGTCTAACCTTTGCCTGCATACTTCTTAGCCATTGACACAATTACAGGTCCTCCATCATCACACAACACATCACAGCAGCCATCGCTATCCAGGATTCGCCCTGCTCCCGCTTCATCATCGTCCAGTTTCCGCGATCATCCTTCTCCCGCTCTATCCAGGACCGTCAGCAACGACGAACAGGCGTCCACTTCTACCGCAGGGACATCTCATCCTCCATCTACCTTGGCATCTTCTCCCGCACGAAATAGGCGCGATGAAAGCGCGGAAGATCACCGGCGAGGACGAAGGACCGCCCGATTCAGTCTTGCGGCTGTTTCAAACAGTATCCTCGATGCCGTGAAGGAAAGGGTGCGGTCTCGATCGCCGATGGTGGACAGGATTGACGATAGGAGTAAGAGCCGAGGGCGAACTCTGGATAAGGGCAAGGATCAGGAGGTCCCGAGGGATCACACAAGGGAGCCGGGCAAGGAGAAGGATGGAGCCTGGCACTTCTGGGAGAATAAGGTCGGAGATCACGGCGACGACCACAAGGAGTTTGGCGATGGATGGCGGGAGTTCAAGAAGGGTGCGCCAAGCTTTGCTTTTCTCGTGTCTAAGCTGCAGTAATGATAATGTTTTCCTCAGGCACTTACACCTTCCCTATCTCGTTCGCCATCCCGGCAAACATGCCGCCGTCACTTGAATGTGATTATGGCTCAGTTTCCTGGCGCTTGAAGGCTCAAGTACACCGACCGGGTACTTTCACGTCGAAACTGACTGCGGCACGGGACGTCATCATCGTAGCATGCCCCAGCGAGGATGATACCGAAGATACAGAAAATATCGTCGTCGAACGGTTCTGGGATAACCAACTGCAGTATCTTCTTTCTGTCTCTGGCCGTATGTTCCACATTGGCGCCAGCATACCTATCAACATGAACTTCCTGCCAATGGCGAAGATGAAAATTCATCGACTATCTATCGTCCTCGAAGGTGACTGTTCTTGTATCTTTCACCGGACCTGCTTTTGCTCATATCAGGTCCTCCATCCTCACAGAGCGGGTAGATTACTACATCCAGATGAAGCGAGTCGCCCGATCTGATCTCACGAATCGTTTCCCACTTCTCAGCATCAAGCACACCGCTAAAAATGCCACCACCACCGCACCTCCTATCCTTCCTCTGGACTCTGAAGATCCTCATGCTTTCGACGAGTCTCCTTTACGCGTGCTCCTCAGTCCAGAAGACGACCCGTCTGAGTTTGCTTCGTCCTTGATGGGCCCCGGTCCATGGTCGTTCCACACCCAGCTCCAGCTTCCCGGGGCGTGCGGTTTACTGCATTTTACGAATCTGAATAAGAAGTCGAACATCCAGATTCATCATGTGCTGAAGATCGTGGTGAGAGTGGAAAGAGGCGACGATCTGCATATCGACCCGAAGACGGGTAAGAGGAAGTTGTTCGATATCGTCGTGCAAACTCCAGTGCACATACTATCGGTGAGTTCATCGGACATTCTGAGGAAATCTCTATTAACGAATGCGCTCGATGTAGTGCCTGTGTAACTCGGAGTACACCTCCCTCCCGCGTTACTCCCAAGCCCTCGACTCCAACTACCTTTCGCCCGAAGTCCGATCCTGCACCTGCTCCGTCAAACGTCGCGGCCAGGCCGTTGTCCCTTCCCGCCCTTCTTCCCGACCTCCCGTGAAATCGGCCTCTCATCACCACACTCACAGTTCACATATTTCTGCTCCGACCCATGCGTCCGACGCATCCACCTTAGCTCTCGAACGCCATCCTACGCAATCTTCGTCATCGAGCGAGTCCGTCGCGTCGGTTGCGTCATTGACAATGGTTCCGCCACCGAACATGACACAGGCAAGACTGGGGAGTTTGTATGATCGCAATCTGATGTTCGAGAGGTTGATTACGGGGCAGCAGAGTGAGATGGGGGAGAGCCCGCCGGGCTATGAGTTCATCTCGAGTGTCATGCCTGTGGTTCATGCTGGACCCGCACCGTACGATGAAGAGGGTGTGCCTGTCGAAGTAGAGTACACGCCACTCCCACTCACGCCACAGGTGCGGTGAATACTGTCGGCTATGAGTCATGGACTCATGATACAATTTTGTTGCTTGCTTGCTTTTTCTCCTCGCTTTATGTATTGACGTCGGATCGGATTTTTGCTTTTATCCTGCCGTGGTTACTCTTGCTCTAGATCTAGTAATTTCACCCACATCATCATTTCGGTATCCTATCTTTGGGCATTTTGTGGTTTCGATGGTTCTTTCTTCTCATTTTCCCCCATCCTTGTTGTCGTTGTCTTTCGCGTTCTGTAGCCCCCCACTTTTTCTTCGGATTATCGAATGTTATTTGCTCTCAGCCTCATGTAGATCAGTGTCGTCACCCCGTCCCATTCACTTTGCGATAGGCGGTTATGAACACTGTACAGCAGTCCACTTCTAGTCTCCTCCGCACGTACCAGTGTCACCTACTGTATCAGCCATGCTCTCCACCTCGTCTTCTCATGACACCTCATGCCGCCTCTCTTCGTATTTTTATTTACCTTAGAGATATTGTGCGTTACTCACTCAATCTAAACATGTATGTGTACTCATCTCAACACAATGATTCAGCCTCTCGGTCAATAGTGCTGATCTAACGACGTGTATTGTGGGTTCCGTCTTCGAATTCTTGTGTGACTCGCTGAGTTGACGATCTTAACTGGGGACCGTGAGCATGGCGTTCGGTCAGTTCAGGCCGCGCGGCGTTCAGCTCAGCCCAACAACCGGACTTTGGTCGTCAACAACGTCAACTGGAAAGTGAACGTCGAAACGGTGCCTCCGGCCAAAGAGACAGTATATAGAACGAAGAAAAAGCAAAGTGAAAGCAGTGATTCAAAGACCCGGGAACGTTGAAAGCAGAATACAGACGCGTAAAACTACAGGATAGATGCGTTACAAATAATCGAAGAAAATGAAAGTCACCGTTGATGCAGATGTAATGGATGGATAGATGGAGAAACGTATGCAGTGTGCGTGAAGGGTATTATATACGCTCTTCATCCTCCTTAGTGGGCAAACTGACCAGCAGAAGCCACGCACGGAACATGAATAACTACAGTGTCGTTACATAGAGCCCTGAAACCCATCATCAAAACTTGGGATTGATAGGACTTTGTGCGCGGTCTTGGGGCCGGAATGGTGTCACGGCCCGGCTAATGTTTGGCGATAGTGATGGGACGACGTCTATTGACTCTGACGCTGAGTAGGTTGTCCGGTCATCTGCATCCTGTGCGACGAGGCAATCATTTCAATGTCAGGATCTCGGCATAGCGACTTGACTTTGAAGGGAGTCGAAGTGAGCCGAACGCACACGAGGTTTTCTGACAAGCTCCGCCTCATCCGCCAAAGTCCTCCCCACCGACAAATCCCTCGTCACATCCCCGCCCCTGCCGCCATCACTCAGACTGGCATCTTCGCCATTCCAACCCGAGCCAACAATGCCAAGCCTCATCATAGACGTCGGAGATATATCCAATACCACATCGTGAGGGAACGGTAAGACATTCCCAGGAATCGTAAGCGGGCGGGACGAGATGTCTATGACGCGCTCGTCGCGGAAAGGTGTGATTCTACCCGCCTCAAGTTCGCTGTTGATTTGCAAGAGGCGTCGGCGACGATGGAAGAGGAAGAGAAGACCGACAAATAGAAGGACGAATATGATAGACCCGGTTATTGTGCCGGCCAAAATGGCAGTCATGTTATGAGCATGCGGAGGGTCGGAATCGGGCTGGTCTGCAGGGTCAGAGCGTGGCCAGAGCGAGGCGCAAGTCGGACATGGAGACATCGGCGGTGGAAGAGAGCGTCGCTATGCAAAACTGGGCTATATTGACTCGGTAAGAAAGATAACACTGAGCAGAAAGATTGCATGGCTTACAATCACTATGTTGACCTACCGCGTAGCGCAGCGGCGTGGAGTATTGGCCAGCCAGCTGTCAATGGCCGTGACGGCAAACGTGAAGGAATGAAGGGGAAAGTTGGCGGCCAAACGACGATCCGAACTTGACACAGAAGTCAGGCAGCCTAGTACTTGTGAGATTTTCGAGCGCTAATCCCATGCTTCTGAGCTCAAATCCTCTAGAGCTTCCTGATGGTTGGCGTGTGGACCAGAAGCTTTTGTTTCCCGTTCACCCAAATCGTCGCCGACAATACGGGAGCGCCTGGGATGCTTCGTAGGTTCCCGGGCAACGTACGAGGTACCGTTGTTATTGTTTTTGAAGATTTGAAGCCGCACGTCATGCCTGAACCTGACAAGCGTTGGTTAGTCGTGCTGGTAGTATCCCGGCCATACCGGTCAGTCCTCGAGTTTGTCGTGATAGATAGCCGAGGATGAACTGGTGAAGCCTGATGCGACATGTCAGGAATGATGGACTTGTTGAAGCGAACACGGTGTAGTGCAGAAACAACATGGGGACGCTTTCTGGGCTTTGTTTCATGATCAGTGTGGATGGATAAAGACTGCTGGTGGGTTAAAACCTCATCTCGACCAGCTGCAGTTATCTCAAGGGACACCAAGAAGCTGTGGTATTTGACAGAGTTCACTTACCATCGTCAAGGTCTCCCTGTCCTAGCGCTTCGAGTCTGCTCAGGTCTCTTGCTACAGGGGCAGGAAACAAGCACAGGAACAAACTGGAACGTTCGTTTAGGCAACGTGCACATCGATCACGGCCAATGAGAGTATTCCGATAATGCCGAGGTCGAAAATGAAAGATGAGGAAAGTTTCAAGAGAGCGGGATGACTTCATCAGAGAGCCGGATTGCGCGTAGTCTGAGCTTTATTCGTCGTGAGTATATCAGCTCATCCGCTCCCCCCACATACTATCCTCAACTTCATTCCAATCCAATCCACTCACCCATATAACTCACTGACTATGCGCGCCTACTACTTTGACAACCTTCCGGGCGACCAGCGTCTCGCTCACGACTCTGGCAAAACCGTCTCTCCTGAATTGCTCAAGAAGCTCAACGTTCTGTACTGGACTATCCCCATCGACGAAGAGGGAGCATGGGAGGGAAAGATCAACGAAGTGGCGAAGGAGAGAAGCTACAAGAATAGAGACACGATCAATGTCACTAAGGAGGGGTTGGGGGACTCGTATGAGAGCAAGCTGAAGACGTTCTTTGAGGAGTGAGTGGCCTGATTCTTTGCTTGTTGCCTGCTTTGCCATCGCACGGCTTAGTAGTTCTATACTCATATTGCTTTCGCTTCTGTATAATATAGGCATCTGCATGAGGACGAAGAGATCCGTTACATCCTCTCGGGCGCAGGATTCTTCGACGTCCGAGGTCAGCATTATCCCCCCTCTCTACTCCCCCATCCCATCCTCTTTCCACTCGATTTTCCACTGCGCCTCAGGCTCTGCACTCCTCTCATACGCACGCCACTTGCTGCACCATTCATCCGTCCATTCTTCACATCGCATTTCGTTATATTTGGACTCACCCTCATGTTCTAATTTTGCAGAGACCCCTACGGATGCTTGGATCCGCATTCACGTCACTCCCGGAGACCTCCTTGTCGTCCCAGCAGGCATCTACCACCGCTTCACGCTCGATGAGCTGAACGCCGTTAAGGCTATCAGACTGTTCAAGGTTCGTTAACCGTCTATACCTTTCCCATCGCCACACACCCTATACCGCCACATTGCCTTTTTACCACCCATCTTTCTCCGATCAACCTTACCTCGCATTTCCACCTTATCCTCTCACATCCTCCACTTATGGTCATCAATGATCACCTGCTCACCACCGACATATCCCCGTCCTTCCTTTACGTTTGTCAATTACAGGAAGAGCCCAAGTGGATCCCTCACACACGAAACGAAGAGACCGACAAGAACCCGTACCGTGTCGACTACCTCTCCAACCTTCCCTCCAGTGTTTCCGTCGCTTGATCGCCGCCAGCGTTTCCATCGCTTGATCATCCTGATCCGCTTGCTTGCTTGAAGAATGTTCCCGGAATATCAATGCTGTAGGCTGTAGTATTCGAATGTTGTAGGCTGTCCCGTTTGATTGTACGAGTTGTAACGCATTGTATGCCTGACGATGTGCAGCAGCGTATCACAGGAGAAATACTGAGACGTGTATATGTCGTCGCTTCATAATGTTGTGATGTGTGCCCTTGTGTGCTTGTCCTGGAGAGCCACATTTGACACGGAATCATTTACTTCATTGCAGAGCTCTCACAACGATGCGGTTCATCGGACTAAATTTGTGACTACAGACACAATTTGTGTCAAGGTCGAATAAACGTCTTCTATTATCAATCTTATACCGGCGTTCGTCAAAGAGCAGACAGAAAAAATAAAGGGACAAAAAAGTACTTCAAACTGGGGCAAAACATCAGCGTAGCGTATCGTGAAGCATAATGGGATATAAAAGCAACATGAACTCGAACAGCCAACAACGATCAATCTTAAAACTCTCAACAACGACGTGCAAGAGAGTATGGAATAAAAGCACACAGGCGGAAAACGAACAGAAAAGAAAACAATTACCGAGCGGAACGTGCACACACAGCTGCAAGGGAGTATTGGTATACTGGAAGATTTCAAGGCGATTCAGTCGCCCTCATCGACTCGCTCACATCTCCTTCTCGTCCTTCGTGTTCATGTCCGTATTTGACGCCACGACCCCCTCGTCGTCTGCCTGATTGCCCGCTACATCCTCATCCACCGCACTCATGCCGGACGTCCCGGAAGGCCCACCCCTCGCCGCACTCTGTCCCTCCGTAGACCCTGGAGCCAACGGACTGCTCTTGAACCTCTGTCCCTTTCCACCAGACGCACTCGGCGTCACGGCTCTAGGACTCGGAATCGGCGCAACGATGGAAGGTCCGCCGCTAGCACCACCAGTCTGAGCTTGAGCAGCGCGTTTCTGGCGGCCGCGGTCGAAAATGATAGCACCGAGTGAGGAAGCGGGGGAGCCGCCGCGTGAAATACCAGAGCCGATTGCGGCCGTGACACCAGGGGCAACGCCGGGAGTAGCGGTAGGGGCGGCAAGGGCATTGGCGGGGGGCGAGCGAGGGGGAGAGGAAGGGGGCGTGACGACTATCGGGGGCGAAGCCATCGTTTCAGCGTCTTCCATCTTCAACCTCTCTTTCTCGTCCATGTCGTCGATCGCACCCTCTATGATCTTGGGCTCTACATTGGAATCATCTGGACGAGACTGTACTGTCTCCAATGGTTCGCCCGAGGGAAGGGTCTTAGGGAGTTCTCTGGGTGTAGGAGGGGCACTTCGACTCCTTAGGAAGGACAGATTCTTCAAGGCTGGGATGGCGATAGGGCGAAGGACATTCGAGCCTTTGTTCGTGGTCGCGTTTATCGGGGTGGGGCTGACAGGTGCATCGGGTCCAGAAGATGTAAGGTTAGGAGCGGAGCCTTTGCGTTTGAGAAGGTTGGAATTGTCGCCAGCAGAAGGAGGAAGATATTTGGAAGCCTCGCCACGGTGGCCACCTTCAGGGTCGAATTCGTCGTATATCTCTTCGCCAATAAGTTCTACAATCACAAAACGTTAGATCACCGAAAAGAAAATTGGGATATGAAGATGGGCCCTTACCTTCAAGGACATCTTCGAGAGTGATGATACCAAGAGGGGCCACGAGCGGATCAAAGCTCTGCAGGAAATCGTTGACGTTCTCCTTGTTCAGCACCGCATCCGCAGGCATACTTGCTTCCGCTTTCGGCAGCTGAACGAAGCTGCCCCTCTTCACCTTCTGCCCGTTGATCGTTTCCGAAGGACCAGAAGCAGCAGCAGGTGATTCAGAGGAGCCTTCCATTCTTCCCATCTCAACGTCCTCTACCTTTCCACGTTTCGAGCGACCGCGTTTCTTGAAAGAGAACCTCTCGCGCTCGGGTGAAGATCCATTTCCACCGTTACCGTTAGCGAAGTCCTTTTCCCAGACGCCATCACCCTTGAGCGTCGCATCGTTTTCATCGCCCTCAGCATTTTCGCCGGGACTCCCTGTCCCATCATTGCTGTCATTCGACTTCTTTCTCCTCCAGCTCTTTCTTCTAGGCTGCTCTTCTTCTTCCGAGTCGGAGTCGGAGCTGCTGGAGTCGCTGATGCCGACACGGTCTTTCAGACGCTGGGTGAGGCCTTTCTTGACAGCCTTCTTGACAGAGGCAGCATGTGCGATACTCAACCGTGAGACGACAGCCATATGAGAGCGCCCTTCCTGGAATTTGTCGAGGATACCGAGAAGAGGTTCATTTTGGTAGACGGAGGGTAGTTTGTTCAGCTGAACCTTGCGGACGGGGACGGCATCTGAATAATGGCAGGGGAAACAGTCAGCATGGTGCAAATCGGTTGGTAGAGTTGATCCTACCTTTGGGATCTAGCAAGACACATTGCTTCACTAAGAGCACACCAAGAATTTTGGGAACTTTGGTCATCCTTCCTTCCCGATCAGGGACCTCTACTTCCTCGAAAACGGGAATACGACTGTGTCCTGTAGAACAGATCTTCTGTAACGTCTTATAGTCCAATTTTGCGTCAATAGACAACATGAAAACATCATCAATCTTCGTCATCGACTATAAATAGAGGTATGTCCCCTCAGTGAGTGATACGTTGGAACAAAAGGAAGCCGGGGCAGCTCACCTGTTTGGCACTCTTTTCCTGCAAGTCAAGCGTAGCACCAATAATGGTTACAGTGTCGGAACGGAGATCACCGCCGAGCTGACCGACGGTGGAGTGCATAGCGATGAGCTCTTTGAGTTCGCCACGACGATAGATGATACCGTGATGGGGACCGAGACTCAGTTCAAGAATTTTTGCAACTGGCCAAGCGACGACACCCTACGAGAGTTGTTCCGATGGTCAGTACAAGCGATCTGGTAGTGAAAACGAAAATACGAACGAGAGTATAGAGAAGCACTTTGACAAGAGGGGCCATCTTCGCGCCAATGTAAAGGCCATGACGAGTACATATTGACTGCGGGATGATCTCTGCGAAGCTATATAAAACAAGAAAACCCGATGAGTACGAGAACAAACTTGCAGGGAAAAAGCAGATTTGAAGAGCGTTCCACAACTATGACAGGCGGGCAACTCGCAAAAGATGATGGCCGGCATAGTGCGGAGATAGACACCCGTCCAGCGGCAAAGCTTATCTGTTCCGAGGTCTTGGCGACTGCGGGGTAACGCTTGCAAATTGTCACAGCTCACGCGTGATGGAAAAACGTGCAGGACACGCGTACACTCTGCGAAACGCGCGCGAACGCGAAAGAAAGGGGCGTTTGTTTATGTGGAAAAGGCGCTCACATGACGATAAGGACGATAGAGACAACGACGCTCTGTACACCTCCGCCCAGGACAGGATCTGCGATGATGGGAAGGGTCTCGTTTGTGATCATGTTGGCGAGGAGGAGGGTGACGAGGAGGAGATGGCCATTCTGGCGAATGGGCTTGATTTGGTTTGCATACTTGCGCTGGAGTCTGTTTAGGACATGAGTAGGGTGGCAACAGGAAGACACGAGATGGACTGACGGTGTTCCACTGATGGATAGTACGTGTAGTTGTGTCTCATCGAGAGACATGTAGCCTAATGTTAGACCGGCAAACAGACCCGAGAGGACGACAAGGATGGGAATGAGACAGGCGAATGCGATGAATTCGCCATTGGAGAGGCCGTCGTGGTCGGCACGCTTTGCAAAGTGGGCCCTTGCCCTGTTGGAGAAAGAAGGCACATGTTGTGAGGCTGTTGCAAGCAGCGAGAAGAGAAGGGAGGAGGACGGCGAGGAGAACGCTCTGAGCGGAGGTGGCACCATTCGTTTGGTCCCCGCCCTCCGTTCGCCCTTCCCTATTTATGCTCTGCCGCACTCGGCTAGCCCACCATCACGTAATTCGCCTTGGCGTCACGCAGCACCGACGGCGCCACTCATCCCGCCTGCGCGCCACACTCCAGCTGTGCAACACTTACACTGCATCATCCTCTCTACTGCGCCCTCGCACCAACGCCCTCTTTTGTCTCTCCATGCTCTAGACCACGAAGCTATCATTGTCCACTTTCCTTGTTCACGCCTCAGCTCCAGTGGCTCTCTAGCGGAACGAGTGTCTTTCATCCGCGGACGGTCGGTTCGGATGTGATCCACTGAAAGTGGCTACTATGAAAACTTTGTCCAAAGACCACCCCATTGGCAGGAGAAAACGTTTGGTGCTACTGTATCGAGCTCTAGACGTAGGTGCACGATATCGACATAGCCTTCTCGAGTCATGCTCGATCAGCCCTTTGCCACTGTAGTCATCTTTCGCTGCGAGGCTGGTCATCGAGAAGAAGCATGCTGTCCGCCACTACCGTCTCTTAGTCCCTGCTTCGCACACTGCATATTCCCCTTCTTTGTCAAGGCTTATCTCAAAGTAAGTCTTTCTCTCTCTCTCTTCTTGTCTTTCCGGCAATCGTATCGGCGTAGAGCCCAATGCCCGATGATACGCATCCCCGCTGAACATAGCGTAATTTGCGCCAACCGTGACGAGCATCTGGACGCATTATGACAATATTATGACCAAGTATCTCACAGAGGGTCTCCAGTCCACTCCAGTCCACCGCCGAGATGACAACGGCCTGCGAAATTACTAGCATATACACCCATCATATAACGGCATGGGCTATCACGAGAAGGGCCTACTGACTCCTACTGACTATCGCAGTAATTATGGGAGGTTGGTGGCGCCGTAGGGAAGCCGATATTGAACGCACTGTATCACGCATTACGAGACCAACATCATTATAATTATTGAATTATGCATGTGTCTACTGATTCGAATACCTCAAACATTAAAATCGAAAGAGGTTCGCTAGGGTGTAAAAGACTCCTCCTCTACATTAGCAGTCAAATAAGTATGCAATCCGAGCCAAAAATAAGTAATGAGCAGTAATAGTAATCGTATAGGTACAGTGCGCCTCTTCTCGCCCCCTCGCGCTCCGCGCAAGAGCCGCCTCCAGGCAATAATAGATACAGCCGAAACAAAGTCCAGTCTAGAGTCCTCTCTAACTCAGTCCGAATGGCCACGACTACCACCGGCCTTCACACTCGCAGCAGTCTCAATCATCCGCCGCATCGGTTGAATAGACCGACTGATCGTCTGCAGTCATCCTGGACATCTGACTGAAAGACCTCCTCGGCCCCATTCCGCCTTTATCACCTAAACCCGTAGCCGCACCCCCGAACCCTATTCCAAACTGATCCTGCCCATACCCTCCCATACCCAAACCCAACCCCTGACCCATACTTAGCACCCCCTTCCCAACATCAACGTCAACGGCAATCGTCGCCCTCTTCCCCATGCCCGTGAGCTGTCTTCTCCCCAACGTCAAACTCCTCCTGATGCCATTCAACCCGAGCGCAGATCGTGCTGTTTCCGCGTGGATACCCATATCCAAGAACGACTCGCGTCTAGGTGACGGTGACGGTGCGGGCTTGGACTCATGCTGCACCTCTGTTTCTGTTTCCGCCTCTGTTTCGGATTCGATGGTCTCTTCTACGATGGCGACGACAGGCTTGGTCTTATCCTGGGCATCGGCATTGATATCGATAGGTGAAGGTGCGAACAACGTCGAGCTAGCTGAGGAATACGTCGATCGTGGACTCCCCCCTGCAAGGATATGATCAGAAACGTCCTCCTTCTCCTGTCTATCGCCATCCTCTTCATCCACCTCCGGCTTGACACTAGAATCATCATCGTTTTTCGTCGTCACACTCTTGCCACCCTTCAAAAAGATCAAACTCCTCCGCTTCCTCGCTTTCTGCTCCTTCAACTCTAAAGTAAGCGGGGACTCGACGGGCGCAGCCAAACTGACCGAACTCCGATTATCCGCCTTTGCACGACGACCGGGAGGTTTTGACCTCGATCTCGACCTCGTAGGTGTAGCGCTTGGGCTAAGAAGGGGCGAAGACGGATTGTGGGATGACCATGCCGACGGGCCATCCGAGAACGACAAGCTGGGTACTTTGCCGGCCCCGAGAGATGCACGCTTGAAGAACCGCTTCACAGAGGACGACCGACCCAATGCGGCCTTCTCCGTGTCCCTATCCGCGTCGTCATCCTCTCCTTCCGTGACGGAGACGAGGGGTAGTTGACCGGCGGACAAGTATGATGCCGACGACAAGGAAGACGTGGAGTCAATGGCAGAGAATAGTGGCGATAGGGAAGGTGAAGGGATCGTTGCGAAATGGGAGCCGGAAGGCGTAGGCGTCAAGCTTAAAGAGCGCGGAGGGGGTATAACGTGCACTGTGAGCGATTTATGGGCTCTGGAAGAATGTCGACGATGGAAGAGCGAGGACGTCAAAGTCGAGGTGGAAGGGGTGCGGGTTGGAGGAGTGGGTGTGCATGAACGCTGACGAATCGACGACAGACTGTTTTCCGTCGGTTGGGATTCGTAGGGGCGCGATAATTTGCGATTGATCCAGAGAGATGAAGTGTGGGTCGAGCAAGGGGCAGGGGCAGGAACCCGTTTATCATATTGAGTTCGAGTTCTGGGCAGCGCAGAGCGCACATGCTCCTCGACGACTGACGTGCTGACTCTCCGCACCCGCACGGGTTTGCAAGAAATTCGACGCCGTCTTGGCCTCAACGGCGCGTCCGGATCGTTGTCGATGTTAGCTGACTTGGTCTGCGGGGAGGAGGAGGAGGCAAGATCCGTGCTCGACGAAGATGAGATATCGGAAGACGTCGTTTCCTGCCGCAGACGTCCATGCCCACGCTGAAACATGAGGTTTTGTGAAAACCTGAACTTTGCGTGTCGATTCAGAGGTAGGGAGTCCTCGAACTCGGCGAGTGAGCCTATAGAAGGAGGTGTAACTCTTAGCTCTAACGCTGAGGCCCCTGCAAAGCGTGGTGAGTCCTTGGGGCTATTCGCAGAAATGTAAAAGTGAGCGACTATCATCAGGGGGAGGAAAACAGACATACGGTGTTGCGGTGGTGGATACAGAAGAAGAGGGAGGCTTTAAGGACCTCCTGCGGAAGGCACTGGCAGGCAGCGACATCCTCTTTGAAGAGATTGGCGCCGGCCCTGCATCTGTCGTACCATCATCTGTATTGACAGAATCATCCCGGTCAACAGCCTTCCCCTGTTCGAGTCGAGTTTCCGCCACACGTTCATCGGTTTCTTCAACTTCTAAGAATTGGCGTAGCGTCCACACTTCCCCTTCACTGTGATATCCTGACTCCACATATGCGATTCTCCCTACTCTGCGTCTCGTCGTCCTACGGCGCGGGCCGGAAAAACCAGTCCCCTTGGCGTAAGATTGATCAGCATCATCATCAGAGGATAAGACGGGTCTGTAACAGATGCGCGGGATCCGTGTAGCCGCCTCTGCTTCAGTCGCAGGAAAACAGTAAGGTTTGTGCTGATGCTGGGAACGAAAGGCGCTTGCACTCTCGGCTGAGAGGAGACATGGGCGTATTCCTGATTCAGACACTGAGCGTTGATGGTGGCGAGAATTTCGGGAGCAGTACGATGTCTCGCTGTGGTCGAACATCCAGCCGAAGAGAATAGGTCTGACAGGAATGCTCTGTTGTTGGACAGAGCTGTCGAGTGATGGTCGAGGAGAACGTGTCGGTTGGGAGAGAGGGATGTCGGCTACAGAAGGATGGGCCGATGTATACAGCACCATGCAGAAATGAGGGTAGTCCAGGACCGTATTACTAGTAGGCACGCACTGTTATATGACGTCCAACCACGCCTCACCTCACCGCAAGTGGCGAGAGTCAAAAAAAAGTCAGTCACCAGAACGAACTGCGGCTACAAAGCGAATGTGAATGAGCAATCCTATATACTCATGCAGCGAGCGCGCAAGAAACACGCACCTCGATAAGGTCGGAACGGTCTTGATTTCAGCAGCTTCTCCCTCAGCTGTTTCAGAAAGACGCGGGACTCTCAGGTGACGAGAGGCAGTAGAGTGTGCAGTACCGTCTGGATCTGTCTGACTGTCGGCCACTGTTGTGCAGAGGGTGCTAGGAAGGGAGAGAGAAGAGGACGGCCAGAGGCAGAAACATATGCGAGGATGTTCAGTTCACTGGGCATGACACCAGGCTCGAGGCCCTTAGGAACGCTCGGCAGTCTGGAGGACATCCGAAATTCATAGAAAATTTGATCATATCGGCCCATTTCGACAGCGGCCTTTACGCGTCCCGGGCCTCTTCCTGCCTTCGAAATTGGGCGGTCACCATATTTCGTATCATTTCTCCCCGGCCGGACCGGTCTACCACCTATGCCAGTACAAGAGCTCGTTCTAAGGCTCCAACTTTCATCTCAACCACATCGCTGCACAGTACGCCGTTGTCTCCCAATCATTTTTATTTTCTCTATACCCCATGCTAGTCACCTACTCAATATAACCTCGGGCTTTGTCCGCTGAGGACTTCTCAACGTCGGCGGTGGTGATACTGGCGCAGACTCCATCTTTGCCTCCTCACTCAGTCGCCTCTGAATAGTCTCGTTCAAACGCAACCAGTCCCTGCGCTCTGTATCACTGATTGTCGGGCTCGGCTTTGGCTTCTGCAGCTTGCGTGTTGGTGATGATGGACCTGGCTCTGGTTTCTTGTCCACAGCTACAATGAGTGGCGGCGCTTCCCGCGTAGGCGAAGTTGGCGAGGGCGGTAGGCTCGGTCTTCTGAACCTGAATTTCGCCTTTCGTGAAGGTGGTTGTGGAGGCGGTGGATCCGGCGTCTGCACGACGCTTTCTGGGTATTGCTATGATGTCCAGGATTCAGCAATCGTTACTAGTATATCCCTTCGCAGAAGGCTTCACTCACGACGTCTTTATCAACATCCTCTCTGAACCTGGAGAACTGTCTGAACATGGGCGTTGGCCTATGCGAGAGCTGCGAGCCCTGCTTGGTATTTGCTGGTGAGTGGTATGGCGTGGCATGTCTGACCGATGGGTGTGGCCCAGCGCCAGTCCCAGCGCCAGAAAATGACCCATGGATCTGTCGCTCATGTCGAGGTGGAGAGCTCTCGCGAATAGTTGTGTAGGTCACCCGAGATGGTCCAGCTTTTGGCGGAGAGCCAACTCGTTTGTGCTGCGACGCAATTATCAGGTCTAGCAAGGACTGTGGCGAGGTAAGGCTTACCCGAGTAAGATTTGCGGGTCCGTGCGCAGGGTACGCAGGGGACGATTCTGCACGTCTGCGAGAAGACGAATCCATGGCGGAGAGAGGGCGGACGATACGAAGGATAGGACGGGATGGTCAAACCTTTTGCAACTTGTACAAAAACGAACCTTCTTATATCCCCAGCGAACTTTGCCTCGTGTTGATGACGCGTCGTATTCGCGTGGTTTAGATGACTCACACGTTCAAAGCGTATACTGTGCCGAGTGTCCTGCGTAGACAGATGCGCAGGAGTCAGGTCGTCTGGACAGCATAGCATCGGGAATGAGGAATGGGCTATAGCCACGGCGTAGACAGGCTGGCTAGGCGGGTGATTAGGAGAAAGTGGGGCTTACACAAATGAAGCACTCGTTCCGTTGTAGCCGAGAACAATTGAAGATGCCATAAGGAGTGTTCGTTGCGAACAAAAACAAGGCGGAGGGTCACGACAGCAAACACGAGGCTTGTGTGAGACAAGCTTAGACGCGGCGCGGAAACGTGGTGCTTGATGGATACAGATAACTTATACGGAGTCGCAAGCCATGAAAAGTACAATTGAATACATGAGGATGCTCGTACCTATTCTACCTACCTATTCCTCTCAGCCGAGCCCTCTTCAGTCCGTCTCCTTCACCAGCGTTGCATTATCGGACAAGACCCTGTTCAACGAATCCCTCTGCTCACAATTCTCAAACGCGAAACTCTTCGCAATCTCAACGATATCCTCCTCGCTCTTTCCCCTAAAGTGTTCTGCCCATTCCTTGACCAAGAATTCGGAGACCAGAATGATGCGCGCCAGACGTCCAACACGGTCGCTCATCTTCCAGACTGGGAAGGGGTAGAGCTTCTGGTTCTCCTCTGGGATCTCTTGTTTGATGTGGTCGATGAGCGGCTGGTAGATGTGCTGAACGGCGCTCGTATCTGTGCCCCAAGCGTCGACGGCGAGACGGTGCTTCTTGGCGAGGAAGTCCTTGAAAAGGGTCATGTAAGGGGTCTTCAGCGATACATGAACCATGCCCTATAAACAATAGTTTGCTGAGTATCTAGGCCAGGTATTGCAACAGCAAGACATCTTACCTGGAACCCGATATCCTTCCATAGCCAGATTGACCAGCTCAAACGATCCTGCGAACAGATTAGCTATTGCGCGATCCCTGTTTTGAGATCAGCGGAGCTTACCTTATTGTAGATCGCAAGTTGGTCCTTCAAGACTTGCAGCCTCTCCGCATTGATCGCATCCGTCTTCGCACCCTCATACTGCGTCCTCGCATAAACCGGACCCCACTCTCCATTCCACACGCAAAGCCCATGCTCGTCCATCCACTGCCTCTTTTTCTCATAACTCCTCCTCAGCCTCGTCCTCTGTACATCGCTGCTCACGTACTCCTCTGGACTCGCAGGGAATCCGAACAGCGAATAATCATGGATCGCATACCCCACATTCTCCCAGCTCTTGTATGAGTCTCCAAAGTGGCTGAAATCCGACGCGAAGGTGTTCCCATCGAAATAGATTGCATGGTCCGCGTCGATTGCCCTAATAGCCTTGTATATCCTATGATAGAAGTCGATCAGCCGCGTATGCGTCGGGTCGGTCGGTTCGTTCATAGGGTTGTAGGCCGCGATCCAAGGATTGCCGACGTAGTGCTTCGCGAGCTCCTCCCAGAGCCAGATCGTCCGGTCTTGGAAGTCCTTGTGCACCCAGAAGTTGGCGATGTGTGTGCCGGCGTCGGAGTGCCAATCGGTATTCTGGCCACCGGGGCAGGTGTGCAGGTCGAGGACTGTGTAAATTCCGTGTTTGGCGCAGATATCGATGACGCGGTCGAGGTGCTTAAAGCCTTCGGGTTTGAGTACGCGAGGGTTCATGTCGTCTATAGAGCGTACGAGTGCTATGTTAGTGATGATACGTGGAAGGACCGAGAAAGGAGCATGCCTTCGAAGTGACGGTAGTTGAAAGGAAGACGGATGCAGTTCAGACCCAAGCTCTTGAAGGACTTAGCATCGTCATCCTGGAAGAAGTACTCCAAGAACTTTGGACCGTAATCATTGACATTAGCCAAAACAATCGATGAGTGTCACCTGGATGCTTACCTTGTCGAAGAATAACTCTGACTTCTTCGCTCCCACTACCTCAGCGAGTGCTTCGCGGATCTGGAATTCGCATCCGGGATAGCCTGCGCAGACGTAGAGTATCAGCTCAATGGACGTTAAAAGCAGAGAAATAAAATGACGACTCACCTGAGATGAAATTCTCCATGCTGTTTCATTGTCGTGACACCATATGTTGATCAGCACGTTGGATTACAAGACGCTGTAATAGGGAGAACGTACTTCATCCATCCACCTAATCCCGCTCCGCGCAGGATGACCTCCTTCCCATCCTTGTCCACGATCTTGGTTCCAGAGATCTTCAGGAAAGACATGTCGAGAATATGAGCACTGAGGTAAAAGGAATAATCAAAAAAGTATGTCCAAGTTCCAGTCTGGTATGGTTCTGAATCGATGAGGACCCCCAAGCGAAGAGGGTGGACGTTAGCGATCCATACTCTGTCCAAGCCCGCCTTATATTTGCACTCTAAGAGTCCGTCGAGGTCAAGACCCGTTGCATCCGGCCGTCATGGGGTACGACTCAGGACTAATAGGAGACCTCGTTTGTCTTTAGATGCACGAAAGTAACGGTCCGGAGGGCCGGAGGACCAAGAACGACACGGAGGGTGGCGTAGACGGGAAATGCTGCCTAGATTACTCCGAAGTTCATCCGCTTGTGGCAGTCTGGAGAAGTGCTGGCCGTTCTCATGAGGGGATGGATGAAATATCTGTCCAGAAGAAAGAATAAGCGGTACCCCTTTTGAGGACATTCATAGCTTCATATAGGTCAAGTGTGAGGAGAGTAGGGTGCAATCTGAGGTAGAGACGTCATTCCGCTCAAGTGACCCGACCGAGAGGGTAGTTGTAAGTAACGAAAGCCGGATGTCGCGTGCACTCTTTAGAAATCTAGTGACTGCCTAGACAAGTTTTGAACAGTATTTCACTACATGTGTAACGCGGAATAGTGTCAGCATTTTCGTCAACAAATTGATTGAAGTCAACTGACACTGTACGCATGAAATTCCTACCGCATAAAAACCCAAGAATCCGAGATAGTGAAAGCAACGAGTCCTTCCATATATAGCCGAAAAATACACCCTGTCTCTTCCCCACACAATCACAGCTCATACATCTAAGACTGACTCGCATCATACCTGCTCAACTCCCGTTACAATACACATTCCCCCACTTATCCTGCGCCACCCCCGGTAATCCACCGCCCTCGTATTCTCCTAGTGTAGCATCGATATAGCCCACCCCATAACTGGAATTCGCATTGAATGAAGTCGAAGGACACTTGAACCCTAGGAAATTCGGACATGCCCGGTCCGTCGCGGTACACGTTTCGATGCATGGTAACAGCGCCGTATAATTCGCGCTAAACGGCGGCAAGTTCTCGTTCCTCGCCGAGACACCTGCAGTCTGTACGACAAGCGCAGGTGTTGTAGTGGTCGCAATTGAGACGCCGTTGGAGTTTGTAGCAACGCTCGTGGAGGACGTTGTGGTGGTCGAGGACGAGGACGGAGGGTATTCGCCACAGCGAGGCAAGGAGATCGTACAGAGCCATTTTCGGTAGGCCACTTGGCAGCCTGCACATGATTGGATGGGAGAGTAGAGGTCTCGACCGCAAGCGAAGGTGAGGAGGGATGTTGTGAAGTTGGTGAGGTATCCGAGAAGGGGGTCGGTCAAAGATGTCGGCAAAGTCGTCGAGTCGTGAACCTGGGCGGGAAATTCTGGGAAGGGGAGAGGGACAGCGTATGAGACCGACGGGCAGTATGGTAGAGAGTGGACGAGGGGACATGGAAAGGTCGCTAGAAGTTGTGGGGTATCATGGTTAATATAGTGTTTTAGGCGTCGATTGTAGTTTGCAGAGAACACATACCGGTCTTCGTAGTGAGATATATAGGTCCACTGACCTTCGTGCCATTCTCAATCGTGTATGCCGTATAATTTGTCCCCGGCGTCAAACCCCCAAGTAACCACTCCGACCTCCAACCATCCGAGTCCCTCAACCATAACTGTTGCTCGATGATCTGCCCCGAATTTGTCACGTTCCGAAGTGCACATCCCGTCTGCGGTAATTTCGTGAGATTAGCCTTTGCAGTGCGTGCGAAGACGAGAGAAAAGTTGCTGAGTGAACGTGAGGATGGGGCGGTAGGGAATGTCGTATTGGCGTCGGGGAGGGTGTAGTTCGGGTACGACGGCTGGTCAACATTCGGTGGGTCAAACGGATATGAATAAAGGATTGCCTGGTTGGCAGACGTGTCACCGAGGAAGGGAAGTTCCGTGAAGTACTCATGCACTGGGTCTCCTGTACACTTTCAACTATGAGGACGGACCACATACACCATATCAAACGCACAACGCACCTTGATCTGAGGCACCTATCTCTATACTGTCGTCTGAACTGGCTCCCCAAATGGCCAACGTGACTTTATTGCCATCTTGCACGGACAGAGTCATGTTCGCCATCCCGATGTCGTCTGTCGACAGCTGGTACACGTCTGTCCCGCCACTCGGTCCAGGCGACGTATTATCACTGCTATTGGACACCCAGAATTGCGGAATAGTAGTCGAATTGGAGCATAGTGCGACGGAGACGGACAGGAAGGACGACGCGGAAGGACTGGGGAGTGTGAATGTGGTAGGGTTTGAGGATGTAAGGTTAGCGGCCCCGAGGGATATTGGCGTGTTCAGTCTTATGGAGGACGATTGAGCTCTTGCTTGTGGTAGTGGAAAAGCAAGACATAAGAGGAGAAGCCAGACGGGTTCAGGTAACATTCCTCTCCCCATAGCTCCGTATAAGGTTTTCGTGAAGGCTGTACAATTGGTCTTAGAATGGACGAAAAAGATGAACCAATTGGCTAGTGTGACGTTCAGCGAGAATAATGGCTGTCGTTGTGTCCAAAATCGGGTTTTATCACCAACACAGGTGAGTGAAGGTTGGGTGGGTTGCGAACAGTTCGCAAACCGATGCCGTTCACAACCAAGTCGCGCTTCTTTCGGGTGGCGCTGGCGTTAGGTGGACAATGTGGCCCAAAGCAAGCCCACCATGGCAAGTGCACAGCAAGGTTTCAAAATTATGTTTACAAGCTGCATTCACTTTCTACATACCCGCCGGGTATACATACAATTGGACTGCTTCTACATGAAACTACAACGCCAAACAATTACATCCTCGCTCGTTCGCTCGCCTCCCTCAAGAAACAAATTACAACAGAGGAAGAATCTTGTCAGCAGCCGTGCTGGTGACCTGCGTGGAGTCGTCTTCGACAGTGATGGAAGATACCACATCGTCTTCGGCAACAATGACAGCCCGCTAACATACCGAAGCATTCAAGTCAGTGTTCAAAGTGTACGAGACAGGCTAACAAATTGCCACTAACCTTAGCCCGAGGCGCGCCGAAAAGCTCAGTGAAATCATGAACGAGGCCAAGCTGGGATGCCAAAGCGCACTGGTCATCGCCAATGAACCGCACCTCTGTAGAGAGCCACCCGATAGAGTAGTCAGTATCATTCTCTAAGTACAACATAAACATATGGGCGACGGTTCTCGGGACTTACCGGTACCGTTCGGCGCGAGCTTCGCTTTCCAAGCACTAGAAGAAATCGCACAAGACGTGAGAGAATGTTCACAGACAAGGAGTCGGCGTAGGATGGTGAGAAGTGATGTCCCGACATAACGGTTGGGTGAAAGGGACGGGTAATGATGCGGTGAAGACTCACTTCATGACGAAAGCGTCATTCACAGCGATGATGTAGATGTTCTTGACACCCTTGGCCTTGAAGGCTTCATAGTTGTCGATATATCCTGGTACCTCCGAGCTGCAAGGAGGTGTGAACGCTCCAGGGACGAACGCCTAGAACGCATACATCCACATAGTCAACGACAAAGATCGAGTAGCCATGTATGAGAAGGACAAACAAGAATGTTCCTGCCCGTGAGATCGAGGGTGGTGGTCTCAGCAGGACTCTGCTCCTTAACTGTGACTGTAATTGGGATCTTGTCTCCCGGCTTAGCCTGAGCCTTCTCGAGGAGAGTGGCGGCCGCTGCGTGGGCAGATTTGGCAGCGGAGGTGATAATGGAAGCCATTTGGGTATTGAGTGGTTGGAATGTAGATTGATGGATGAGTGATGGAGGTGGAGATGGAGATGGAAGCGACGACAACTTAAGCCTCTTTATACTTGCCCGACGTCCACACGTGATCACGCTCATGCATGAGGTCATCGGGATCCGTTGATGTCGGTAGACCTCTCTCCCTCGGTTGCAGTCCCACCAGGCACTCCAAGCCTTGTGTCGAACCCGAAGTCTGTCGAACCCAAGTCTGTGCAGACTCTTGCAGCACTCCAGGAAAAACCGCGAGAAGAGACGAATGGTGATAAGGATACAACAAATCCAAAATGAAAGGAATGTAAGTTACAAATACGGAAAAGAGTCGCAAAAGCTAGTCCACAGATGAAACGATGAAGTCCGGCTCCCGAGACTGAGAGTCCCTCCTAACGAATGTCCAAGAAGAATGAGCGTGAGCAAAACAAGTCGCAGACAAGACGAACCACCGACCCTCATCCCACCAGAACCGCACGTTGCATTGTGGTCCACAAGATATGAAGCTCAGATAGAAGTGCGTCCGCAAGGGGACGAAGGAGAAGACAAAGTACATCAAGAAGATCGTGCGATCCGCAGAGCTGAAGCTTGCTTCTCGCGATACTGCACCAGTGCATACCATGCGCCTCCGAGCAATGTAAGCGCGATACCGAGTGCGTTTGCGGGCGTGATAGTCAGATTGAAGAGCGAGACAGCACAAAGAATCGTGAGAACCTGCTTGACGTTGCCTGCAATCAAAAGATTCAAAGATGTCAGCTTTCAAGGAACTGTATCCCGTGATATGACGAAATAGAAAGGGTGACAAAGGCAAGAAGAGGTAGGTAGGACAAGGGAGAGAACGCACCAGCCACACCCATGCTCAATGCACCCGCCCTACGGTTCGCCTCAAAACTGACCACATTTAAGGCGAATGCTATTCCGCCATTCACCAGCAACATTACAACGACTCCTAATCCTATCACCTTTCCCTGTCCAACCACGGCTCCTCCTTGCAGGGCATCCAACTCGCCAGAGGCATGCGCATAGAATGCACACTGCACAAGCGCAAGTGGTGATATCCGCGTCAATAGGTCCAGCGGGTGGAGACCCAACCTGAACCCGCCTTTCGCTGTCCAATTCGAGAGCACCGTCGGGATCGTGGGAGTAGGGATTGAGAGGCGATGGCGAGGAAAGGGAGGCGGGAGGCGGAAACCTGCACGCGAGAAACTCCGCTTATGGGACGTAGACGTAGCGCTCGAGTCTGCGGAGGGTGAAGATTGCAGGACATTGGTGGCGATGGTTTTCAGCGCGGCGAGGAGGGTGCCGAGCAAGGTAAGGATGAAGCCCCAGAATGAGCAGTAGTAGTCACCGTATGTGGCAAGGCCGACGCCTAGTACGACAGGGACTAGAGATAGCAGCTTGTGTCCGCTGAAACGGCTATTGAAGAGGTACCAGGACAACATGGCCGTAAAAATCGGGGCAGCTGCGCGAATGACTTGATGCATCTGTGACAGAGTTAAAGGATATCACTTTAAGAACGAAAGTGGTAGAACATACGGGCACAGTAACAAGTCGTAACGAGACATTGCTGATGGCGATATTTATCGAGTAGAGCACGCTAAACGCCACGAGGACGAGGTAGTCGCCTTCGCGCAGCCGCTTGGGTTGAAACGCCCCATTGCGTAGAAGTAGGCCTCCTCCAAGCGAGCCACAGAGAGCATGAACGGTCGTAAGGGTATAAGGGTATGGGAAGGAGACCAGTACGTATTTGTTGTACAGCGTGAGGGAGAGGTTGAGTACAAAATATAGACTCAGCCAAAATGACTGCGAGTCGGAGCAGCGCGCAATAGCTTGCCGGAGGGATGGAGAGAGAAGCGACGACCATCGCGACGCCGGTGTCGAAGGGGACAACATCCTGGACAGAACAGATGATATGTCCGATCGAGAGCTGGAAGGAGAGACGGTAGGAAGTGGGAGGGTGTCTTTGTCCGAATCCGAGAAGCTGGTATTGAATGCGGCTGAGGTTCGTATACGAGTGCAGTACTCCTGGATCGAGATATAGGCCGCCGACCGTGTAGGTCTTTGATCCGATTTATATCGACGTGAATGGGACTTTGGGGAGGAGGGTCCGGCGTGCGGCGTGTCGTCTATGTGCATCCTGGACGTAGAGCCTTGCTCTGTCAGTTCGCAAGTATTTCGTCGAGCTCGGGGTGAAGGAGGCGGAGAGTCGTCGTGCGAGTTCGATCTCGCGTGCAGGCCATATCTGGAGGGTGTATAAGGATGTGATGACACGGGCGTGTTGTGTACGGCGGTAGACATATGATGGGCGGGATGTGTTCAAGTCAAGCAAGCGGAGGTTCGCACTGGAATGGAATGTAACGAGACCGCTGAAAGAGCCGACGTATGGATGTCGCACCAAGTGGGGTATCCAAGCAGAGAGTGGAAGGAAGGTAGTAGAAGTGTAGCCTCGCCGGTGGTCGAGCGTGTGGTGGTTTGAGAAACGGAGAATGAAGAAATGTTCTAGAGGAGTCAACTAAACGACGAGGCCAACCAGGATTGGTTCAATATCTTCAACGTCGGTGCGTAACTCTCGACTATGATCACCCATCACTTTGTTCATGCGCCTTGATTAGTGTTCGAGCTCGTCTCCGCGTATGGTACCGTTGGCCTGAGTCTAGGCGTGGCGAATGTGAGCGTTCTTGTCTCGCTCCCAGACCCCTTCTCGTCCACAATTTCGCTAAATGTTCAACCACTATCAGGGCAACTACTCTTTGTCTGGCGCTTTCAGTCCCCTCTCGAAACTTATTGTCTGCCTCGTCATGCTTCGAGGCCGACACCGTGGTTTGCCCGTTGCCATTGACCGCGCCGTTGTCCTTCCTTTCGAGTTCAGAAATTCTGATGAGGACATGGCTCCTGGGACGGGCAGAGGACAAGGACAGGATAGGAGTACGAGCCCGATGTCGAGAAGGAGACCGAGCGTTACGAGTTCAATGATGCCGGGGATGGGGCTAAGCGGTGGGATCATGCATAATGGAGGCGCTGATGGTGTATCACCTCCCGCTGGTGGCCCTGGTGGAGAGAAGGATGGCATGCCAGGGGTTCCGAACGAGCGGAGGAAGAGGAGGTCGTCATCGAGGCTCAGTACACTTGGTGATAGACTAGGTGGGATTGTGGGTGGTGCGGGGAACGGCGGGGGCGCGGCTGAGGACATTGTTGTTCGTGAGAAGAAGTCATGATGTTCACGCTCTAGAACACTCTTTCACTCTCTACACGTATGGTTACGATCTATAGATGGTTTCGTTGCATGGCTTGTTTGTGTCTGACTTTTTGAGTGTTTTGCTTCACGCTGGACTATAATCTTGGCCGTATGCGCTGTGTTTTGGTTTCGCCCGGGGTGGCGTACGAACCTCTGCCACTAAGAATGGTTCAATAGAAATATACCACACCTTACTATACACATCACAGAAAATCAAGACTCAGATGGAACTTGAAGGGCTTGAGTGGCACAAGTGGCGCAGGAAGCATTCCGTTCCCACGGCTGCTGTAAATATTTCCGATGTCATGGCAGCCCCAAGTACCACAAGTCAGCCGATTTCCGTCCACTCATGTTTTCCTCTAAGTCAAAGTTGAAGACCCACCTCGATGATGCAGACCAAGAACAACCCTAGTCCTAGCCACCACATGTCTACATAGAGTTGAGGACCAAATCCAAACCATGAAACGGCGAATTCAGAAGGGCACAGCGTCGTAAAACTTGCTTGTAAGGAATGACATACCGAAGGCCAACTGCTTCCTCGCATGCATAGTCAAATAACGACTCCACACCGTCATCCTACTTCCCTGCGCGGCGATACGTGCAAACTCAGCCTCCTCGTCCTCCTCGTCTTCATCGTCCGATTCCTCGTGGTAGATACCCAGCGACTTTTCCTCGTACACGTTTGTCGAACGGACACTATCATAAATAGACGGAAAAATATGGCTGTCAATGTATGCAGGGATACTACAGGGAACGGTATTGCGTACCTCATAGCGATAGGGTCTGTTCGTCATGCGACAACCACTGGTTTAATTATGATCTCGCAATATGATAGAACGAAACGACCCACAAACGCTGATATACATCATGATGACATACAAGACCCTGTTCCAGATACAATATCAACGACACACTCCAACTCTGAAGAACACAGAAAGGGGAGGGACGTACTTGACGGCAGGCGCAAGCGCGGACAAAGTGACCGTCCCGAATCCAGCGGCGCGTACGGCTGTAGCCTGTAACAACCCGTCTATGAAGCGGACACCGAGGGGTATAGTGTCGATGGCTTGGTTGCCAATGTCGAGGACAAGAAAGAAAAACCAATCGGTCGCACTATAGAAACCCAATTGGAGTCCCAAATTGACTGATCAGTATCTATCTTTCGCGATACGTGAAACGGACGGAACGGGGAGACGAACTTTAAAAATAGTAGTACTGTAAGAAGAAACCATGTTTGGTGGGACGGGAAAAGGTATATGAAACAGCGGCGTGGGTGGTCTAACAAGAAATGCAGAGTCTCGCTTGATTGCGAACGAGATGGGAATATTTTGGTCAAAGACCAGCTATGCCGAGAAGTACGTTGTCAATATAAAAGCTCAGTAAAGTGACATGAGAGCAACATACATCGTGAACCGTAAGCTGTCGATCAAGAAAAGTTGTCAGTACGTTGAGTAGATTCAAAAGGGATTAGAGGTTGAATACGGACAATATGGGCTATAAGTGAAGTCAGCAAAGAGACCAAAATAGATTATTGTGAAAAACTTACAAAAGCCGTGTTACCGGCAAGAATAAGGATAACAAGAACAACGATCATGGGATAGGCTTTCTGAAAAGGTATCATCGATTTGTCGCATAATGACATGCCTGTGTTTGTGTAGGCTGAGACGACTTGGAAGGCGGAGAACCTAACCACCAATCGAAATCATGAAGATGAGATGATAACAAGTCGTAGGAAAAGAGTTTTTACCATCCAGGTGGGACAAATCTATGCTGATCTGGGGGAGACAAAGCTTCCCGCCATTTGTGTAGAGTCATGTAGGGACCTATGATTGTCAACGCCAGGGTCTGGACTAATATGTGATACTGTTGAAAACCCAGTTTCATCGACTGCTCCCCTTCGACAAAGAAGCCAGGAAAAAGAAACTCACGCCGGCGACGATCCATAACAAAGCGGTCAAGGCGCGATACTCGACGCCACCGAGCTCCTCCAATTGTTCATTCGTGAGTGAATGGAACACAGAGTTGCGCCCGACGACAGCATCGAAGGAGATGTACGGCACGACTCTAGCCGTCACACCGGGTTGACGCTGCGATGTTACAGTCATTGTCCGAGGCATGGTAAGTGTGCGGTTAAGGCGACGATTGGCGTCAGGAAAGAAATGTTTTAGGAGGCTTGAGATTATTTCGTGTGGCCAAGGAAAACCACCAAAGCCGGTTTGTTTGGCACGGACACTCGCGGATGTGTGCATGGTCCCAGTGCGATCGAGCGTGGGATATCGCCGTACGGTGCCTCTTTGAGAGCCTGACGAACGTGCATGAGGCAGCATTCGGAGAGAAGAAAACAAAAAGTGCGATCATACGTTGGTCACCTTGGCTTTCAGACGCAATTGTATCGATGGTAGGCCGGCGAGTGAGGTTTTCGTGATTGTCCTCGATGGCTGTCGTCCGGTGCCGTCGAGGAGTGGGAGCGAACTCGACGGTTTGTGTACGAGGCATGATCCCTGAGCGAGCAATGGTCGTAGATACGCTGGTAGGGTTCTGATCGTCAATCCGGTGGGATCCGTCGTTCTCGTCTGGGCCAACGACCTTTCAGGTAAGATCAATACGATCATCATCAAAGCGGCTCACCTTGCGATAGAGACCGACGCCTATCCCTGGCTGAGGAAGCAGACATGCGACGGCTGGCGCTACGAGGGATTTTAGCTGCCTTATATAGGGTACGGACCTGTCCTGAAGACTTACCGCTCAGCACTGTCAGATGAAGGTTGCGACGACGTCTCACTAGACACCACTGGATCCCCATTACCTGCGAACGATAAGTGCCGAGTTGTCTCATTCTGCTCTGGCTCTGGCTCAACAGGTATGACTTTGAGAGGATCCGTGCGTCCTTCGCTAATCCATCCACTCGGGTTTACCAACTTGGGTGCATCATCGATTCTCCGAATCATGTCCGGACGAAGGCGAGGGGTCTCTCCACCTCTGGACCTGCTTCCTTTCATGCTAGCCGTTGTCGGAGTAATGTTTCCACTTTCGTTCTCTGCGATCGTACTGACGCTCCGACGACGAAGCAAGAAGTCCAATATACGAGTTCGGAAGGACGTCGGGACTTCGACGAGTTGACCAGGCTCTTCGACAGCGACACGGCGAGCCGCGTTCCGCACGATATCTTCGCACTGTTCTTTGAACATGCGTCTAATGTCGGCGAATTGTGAGCATGGGCGAGTACGGGAGCGCACCACGATCTGACCTTCGAACGTATACCACGACCCACGAGATGATAACCTTGTATTTTTTTCGTCGCCGATCAAACGCCTATTCCCAGCACAGAAGTATATAGTGAGGCAGCTCACCGGATTCCCCAAACACATCTGAACGAAGAGAATGGTCTGCTGCCATCCCGTCAAGCTAGAGAGGTCCACCGTCGCAAGCCCACAGACGGTCATGGCGCTGACGCTGTTGAAGAGTGCGTCGATGTAGCTGATGTGGTACTCTCCATTGCTCGCATAGAATATCGCGGAGAAGATCAGTGGGGAGAAAGTGCTGTTAATGTGTGAAGGTGGTCAACCGTCTGGAGTGGTCCCATGAATGGATGGATGACGCGCACAAGTAAACAAGATGAATGCGGAAGAAATTCAAATGGTTTTTGAAGGGGACAGTGAACATCGGGCCGCGCACTTGGTCTTAAAGACCGGCGACTGTGTAGGTCGTAATCACAGGATGGGAGTGTAGCAGTAGGCCGGGGGTCAAGAGTGAGTATGTGGACAACAGAAGGTGCAGGCTGTGTACAACATCTACCATGCAAGGCGCATATTATCTCACATTTTACGAGCCTTTCGCCACGTGAGCGGAAAAGATGTCATCATTCCACTCGGCACTTTCCTCGCAATGAAGATCAGGCACACGGCGCGAGCCACTCAAAGCATCCTGGTTTCCGCTTTGAAACTAACCAAGTCTCGGGATGGCACAACTCTCGGAGCGGTGAGGTAAAACATTCAAAGATTCAGTCCATAAAAAGAGGCTGTAGGAGGAGGAGCGTGTTTTCTTTGGAAGAAAGTGCCGTGAGTGTTGCTCTGGGCTTGCAGAGAACGTAGAGGCCGGGATTGCACAAGTCTTCTTGAGCGGTACGTAGATGCATGAGTTGACACACCGATTGCAGATGCAGTATTATTTGGCGACCTTCCCTAAACATGCAGTTCATCCATCATGCTCGCGACCTCACCTTCTGTTTCAGTCCCCATTCCACCCATCCAGTCTTCGTCTGTTCCGAATGTCCTGGCGGGATATATACACCCCAAGTAATGGCATAATGCTCCAACACAAGATCGAGCTCCTCTATCTCATCCAACATTTCGAGGGTGGTAAGTCTGCTCATACAGTCGTGTCAGCAAAACCGATACCGTAGGGCACAACTAGAGGCACTGCGTACCGCTCAAGCTCAGATTTAGATATGTATGAATGCCGAATGTGGCGTAGCGTTAACGCTCGAGCAGAAGTGAAATTCAGTCGTAGGAAGCGCTGCGGGAGCGATGCAACATCGGGATACGGCTCCGCTCCTGGAAGCAAAACATTGCGGGCCTGTTTTGCGAAATGTCAGAATCAGAAACCGTACTAGTACCACTAGTGATGAATAGACGATACCTTGAGGTTGTTCAACATGACACGTCCGAACGAATCTCCGAGTCCAAACATCTCATAAACAACGGCCCCAAGGACCCCCGTCCTCTGCTCCACATTGGACGGCGCGGTGAAGTAGTCGACAAACCAGCGGAGGAGGGCATCCGAGGTGGCAGGAGTAAGGTATACAAGCACACATTCGAAGAGAAGCAGAGTTGGGAGTGTTGGAGAGAGTAATGTCGGAAGGACTGTGGCGAGGGTGGTGGAAGGTGGATGGCGAAGATCGATGGGGAGGAGATTATAGACTTGTGAGCGAAGCGTTGTGCCCCCACCCTCTACGCAAGGACAATCAGTATCTGAATAAAATTACAACCGAGAGAGAGAAAGCACCAATTTTGACGTCTTGCCCTAGCAGCGAATTCATGGCGTTGTTCTTTCGCACTGCCATCGCCTTTTTAGACGTGTTCTCTGGGAGGTCAAGTTCGACATATTTTGCTACTTGAGCTGCATGCGGTCCTGCCTAGCCTAGCCTCGCATCGTCAGATCATCGAATTTTATACCATACTGAATAAGTGAGCCGCGTACCGCAAGCCTCCAGAACCTCGTATCGCTGCCAGCCCCCAAGCTGACGATCTGCACCTTCTTCTCCTCGTCAGTGTCCTCCATCTCCCCAGCTGTCTTCATCCAGTTCTCCACCAGCTCATCTATGCCCTGTGCCCTGAGATACGTCCCGATGTTGATCAGTGGCGGGCGAGGCTGTTGGAAGTGTGCCCTGGGGACGAGAGCCGAGATGTACGGATCAGCGAGATAGTGTTTTTGAACAGCTGAGAGGCGAGCCAAAGCGGCATCGTTGTCTGTGGCACGGACGGGGGCGTCGGCATCTGTGGCTTCTGCCTTGTCCATGGGTGCACGACGACTAGGAAAAGCTAAAGTTGGAGGACCTGTAGGTAGCATGATAACTGTCGATGTCTAGCTCCTTGTGGTCAGATGGAGGTAGATACAATTCGTCCAGAATGTGTGGCGAAGGTTCCGAGTTGGCTGTCCCAATCTAAGAACGTCAGTCAGGGAAGTGCGTTTGCCTCATGCCTTCCATGACGTCGGTGCTTTGCAATTCGCCACCCAAAAAAACTTGCACCGGCGCCTCTCACTCAGGTCAAAGCCCAAGGAAAAATACAGTGTTGCAGAGCGAGATGAGAAGAAGTGAGTGGTCCGATGCGAGGGTGAGATACCTAAAGAACGGCCGCTGGCAGTATGGGCTCCCCGCCATCGTGACTGGATAGGCCGACCCACCTTGCCTTGGTTGAGGAGTCCGGGGTCCGACGGTAAGGGCGCGGTTCCGACATACTATGAGTCGAATAAAGCTGTGGCGGCTACTTGCGCTGAGACGCGCTTTTTTGTATCGTGATCAGAATATTTGAGCGGTGAAGCAAGTTTCAAAGAAAACATTCGTTTGAGGCGTTCACTGCATAGAAATTTGTGCTGGCATGGGATCTGTTTGTCTGGCTGGCCGAATAAGCCTTGAAGGTTCCAGGAGCTGAGTCAAGAGGTTCGCTGATGGTCCGATGGAGTTTCTCCACACCGTGACCTTCCTATCTGAGTCGCCAGCCTCTTGAGCACGGACTGGCAATATTGCGGGGCTCTTTTTCTCTAATAAAAAAGCATATTTCTCGCCAATACGCCACAGACACTTTGGAGATGCCATGTAGTAGTAAGTTGACCGAAGAAATACGGTGCTGTAGCTACAGAGCAAAAAGACTGGGTGGCAGCTGGGTGGCGCGGGATTGGTGTGGCGCGACGGGGGTGTCCGGAGTCGTGGGGAAAGTGAATTTTGGAAGATGATTTCTTGAGATTTGTTGGGTACGATTGATCTCGCCGACTGTCATCGTCCTTCATACCAGGACAGACCCTCTGGACCGGACACCGCACGTCCCGTCCTTCATCCCCCTTCTTTCCTTCTCCACATCGTCTCCGTCGACGCAGCAGCTACTTAGTACGCCTGCTGGCAGGTCATTTCTCCTCAGAGACCGACCCACTCGCGCACGAGATCGCTTCACTTCCGACGACCACGAAAAATCAGATCGCTAGACCCAGACACTTTCTCTAGTTCGTGAGTTTTTTCTTCTCTTGTCTAATCCCTACCCTATATCTTCCTCTTTTTTTCTGTGGTCTTTCGACTCGTCGGTAAGGTCTTTGTTACGAAGCGGGGCGGATTGCAAGGGCAAGGGGGGTTGTGCGGAAATTCGGTTTCATCCACGATTTTATCTCGACGACGTCGTCCCTCTGGAGGTGGTCTCCACACCACTATCCCTGTGGATTTTTATTGAGTCGTCCCATCCTCAGATGCGTGCAATGTGTACGATGGTCGAATTCATTTATTGGCCTTGGCAGCCCCCTGCTCGGAGCTTGCTGGGTGCGAACACAGACGCGTGTTTCCCGGTCTGGTTGCTGCTCACACAATGCTCTGCATATCCGTGGCACATTCTGCTACGGAAATGTGCTGACGAGTCCCTAGTTGACTGTTTTGTTCCAGCTTTACATATAACTGCTCGCTGACTGTTGCTTTCACAGAATGAGCAAATCTTCAACTGCATCTGCACCGAAAATTCCTCTGCAGCTTCCAACGAAGTCAGCCTGGGCACGGGGCCCTCCTCAAAATACCACAGCGTCCTCCTCTCGCTCACAATCCCCCGCCCCATCAACTGTCAACTCGCCCACGACGTCATCAAATCCCCATGCCTCACACTCTCGCCGGCCCAGCACCCTCGGTCAAGGGGTCTCCATAAAGGAAGGGGTCACCATACCTCGGAATACCATACCAGCCGCTAGTCAAAGCTCCCCCGTCACTTTCGGCTCCATACACGATGCGGACGCTCCCATTTCATCATCTCCCGCATCAGCACCCCCAGTAAAGGCTGAGAACCCCAAGTCCTTCGGATCCATCGTCGCAGACCAGAATGGGTCAGCGAACAAGTCAGTGGTCACCAACCGGCCAGCATCGATGATATCTTCAACTCCTACATCCGCTACCCCTGCGTCGGCGCCATCAACAGTGTCCCAATCTCACGCTGCTCCGAAGCTCGACAGGAAAAGTATCGCAAAGCTCTTTCAGACTGCGTCTTCACCGTCGCCATCGCCTTCCGTTACAGATGCGTCCCCATCACCATCCACCCGACCACTTTCTCTCCCTCCACAACCGCACCAGTCAGGCCCACCTCCTGGCCAGCAGTATAACAACCTCCCTCCACCATTCACTCCTTCAAACATGAGACCTCCTCAGAATGGCAATGTCGGTCCTCCTCGGTCACCCGTGTTCGCGCGACAAACTCTAAACGGTACCAGTGGCGGTGTGGGTGTAAGCGGGCGGACACCGCCAGGCCCAGGTGGCCCCGCGGCAGGTCCTGGTGCCATGTCTGGAGGGATGCCTAGCCCTCGTCTTGCCCCCCATCATCCTCATGTAGGTCAACCTGCAGGAATGCCTCCCCAGCCAATCTGGCCCGGTTATTACGTATGCACTTCCTATTCATATCTTGCCTTTTGAGACTGATTCCCTTTTCGCTCTAGTATGGCTATGTAAACATGCCACAGGAGGGGTATTACCCTACCCCGCCATGGGCCACACAGCCTTTACCTCCTCAGCATCAACCCCCACCACAACAGCATCACCAGCATGGACAACCTATGCCTCCCAATACCATGCCTATGTCTCCCCGCAATCCTCCCCCTCCATTACAACAAGGCCCCGGCACGCCTACCCAAAGTCACGCCGTCCTCTCACCGCCACATCACAATCAGCACCCGCACCCATCACCGCATTTACCTCCTTCAAACCTCACATCTCCGCCTCCTACGCCTTCCTCGAGCTCGAGCCAACGCTTGAACACGAACGCCAATGCTTTTGTACCGTCTAAAAAGATTGTCCTCAAGGATCCTAACGGGCAAGAAGTCAATCTCGAGGCTTTGAGGAAGTCGGGTTCGCAGTTCAACGGCTCGAATGTCGTGGTGCCGCAGCCTCCTGGGTCACCTGGTGGTTTCAAGAAGGAGAGCAGACGGAGCCCAAGCGTGAGGATTGAGAGCGAGGCCCAAAAGCAGCTCCGACTGGAGGCGGAACAGAAGAAGACCGCGGAGGAGCAGGATAAGGTTACCAAAGAGAAGGAGCGTGAAGAGAAGGCGAGAAAGGAGAAAGAGGAGAAGGAGCGAAGGGAGACAGAGGAGAAGGAGAGGAAGGTCAAGGAGGAGAAAGAAGCGGCGGAGAAGAAGGAGCGGGAACGGCTCGTGGAGGAGGAGAGGAAGAGGAAAGAGGAGGAGGAGCGGGTCAGGAAAGAGGAAGAGGAGAAGAAGCAGGCGGAGGAGGCTGCTGAGGCCGAGCGCAAGCGCGTGGAGGAAGAGCTCGCAGAGAAGGCCCGATTGGAAGAGGAGGATCGTGTCAAGAAGGCGAAGGAAGAGGAAGAGGCGAAACTGAAGGAGCTCGAAGCCGCTGAGAAGGCAGAGGCCGAGGCAGCAGCCAAAGCCGCCGCTGCCGCTTCTGAGAAGGAAGAGGGCGAGATTGAGGAGTCCAAGCCTTCCGAGTCTAGCAAGGCCGCTGATGCGGCTGAGCTGGCTGCAGCTGCTGAGGAAGCTAGAGACAAAGTGCCCGACAAGGAGCCTCTCCGTATCGACACTGCCGCGGTCCCTGAGCTTCCGGGCAAACGTCGTCCTGGTCCTCTGAACCTTCAGTCCGTACAAGCTATGAACATACCACAACCTCTCCCCTCCGCTCTCGCCACCGCCCGTATCATCGAGGACCTTCACGAGATCTCATACCCGGAAGGCATCAAGAGCCCGAAAGTCGAGCTCAATGCGAACGCCGCCAAGGGCAAGTTCAGGTATGTTTACCACACCTTTCATCACTTGTCAACATCCCGTACTGATCATGACTTTCTCGTAGGTACGATCGCGACTTCCTCCTACAGTTCATGGCCGTCTGCAAGGAGAAGCCAGACAACCTTCCTCCGCTCGATGCCATCGGCTTGGAGCCAAGCGATCAGACTTCCAGCGGCTTCAGTATGACTCGCGGTGGCTCTGGTCGCCGCAATTCTGGCATGGTCACCCCCTCCGGGTCAGTCAGTCGCAATGCCTCTATTGGTCTTGGTTTCGTTCCTAGTTCCATGGGCAAGTCTTCCGGTTTCGCTATGGGCCAGTTCGCCACTACCGCCAAAACCAGCGAAGAGCGATTTGCTCTGGCTAACGGTCCAAGCCGTTCTACTTCTCTCGCTGGTAGCGCTCTGAGTGGCATCGCTATGGGTGGTGGTCGTGGTCCACCAATGTCGCGCACGAACAGCCAAGGCGGACCAGGTTCTGGAAAGGAGCGCGAACGTACCCGTAGCAAGCGTAGCGGCCAGACCAGGAACGAGTCGAACAGGGTCCACATCTCAACTCCTGCCATGTCTAACATGGGTCCACCTCTCGAGCCTGTTGCTCCTCTGGAGGCCAGCGCAAACCGATGGGTTGCTGGCAGTACTCGCCGTGGAGCCGCCGCCGCCGCCGTCACACCGGATCCCGACTCACCGGAAATGGTCGAACGTAAGGTCAAGGGTCTCCTCAACAAGCTTACCATGGAGAGGTTCGACTCGATCTCCGAACAGATTATCTCTTGGGCCAACAAGTCCGAGACAGAGAAGGATGGTCGTACGCTCATCCAGGTCATCAAGCTTGTCTTCGAGAAGGCTACCGATGAAGCTGCCTTTTCCGAGATGTACGCGAGGCTCTGTCGCAAGATGATGGAGACGATCAGCCCCAAGGTCCAGGATGATGGAATCAAGAACCAGGAAGGCAAACCTATCGCTGGTGGTCAACTGTTCCGCAAGTACCTCCTCAATCGTTGTCAGGAAGATTTCGAGCGTGGTTGGTTGCAAAAGGAAACGAGCGCCGCCGCCGCTCTCACAAAAGCGACGGAGGACGAAGCTGCGGCGAGGGCCAACACCGCCAGCGGCAAGGAGGCCGAGGAGGGCGAGCTTTACTCAGACGAGTACTACGCGGCCCAGAAGGCCAAGCGGAGAGGTCTCGGTCTGATCAGGTTCATCGGTGAACTGTTCAAACTGCAGATGTTGACGGAGCGTATCATGCACGAGTGTATCAAGAAACTGCTCGGAAACGTCGAGAACCCAGAAGAGGAGGAGATCGAGAGTTTGTGCAAGTTGATGACTACCGTCGGAGCGATTTTGGACACTCAGAAGGCGCATGCGCATATGGATGTGTACTTCGCTCGTATGAAGGAGTTGACGAAGAGTCCGAACGTGAATTCGCGTATGGCTTTCATGTTGCAGGTTTGTCGATTTTTTATCTGTTTATCGTCATGCTCGCTACTTACTGTCGGTCCCTTAGGATGTCATCGAGCTCCGAGAGCGTAGGTGGCTGGTGCGTAATGCTGCAAGCGGCCCTTTGACTATCTCTCAGGTTCACGAGGCCGTAAGTGCTTCCCATCCCATGCTTCGTATCTGTATTCTGACCCTCCATACAGGCTGCCAAAGATCAAGCTGCGAAGGAGAAGGAGTCCTACCAGCGCCAAATGAGCATGTCCCGCGGTGGCTCTCGTCGTGGCGGAGACCGTGGCGAACCTCAACAGATCGGTCCTGACGGTTGGGCTATTGCTTCAGGACCCAACCGTCCTCCGCCCAAGGCCGGCGACCTGTCTCACTTCGGCAAGATCGCGAAATCGACACCGATGACCTTCGGTCCCAGCAGCGTATTCGCCGGCAAGAAGGAGGCCAAGGGCCGCGAGGCTCCTCTGTCTCGCACGGCTTCTACTTCCAATATGTTCTCCATGCTCAGTCAGAACCCCGAACTCGCTGTTGAGGCTACGACCTCGAAGCCCAGCCGACCGGCGAGTCGCAAGACGAGTGTCGACCTGACCCAGTCCGGTGGCGTCCCAGAGTCCACACAACGCAGAAAGCTCCAGCTTCTGCCTCGTAGTAAGGCTCTCGAGGAGACGAAGGCGGAGGATTCCACCCCTGCGGGATCGGAGGCTGGCTCTGAGGACGGGCGTGGTGAGACTCCTGCTCCCCCTTCGATGTCAGAGGAGGCGGCGACAAACAAGATCGCCGAGGACGTCAAGGAGTTCTTCGGCATCCGTATGTTGGGAGAGGCCGAGTCGTACTTCAGCAGTCTTCCCGAGGAGCACCGGTTCCGACTGGTCGACAAGCTCGTGACGACCGCCATCGAGTCCAAGGCCGCGGACGCGCAGCTTGTCGCAGACCTCTTCGCCCAGGCTAGGGAGAGGGATCTCTGCTCGCCGGCTTCGTTCGAGGAGGGCTTCCTGCCTCTGGCCGAGCTGTTGGACGACATTGCGATCGATGCGCCGAAGGCGTTCGACCTGTTCGCTAACATGATGAAGGGTGCCGGTCTAGACAAGGACGAGGAGCGGAGGACACGGATAGCGGAGAAGTCGATGGACAAGGATAAGTTGATCGCATTGTTGGCATAGTTTCTTTCCGTTTCCATTTCCCTATCTCTATCCTCTTCTACTTTCTGCGTTACATTCTTCGTTGCTTCTGCCATAGACTCGCCCGTCGTCTCCGCTGGTCTGTCTGTTTGTCCTCTTTTTATTGTCCTTCCTGGTATTACCTATCGTCGCAGCTAATACACCGCTACACGTCGTTTACCCCCCGCCCACTTCCTTTCCCCGCCTGCCCGTGACGTCCATCTCACATTCTTGCTCCCTCTCATACACTCGCATGCATGTCTCGTCTGCCTCGGTTTCCGTCATCATCTTGTTATTATTGCCGCATCCGAGATCGTCGACCGCATCCGCTTTCCGTCGCTTCGTTCGTTATTCCTTCTGTTTCTTCTTTCTTCTTTACCTTCGACTTCTTGTTGTCCTTTTGCCCCGTACTTTTTTTTCCTAGTCTCTTTGCCCTCGTTCTTCTTCTTCTTCATCTGCGTTCCCATTGCCCTCTGCGTTCCCGTTCTGTTCTGTTTCTCATTCTCATTCTCATCTGTGTCTGTGTTTTTATTACCTTATGCGCATCCTCCGCATTTTGCACGCATCGCACGTCGGGGTGTCGAGTGTCGGTCGGTCTGTTTTTTCAGTGTTCAGTACAGTTTGTGTCTTACCATCCTGTGTAAGTAGCTATAGGTAGGTAGGTAGGTAGGTTTGTAACGCCAGAGATGGGGGTGAGACGGGGGGAGAGAGTATATCATAGTCTGCACGTATTTCACGTCCACGGTCCTCACCTGTGGCTAGAGATGGATAGGACAGAGGTATATATTTGAGTTCGGGTATACACGGTTGTTTGCTTGTGGTCTGACTGTAAGTTATGTGTGTGATATCAATATTTATTAGTCCGTACCCGTGTCGATGCAAGACATATATATAAAGCGTTAAGTACAACAATAAGGTATCGTATCCTCAACCGAGGTATCAACATCCCCTCAACCCCCCCAATCAAATCAAATCATAATCCCCCCCGCCCCCAACGCACAAACCGCACACCCCACCGTCGCCACCCAAGCCACACTCCCCGGCTGACTCGCCCACGCATAACACACGATGCCAACGATAGCGAGCACGAACCCGGCGGCGGTCATGAAGATGCTGAGGACGTAGGCGCGTTCGAGGAGGGCTGTGGGAGGTTGGCGGGTTCGGAAACCGGGGCCGACTTGTTCGAGGTGGGGGTCGGTGGAGAAGATGTCGGGCAAGGCGGGGGCGGTCAAGGCGGGGGCGGGGGCGGGATTGTTGGAGGAGGTGGGATGGGCGGGGGAGGGGGAGGGGAAGGGGAGAGTTGGGAGGAGAGAGCGTCGAGGAGGTTAGGGCGTTTCTTCTCCTTTTCGTTTGTGGTCGAGTCGGTCTTTGTGTTCGCGACACCGTTTCCGTTGCCGTTCAAGGTATTCCGCGGTGTAGGATCCGGCGTCACATGTGGATATGCGCTCTGTTTCTCATGCCAATGATGTAGCACGTTCCGTATACCCTGTATCGGGCCTCCCCCACCACCCAAACTCATACCTGGCGGACGGGACTGGGCTTCTGCGTCCGTGGATGAATTGTAAGCGAATGGGGGGTCGCGTTCACCTTCGCCTTCTGAAGGGGCGTCGGCGTCAGCGTCGGGATCGGGATGGGAGGCAGAGACTTCGGTCTGGGCTTCTTCGCGTTTTGCTTCTTTGAGTTTGTACCGGACGAGGGCGAAGGCCGCGAGGAAGGATACGATCGCTGGGGGGTTGGGATTAGGATGAGCTGGAGAAGGGAACGGAAGGGAACGGAAGGGGATTGAGAGGGAGAATGTGAATGCGCACCGGCGTAGCTATGGACGACGAGAGAGCCGATGATAGCTGCGTTGGCTGTTTGTGTGATTTTGTCGACGGGGCCGTCGCCGGTGGGCGCGGAGGCGCTGATGAGCTGGGCTTCCATGCCTGCGAAGAACGTCGTCTGCACAACCAGTGTCAATATGAAAACGTTCAGGAGTGATAGAAGAGAAGGGTGATTACGAGTAAGGAGATGAGTTGGAGTCGGTCCATCCAGCTCTGGACGAGATCTTTCATGGCTTTCTTCCGTGCTGCTTCGTCCGCTTTATCCTGGTCCTGCTGGGTCGCTGGCAGTGAAAACTCAATAATCTTATTCCGCAGGAATACAGCGAATCACAACGTACTGTGTCTCACAGGCCTTGCAACTTGTCCTCCACCATTACCTCCTCCGTCAGCAGCACCACTACTCTCATGTTCATTCCGTGCGTTGTCTACAATGTCCAGGTCGGGATCATCGACAGGCGAGGTGAGGACGCGGGTGCCGTCGAAGGTGACTTTGACGGACCGACGGGTAGCGCTGGAGGTATTAGTGCTGGGGGTGTTGGCGGTAGGAGACTGGGCTCCTGATGCATAGGCGGAGGATGGAGGTTCGGTTGTGGTCGGTGCGCGAGAGGCGCGGGGACTGACGACTAGGAAGAATTAGAGACTTGTATCTGAGATATGGAAGGAAGCTCACGGATGGACATGGGGAGGGTAGCGAGGGATATTCGGGCAGAGAACGCGGGGTATAAATAGAGGTGAGAGCGCTAAAGGTTAGGCGGAGGGAGTAATTGACATTCGCATGATGGAGACATCATCGAGCAGTCGACCTGACCGACTCACGTCACCGCCTCTTCTCGACAGTCGACTATAGCGAGAAGAAATATTGCTGTGTATGGCCATCATAATGTAGAGAAGAGGAGAGCGCTTTGGAGGGGCCAAGGCGCCGGCAACACTCAGCCACCGATCGCGCGTTGCAGCTGCCGAGCGCACGCGCCGCTCGCCACTTCTGTGCTCAACGACGATGAACAGGCTCTGCGCTCGCTCGCTCCTCTGCTCTGCTCGTCCTCTGCCGCTGTCTCGCACGTCCTGTGGCCTCTCTCTCCGCCTCCGTGCACATCTCTTCTCCACCTCGAGAATACTTCTTGATCCTTCCGACGTATCCTCCACAAATCCCACCACCACACAAACCCCACCGCCAACACACACAAACTCGCGCCATGCCCCCGACGCCTCCCCAACCGACCCCTACATCATCTACCAAGGCCCCCTCGCGATGACCTACCGCCGCCTCAAACTCTTCTCTCTCTCCTCCCTCGCCCTCTCCGCCACAATCTCCCCCTTCTTCTTCCTCGTCGAATCCTCCCTCCCCTTCTCCGTCCGCCTCATCCTCGTCGGCATCACCCTCGGCGCATCTTCTATCCCTACCGCACTCGTCGCATGGGTCGGAAAATCCTACGTCACCGCCATCCATCGCATGCCACCACCACCCAGTCCTTCCGCAGGGTCAGGAACAGTGACAGAGGCGGACCCAGTGGCGGGCGGAAGCGTCCTCGAGCTCACCACGCTCAACATGTTCCTCCAGCCCCGCATCACCCGTATCTACGACCCCGCCTTCATCGCCGACACCGACCGTCCCTTTGCGAAATGGGAGCTCGCCGACATGGTCCAGTTGCCGAAGGAGGAGATGGAGCGGGCGGGGGGGAGCGGCGTGCCTGTACCCGGGAGCGAAGAGACCGTGGCGGAGACGATGGATAAGGCTGGGAATGTGCTTGGACGGTGGATCGTGAGGTGGGAGCAGGGTGGGGAGGGGAACTGTAGACGGGAGGGAAAGATTCTGCAGTGCGTTCTTTTCTGTTCTTGAAAGGCACGGATGCTCATTGGTATGCTAGGTACTTTAACCTGCACGAGGAGCTCATCTCGACTTGGGTCCGGTAGCCCCGCCACACTTGCTTGTCTACTTATGCTTCATCATTCCACCTCTACTCTACACATACTTCACACTACCCGATGTAACTTATGCATGCACCCTTCTTGCTTCTATTCATTCCATCCATCAGGCTCGCAGGCTTTACAATCAAAAGTAACCTCCCCACCCACATCAAAACGCCTCCCTCCCCGTCTTCACACTCCGCACGATCCCCCTCTCCGCAAGCCCCTCCAACAAATCCAACAACATAAAATCGCAGCCCCTTCGCGCTACTATACTCACCGTCACAGGCAACTGTTCCGTTTTTCCCGTGATGGTGGAGTTGAACGGGATTTGGCCGACTGTGGGTATGATGGCACGTCAGTTTATTTTATTCATTAGGAGGAACGGAGAGGTAAGGAAGGTATAACGCACTCGGAACGACCATATCCGGCGACCTTCCCAAATCCCCGATATGTCCACTCCACCACCCAAACGGCGGTGTCCCACTATCCACACGTCCACACAAGTCGGTTCAGTTAGCTAGAGCCACAAATGGCGTGGCGAGAGGGATGGTATGGAATAGATAGAGGCGGACGTACGCATTCGGATAATAGACCTCCCGACTAGTGTACGCACCCGCGTTTTGTCTGTACATAGGTCGATGATTCGGCGGTCAGTCTCTCTCTCACACACACCCACTCACGGTGCACGCAGGACGTACGGGTAGAAAAAGAGACTATCAGAGCACGATCGTGCGTCCTCGTGAAACTGTTCGGCCAGTCCAGCCGTCAATCGCATTCGTCCACATTGTGACGAGATAGTAAAATTAAAGTGGTGCACGTTGGGAGGGAGGAATAGTAAAGGGATGAAAATGAAAGGCTCACAAACGTCCCAGACACCCAATCCTCGAACGTTTCCCGTTCATGCAACGCCGTGGCGTACCCATCCGCGCCCTGTGCTTCGCCCCACCTACCAACGGAACACATCATCGTTCAGTATGCAGACGAAGACATTAGACTCGGAGGAGGCTGAATACGCACTGCCATCTCGCCAGCACGGCCGGGTTGATATGCGGTTTGCGCCCCTCGTTCGCCGCCGCGAAATCCGCGAAGAAAGGTTGCCCGAGGACGGTCCATTGGTGGTAGGCCACCATCACCGCGTATGTCTATCCACCACACAATCAGCCTCACACCGTCCCAGTACACAAAGTGGCCATCAACGAACCGTGTTAACCCACACATCCAACCCCACCCCAATCTCCACCCCCGCCGTCTCATTCCAATACCCCAACACATCAACATCCCTCACCTCCGCACCCAAATACTCCCCCACTTTATCGAAGAAATCATCATAAACGGCCCTAGCGTCCTCTGAAACGCTTTCGAACTCGGACGAGAGGAGAAGGCGGGTGGGGAAGGACGTGTATGAGGAGGAGGAGGAGAGGGAGGGGCTGGAGCTGTACCATGATTTGCCGAAGGTGGCGAAGAGGTGTGGGTCGCGGGCGAGCTGGTATAACATTTAGGTCCGTTAGCAAGACGGAGAAGGGGTGCTGTGAAGAAAGATATGTACGACTCACGAAACCGGCTGTGTCGAGCACGTCCTGCATACATTGATGGACGTCAGAACAGAATCTGACGAAACGGAGAAATACTAACGCACGTTCAAAGGCATCACATCGTCCAAGCTGATCGCCCCCACACTCGGTCGAATCCCATACAGCCCATTCACACCCGCCGGGCCCCGAATGCTTCCTCCCGTATCTTCAATAAGTAATCACAAATCACAACATATCAACATACGGGAGGAAAATCGCCAGATTGTAGAGAGAGCGAGAGGGGGAGGGAGAGAGGAAGGGAGAGAGAGAGCGACGTACCAGACCCGATACCCACATCGATAAAATCAAGCGCAGACACCCCCGCCCCCGCACCTGTCGACGAGCCCGACGGTTCCGCGTTCCCGTCTCCACGGAGGACGAACGGCGCGTGATAGTCGACCCAATCCTACATACATACGACCCCAATCCCCATTCCAATACTCAGCAAAAAAAATTGCATTATTCGGAGCGAGGGGCAAAGGACTCGAGAGGGAGGGGTGTGGGGTACGTACGGCAGTCGCCCGATCCCCATTCGCGAACTGCACCGTCTTCGTCGTCCCGACGATATGTGCCCCGAGGTCCATGAGCTTCGATACAGCCGGTCCCGTCGCGTTCCTCGGCGGGTAGAGCGAGTAGAAATGTCGATTCCCTGCGCTCGCTTTCAGGCCTTTCACTGTAGACCATCCATCGAGTCAGCGGAAAGAGCCTCCCAGGTACTTGAACTGGATGGGAGAAACTTGAAGGAGTGCTCACGGTAATAAATATCCTTCACGCTAACCCTAACGCCCGCCAAAGGCGCCTCGGTCTTGTTCTTCGACATGGCGTATATCTTCGAGGGAACGCCGATGTAGGGCGACGAGTCGGTGTCGAGGGAGGCGGAGACGACGACGAAGGAGCCATCGGATTTCGGCGTGACGGACTTGAAGAAACTCTATGAATCCACCACGATATCTGTAAGTATGAGCGGTGAGGAGGAGTCGGGTAACGCACTTGTGTGACGTCGAAGTGCAGACGGAGGGGTGTATAGACCGCAGGACTCCCTGTGGCGTCTCTTGCCAAGATGTACGGGCCTGGTGCGAGCTGTTTTCAACAAGTGTTAGGAAGTGAACGGGATTGGGGATAATATAAGGAATGAAGAGATGTGCAACGTACAGAAGCCGATCCGATGTTTTTCGTGGGGATGAGAGGGCTGCTCTCCGTGGTGACTTTGCCGGACGTCAAGACTACTTGTGTTCCGTGCTCGCTGAAGAACGAGAACGCAGACGAAGACACATGTGCAGATCCGGAACTTGAACCCTGGATCATAACAGCTGCAACACAGCGCAAGAGATGAATACATCAATATCAGCCCCCCTAGCACGTCGGAATGTGGCGTCACGAATCATACCTTGCAAGAAATTACTGTCAAAGACATCATCACTCGCATCCCACTCTCCCACCGTCTGCGCTAGAGTCTCCTCCGTCAACGATCCATTCCCAGTACTCGCAAACACGGTGAACGGCACAATCTCTGCCACGAGCGGCGCACCAGGGAGCGACGCCACAGGTTCGGCAGGGACGTAGAACGAGCTATTTCCGATGGTCAACGTCCTCGAGACCTCAATTGGAGTCCACGCGACCATATCCCGACGAGCAGGAGCAGCAAGAACGAGCCCTAGATCATTACGAGCGAAGAAGCCTGCAGAGAGCACCGCGACGAGAGCCAGCGTAGTACGACGGCAAGCCATGGTCATCTCGCTGAGAGGACTCGGAGGAGAAGGCTCGAGGAAGTCAAGGTGAGCATGTTCGTCTTTTATATGCACGGATGTGTGTGCAGGGATTGAAGATAGGAGAAGCTTCTATCAGCAAGAGCATGCTGTAACTCTTGTTGAAGGTGGATACAATATGGAAAGGGACTGACAAGAGGCCCGCGGCCGCTGACTTACTTATAACGTTATGTGGCACCGGAGTCCTCTCATGAATCAGTCAAAATCAAATAATTCTTCAACGGACTACTCATGTTAGATCTAACATAAACTAGCGCAATCAATCCTTAATTCCTTATTAGGGGCGAATCAACCACATAGGCTCAAACATAGTCTAAACCAGATTGATTGAACACTGGCACAACCGGGGGCCACACTCGACAGACATCGAACATTAACTTCATTTCTACCAAGCGTCACATCATTAAGTATATCATATCCCCTCCGAGTCGAGTCTGCCTCCCTTCCCCTCATCCCAATCTACGCATCTATCGACTCTAAAACGCCGTCCTCCCCGTCTTCACAGTCTGCACGATCCCCTTCGCCGCGAGGCCCTCCAACAGATCGAACAACACAAAATCGCAACCTCTCCGCGTGACGATGCTGACCGTCACTGGGAGTTGTTCGGTGATGCCTGTGATATTGGAGTGGTAGGGGACTTGGCCGACTGTTCGCGTTCGAGGCGTGATGACGAAAATCGTTGATTAGTTAGGGTTCGATTTCGCCGTGACGAGCAAGTGTTATGTGCGGTGGGCGTGGTGGAGGTGAGAGAGAGAGGGCAGAGGGAGACTCACTAGGAACAACCATATCAGGCGACCGACCATGCACAGCCAGCCTTCCGCTCGAGTATCCGAAAGGCGGAGCAGCACTATCATGACGCGAGGAAGGTTTAGTTAGGCTCGTGCCATAAGGAATATAAGGTTCGGGCGGAGGTAGACGTACATTGATGGGTAGTAGACCTCTCGGCTTGTATAGTCACCCGCATTTTGGCTACCAAAACGAATAAACTGAGTTAATGACCACTTCGGCTGTAGGAGAAGAGAAAGCGAGACGTACGGGTAGAAAAAGAGGCTATCGGAGCAAGACTCCGCGTCTTCCTTGAACTGAACAAGGTCAAGAACAAATATCGTTCAGAGTCCAATCACTTCTAGAGATGAATGGATGGATAAACTCACAAGCTGACTAGACGTCCAATTCTCGAACGTCTCCCGCTCGATCAGGGCAGCAGCATACCCGTCTGCTCCCTGGGATTCACCGTACCTAGCATAACACAGATAGACAATTTTTTTCATCAGTAAATATGCATGTAGGGCCCCGGGACGAGTTACTCACTGCCATCGAGCAAGTACAGCGGGATTAATATGCGGGTTCCTCCCCTCGTTCGCAGCTGCAAAGTCGGAGAAGAACGGTTGGCCGACGACGGTCCACTGATGGTAAGCTACCATCGTGGCATACGTCTGTCCCACCCACCCCACACCAAAGTCATATCAGCCAACCAACTTCTAGCATTGGAAGCTATCGCTACAGAGCAGAGGGATAGAGGTCACAACGCACCGTATTGAGCAACGTAGTCAACGGCACCCCAACATCCGATGTCTCGTTCCAATATCCCGGAATACTGAAATTCGACGTCACTTCCGCACCCAAGTACCCCTTCACCTTATCGAAGAAATCGGAATAGAGGGCAAAAGCGGCGTCGGAGACGGATTCGAACTCGGACGAGACGAACATTTTCGTGGGGAAGGAGGAGTAGGAGTCGAACGAGCCGCTGTACCATGATTTTCCGAAGGTAGCGAAGAGGTTTGGGTCGCGAGCGATCTGACATTTAGTAGTAAAAAGAGGAAGACCGTCGCGGTGATTAGGCCTGGTTTCAGGGATAGAATACAGAGGATGGTGAGACTTACGAAGCCTCCTGTATCAAGCACGTCCTGAAAATAAGTCAACCATCGAACGTTAGTCCTGATGTATGTATGTATCATTCTGCTACAGCAAACTACGCACATTGAGAGGGACGACTTCATCCAAGCTGATCGCCCCGACACTCGGTCGAATACCGTAAAGTCCATTAACACCCGACGGGCCACGGATACTCCCTCCCGTGTCTGTATTCATATAAATACGAATGTTGTCAGAACTCCCGAGATCAGACAAATACGCTACTGAGCGACCACATACCAGACCCAATACCAACATCGACGAAGTCAAGCGCAGAAACTCCCGCACCAGCACCAGTCGACGATCCTGAAGGCTCCCTGTTTCCATCACCGCGAAGGACGAACGGAGCATGGTAATCGACCCAGTCCTGCGAAGCGAAGTAAGGAATTTCAATAAGGTACTCAGTATATGTCTCCAGAGGGGAAAGATCCGTAAAAGTAAGAAGAGAGTACTAACAACAGTAGCGCGATCCCCATTCGCGAACTGGACCGTCTTCGTCGTACCGACGATATGTGCTCCAAGGTCCATGAGTTTCGATACGGCCGGTCCAGTCGCGTTCCTCGGAGGATAAAGCGAGTAGAAGTGGCGGTTTCCTGCGCTCGTTTTCAGGCCCTTCACTGTGAAACCAACGAGCACAATTACGTAGAAAATAATATAGATAGGTCAGCGGACAACGATTGCTCGTATCCTGATTCATGTCCAAAGACTTACAGTAGTAAATATCTTTCACGCTAACACGAACGCCTGCCAATGGTAACTCGGTCTTGTTCTTCGATGCGGCATAGACCTTGGAAGGAACTCCGATATAAGGCGATGAGTCGGTATCAAGGGAGGCAGAGACGACGGCAAACGAGCCATCGGATTTTGCAGTGACAGACTTGAAGAAGCTCTACAAATCCGGTCCAACGAATACCACCAGTATAACGTCAATGCTAGTGGAAAAGAGCATCTGTGTGCAGCGCATAGCTTACCTGCGTGACGTCGAAATGCAGACGAAGAGGTGTATACACCGCGGGACTCCCTGTAGCATCTCTTGCCAAGATGTACGGGCCCGGTGCGAGCTGTTTATTTATAGATACATATACTTGATGAGAAAATCATTTCCTCCTGGGCTATGAATGCAAATCATCGACGTACGGAAGTTGTTCCGATGTGTTTCGTAGAGATAGGAGAGCTGCGGTCCGTCGTAACTTTGCCGGAAGTCAAGACTACTTGCGTTCCTTGCTCGCTGAAGAACGAGAACGCAGACGAAGACACATGTGCAGATCCGGAACTTGAACCCTGGATCAGAACAGCTGCAACACAACGCAAGAAATAAATACATCAATATCAGCCCCCCGACACGACGAATTGTGGCGTCACGAAACATACCTTGCAAGAAGTTACTGTCAAAGACATCATCACTCGCATCCCACTCTCCCACCGTCTGCGCCAGAGTCTCGTCCGTTAACGATCCATTCCCTGTACTCGCAAACACGGTGAACGGCACAATCTCCGCTACGAGCGGCGCACCAGGGAGCGACGCCACAGGTTCGGCAGGGACGAAGAACGAGCTGTTTCCGATGGTCAACGTCCTCGAGCGCTAATTGTGCTTTCTGCTCATTGTACGTGTTGAAGCTATCACTTCTAACACTGTAGGGTTTATTAGCTCACATTAATATCGTGATATTAGCCCGATGCTTCCTCTTCGGACAGTCAAGCAGGATGGGACGATACAGCGCGCTCGCGACGACAGCCATCATCGGCTTGGCCTCGAGAAGAGGCCGCCGGCCATGATGCATGATGTTCAGACGATGACAGGGCGAAAGCACTGGCACGGTACTCTTTTTCCTTTTGCCGCGAAATGCCGCGTGCTTGTCAGTCCAGTTGGTCTCGACACATTCGCCAGTTCATGTACAAGCAGCGAACAAGTAATAGGCTCCTTTTCGCGGACGATCGAAGTTGGTTAGCACTTGCTGAGTCGTCATGATACAATCAACCTTACCAGTAGTCTAGCGATTGGTACTGACCTCCCCGTCGCTTCTTGAGACTCGAGCTTGAAGGTATCAACTGTGCCAAGTATTGAGAACTTTATACTCGTCCGTTCGACAGCCAGGAACCCACAGTCGACCCCCTGATCGATTTCATACGATGTCCTTTGGCCGTGGGGCAGGAACTCGTGCCTCCCTGAGCGCACTCACGCCGAAGCTGCTCATTACAGTAAGCAACGCTGCTCACCAGACCGAGCAGGGCCGAGCACGTCGAGCGGCTCTCTCTTCCGTTGTTCCGTTTTACGAGCTCTCGCCGGTTCATATTTTTGCGTCCTTATCTTTCGCTCTGCTGTCATCCACCTTGGACCGACAGTCATGTAAATGCTGATAGAGGTTTCCCCTATCTGAAATCCCTATACACACAAGCACACTGGGCATATAAAAAAGAACATGAACACTCCAACAATTTTCTCGAGCCTTTTTCTCCGAGCTCTCTCGAGACCATGGCTTGCCGTCGTTCACTGGCTCTCGTCGCGGTGCTCTCTGCAGGCTTCTTCGCTCGTCATGACTCAGGACTCGCTCTCGCTGCTCCCAGTGCGCGTCGGGATATGGTCGCGTGGACCCCTATTGAGGTACAACAGTGGGTTCCTGTATTAGACGGAGCAAGTGCGTTCTCGTAGTCGGCCGAAGACAAAACTGGAATTACCATCAGTACAGAGCGTCATCCAAGTTCAATAATGGGAAGGCACATACCTTGGCCAGACTCAAGCTCATCTGATGATGCGACGCCCTCGATAACGAAGACTGCGCGCTCCGTGTCCCAGCCTGCTTACAGATGTGCTATCCAATATGTTCCTGTCTCCCTCGACACTCACACTTCCAACCATACCTGCCTCCGCGAACGTAGCCCCTGTCCAACTCGCACCTCACATTCTCAATCCACGTTCCCAATCCTTTCGCCATTTTCCACCTAGTGGATGATGTCCATGCCCGTGGTGAGGGTGACCGTGAGGTCCTTCTACCAAACAGACGGCGTGTTGAGAAGGATACCGAGGGTCGTGACCAGAACCACTGCCCAGGCCAAGACCAAAGTGAGCGGGACATATTGGTTTATGGTTCGAATGTTCAGAGAAAGGATGATGAGGATGACTAGGATGTGGATGCGGATGAGGATGGTGTCCTCGGTGGTGTGGATCATGGAAAGGGTAAGGATGAGGTGGTGGGGATAAAAATGACCATGGGAGGTTGATGTTGATTTCCAGCTTCACGATGTTTGAGAACATAGGAGCATGTAGTGATGGTGACTATGATTCGAGACAGTAGGTCAGGGCCACAACGTCGATGTGAGAGGATACTTCATGGCTTTTCGAAGAGCGTACGCACCACCTGTTTCTGCCCAGGACGCCCCATCCCTCTTGCATCCGGATACGAACGTACTCTGACCGAGGTCACACACCAGCCTACCAACAGCATCCATATCAAGAGCAAAGCGATCAACGACGTCTTGATGAACCGCTTGCTCGTCGGCTCGGTAGCGCGTTTCTCCAGTCTGCGCCTTGGGTTTGAAGATACATTCGTGTATGGGGATTGATGGAGATGTGGCGGTGGTGCAGCGTGCACGATATGCCAATGATTATCCAGAGAATTTGAAGGGGGGTCAAGAGGAGGGACAGATGCGTAATCTGGAGAGTCCGTATAAGGAGGAGGTGGCGTCCGAGGTCGTGCAGGCACAGACGGCGGTGGTTCAGTCGAGGTTTGGGCGACTGGGGACGGCAATTTTTCGCCCGACGAGGACAGAAGGACGTCGTCGTCGTCGCTGGCGATGATCATGGCGAGGAGGAGGTGGAAGATGGGAGAGAAGGAGGATGGAACATAACGAAACAGGTCGTCAGGGGTACCTCCGGCTATTTATATTTCATCTTAGCTTCCGTCCACACGACTTACGATGGTCGGGACCGCCAACATCCTGTAGATTTATGTCTGCTTATACAAGTCTCGTACAGTGAATTGTGAACCAGCAGGAATGCCCCACCTGAATGAATTTGGGTGAGACCCGGCGTGCGATAAGATGTGCACCAGGTGCGATGATCGCTATCAGATAACTTTTAGCTCCACATCTCTAGCGAAGCCATACTTTGTCTGGACGAGGTTCAAAAGGACCGGGCCTAACTGAAAAGAAGATTATGGGAGGTCGAGCTATCCAGTAAGCCTCTAATGGGGAAGTGGTAAAATACAGGACCGAAAGAGGCGTACGAAGTCCTAAGCAGAAAACGATATAGGATACAACAGAACTCGACACACTCACAAAAACACTGACTGCAGTGTTAAAACATACGAAACCTTCCACTCCCACATCAGATGTGCGGAACCGAACTCTTCCACCCACTGCAACGCCACTTGTCCCACAGCTATAGCCTCCGTGCACCGTTCGCGGTCAAGAGATGCAAACCAAGTCCCACGGGAGCCTTAGAGGGTTGCAAAAACAAGCGAAAGATATGTTGGCCGCGATACTTACATCCCCCGTCCTCGTCCACGTCCACGAATTGGCCCGCCTCGTGGTGCACCACGGCCCCCTCGTTGTGGGAGACCGCCACGTCCTGGAGGCGAGGTAAAGGGTCCGTCAGACATGATATAGCATAAAGCAGAAAATGGCTGTTGAGGACGTACCACGACCGCGGTCGTTGAGGCCTCCTCGTTGAGACTTGCCTGCTTCTCGTGCGCGGAGCTGTTCCTCTTTCACGACGTCAAGGAGTGTCTCTGGGACACGGATGTATTTAATCTACGGGTGGCAGAGAGGGTCAACCAAACTTCGGAAACATCAAAGTAACAAAAAAACGAAGGCAGCAGAATAGGGCGAAAATATAGAAGCGTAGAAATGCGGGGTGAAGGATGTAAGTCTTTGGCCAACGGGCGACGTACTGTTGAGCCACGAATGTAACACTCCTTGACCTTCCAAAACCGCTCGCCATCTGCACTTGTCTGGTACACTTCTCGGAGTGTGATATTCATGAAGTTGTCACAGTTGACAAGATGACCGTTAAAATTCTCCCCGTTCTTGAGTTCGACAAGCTTTCAAGATCGGAAAAGCAGAATTAGGTGGCGGTGTGGGGATGGGACGCGCACAAGAGCAATACCATAGGTTTATTCTGCGCAGCATTGAGAAGTGATAGTGGCAACTAAAAAAAGGTACGTATATTCAGTACCCGTGTCATATTCCATATAAACAAGCAAAATACCATGGTTGCTTGTTCGTTGAGAGGGTGAAGTTGTGCGCACGACGCGTCGCAGAACGCGTTTCTGTGGAGGGCCTGGCCCCTAACCCTAGACAAGGATTCTAACCATCGAGCCCCGACGAGCCGGCTCTCGACTTTCGGATGTTATTCTTGGCTGCTCTGTTCAGAGTGAGTAAATGACAGCGGCACCATCTCCTCTTCCCCCTCGACGTCCGCAACCTCACCAGGTCTGTCTCATCTCCTCTCATACTTATTCCCACTGAAATTTGCCTGACGGTAGCTTTGTGATGGTTATTGATAGCCCACTGGTTTAAACCCTGCTTGGTTCGGGACCACTTGCTCGTTTCACCTCTCATTTCTCGTCTGCATCTCTGGTCTACCGGATTTAGCTCCAATAGCTCTATAACTTAGTGTATACGGCAAGACCGTATGGCTATCATGATATCTAGATTCACTAAGGCGTTTATCTTCATCGTTCTCGGACTCGTGCGTCCTTCATCTATCCACTGTTCACATCACAAGCTCACGCATACACTGATATTTCCCATTCACAGCTCCTCTTCTCGTCCCTTACAGTCCTTCACCCACCATCTCATGCATATTTTGACCCGGCCACCGGCTACCTCTTTGGTGACGGCGGCGTCGAGCAATCACTCCCTCGCATTCAGAATCCTCTTCCGGGCTCCAATGCGGAATCGCAACGGGATTGGGCCAATATCGGAAACTCTCCCTCACACGCTAAACCAATCCTAGACTCTAATATCCCTCCCGTGCATGAAGTCGATAACCATATTGCTGGGGCGGTAGTGCCAGTGGACGATGAGACGGTACACGGTGGGGTTATTATGGGCAAGCTTGGGAATGCGACAGCTAAGTACGTCGGCTTGCCGGGGTATCATTTATGAGCGCAGGACTGCAGAATTGACTGTGTTTTTCGACAGAGCTGCACTGGGCCGTGCGACTTGGAAACTCTTGTATGTTCCTACTCGCTTGTAGTAGATGTCATATCTTACCATCTAACCGCCAGACATACAATGACCCTCCGATACCCCGAGGTTCGTGTGTCCACAGTACTCATCCACCTCGACCTTACTGAATCACGCCCGCGCTATGCAGAATCCTACTGAGGACGAACGTGCCGCGCTCAGCTCGTACATCCATCTCACTTCAAGATTATACCCCTGTGGCGAGTGCGCCGCCGAGTTTCAGAAATTGCTTCAGCAGTTCCCACCACAGGTGCGTCCAAACTCACCGCACACCACAACATATCTGTCGAAGCATGCTGAATGCCGACCTTCGTTGTTGTAGACATCATCCCGTCGCTCTGCATCCCTATGGTAGGTCTCCGCTCCCGCATCTCTCCTCAACTATCGATATTGCTCTTGCTTACAGCCATTACTTACAGGCTTTGCCACGTCCACAACCAAGTAAACGAACGTCTCGGGCATCCTATCTTCGATTGTGCCCACCTCGACGACGAATACGACTGCGGTTGCGGAGACGACCCGGCCATTACAACCACCACCGACTCCCCAGAAACAAGCTCAGGATCATCAGGTAACAACGGGAACGAGAAGACGATCATTCAAGTAGGTGATGCAATGCCTGGCATCGGAGGCTTGAGCGAGAAGAAAGTAGTCTTGACGGAGATGCACGTAGGCGGGACAGGGAAGGAGGTTGTTATTCCTCCGGAGGGTGCAAGGGATGTGGATACTGGGGCTGAGATGATTAGGGGTGGACGATAGGTCTATTGGGATTGAGAAGGTATTGGGTGTTCCTTGACTCGGACCTGGTTCCGGTCCATATTATTATGAGGATTTTTCTGCTGTATGCATGCATCGTTTTCGCTGTCCCTGTTTTGCTAACTGAAATGGCCACGTTCTTTGGTTTACGTCGTTCATTTCCGCTCTGTACATTATACACTCAGTTGACATATCATTTGCGTGGAGGCATGAGTACATCCCGTACTCGAGTTACAGCTGGACTCAGCGAGGTACGCACGAAGAGTGTTGTGAGTTCATAGATGCAAGCAAACAAGACATGCACTCCTATAGATCAGCATTCGATACATAAGCATATTTACTTATACACTAGGACCCCTCGTTCCCGTCTAGATGGTTTGTTTATATACAGATTCTCTATTATTCAAACCTCCTCTGTCAATCACAGCTTCGCGTCCTCCAAGCTCATTCCCAGCTCCCTGAAAGCACCGGTGGTCCCAAAGATGTGTCCTCGAAGATACCTCTGCCACGCTTGCTCCGCCTCTTGGAACGCATCGTGACCGTAGAGCCACGGTTGGAAGACAGGGTCCGCCCACTGGGCAAAAAAAAAAAAAAAAAAAAAGAAAATTGGGGTCACTTTAGAACAGACAGAGCACTGTCACTTGCAGACTTACCTGGTTCGGGTAGCCCTCAAAGAGGTTGTTAGCGTACGTGAGCAGTTGGCGGTCCCGCTCCCGCTGTCTAGGTCCATCCGGCATGTGGAAAATATCGCGTTGTTTCGTGGATCCTCGGACGACGCGGGTAGTCCTAGATTTACGGATCTGCTCGTAGATCGTGAGGACGTCGGGGACGAGTGAGGGATGTGTGGCGTGTGCGAATAGTGTGCCCAATGCAGCACCGTCTTCGACAGCTATCGCGGCTCCTTGTGCTCTGCAATCATAAGACACCCAAGCGCAAGAGATTAGACATATAATCACTGAGGACGGAAGGATGAAACACACAGGTATGGCAATGTTGCATGACAAGCGTCACCCATGAGCACGAACTTGCCGCCTTCATGACTCCACTTATCCATTTCCTCACTGTTCTGCAACCGCCACTTGCTCGTCTCCTGCACCAAACTCAACAACAACGTCAACCTGGGATCCCAACCCTCGAATCTTTCCCTCATTTCCTTCAGATCCGCCTTCTGCGTGCTCACCAGCTCTGGCAGGTCGTCCGGACAAGCCAGAACGATGTTGTACAGTCCACCACCCTTGAGGAGGTAGCAAACGACGTGAGAGTTGGGACCTGGTTTGACATTCTCAATTAGTTCCAGAAGCAAGTGGGTGACGACAATGTATACGTACCCATCCAATGATTGATGGAAGGATGCTCAACGAGGTCCCGGAGCGAGTCATGCCTCTTCATGTCCTCAGCTTTCACGATGATCCTATACGCCAAATCACCAGTAAAATGCGGAGGATCAGGATGTCCTAACATCTGCTCCCTGCAAACCGATTTCAGCCCATCTGCGCCAATGATCACGTCCGCGTCCTCATACAAGCTTCCATCCGCCATCGTAAGCGACGGTGCATTGAAATCGATGGTCCGGACAGCTTTACCGAGGAGGATCTGGACACCAAGGGCTTGAGCTTTCTCGACAAGGATGCGATGGAAGTCGGCACGGTGGATGTGATAGTAAGGTGCTCCGAAACGTTCTTCGTACCCTGGGACGAGGTTGATGCGAGACAAGACTGCACCGTCCCGGTACGAGCGAAGGACGGAGTCGAGGGGTCGGACGGAGACTTCTTCGAGAGCAGGAAGGAGACCCCACTGTCCGAGGATACGCGAACTATTGGGTGGGATTTGGATACCAGCACCAACCTATACCCATAGATACATCATTAGATGGTGAACAGATGGAAAAGCTCGTTCAGCACTCACCTCTCCGAGTTGTGCAGCCTGCTCGAGGATAGTGACTTTATGTCCTGCAAGTGTTATACCGATGGCAGCTGCTAGACCTCCAAGGCCGGCGCCTACAATGGCCACTCGGCATTGATATGTCGAGGGTGTAGAAGTAGACATAGTTCGCGCCCAAAGAAACCTTCAATACCTGGATTGATGGTCGCGGGAGAAGATGTTGTCGCAGGACAGGAGGTATAGGAGGGTAGAATGCAGCTATTCTTAAGATCCGAGTCCGACGTCTTCACATCATTCCTTGTTTGTGTTTATATCCCCTTCACAGGGCTGCGGATGGTCAGACGCCATACCCCGTGGGTAGCACAGAAGCGTTCCCTTCGGACGGCCTTTGCGAGCTTTTGCGATAGTTCTGCACTCGGGAAAACAAAACATCAGTATGTATTAGGTCCTCCTTGGGTCCTCCTGATCAGTCCTGGTCCTCCTTTTCGAATAAGGAAGATTAGATTAGATTAGATTGGTACACGGATGAGGAAAGTCCTGCCGGATCTCCCTGCCTCTGTATGGTGCAATCGGGCTAGTCGCCACCAACTTTGAACAAGCCGGAAGAATCCGTTTTGTGCGTGCGAAAATGAATATTTCGACTATCGGTTTAGTGGAAATGCTCCTTTTGATGAGGGGAACAGTTCCTCTAAACCGATTGTCGAAACTCTCAAAATTGAGGGAGATAAAAATGGTAGTCTCCCACGATTTTGCCACCTTCCTAATAAGGAAATAAAGGACATCGTCAATGTTTTTCTTTCGATTTTCTGGGTTTTCGATGGCTCGCCAGAGTTTTTGCCGCTGTCCAAATTAGGTGATGACTAATCCTTTTGCACCATAGATCCGCAGGGGCTCTCTGAGAGGAAGTTGGAAGGTGGAATTCGAACCTACATCTAGCAGTCAGTTCTGTGGTAGGGAGTACCATAACAATATGCGCAAGTCGATGGAAAAATCATTAGCCGGGTAAATTCTACTGTGAACTATGCCGTGCAAATCTGGGAAATTTGGTGACAGGTCCGCGAACAAGGAGGAACAAAGACGTTTGCTTCACGTACCACGGGCGGAGACATGGCATCACACGTTATAGCAGTATATAAATAGGGGCATTCCCCACGATGATCGATTCGTAGGCAGGTCCAACGGCGCCCTGCGCTTAAGAAGGGCAACCATAACAAGGTTAGGTTGCAATTCATCAGAAGATACAGAACCATGGTCGGATCCTAGTAGACAAGTCCGAACCTGTCCGAACACTAATTGCTGGTAACGAGCTACGCATACTGAGACAATGTGGCCTGGAGTGCATTGACTTCATATTGTGCGTTAGTGTCGTAAGTTCAGACGACGAACAAGCTGGATGGGGTACTACATATAATTAAATAAGGAAAATTCGTGACTAGCACCATCGCATTGCGTCCACCTCAGCGGCGACCTTCCAAACCAGCTCGTTCGTACCATCTTCCTTTTCGCGCCTGACCCACGAACCCTGATGCACCATAGTGGCATAATCAGTCAGCAAGTCGCGCCGCCATCGAGAAGACAGTGAACTCACAGTGTAAATCTGCGTCCCGATACCAAGCAGCATAACAGATGATTCCGGTCTCTTCATCAACATTCGGGCGTCCGCCAATCCGAAACGCTGCATTGGGGAATTTGGTAATGAAAGGCAAGACAAGCTAGGAGAAGAATATCTCGTTGCGACTTGGCTCGCAAACGTCTGCTGCGTGGCAGAAGGCGGTGGAGAGCGAGAGGGTGAGGGCGGTATCCATCGGACGTGTAAATGGAGTGTATGTAAGTTCTTTCCTGGTACGATAGCTTCAGAGATGTCGGCCTATGAAAGCAAAGAACGGCCGAACCAGGTCAACGTCGAACATAGGAAGGACAGGAAGGATGGGAAGAGGAAGAAGACCCACGATATCGGCAATCTCAACGGCGCAGCTGACCACTTTCAGTGCCCCGGCTCTTGCGCATAGCAACTCTAGGTCCTCGATGACCATCCAGCCTCCCTTGACCTCCCACATTTCGAGTCCTATCTGCGGACAACCTCTTACCGGGTCACTTCTCAGGAACGAACCATCGTTGTACGAAGGTGGTATTACACTGGTTTTCTCCGTCATACGCTCCACGAAAGACCTCGGGATCCATAATACCCCATGCGTGGAGAAGGCATTCAGCGCAAAACCCCTGAGGCTTTTTGTCGGTACGAGGGACAGGATCCAAAACCATAGATGTTCTTCAGTGGTGGCGTCTTCTTCCTGCGGACGGAGCGAAAGTGCAGAAGAAATAGAGAATGTACGGATGGTGAGGCTTCTCAATTTCGGAAATTCCGTCCGTGCTTCCAGTAGCGATGGAGGTATTCCATGTAGATCAGCATACACCGAGGAAGTCTGTGCAGGTGAGATGTACTCAGTGTCGAGTAATTCCAATAGAGGCAGATGTGCGACAATGAGGGAGACAGCAGACGAGACCGCGCCCTTAAGTCTGAGTTGTCGCAGCAGAGGCAGCTGTGAGAAGACAGAGAGCAACGTTCCTGTTGAGACACCTGCACATTTCTAGAGTAAAGGACACGCAATTTTGATTCGTCAGCCTTATTGCCATGCATCGGCAGAGAAAACATCTCACCCCAAGCTCAACCTGCGTCAAGGTGGGCGACAGAGTCGTACACCACCTCTCCAATACCCTCGGTGGACCACTCATGCTCCATATAGCCACCTTCCTGAGACTGGCTACGCTCTCAAGCATGGTCCACGTTTCGGACCCAAGGTCAGCATACGTTTTCAACGTGAGAGATCGCAAACCAGGCCGCTCATGCTCCGCCTGGTCTTGCCAGGGAAGCCGACCGAGAATGGCTCGGAGAAGGACGGAGAATAATGTCTCGCCGTGCGCATTAGAACCGAACGTAGGTCCCGTGGTGTGATGGGTCCCAATGTCGGGCGGGGTCGTAGGCAGATGGTGAAGGTGAGCGGAGATGGAATCGGATGAGAGCGGCGAATAAGGGAGTAACTGCGAACAGAACAACGAAGTTGGCAGCGAGGTGGGTGCCCCGAACGAGTCATCGGCCCATGTAAAGGAATGTACGAGCTTGCAGAGGGACAGCGCCTGGAGGACGAGAGCCGTCAAGCTCGGATAAGAGCTGTGTAGTGCACCTGTGATGCAAGTTCAGACTACTGCAAAGGGAGAGTATATAACCGTTCCTACCGTTTTCTTTGACATGCCTGACATATTTTGCGAGCTCTGGCCTATTTATGATCGACTTCGCTGGGTGACAGACCTGCGTCACCTTTCCCCGTTTGAACTAGAGCCACAGGAACAGAGCACAACGTCGAGATGGATCTGTAAGTGCCTATCCCCGAAGAAAAAGCAAAACGACGTACTTGCTTTCCATCTTCAACTGTCTTAGTGATCCGTGTTCGGCCTTCTACGGTCCGGTACAGCAGCGGTGTTGTTGCCGCGTTGAGAGCACGATTGGCCAACGCGGCATTGTAAAGATCTCTCAACCCAACATCCTCTTGTCCGTCAGCGTAGCCGACGCCACTGCCATCGGTTCCGATCGGGGCAAGATGCTCGACGATAAGGTACAGGATATCGGACGGGATGCTAGGACGCAGGAACATCGGTCGTCAAAGAAGGTGGCTGAAGGTCAAGTCAGAGATGGGAGGTGCGTTGCGACGGAGGACGTGAGATGCAGGTGACGGTTCAGAGGAAGGATTTGGAAAACACGCCGACAATGTCATAAAGTCCTGAGAAGAGAGCGCCCCGGGTGAAACGGGCAAAGAGAACGAGCGACTCGCTCTTTGCCACGCACAACTTTGATTTCTTCGACGAGAGCACCGAGAACACCGAGAAGTCCGAGTCCATCACACATCCTGGACAGGCCTTGCGCATTCTGACAGGACCAACACGGGATAAGCATTTACACAGAACATAAGATACGACATCAAGGGGAATAAAAACAGACGCTCACATCGGACGGGCAGAGCAAACCCTACTGACTCAAAACGCGTCAGGAGGATAAAACAACGCCACGGGTGAGCGACAATGTGCGGGCTCATGTTAGATGGTTGAAAGCGAAGATTGATTGGTACAATCACACAAGGGTTAGAACGTCGAGTTGTGAGATGCTTAGGTCTGATGAACCGTATTATTTCCCCCAAGGTGGATTCTGCGCTTTAGCAGAGCCATTTCATAGGCAAACAAGCCTCGAACTGTTGGAGCAACTACGGAAAGGGATCCAGTGATAAGCATCATATCAAAAAGAACGACTATCTTACCATTGTTTGAGCTGAACGCACAGTTTCGACAAGATCACGAATAGAAGATATATCATGAATTTTATAAGACTAGTGCTATAAGTTCAACGTGACTGAATCAACCCAGTCAATGAAGCTTCTCGAAACTTTGACAGCTATAGAACTCACGACCAGAAGAACCACGCTTTGGCTGCTTGCCAAGTTGTTGAGCCGCAACATTGACTCTGCTATTGTTCACTTCTTTCTTCAGGTACTGCTTCGTATGAGCTGACACCTCATCCAGCCTCCCATGTTCATTCATCTGTATCCGCTGCATCCCCTGCTCCACGTTGAATCGAAAGTAGATGTTTGGACGATCCTTGCACTGTTTAGCGACGTCTTGAGCCGTAGCCTCGCAGTCCGTCGCGATATGTCTCAGCGCCTTGGCGATCTCCAGTAAATGCAGAGGAATGATGCGGTAGATGAGACTCGGCGGTGGCCCAATGCCAATCGTATCGGCCTGTCCGCAACCGATGCTGATGAGACAGGCTATGGGCACGCCCGGGAAGACCGTCCCCGCTTCCTCAAGAAGGCATTTGGTTGGGTTATTGCGCCCCACCCCACCGTCGATGAACGGTTCCCTGAGACCAGGTTCCCCGATTTCTATGCGCTTGAAGAATGTCGGAGCAGCAGAGGTAGCGCGAGCGGCCTCCCATATCATGCAATTGAACGTCTTGTTCGCTGGGGCCTCGTAAGTGCGAAAGAAACGAGGACTCAGGTTGACGGCGGACGTGCAGCAGACGAACCTATGACGAAATCGTCAGAATTTGATCGGTCGTGTACTACGAAGCCACAGCCATGGGTCCAAGTATCCAAGGAAGCTCACGTCTTGCATACAGGCTTTTTCGGGTCCGTATCGTCTTCCAACATTCGTTCCTCGGGGTTGTACACATTCTCCGCGATGATGGTCTTCAATACTTCCTCGAGAGTGGAGGCCTTGTACTTGCCGTCACTCAAGAGAAATTTCTTCTGACCAAAGACGCGACCCGAAAGCCGTCCGTACTGCGCGATGGCATCGTCAACGGTCATTCGAAGTCTCCCCAGCATGAGCGCGATCAACCTGTACCGGCTCCTCGTGAACAAAGGAGAAGGAAAAGAAAAGACCTGGAATCACGCACCCTCCTGTGCTGGTACCACAAATCATATCGAAGTATTCGCAGGGACGCGGGACCTCTGCGAGACCTTGGGTAGCCTTGACCCGGTTCATGATCTCCTTGAGGATGAGAAGTTCAGAAAGTCCGCGGATACCACCTCCATCTGTTTAACCCATAATAAGTCCTCTTGCCTTGCCCATAATTCAAAAGAGATCTCGAGAAGATTCATTTAACGCACCGAGAGAAAGCAAACGCAAGCCTGAGCCCGAAGATTCAACAGATTGGGAGAACGCAGTGGTATCACTGGCCAAGCTGGAATCTATCATGACTTGAGACCCCTCCGATGTCGGCGCGTGCAGTCAAGAGTACCACCGAGCTAACCCTTGGAAGGAAGGCTGAAAGAAGTGATCCCGAAGAAGCCCTTAGCAAAAGAAAGCATGCATATATACGCGCCTACTTACACCGCCCCATGCGGTGTGATAGGACGAGTAGAGGAAGACGCAGGAAGATGATGATCTGCCAGAGGTGGCACCGCTTCAAAATCACAGCGAGTTCGAAGCCAGGTAGGATATCATGTCTAGAGGCATGATGACTGGTTCGGAAGACATTAAATGGAGTATGTGGTAGGAAGAAGAAATGGAGTAAATGAACGAACTCCGCGATGTTTGTATGGAAGCACCGGACTTTGGAGATGTTCACTACGTGAATCAATGATAAGCATTAATGGGGTAGTGGTAACCTGGGTCGTTGCCATCGACCCGCCGGGGGTTCGATTCCCTCTTAATGCACTGTATACTTCGATGGCTTTTTTATTTTTATTTTTCAAGATCAAGTATCCAAACAAATCATGGTTCCTCACTCTTTTGTATCGCGATTGCCTATGTACCAGCAAGAAAGCAGCGCCGAGCAAAAAAACTGTCCACACCGAGAACAGAAACCAGTCCTCACTTCATCCTTCTGAATCACCTTAGACTCCCATCCGCACCACGCATTCGCAACTTCAAAGGGGGTTGGTCGGTCGGTCGGGTTTGCAAGATGAGCTACGAAAGTTTACTGTATATCGTTGTATATAAGTACGTATGTACGCGACACGGAACAGGCTAGGCATCGACACGAACGAGATACGAGGGTACGAGGGTACGAGTTGTTGTCGTCACTGAGGGTACTAGTACGAGACTCGAACGGGGGTACTCTGAATCAGAAGGAAAGAAGGCCGTTAAAAGTTTAAGTTAGCCCGTATGCACAACTTCAAAGAAAAGGGAAATCAAAGAGGGGCTATGAACAAGGAGAGAGGTGGGGGGAGGAGGAGGGTGGGGAGAGAATATATTCAGAGAGGGCGAATGTATGGATATGGATACGGATACGGATATGGATATGGGCAATATGTAAGAATGTAGATCAGAGTCAGAACAGTGACGCAAATGTAAAAAATGGGATGGGCAATGGGATGGGATGGGATGGGACTCGGGGATGGGGTGGGGTGATGGGTACTAAAACTTGTGAAATTCAATAGACAGACAGACAAAATTGGTGATGAGAGAAAAGGAGAGAATGAAGGAATGAAAAGAAGGAAAACACGAAACGAATGTGTAAGAGTGGGGGGCAACCTTCAAACTCGAAACAAGCCTGCAGCCAGCCCGCCAAACCAGCGTGTCATCTCAGCCAAAGGTAATACTACTCGAAAAAAAAGATCGCTCTCAAACGCTGTAACCAACCAACCCGTACACGGACTCAAAAAAAGAGGAAAAAAGACGATAGAGAGAACAGATCAGACACAGAACGACGGCACGACACACAAATCGCACACTGCAATACCCGGACACACACGACGGATCCAGAAAACCCAGAAATACGACTCTGCGAGTCATCAGCTCCCGACCGGCGTCTGGCGGAGCGGCAGTCCTGCGTAATCTGCAGTATTCTCGAACACGTTGTTTCCCCACCAATTCACGTTGAACCCGCCCTTGGGGAACTGCAAAGGGGGACAAGATAAGGCATACACCCAAATCAGCGACGATTCTCCCAGAGATGGGAAATGGGAACATTGCAAAGTGAAGCGCGGGAGGAACGGGGGAGATAGTGAGGGAAAAGGGAACATTCACGAAGGGAAGGGAATTAGCAGCCTACTACGCACCTGCAGCGCAAAGAAAATTATAAGCAGCGAAACCACCGTCCCCCCATCCATCGCCGCACTCGTAATATAATTAAACTTGCTCCACCACGCAAAGTTCTTCTTCCTAATCAACCACTGGAACACGAAGCCCACCGCGAACCAGCTGCTATAATTGATCCCCACCGCGGGCGGGATGTACGACACCCCGTTGAGCAGGATCGGCGTCGAGATGTACTTCGCCCACGAGTTCGGGTACCGGCGCTGCCAGAGCCAGAACGGCAAGGGCAGGAAACAGCCGATGATGATCGCGTATAGCTGTGGGTAGTATATCGAGTGGACGCCGAACTGGCGCGAGGGTCCGATGAGGCCCCTATCGAACGAACGAAGAAGAAAAAAAGCACCGACGACGTCAGTCAGTGAGTCACAACGTGTAGTGGTCGAAGACAGATAGAGATAGGATAGAAGGGTCGTCGACGGGATCAGTAAGTAAGTTTCGAAACGCACCAGATGACCGAAGCGGTGAAGTACACCTGATTATGCGGACACGTCAACGAGCTCTCCTGATCCGGCTGGCAAATATCCGGCACGTTCGCGAACAACCACACTTTCGTGCCCACTTGGACGAATGCGGCGAACACCGTCGCGATCAGTTGCACTGTAATTAGCCCACACAAAGTATCGCATCAGCTCGGCACCCCCGACTCTTGAAAAGTTGAGAACGCAGAACGCACCGAGGAAGGTCGCCCTCGGCGAAACCTTGATATAATGGCCAAGTTTCAGATCCTGCACGAACGACGTCGCCTCCGTCAACGTCTGGATCGAATACGCCTTGAACACCATATTCGCCATCGGTTTCCCGGGACATATCGTCGCGGGGATAATCTGCGCGAGCAGGTTCAGCGTGATCTGTGAAGTGTAATGCCCCGCATCATCAGCGCATCAAAAGCACATCGCGCGCGTCATCGCAATCCAAATTGAGAAACAGTTCCGTCAGTTGATTGATTTGAAACGAAGGTATGACGACGGAAGGGGAAGGAAGAAAGCTGAACTTACACCTTGGCCCGTCATGGCATAGATAAATCCAGAAGGCAGGATATAGATGACTGGCAGCGAGACCGAGATGAGCAGGGCCCAGATGGGGACGCCCGTATGCCAGACCTAATGAAAAACCACAGGCCATGTCAATCCAATCCAAGTCCGCTATACCCGGGTGAAAATGACATGAACATACCTCCATCGCCAAGATCGCCATACAGAAGAAAAACACAAAGACGAGAGCATACCACCAATCCGGCACCTCTGGATAGTTCTTCATCAACTTTGCGTGGATATCGTCCTTCTCTACCTTGATCCTCCTCAGCCCGTTGAGTACGCTCCGTCCGTGGTACAGTATCGTATGCACGATGACGCAAGTGGTGAGCGCAAACGCGAGCATGTACGTGATCGCGTACGCCGCGGGCATGTACAGCGGCGAGTACTCGTCGTACGCCGTCAGGTTGAAGGTGTCGTCCTTCATGAGGACGCGGGTGACGTTGTACACATTCCCGTACTGGTCGTAGGGCTCGTTGTCGAAGATGGGGAAGTGGGCGAGTTGCCAAGCCTATCGCGCATAGCGTTCAATCCAATTCAATAAATTATAGATAACGGGAGAGGTGCTCACGTTGGTGTAGTACAATATCGGGGTAAGGATCCAATAGAAGAGGACGAACCCGGTGAAGATATGCACTTCGGCCCACCAGGGAATCATCAACGGACTGCCAATCCACGTGATAACCGTCCAATCGAAGGTGATGATACTCATGCCAAACCCGTTCTCGACGCCAAACAGCTGATTGACCACCACGTTGTTCGGTGCGATCCAGCATATCCAGGAGAACACGGACAGAGCCTGGAAGAGGTACCCGGGGAGGAAGAAGAAGAAAAAGGCGCCGCCGAAGACGTAGAGGAAGTATCTGTAGCGCGTTATCGAGCCCGTCGACGTGTCCTCGTCCTCTGCGTGGAGCGTGTTGAGCAGCGTACAGATGACGAGGTTCTGAGGCCAGACCATGCTCGCTGGCCACACCAGGAATCGTCGACAGAGACCGGCGAGGCCGAAGCCAGTGAGCTGTGTGGCGAGGACGAGGACGAGACTGAACCAGAAGCCGAGGACGATTTCGTAGTAGTATTCTCCGACGACGATGGCGGTGAGGGCGTATGGTGGGCCGATGGCGACGTTGGCCATGATGAAGACGAGGACGTGCTCCTTGATGTTCCAGGGACCTGGGTTGAGAGAGACTTCGTAGCCGCCGAGGAAGCGGGGAAGACGGAAGATGCGGATAGGAAATGTGTATGCGAGGAATTTGCCCCAGGGGTGGGCGATGAGGAGGAGCATGAGAGGCCATACGGTGGGTGCGGGAGAACGGAAGTAGAAGAATACATTGGCGGCACTGGAGGGAGGTTAAGGGATTGCAAGGTTTGAGAGACAAGCAAATGTGTACAGACCTTCCTACCATGTTGAGGAGAAGGCCGATGAACCACATACGAACTGTGAGAGCCGGCATTTCTGGGTCGTCTATGTTCGATACGGACGCCCGGACCTCTGCGAACGGACTGTCCTCCTCCTCGACGGCGTCAAGGTCGAACTCCATCCTGATAACATATTATTAGCACATGGCTCACACAGGGAGACATAGTGGATGCCAAGACCGGGCACGGCGGCAAGGCGGCCGCTGCGCTTTGAGAGGAGCTAGTAGAACGACTGGCGGGGTACGTACTTGATCGAACGAGATTCGTCGATGTCCTCCATGTCGATGTCCATATCATAATCGGCATCGAGCGCACTCGAAACCTCTGACATCTCTGAGACCTTCCGCCTGGCCTTTGGGCAGTCGTCTCGCATGTCCTTGTCTGGTAGGGCGACGACGACCTCCCGTCCGCTTGGATTGCTGGAGGCTGCTGTGACGGGGCGCATGCGATAGCCTGTTTCGTCGCCATGTACGAGGGAGTTTGATGAAGGGGGAGGGGACGGCGATTCTGCGGCTCTGAATGGGGGAGGGGTGGAGAGAGGGATTTTTGAGGAGGAAGGACCTGCGCCATGGTCTGCGTAGTAGGCGCGGGGGGAGTAGGGGTCGAAGGTGGGAGGAGGATACTGGATGTCAGAGGTAGCCTGTACGAGCTGATTAGGGTGTACGTGTGGCTGAGAGACGGGGGTTGGTTGCTGCTGTTCGTGCTGAGCGAGAGCCTGCGCGTCAGCGGTGGAGGGGGGGACGAAGGCGAAGACGTCTTCGTCGTCAGACTCCTCCTCGTCCTCCTCGTCGATGGAGTAGTCCTGCTCGTGGGAGTAGGGGTACTGGAGGTCGTTCTCCTCGGAATAGACGTCGGACTGGCCTGTGGAGGTGTATGGACGGGACGAGTAGGACGTGGTTGGCCGTGAAGAGTCCATTGGGGGCGACGTCTGCGACGGGGGGGGCGGGGACGGTGGTGGGAAGGGGGAAGGAAGGGGTGGCAGAGGAAGAGGTGGTGGTTGTGTGAGTGGGAAGCCGGCGAGTTCTTCGGAGATGGCAGCGAGTCAGGCACGCATCAGCCCAGCCGTGCCTGCGCCCTGCCAACATCTCCTCCACCAGCCATCGCGCCGTCCTGCTCTTGAGCCGTTATCCACGCCCTATCTTCCTCGCCGTCGCTGCCCTCGACGGCGTGCTCGCCCATCGCAGCAGCGCCAGCGTGGGCCACAGCACGGCGTCGGTGGGGCGCCACCCCCGCTTCCCGCGCTTCCTTTCTTCTGCTAAACGACCTCCCTCGTTGACAGCCCCAAGCCCCGTCGTCTTTGCGACCTCCAGATAACCGCACTCTGCTCTCGCTTCCGAACACCTCTCACAATCCCTCGTTCAGGACTGCTGCTCTCCAAAATGAAGCTTCTCGTTCCTCAGGCACCGCGTCATCCGTACCTTCCAATACAACATCCTTCAGCCTCTCCAAGCACTCTCCTTTCCGCATTCTCATTCCGGCTTTCATATCCTCTCCTGCCCGTGCTAGATGTCTGCCAACTCTTCGCCTCGACCAGCCTATCACTGAATCAGCCGGCGCTAGTCGATCATCGACCCCCTCTTCTCCGTCTTCACTCCTCCGACCACAGCTATACAATCCTCGGTCCTGATCTGCCCTTGCCCTGCCTTGCGCTACCCTCGAGGCTCGTCCGCTTCACCCGTCGATCCCCACCGCGTCCCATCCGCCTTAGTATACGTACCTCGAACCCATCTCTGGCGCTCGCGGCTAACTTTGAGACTGATCCACCCCTGGGCGCCACTATGTACAACGCGACGCCACCCGCTACGGAACTCACCCTTCACGATCTCAGACTTTACAAATTGCCTTCAACAGATACGCATGGTATATCCGAGTGAAATCCCAGACGACCGCGCAATGCCAATTATACCCCGACACCGCGTCTGCCCGCTCCGCCGAGTGTCCTCAATTTTCGCCAAAACCGGACGGTTCAGGCGCCATGCATGGTGCCATGGTCAAAGGCTTTGTTTAGCACTACACACCCGACCGATGATAACTCGACACGATCGTAAGTACACACGTGCCGAAAAGGCCTTCGCCTCCCACTCTCCGTCATCTTCCCATCCCTCTTCTCGCGCAGTCCTCCCCATCCTTTCCATCCCTTTCACTGCCCACCACGCTCTTTGCCTGAATCCCAAACGGTCTTGCCTGCCTGCCATCAACACCCTTCTTTCCCCCGCATCCACAGCTTCGCATCCTCCTTCCATTCACTCCTGAATCCCCCACCCTTCTCCATCCCCTTCTTCCTCCTCTTGCCCTCTCCCTCCTTCCTTTTAATTATGGCCACCCATTCATCTTCGAGCTTCCCCGCCCGCGGCAGTCCCCATATACTCCCTACACCATCGCTGACGTCCTGAGCCCACATCTCGCCAAACCTTGCCTGCTCGGGACTTGTGCCGCATATGTATACGTATAAGTACCCATGCATTATCAGATACGGTTCTGATACTAAGTTGTAACACCCTCTCTTGAAGGACGGGAATAGGCCCTTGCCAGCGATTCCATCCCACACTTCTGCATCCTGTATTAATATTCTTGCACTATTCTTGGCCGTCGTGGGTGATGTGGCGATCACGATAATATCCATGGTCTTAACTTATTTCCCGTCCAACTGTTGCTGTTGATGATTATGACCATGATTCGATGTTTCTCGTGTTGTCGTGTTCGCAACAACATAATACTCGAACACTTTGAATACTTTGAATACCTATTCCAAGGACTCAGAGTGCGTCAACATCAAGCCACACAAGTCCCAGAACCGTTCGGATCGTCACACCCTCCTGAGGCCTGAGGTCACAGCACCCCTACGAGTCTTTTACTCTCCCACACGACCCGATCATGGACAAGTACTTACAGGTACTTACCCCAACCATCTCACACTTCCCATGGTTCGAATCTACCTCATTCAACATCTTAGTACAAAGTATGTACCAAGCCTGCGAGATAATATTAATCACCATAGGCACGTTCGCTCGACAAAGATCTAGAACCAGCAACATCACTCATTGCCCAAACCAGTCCGAAATGCCCCTCCAGGCTCCTCCCCTGTGCCAGCGATCACGTACACACATATCCCACTCATCTGTCCTCCCCTGAAAACAGGCCCAGGGCAACACCTCACCTCACCTCACCGTGACCCTACCGTGACCCTACCATCTTGAAAGGGAAGGTTGGTATTGGTATCCTACCTACCGAGCTGTCCGTGCTCGCCGAATGCAGGGCAGGCTATACTAGGCCTTCTTATGAGAACCGAGAAACTTTGTTGAGTCGATACTAGCTAGTGTTTGTGTAGTAAGGGGTGGGGAGGGCCCGCCGAACGCGGGGAAGGGCATAGGTCTTAGTCTTAGTCTTAGTCACTACCAGGACTTGCACTTGACTTCGTTGATACCTGTGTAGTAGTAAGGGGGGGTATGAGGCCGTACGCACGTACATACGAGGGACTCAGAGCATTCAAATGGAATTGTTTGGATGTTCTATTATGATGCATTTAGTGAGGGCGAGTGACGAGTCGTAAGGTCGGGTCATTGAAATTGATAAGTCTCGAGGGACGAGCATGGGTAACTCGGTTGAACTAGTAGGTTCGTGGGTCGGGTTCGTGGGTATCAAGTAGTGAGAATGAGAAGGGGATGTAGAGGGAGAAGGAGAAGGAGAAGAAGGTGCATTCGTTGAGTACGTATGTCGGGATTTGCGGTGATTCGCGGTGACGTCGATGTATATGGTCTAGCGGCGTGAGAGCCAGAGTCAGAGTACAAGTGTAAATGAGGGTGTGAGTGGGGGTGGGGTGAGGGTGAAATGAGATAGGAGGTAGGATGACGAAAGGACATACTTAATGGCGAGGGTGTCAATGCCGATAGATAATCAGTACCATATCCCACCACAGCATCTTAACAAGTGGAAAAGAAGAAGAAGAAAAAGAAAGTGAAGAGCGCACGCTCTTCAGCGCCAGCCCCAGCGGAGCCACACCGGTACTAAGAACGTCGAAACCGGAAATCACCGAACGCCACAGCGCCCTTCAGATTCTTCCTTCTTGAACTTCTTCCTCCTGTGGCCCACGCCCACCCTCTTCGTCGAAACACCCTAAAATGTAAAAGTAGCTCCCACCGGCCCTCCTGAATTATCACAAGAAGAACTCGTCACAACGGAAAGACCCGCGCGCGTCATTCGTAGAGTTAGGGTGTGGGTGCAGTGAATCATCATCGTGCAACTTACGAACCAATGCTAGTGATTCAATCCACATGATGATGCTGATGATGAGTCGCTGAAACACCGGTAATTGTGTGATGAAGATACGAAGGTTCGCCGGATGATGCGAGTATGTACTTAGACGGACCACGAGTGATCCTCCTCCGGTGCACAGCACCGGATGATCGACATAAGTCGAGTGGCACTCGTTGAGCACTCATAGCCGGGATTGATGAGCACATCTGTAGCATGATGAAAATCTTCAGTTAGCACAACATTGATATTGGGCAGAGAAGGTGGCGGTGAAGGGTGTTAAGATGTCGGCTATCTTTTCGAGAGTGTGACGGTGGAGTTGTGCAGCGTGAACTTGGACACGATAAGACTCGAACGAGTCGTCACGGCGACAGACAAAGGGTAATTTGACATTCGCACATAAGTAGGGTACAGAACGACTTCGACGTAGATCGCCGAGTTGAGCTATACACACGACAGATGTGAGCACCACGCGCACTAGCTCACAGAACCAAAACTGACACACACTTCATCGCATTGCCCTCTTTCCAGAATACTTACTCACGCATCCACATCCGTCCCAAGGACCACCTCCTTCCACTCCTCCAGCACCCTCAACCTTTCCTCCAAATCCCTCTTCACAAACGCATACGCATCACTTCCTACCTGCAGCGTCCTCGGGATCACCGTCTTCCCTGCGGCGACGCCCTCGCCTCTGAGGAGATCGATAGTCAAGTCGCAGAATTTGACGGGATCGCCGACTTGTTTGCCGCTGACGTCTGATAAGTACAGTCAGGGTAGTGGTGATCGTGTCAGTGCATGTAGATGACATGGATTGATGACATTTGAAAGGACAGCATCGTACCTCCGAACGCTTTCGCCATCGCTCTCATATTCTCTCCGTAATCTGCACATAAGTAAGCTCTGTGTCAGCAAGTAGTGCTGGAATAAAGGAAAACAAGCGAACCCAGCACTCACCTGGGATCCGTTCAGTATATTCCCCTCTGTTCCCCGACTCGAGGAGCTTCGTCCTGAACTGCCCCGGCTCGAGACAGATCGACCTCAGACCGAAGGGTTTGATCTCGTCATCCAAGCATTCAGATACCGCTATGAACGCACACACACAAATAACAGTCGAGTAGTTCAGTCATCGCGTTCGTTCATAATTTTAAGGCAATACCGGTCGAGTCGAAGGTAAACCACACACCTCGCATAGCATGTTTGACTGCCGAGTACATCGAGAGGATACCCATGGGCCTAAAAAACGACGGGTTGGAATCCAGACGAGACTCAGGCCTATTACTCGAAGAGTACTCACTGCCATCCAGCGAGCGATCCTATCCAGACGATCTTTCCGGTCTTGCGCTCACGCATGTAGGGAAGGAAGGCACGTGAGACGTTGATACTTCCAAAGAGACCGACACTGGCAAAGGATCGAGCCCAAGTGAGTTGAGAGTTGTGTGCAGCCACAAGGCATAAAGGTGCGGAAGCAATACACACTTGAACTGTGCAAATGTTTCCTCCGGGCTGAAAAGGTAAACATATGACGTGAAGACGCGTCGCTGGCTGGGAGCATGCAAAAACCTACGTGAGTTCCTCCATCGCACCGACAGCGCTGAAAACCCCTATGCACAACCAATGTCAGCCGTCATCCAAACTAAATCGTCGCTCGATGTCACCTACCCGCATTATTCACCAACACATCCACCCTACCCCAAACACCCACCGCATCCTTCGCCTTGCTGTTCAATACCTCTGGCGTGGCCGTAATATCGAGCTCCATCACACTCAAGTTCGATGAGTCTGCATGCTTCTTGAGGTCATCGAGCTGGGAAATAGACCGTGCACGAGCTGTGGCGATCACTTTGTCTCCTCTTTTGAGGGCAGCGAGTGCGAGTTCGCGACCGAGGCCGGATCTAGCATGAGCGTGAAAAGTTATAGTTAACGTGTCGAAGACACTGGGGGAAAGGAAGCAGACATACGAGGTCCCGGTTATGAACCAGACGAGCTGAGAGGACATGTTTATTTCGAGGTGGTTCGAGTTTGCAGTCAGAAAGGACAGAGAAAAGGGCCGGAAAGTGGGACGAGTGCTCAGATACCAGTCATCAACCGAGCGCCTTATATACTCCCAGCGATACCGAGTAGAAAAACTCCATGATTCACAGGTGGGTCCAGAGATGGAGGAAGATGTACCAAAAACACTTCTACTGTGGCTGAATCTCCTTACCTGTGGCTGAATTCCCTTACTCGCCGGTGGGTCTCAGATGACTGTCTGTGGCTCACGAGTGGGTGCACTGTGGCTGTCGACGAAGAGACATTGTCAATCTTGACCACTTCATGCATGTGGCGTTCAGTATACTAGAACCCACTACTGTAGTTTTTCGACCAAGTGTTCGCGCGAGAATCACGTAAGCCGTGACCACCGCTGTTCGCTCGGGTGATGAGTGGTTGGAAGGAAGGAAGGATGTGCGGGCTTTCGAACTCCGAACCAAAGATTCGCGCCGTCTCGCGTGTGGCGGACTCGGAACGACTCCGAGTGCGCGCTGGAGTCAGTAGCTGCACTTTCTTTCCGAACACGGCGTAGATGAGAGCTGGTGAGACTTGGAGACATTCTTAACTAGTAACTCAGTCGAAAAGAGCGAACAAAGTCTGGGAGGAGAATCGGAATCTACCGTGACAATAGACCACCGGGGCAGGGCTCATGACAAGCCCTCAATACAAGATGGAGCAGTAGGCGAGCTCTTGGTACAAATTGCGATAGATGGATACAAATAAGAGAAGGCCTATATGAAGAGAGCGAGAAATATCAGTGCCACGACCTCAACGACGGGAGAGAAGCAGAATAGGACAGACCAACCTCTCCCTACTTCATACACTTTGACAGTGACTATAGTATAGTTCAACTTTTCATGACCACCGGCAGCGCGAAACCGTTGAATGCATTCGGCATCCTGATATTAGGAAGAGACCTCTGTCCAGGACGATGAAACGGGTTAAACGTGATGGGATGGTCCCTCTCCATTTGCTCCCTAATATTGGAGGCGTACTTGGGATCCGGCATGTCCCTTGCCGCCCCCATGAACATGATCGGAAGGTTTTTGGTGCAGGTTTTCATGGATTGTTCTGCATACTCTGTGATCCCGAAAGGAATGCCGAACCTGTTCCGCCAATGTCAGAGGGGCGATTCGGTCGCGCTGGACGAGGTCACACAATGAAAATACTGACGCAGCTGCAAAGAGCATTGGGTCCGACCATTCTGGGTATGCAAACAGCCCAGCATCGCAGGCGACCATAGCATCAGGTGGACTTAAGGTCCCCTTGAGCAAGATTCCTCTACTCCAATGGGCCTGCTCAGAGTAGAGCTTGATGTCGATCGACCCACCACCAGTCTTCTTCGGGGCTTGGTAGGACCAGACGATGTCTTGTGTGGCGAGTGAGGACGGGTAAGATTTTCGAGCAGTGTGGACAAGGTCGTAGGCGGCTTTGCCAAAGAAGGTCAGAGTGATCTGAGTGTTAGGCAGAAGAAGGGCGAGCTCGGAGAACCTGAACGTGGATGAGCGCAAGCTAGCCTATCAGGCGAAAGCACAATCCAAGAACTCACAAAGGCAGATAGTTCAACTCAACCTCTGCGCCCAAGTAATGCAGATTCAACTTCTGCTGCTTAGCAGACGACGGGTCCACTCGTACAACCTTCAGCACATCAAGAATAAGGTAATAAGCAGAGAGCGGGAAGTCCATCATCAGCGCCACAGGTGACTCCGTGCTCAAGCCACGCCACTCATACCAGCTCTTCCAGTCCTTCACTTGACCAGGCAGCGGTTTTTGTGGGGGAGGAAACTCGTCGTCGAAGAACAGTCTAGGGATCAGCTTCGGGTCCTTTAACTTCCAAGCCTCGACGTCAGTAGGCCCATTCTTGCCCAAGCATGACCTCTCCGTGAATGTAATCTTTAGAGCGTGGAACCCATGTGCCTTCCGCCTGCTGGGAGCGAGGAACATCATGGGCTTGTTGACCACCCGGAACAGACCAGTACCCAAAGGAGGGACCTGATCCTAGGACTTCAAGGCGGGCCTTCACGAGGTCTTGAGCAAATGTCCCGTCGGACTCAATGCGACCCCAGGTGAATTGGTTCAGCACAGCCTGCAGCTCGGGGATGCGTTGCATATAAATCTGCGAAAAGTGAGATGATGGACAAGGAGTACTCTGGGTCATGTGAGAGAGGGCCTACTTTGTTGGCCGGGCATAGAGTCTTGTGAGTATCGGCCCGTGGCATAATAGGAACTTTCCAATCTTGGATTTGACACTGAATTGTACGAGATGAGGTGCATCGGTTTGAGTACAGGGAGAGCAACGCACTTCTTTACTACAATAAACAACCGCTTTACAGCCCGCTAAATAGCCCAACTTTAAAATTGAATCGAAACACGGAAAGTGTGTGAAGCCAGCTTACAACATATCAACGGCTATGGCCCGAACAATGTAGGTTCAGCCAAACTATAGACATGCTCACAGTGACAGATTCCTACGCACCTTCCATGTCATGTTCACGAGATCCATGCATGGCTTAGAGCAACGCATACACTGAGTGACAGAGTCCACACAAATGACACGAAAAACCCGATGATCAGCCGGTCATTCACCAACGTTGGCGAGTATGGATCGAGACAGCTTACCGCCGGACTGACACTGAAGTCAAACTTCTTCAGTTTCTCTTTGTCTCCATGCTTGATAGCATCATCGTACTCTTTCGCGTCCTTGATGATCGCTTCGAAAGGATCTGTGTCTTTACCGGCGATCTTCAAGCGCTTCAACAATTCGTCCACATTGGGCATCGCCATCTTATGTGAAAGAGCAGGTGACGGCTATGTTGTTGAAGAAATACGGACAGGTGTTGACGGTCAACGCGGTTCACCGTCGATAGGAAGGAAGACAAGGAAAGAAAAGCACCGACGCCATCGAACGCGACGCGGTCACGCGGTCACTTGACCAGTTTCGGGTGTATTTATTGCAGCTGACCGCGTTTCAATCGTTCGCAAGCGGTCCGCGGCTCGCGTTCATCTTCACGACCCTCTGTCCATAAATACGAACAAATGAAAGGTTCAAACGCCCCTTCAGTGACCGACTGTCATGCATTCTCTAGGCATCGCTGTTGTCGCTATATTCGCCCTTCAGGAGACGGTGGGTGCCAGATCTCTGAGGCCCAACAAAGCTCCTCTTCAAGTTGCTCGTCAATCTAAGGAGGCTTGTACACTCACTGCAAGTGGGGGCGACGATGGACCTGCGTTCATAACTGCAGCTCAGACTTGTGACACCGTCGTTGTTCCGGCGGATACGACATTAAGCATTGCATCGCCCATGAACATGACTGACGTCGTCAACACGCATATTGTACGTTTCCTAATTATTTGCGGGTTCTGGTACGGTCTGAACGCGCCTGAAGAGCCTGGAAGGAACTATCAAGTTCGTGGACGACATCGACTTTTGGGCTGGAGTACGTTCTCTCGACGTCTTAACTCTGAATGTCCTGAGGCTCACATGTTGATCACTAGACAGCATTCTTCTTCGACTTTCAAAACTCTACCACATTTTGGATCCTTTCTGGAGAGAATATTTTGTTTGACGGCGGAGGCACCATTGATGGCAGTGGCCAGGCAAGCCCTTGGTCAGAGTAATTTATTGTCAGAGCCATTTATTGACAACACTGTTTATTCACTATAACAGGCCTGGTACGATGCCTTGTGAGTCCGCAGAGTATCTTCTCGTCTCATTCGATCAGCCAGCTCATCACTCGGTAGTGCGAGCAACTCCTCGCTGGTTCGCCCGATCATCTTGACCATCTACGAGGCCACAAATGTCACGGTCCAAGACATCACTGAGCTCAACAGTCCCGATTGGTTCAACCTTGTATGTTATTCGCGCCTCTATCCTTGCAGCTCGAATACATTACATACTAATCCAAAATAAAGGTTCACACCAGCCAGAACATTGTCTACGACGGCCTCACAATCGAGGCTGTTTCCACTTCCTCTGTGGAAGCAAAGAATACCGATGGTTGGGACATTTACCGGAGCGACAGCGTCTCTATCCTTAATTCTAACATCAACAACGGTGACGACTGTGTCTCATGGAAACCAAGTGAGTACTCCTCTTACACCTTGCCTCGGATGGCACACTGACCTGGGCTGGGCGTATAGATTCTACCAATATGATCGTGGCAAACTTGGTCTGCAATGGCTCGGTATGTCCGTCCTCTCGTCCTCCCCTTCTGTATAGGGGCCTGACTATAATCAGCATGGAATTAGCGTTGGAAGCCTCGGACAATATCCCCAATTTTTCGATATCGTCGAGAATGTGACCGCCACGTACGTCCACTCAAATATCGCTTGTCCATGCACAGACTCACTCTGGATATTCCTTCTATCCCTAGCAACGTGACGATGTCCAACGCACAAAACGGTGCACGCATCAAGGCTTGGGCTGGTGCTGGCGTCGGTGGCGGTATCGTCAAGAACATCACCTTCGAGCTGTTCTTCGAGACCAATGTCGACAATCCTATCATCATCGACCAGGTCAGCCAGTATCCTCCCGGTGTTTACACTGCCCTCGCTGATCGTTCTGAACTTGTCTCGCAGTGCTACATGACCGATGAAGATGAGTGTGCCGCGAACCCCTCCAACACGTTCATTCAGGATGTCTGGTTCAACAAGTTCGTCCCGAGACTATCTCTCACTACACATATCTGACACTGACTGTGATTCCACTTAGTATCACCGGTACCTCATCTGGAGCTGAAGACTCCACCGTAGCCTCCCTCAGCTGCTCTCCTGACAGCCGGTGTAGCGATATCAACGTCAATGACATCTCGCTTGCGTGAGTAATAGTAATGTGCTTAATTTCTGCCACCATATATCGCATCTAACGGAACGTGACCGTCGGCTTTCTTCTACGGACGATTTAGGCCTCCGTCTTCAGAAGGGGACGCCACATATACTTGTCAAAACGACAATGTTACGGGAAACGCTGCGTCGCTCTTCGGTAACTGCACTACGACGTAGAAGCTGTCGTCGACTAAGTGATTGCTACGTACTCTTCAAAGTAAACATACGGAGAGGACGTATCGTCAGGATCTCAATACAATTGTTCAGAGTTCTGCGCGAGAGACAATTGCAACCTGTTGCTTTACATGAGTCCATGGGCATGAACGGCAGTGAAAGGTGGTCCGATGCAAGCTTTCTCTGCCTCGCGCGGGAGAGGAATAGGGCCACATTGGACAACGGCGGCCGTCATTGGACGCCACACGATGCACCTGCCACCTTTGTGACTCGGACTCCGCCCAATCAGCGACAGGTTTTCTTTCCCTTCCATACATTACGAGTCGTCCATAAGTATATCCTAGACAATACAATGTCCAGCAGACTACCTAAGCTTGTCGCCTTTGATCTAGAGTGAGTGGCCTCCATTCAGCGCCTCTTAACCCAACTCAGAGCCCTCTCACACCATCACAGCTACACCCTCTGGCCGCTGTGGATAGATACCCACGTAGATGGTGAATATACAGTCGCTTCTCATGCTGCATTCTCTGTGTTGACTACATCTACGCTTATATAGCGCCTCTCAAGCGTAATGGTCAGGAATTGAACAAAGTCGTCGATAGGTAAGCCCTTGCCCGTTGGGCCACACACTGGCAGGCAGGCCTCACGATCGATATCACAACCTAGATATGGCCAAGAGGTCTCGTTCTATCCTCAGGTACCGCACGTTCTCCACCGACTACGAGCATCAGGCGTCATTGTTGCATCTTGTTCAAGGACATCTGCCCCAGATCTGTACGTTCCTGGACGTGTGCATCTAAACAATCCACCATCTTGATACAATAGGAATCGACTGCCGTCTAGTGCATCAAGTGCTTTGAATCTTCTACTTGTACCTCCAAAGAAAGGCGACAAAAACGGCGTTCCAACGCGCGCAGCCGATTTCTTTGACCAGAATGAGATTTATCCCGGTATGTATAACGGGTCCTGCAAGCGTCAAGTGCCATCACTTACTGAACGAGGGGGCGTGCATATAGGGTCCAAGATCACACACTTCAAGCAGTTGCATAAGAAGACGAAGATTCCATACTCCGAAATGGTACTCCAAACTCTGATATGTGGTGACATTTTGCTAACATCTCGATCAGCTCTTCTTTGACGACGAGCACCGGAATAGCGAGGTCGAGTCACTGGGTGAGCTGATTTTTCCTCGTCCGATATCCGTTGCTCGAAACATACTTGGTACCAGCCAATCTTGACTATACGTGCTTACGGATCGTTTCTAGGCATCACATTTGTTCTTGTACGCAAGGGTGTAGACGAACGGCCCTTCGAGCAAGGGCTCGCAGAATGGCGCCGTAGACATCCCGAGGAAGTTGTGGAAGACCCTGCTGGTGACGATGTGCGAGGTGTTTGATGGTGTTGTATTTTGGGATGTTTGAATAGGAGCTGAACAGGCTAATGTCAATCGTATAGATTAGTTTTTCTACGATGAGGATACCAAATCCGACATCGCCAGAACGAATATTATAGGGGTATGAATATTTAAGAAAAAATCCCCAAAATCCCAGGAAAAACAGAGTAAAAAACAGTATACAACAATTATTGAATGAGTTCCTAGAGGGCGATGACGCCCGCGTTATTTCTCCTGTTCAGCCACCCTCTTATCTTCACAATCACATTTCGGTACAGGTTTCGAAGGATCCATCGAAGAGGTCTTTACGGACTGTGACATCGAGGTGCCAGTTGTTGGGGTTGCCACTGTGGGCAAAGTTTGAAGCGGCGAGTCAGGGCCTTTGGTAAGGGTTTTCGAGAGAAAAGTCGACGCGGAGCGTTTGCCGATAGCTAACTTAGCGGCGAAAGACGTCGTGGAGATGGTAGGGGTATACAAATCCGGCGCCTGGTAGGAGAAGTCTGGGTGCGGGTCTTGACCGGGAGCGTAAGCTGAACCGGAAGGGATCGTGAATACGAAGCCCAATGACACTGCGGCTGGCTGGATGGGTACGAAGGGTGGGGTAGTGATTCTTCCATTCGAGATATCGGCGACCATCTTCTTGATATAAGGGTGGTTTCTGGCCTCTCTCCAAGCCATTCGAGTCTCCCTGTTCTTGTCAAGAACCTGCGGGAAGAATATTGAATAACCGTATATGGTTAGAGATGTCAGAGTGCTCGTGCTCACCTTGCGGAAATAGTCTTCAGCGTCCTCGCTCAATCGATGAAACGGTAAGATATTCAATGGCTCTTTGGCCGCCGCCGCACCAAGGTGTCCGAAAGGTAACTGTGTACAGCAGCATACTTAGCTCGCTACATGTAAGCCTAGAAAGGTATTGCTTACCACGCCGGTGACCATCTCGAAGTGAGCAACCTCCCACGACCACTCGTCAACTTCGGGTCCATAATTCTCCCTGCGTGCGACCTCTGGGGCCAAATATGCCTCTGTGCCACAATTTTCGGTGAGTGGTCCATCGGCTATCACGGCGGCGGAGGCTACTTTCCGGACGTCCCAAACAGGAAACAGAACGGAATACTGTAAATAATGGCATAGAGTAGGGTTCCGAGATACATGTATATAATACTGAGCATACCCTGAATGGTAATCAATTCTTTGAGTTCGGGTTTGCGATTGGGATTCGATAAAGGAGCTCAGATGTATGAAATACAGAGTCTGGTGAAGAACAAAGATGGTCGATGCGGAACGGGATACTACCCTCGTTCCGGAACTTTACGTTCCGATGCCGGTATAGGACGCACAAAGGAATTTATCTGGAGGGGCCGGAACTGAATCCGGTACTTTATATTCGGCTGGGGCAATATATTTTATCAAGCCGATGCCGAAGATAAAGCATGGCTGGCACGAAACATTATGCCTTGTATTGAAAGAGGGGGAAAGGGAACCTTTCGTTTGGGGAATCCTCGATCCATTTCTGTTTGATCATTGTCCGCATTTGGTTTTGGATACACAAAGCAAAAAATTACAGCCTCGACGGAATCCTTTGTGTAGCGGCTGCTGTGTATAAAGTTCAGCATTCACTGAATTGAATGCCCGCTCATCGCCAGAGCCAAAAATGAGCGGGCGATCAGTTTAGTGAATGCTGATCTTTATTTACAGTGGATCCTGTTTCAAATTTTTCGTCTGCTGTATTCTTTTTTCTTTGCGTGTACTCAACCAAATACGGTAACAAAACAATCGGTATTAAGTTCCGCATGCGCAAGATAAAAGATCTGCTATCCCCTTGTCCTGTTTCTGAACAAAAAATATTTCATTGGCCTGATTTTATCTTCGGCATCGACCCAACGAAAACTACCGTGTCTGCTGTTTATAAAGTGTCGTATTGAATTCCGACCTTTCCAGACAAACGCTTCCGTGGGTCCTATACCGGCCTCGGAACGCAAAGTTCCGGAATGACTGCGGTATCCTGTTCGGCATCAGCTATTTTTATTTTCTGCCATACGCTGTATTTCATTCATCTGAGCTCCTTTACCCAATCCCGGTCGTAAACCCTAACACAAAGAATCGATTAACATCCAGGATATGTTCAATATTATATACATGTATCTCGGAACCTAATCCTATGCCATTATGTGTAGTATTCCGTGCAGTTTCCTGTTTGGGGTGTCCGGAAAGTAGCCTCCGCCGCCGTGTATGGCAGCAAGACCGAAGTCGATGATTTTGGGCTTGCCATCGTTGGCCCAGACGACGTTATGTGGTTTCATGTCACGATGGACGATATTGTTGGCCGCTAACTTTTCAAGTGTAAGTGCCTGCAGAGTCAAGAGGTTAGTACGTGCAAAGTACAACAATCACGCCTAACACATACCACGCTAGCAAATATATAAGATGCAAAGCGTTCAGGCAATCGCCCCGAGCGTTTAAGTTCTTTCGAAATGTCCCCAAGCGGGCAACATTCCTGTCCAAAGTGTCAGCCGTCATTGTCATAGTAAAGTACAAGAGGGATGGATTTTACTTACAGTCCCCACAATAGCAAATTGTTCATCATGAGCGCTTAGCAAAAGTTTTGCGCACCCTTCAATCTCGAGCTCAGCGATCTTCCTCAGTATTGCCTGCTCCTGCATAATGGTCTCCAGTCCAGGCTCTCCAAACTCATTCATAATCTTCGCCTTATCCAACAACTTGACCGCCATGTGTTTTCCTGTCGTCCCAATCTCCGCATCGTAAACCTTCGAAAAGGCGCCATGTCCAATAACCCTGTTCGCTTTGAGACCGTTGATGGCCTTGGCAACGGGAGATTCACGCAAAGTGAGAGTGAGGCAGTCCTCATAGGTAGGAGGAGGGATAGAAGACGTCGAGGGTGCGTCGATCTTCTCAGAGACCTGTGGAGACCGGACTGGTCGTGGGACGCGGAAATATGGTGGAGGTGGGTCTCTACGTTGGACGGAGCACTTGCGGCTGACGACAACGAACTCCGAGCCGGTGATTTCAGAAGCAGGAGTAGATGATTTGATGGGCGTAGAATTTGAGTGAGCCTCTTCGAGCTCGACAGGAATTCTGGGTGGTGGGACTCGTCGGACCTTGCGGACGGCTTGTTGGCGCTGCAAATGCTTGGGTACCTGGATACCAGGAGGGACTTGAGGTGTGGAAGCCGAGCTGGAGAATATATAATAGGTTTAACTTTAATACAATACAATTATTCAAGGACACCAACTCACCTTGGATGCCACGGCTTCGTAACTGGCACATCGGAAGCGGACTCGGCCTTGGCAAAAGTAAGAGCGCCACTGAAGCGATTCTTCATGGTCACAGCGCCATTCTTAAAAGTTTCAGCAAAGGAGCTGAAAGTAGAATTGTTGGAAGTGACGTTAGACATCTTCAAGACAGAGTAGAGATAGATATGTCGTAAGTCGTCCAAAGGTTCGAGCTTGAGGGAGAAACGAGTGAACTAGGGTTTCTGTGCTTCAGGTAGAGGTTTTATATATAATTCCGTAAGAAACAATGTCTCGCTGATTGAGAGCGGCATCGAGGACCAGCGGGCTAGATTGAAGTGAGGTCACTCTTCACGGCGCTGTCGAGACAACTTTATGATGAATATCAGCGGAGAAAGATGCAAAACGATGACGTTTCTTCTTACTTACCTGAAGCAAGAGGGAAATATTCAAGACAAGAATTATGTAGATAATTCTCTGTGGCCAATGGTCTTGTCTTGAGAAGGTGAAGAGACGAGAGAGATGCGAGCGGAGGCAGCTTGAAGTGACCGGGCAATTGGCGCCAACAAGTTGAACCACACGGTGACGTGTGGCACCAGATGTGGCAACAACGTCTCCTGCACAGATGTTCTACACGGCCGCCCCGTTAACCCTGACAGTCAGAGGTCAAACTGTCTCGAGATGTTCTCAAGACTGCCCAAAGATAATCTTATGACTTGGCAACCAAGACGTTCCGAGGACGATCAGTCTTAGACCGAAACGGCGAGAACTTCAGGGTCTGCCGTAACGTGCAAAATGAGGATTTCGGCGGAACCCGGCTTTCAGAAGCTCCAAAAATTTGCCATCAGAGCATAACGAACTAGCATCATACACAATAAATCCAACGATGTAACCAACTGAGCCAAAGGACTTTGGAATAGATGCTACGGTACTGGTTGATGTCCTGAGTTCAGAATATTTTGTTCTCCTCATTTCCGTTGCATTACGCACATACTACCGCGTTTGTTAGCTTTGTAGGGCCAAGCAGTGTATCCGGAACCTTGCCTTAACCACCACTTATTTTTTTGGCCTCTGGAAAGGCCTTACGCAGAGGGAATCAGTGAGCTCTCCAAGGGAATTGCGACTTGGTGAAGTTTCGCAAGTCGCTTGCGCGAAAGCCGGATACGGGCCGAGCAGGGCATCCCCAGAAAATCTTAGAAGCGGATGACCTCAGACGTTCTCAAGACTGATCTTAGGATTGTCCGAGATCAATCGAAAGATATTCTTACGACCAGTCGTCTCGAGACATTCCTAAGATCACCCCAAGAATATCTTATGACTTGGCAACCAAGAATCCGTCAGACAGTTCGTCTTAACGATTTACTAAGAATTCCCGCTGGCCGTGTAGAACAACACTGGAAGATGTACTCGGTATTACAAATAGTTCAAGATACAAGCAATGGACGTCTCGTCCCACAGGTGCAAGCTACAAAACGCAAGAAAAGATACAAAGCAGATTACTTCCGGGTCCCTCACCCACCAATTATATATGTCACTTTCCGTGATGGCTCTAAGCCTTTAACACAACGGGCAAGACGAACCCGTTATAATAATTGGGCATGACCCACTTGGTAATCCCAGACCTAGCGCCAGGCCGATGGAAAGGATTGACCGTCACAGGACAAGATCTCTGTCCGTGCTTACTCAAGTTCTGCTTGAACTCCGGCGATGCGTACAGGTTCTGTGATATCATATCCTTGAAGAATTGTGGAAGAGACTCGCTAGCCAGGATCATCGACTGTTCAGCGTATTCGGTGGCGGCGAAGGGAATGTCGAGTCTGTCATCAAGGGGATAATCAACAAATGTCAGTGTCCCGATCAAACCTTGAAATGAAGTCAAGAGTATGGATATGAGTACCCGGCGGCGACACCTTGAGCTTCAGGCCAAGGTGGGTAGCTCATAAGACCCGCGTTGGTAGCAATGATTGCATCAGGGACCTTATAATCTCCTCTCTGCAGTCCATCGAAGGTCCAGTACTCCTCTTTGGAATACAACCGTATGTTGATGGATCCTCCACCACTGCGCTTTGGTGCCTTGTACGACCATACAATGTCTTGAGTAGCGAGAGATGATGGGTGCGATTTCCGAGCACTCTTGACGAGGTCGTAGGCTGGCTTTCCGAATACAGTGAACTCTATATGAGTGTTCGGAAGGAGGAGTGCGAGTTCAGAGAACCTAACATGATATAACTTCCATCAGTGTGATGCACCAGGAATGAATTCAGAACTTGAACACCCACAAAGGAAGGAAGTTCATCTCAATCTCCACCCCGAGATAATGAACCTCTAGCATTTGCGGATCCGCACCAGCCGTGTCTGCTACCTTGAGAATATTCACCAACAAATGGTACGTCGAAAGCGGTGCGTCCATCAACAACGCTGCCGGCGACTGTAAGCTTAGCCCTCTCCACTCATACCAACTCTTCCAATCCTTCACCTGGCCCGGCTTCGGCTTCATAGGTGGTTCATCGTTCGCCGCATCACTGCCACCAAAGAACAACCTCGGCACCCAGCTTTCGTCTTTGAAGTGCCAGGCTTCTACATCCGTAGGCCACGAATCTTCCAGCATGACGCCGCCATGGATGTATGGCTTCTCTCCGGGCTTGAGTTTGGGTGGGTAATTTTTCGTCGGTTCGCCGGTGCTGAGATATTGTTGGAGTTCGGGGGGTGCGTTGAAGAGCTGCTGCATCACGGAGAAGCCCATGTCATGGATTTCTGGACCACCTGAAACACGCCAATAGCCAAAGGATAGGTCACTGCCGAGAAGTGACTGACGGGCTTTGTAGAGGTCGAGAGCGAAGGAGCCTGAAGACGGAGGTCGACAGTGTCGGTGAAAGACCATTTAACAGAGCTGTGTGCAGTCGAGAATACGCTCACCATCCGACTCGATGCGTGACCAAGGGAACTGCTCGAACACAGCTCGGAAATCGGCATGACGAGACATGAAAACCTGATTAAAACGATACCATGAGCGTCACCAGGATTGAGTCTATGTGTCTGTTTTCGGCGGAGTTGTGACCAATGAACGTGGATGTACTTTATTTCTCGCACACCATTTTTTATGAGGAAGGGCATTGGGAACGAGGGGAGTCTTCCAGTCTTCCGCTTGGCACTATAGGGCGGTCAAAATTGATACCACTGTCCGATCCTCGTCGAACAGAACCCACCTTCCCTCCGCAATAAATGGTGCTCTTGCATTGAGCTGTGAGCGCCAGCGTTATTATCCACAAATGAGAAGGCAACGGAGTAAATGGTACCTACAACAAACCAAAGCCTTCAAGCCACATGCATCCCCGGTCAGTAAAGACTACAATCAACCATATAAAAATTTGCGCACCTTTTTCACACGAGTCCTCGGGTCAATACACGCCGTTCCACATCGCGCACACTAGGAGACCACACCACCACGTCAAGCAAGCAAGTCGACATCATGATCAGCACCGCGCACTCACTATCATCAACAGAGAATATGCCAGCCCCAAGACAGTCACAGAGAACAACCACGCACCATAGGCTCCGTACTAAAATCCATCTTTTCCAGTTTCGCCTGGTCACCTTTTCGCAGAGCATCCTCCAACTTCTTCGCGTTCTTATACACCTGCTCGAACGCGTTTGGCGACGCGATTCGCAGGCGTTCGAAGAATTCTTCATTGGTGGGGATTTTAGGTAGCGACATTCCAGTGTCAAGTATACAAGTACAAAAGAGAGGGCAGGATACGGAGATGAGAGTGTTTGCGAACGAGATGTGAGCTGAAAGAAGTTGGAAGACCCCGTGCCATGTATTCGGTGGCCAGACGTCGCCACAACCACGTCCTGTCCCAGGCGCGATCGGGCCACATTTCATCAAGGAATAGTAGGAACAACTCGATGGATCTTCACAAGTACAGTGATAATTTGAAAAGGACGAGTGCATGATGCTACTGTTCTGTAAACCTATAAAGTACGTATTTGCATCGCGAGGACAAAGAGAGGATGAGGAAGAGAGAAACGGACAGTACTAAACGGAAATAAAGAACAGATTACAAGGGCAGAGAGATATACAAGCTGATATACAGATGACAAACAGAGCATGTAGAGAGAAACGATAGAAGGAAGAGTATACAACGCGAACCAAGATATCGTCAGTACGTAGGGAAATCAATCAATCGGCCCCTCTTCAGAATTGTGACACCACAAACCGAGATCACTTCAAACGATCAACCTCACAGGCGCATTACTAGTCTTCACCTCCACCGTCCCCGTCCCACTCTCCCCCGACGACTTCCTCCCAACCCATGCGACCGTGCCCTTGATACTACCCCTATCCACCCTCCCAATCTGCACGTCCCTCCTCCTCCCCAATCCCTTCGGATCCTCCACACCTCCTCTCCTCTCGACATTCGGGCCCATATTCGACGTGCTCAGGGAGTAATAGCCCTCATACGCAGCCGGTAATGTCACTTGTGCGGGTCCATTCGACGTCTTCGCGTAGAGGTTGAGTTCGGAGTCGGCGGGGGATTCGGGGAGGGAGAGGGTGAGGATGTTGTTAGATGTCGTGGCGGTGACACTGAAGTTACCGTAGTAGGAAGTTCGATGGGTGGAATGGAGGGAAACGGTGGATTTGATTGGACTGTAAGGCAGAGTGGGTGCAAAAAGATTAACAATATGCATTGAATACTGTAGTATAAAGACTCACCCGTTGGATGTCTTCAGCGTCAGCGAGGACGGAGAACGGGCATCGTTATCGTTGTAGAGGTGCACGGCAGCGTCGATTACGCTGTTCGAAGTAATGAGATCAAGAGACTTGCTCGCATTGTACACCCCTAAGTTCGACATAATATGAGTACATCGAGTCTCGTAGGAATCGATAAGCTTATTCTTACCGTGTATCGGGCCATTTGTGGTCTGCACATTAATAGTTTCCGCGAAGACAGCCTGGATGACAAAGAACTGTATCAGTATCGATGCCATGCAGATCGGATGGTGCTGTGTTCACCTTTGCTTCAACCGGCATGTTGGACGTCTTGAGAGAAAGTGCGCCGAAGTAGAAGGCGTCCTGTAGTTCCGATAAAGCATGCGCGAATAATGGCATGTTCGTCTCCAACGAGGGAATATACACAGGGTGGCTGTTGGCAGACGAGGGCGGCAGATGGACCAGGACTTCGAAATCGAGTCGTTCATTGTATGGAATGGTACCAATGCGGGTAGGCGTCTGCGCAACGAAGATAACTCTATTTAGCTGAGATACGAGCAAATAAAGAGAAACGGACATACGAAGATTCCGACACCGTTCCCTCCATCATCTCGGTTTATCAAACACACCTGAGCTCGACCCAGTCCGGTCCTCGATCTAAACTTCACGATAACTTCAACTCGAGCTCTCCCACTATGTTCGTCACCCGTTTGCGACACCTCGTCCTGGAAGATGCTCAAGGCACCATGGGACATCGAGCCTCGGGACAATAAGAACAATGCTGAGTCGATAGGAAGGTCGAATTCCGTCCGTGCATGGTCGAGGGTCGAGGTGGCGGCGAGATTGTCCGAGACAGGCTCCCATTCCTCCCCTTGCACGCAGTCGACGATATGTTGGTTCGGGAGAGTAGGAGGCGGAGCAGGACTTTCGGGCCAATCATCGTTTCCCCAGTCCCGGTCGTTCTGTGTAGTCATGGTCAGTGGTACAAACGGTCAGCGAACGTGAGATATCGACGTCATACCCAACCAGAAATGCGTACCCACTGCCCTCCGTGGGGAAGTCGTCGGTGCCCTTCGTCCTGCGCCAGATCGACGATACTTCGAGTCAAGATAGCGAGTAAAAGATAGACGATGAGAGCGGTCAAGAAGGCCTTAATGAAGCGCAAAGCAGTCGACTCTCGAGGTGGTGTCGGTGCAAAACGGAAGATAGGTGCTGACGGTGACATAGGGGGTCCAGGGGGACGAAATGGTTGTTGATACTGCTGCTGTTGTGGACCTGGCGGTGGTTGTGACGGGTATGGGGACTGTGGATATTGCGAGCGATAGAACTGAGGCTGATATGACCCAGTAGCCTGATAGTTGGCTGGAGGAGTAGCAGGCGCTGAAGGCCCAGAATATGCTGGAGGCTGTTCCTCCTCACGAGGTGAAGGCGGTTCTGAGTACTGGCCCTGTGTTTTGCGCACTGGAGGAGAGTGGTGACCGTCGACGACAATCATGGCAGCGATGGAGAGCCGAACGTACTTATGGAGGGAGAGTGTTGAGCTCGCAGCAGCAGGCGCTCAGTCCGCAATTCGACTTTATAGCGAAATGACTCGCTCGACGGCGGCTTCAAAGCGCGTTCTTCTTGGCGGAAGGCTCTCCACACGCTGCGGAACACTGCGCCAAAATGAGGCAATTTCCCCTTCGGTGCTCGCTAATGTTCCTGGCATGCAATTCTCGTATTTTCGTATGCTCTTCGTCGAGGCGCTTAGCTCTTGTGCACTAGTGTTTTGGCTGCGTTCTGCTTATCGCCATCAAAGCAGCTGGCCCGGATTGGAACTGGCCCACACGCTCACCAGCGCTCTCGCTGCGGACGTATATTTCTTGCATCGATACCCTTCGATACCCCCTCACAAAGTCAGCTGTTTGTCGTATCACTCCCTTTCTGAACCTTTATGTCGAGCTGCGCTACCGAGAGAAGCAAATGCTGACGCTGGAGTGACTCGGTGCAAAGTCGATGATGCAGTAATCTCGCTGCGAACTGAGACCGACATCCTCGAAGTAGATTCGTGCAAGTATGCCAGCGGTCAAGAATGACCGAGGACGGGAAGGACCTGAGGGTTCGATATCAGCGCAGGTGTAAGTAAGATCCCCGTACGTGGTGGACAAGAAACGGTAAGAGCAAGGTTCCTTTCTTGCACCCATACCAAGGCGCTAGGAAGCCTGAGGATCTACAACTCGTTCTCCTATACAGTTCTCACCTGTAGATGGCGGAGCTCGTCTGCGTCTCATCTAAATATTCTTGTACAAGTTCACTAAAACGGTGGGCCGTCTCCCCGCCGGCGACCGAGTCATCGGGCACCTGGGGGAGTCAGAAACGACTTCGACCGTGGTATATCTTGCAGCTCTCGTTCTTTGTCGTTCATAAAAATCCGTCGCGTCTTATACTTACGCGATGTCCTCCGAACTCTTTGGCTCTGATCAACCTCCCGCCTTCGGGCATGCGACTCTTCCACTGTTTGGTCTTGAGCCCGGACATGTTTTCCTCAATCACGGTATGTAACCTCTCCCCACCGTACAGAAGTAAATGTCACGATATTCACTAAATTCTTTTGCCATAGGTTCTTATGGTGCCGTACCTCGCCCTGTTCAAAAATGGTGCAGCGATCATGCCGAAAAGGTCACAATATCCTGATCATTTTCCATGAGGTCCATTTTAATCAACTATTGCGGGATACCAAGGTTGAAGCAAATCCTGGGAGGTACTACCGCTCGGGTTTTCAACAACAACACATTGAAGCTCGCAGGCGGCTGTCTGAACTAGTTGGAGCACACGTCGACGAATGCGTGTTTGTCCCTAATACAACAGCTGGTGAGGTGTCTCATCTGGACAGGCTCTGCTGGTCGCTTCATGCATGAGATTGACTGAACTTTTATGCGCGACAGGGATCAACACCATTCTTCGAAATATCGAGTGGGAAGCACAAGATATTTTGATACAAGGTATGGTGCCGCTCTACTTCTTATTCATATATAAAGTCACTTACCACGCGGCCCATTTCAGCATCGACCACATTCCACGGTACCATCAGCACCATGCAATATATCTCCGACGTTCGCCCCCATCCCACCATCGAGACTTTCGAAATATCCTTCCCAGCGACGCACACCGCCATCATCGCCTCATTCAAGAAATACATCAAAGACATCAAAGCCAAATCGCAGGCGGCCCAGTCTGGCACTGACGCTCCCAAGGCGAAGGTCCTCGCCCTAATCGACTCAGTCGTGTCGCACCCTGCAGTATACTTACCTTGGAAAGAGATGGTTAAGATATGTCGCGAGGAGGGCGTTCTGAGTCTGGTTGACGCGGCGCATTCTGTTGGTCAAGAGATGGGATTGAACCTGAACGAAGTTCAACCGGACTTTTTCGTATCGGTAATGGCTTGACCTCCACCATCTACGTGCGTCAGAATGAGGTTTCCTCATGCCGTTTGTTCTGTCACAGAGCCTCCATAAATGGCTATACACTTGGCGATCCTGCGGCGTACTCTACGTACCTTTCCGGTTCTCTTGCTCTTGCTTCTAACCATACAATCAAAAACTCATATCTGTCACAGTAACCAGCATCTCATAAAGTCGGCGGTCCCCACTTCTGGGAACTACATCTCCTCGAAAGACATCCACGGTGGCCCCGCAACATCTAATAAATTTGTTATGCAACATCTACGTGCGTCCTTACCTTCGTGACGCACTTCTTCTTCTACCCAGTGTCAATGTTAGACTCACCATCAAACTTGTAGGACCCGGAAGGACAAACTACGCACCCTATCTTTCTGTCACCGTTGCTCTTGATTTCCGCGCTTGGCTAGGCGGCGAGAAAGCCATCAACCAGTACTGTAACAAGCTCGCTATTGACGGTGGAAAGCTTTTAGCGGACGTCCTTGGTACGACGGTCATGGATGATACCCCAGATAACGAACTGACATTGAACATGGTATCTATTTACTTCCGATCTCAAAATCATGTAGTCCTGCTCACTCACTCGCTATTTCCTTCTCCAGACGAACGTCGAACTTCCCATATCCGGGCGGGCTAACTCCAGCCTCGGCGAACTCGCGGACTCCATAGAGGTCGAACTCATGAACAAATGGCATATCCTTGCGTCCATATACCCTTATGCAGGTAAGTTATGGGTACGGTGTAGCGCCCAGATCTATAACGATGTGAGCAAAACCAAAGCGATTTCGTGTGTGCTATCTTCCTCGCTCACAAGTCGCTTTGATTGGCAGCTGTCCGACTTCGAACTTTTGTCTAAGGCTTTGGTTAGTATCTGCGGGAAGGCATAGAGATGGTTGGCATCGTCGCAACACTCAGGATTTCAGACTAGCAGCTCATTGCTCGCGACAGATTTCCGGCATCGGGATATGGTATTTTTGGTATACCCACGGGTTCTGTACACGCTGCTCCGCTTGAGAGCAATCCATACATATGTAACAGTCTCAAAAAATGACAACGCAGCTTAGCAGAAGAAAGTCCGCGGGGTCAACAAAATAATTTATCATGCGATCAGCCCGCCCAACACCATCTCAGTGGTCAATCAATTTGAAGCCCTCCGCCGCATCCTCCAAACCCGACTCGTCGACCGATATCACCACATATCCTTCCACGCCTCACAACGACGCTCAGACCTTCTGATGAGGGTCGTACGGCGCGGCGTTGGCGCCAAAGGAATGATTGGTGTCGGCATAGGGGTAGTTGGGCGCGTAGCCCGGCGCGCCAGTGAGAGCCTCCATGGACGCACGTCCGGGGGCGGCCTCGTACTTGTAGCCTGTCCCTGGGTAGTTTGCACCGGTTGCGAGAGGGACGTTTGCCTTCCACGACTGCTCGTCCTCCAGCTTCTGCGCGTAAGAGGACACGATGTATGCAGCCCCTAGATGTACGTCAAGGAATGCAGATGATCAGAATCTGATTATCACTAGTGGTAGAACGTGGCGAATGGGGACAGTGGCAGCCTGACTCACAGCACTGGATTAAAAGTCCGAGCACCATGGACGCAATAACGACGACTTTCCACCATGTGCTGTCCACCGTCTTGTTGCAGGTGTCGATAACATTCTGGTCTGTCGAGCCGTTGACGCAGTCCTTGACCAGATCGTCTTTGTCCGTCCTGAAGATTATGACGAGGTTCCAGACGTCCAAGGCGATGTTGACGCCGACAGCCCACCACAGCCAGTAAGCATACTGGGCGAGGGCGCGACGTGAACGGACGAAGGTCCCGATGAGACTGTGCGAAGAACCATGAGCAGTGCATGGGAGTAATTTGACAAGGAGGCAGAACGTACGCAATGAGTGACGAAAGGGCAACGAGAGAGTAGTAGACACCGGCAACGATCGCTGCAATTTTGTAATTCTTCGCAAGTTGCCCGCCTACATGAAGTCCGCCATTAGTCCCATACAAGATACCAAATATAAAGATATTTAATCACCCTCTTGGGCGATCCCAATCCACAGTACAGCAGCAATGAGGCCAGAGCCCAGAAGTTGGAAGAGGGAAATGACGAATGCACCGAGGCGCAGAGGCAGGCAGCAGCAGCAATGTCTAGCAGGCATCGTTATCAGATCTGAGCTCGATTTGCGAGAAACTTCGTAGGAGAGACTTCAGGAGACGTCGCAGGGACTCGTAACAGAGAAAAGAAAAATACACCTGTAGGCGGGAGGGGAGATGGGTAAGGGTTTAAATTGAGGTCGTTGGTGTGCTTATATATGTACTCCGTAACGGCATACACGGGTGATCGATGCTATGCATTGAGGTCATAGCCAACAGATGAGAACATGCTCTGAATGCAAGCGAAAATCGTGCCAAGCCTGAAACGTTGAGAACATCAATTTGAAGACCAGAGCCTGCCGAGATCACCAGCAAGCTGTACGTGCCCAAACATAAATATGGCGAGACCGAATCACCGAGGTGTTTTGTGGTCATCGTGGGCGAGACGGTAAGTTCATCCTGGCTCAACACTTGTTGTCCTGAGATAGATAGTGGGTTGACGAGTCCAGTGCAGATTAGTATCAGCGGCGCTACATGTCAAATGCGCCCCAGATCGGAGGACGGCGCCATCAATGTGAAGAACGCATATTGGAAACACCGCCTCGTTCCAACGGTACTGGGGCTATGGTGGTATGGGGGCTGCCATTTGGGCTTCTTGGATAGTCATAAACTTACCCGAACGAAGATGTCGATGTACACGGCGCAGACAGTGTCAGACACACTTACATGACTAATCATATCCCATCGATGAACGGACCGATATCACTGGAAGACTCGCAATGCGTAAACACGCAATATCTTCACGACACGGTGGAACGTCTGCTGCATCGCAAAAAAATCAGTTCCGTCTCGGTTGCATGTCTGGGATACGAAAATAGCACAGATACACACACCTCAAGGCTGTGGTGTTGGATCAAGAGTCCTCAAGAGCCGCCAAGGGGTAAACGTCGGTACGGACGGAGTACCAGATATGGACCGCCACGGACCGCCTCGCAGTTCGAAATGTGAGGCCCTCACTCGACATTGATCGTGAGCTACGGCGACGTTGGAGCGCCGGCCACAACTCAAAGACGGGACAGGGGCATCAAGAGAGGATACCCGTCTATTGGAGATACCGGTGTCGAGTATATCCGCGGCGCAAGACGCATGTCCTTGATGAACAAAATGCGCTCAAGAGCAGCGCTCAGGCTGCACATCTTCGAAAGTGAGGCAGAATGTGGGACCATGAAGGATGAGCAACGACAGAACTGGACAAACGGTCCTCCTTGCAGCACAGACGATGGAGTGATCGAGCATCGCGCTCGGCCGCTGGGTCGAGAGCATGCATGAGGACTTCACTGAGAACATGCAGGAAACCACATCGGTCAAATGTAAACGTCTCAAAAAACAGATAGACGCACCTGGCACTCCTCCACCGACGCCAAATCACCAACCTGCTGGTGTAAACGAGCTATACGGACAAAATGTACACACGAAGATGACTTTCAGAATGATGAAAGCAGATACTGAACATTGGCGCCAAACTATTCTAACAGAAGGACCCGATCTTCGCTGGAGTCACGAGAAAATCGCCGACGACGGATGAGTGTGAGCCATAAGTTATCGTACAAGATGTAGCGTTAAAAAAGCGAAGCCAAGTCAAAATTTCAAGACGCGCGCTGGAACTTGAAGCGACGTTGGGGGAAGATGGGGGACGGTTTGACCAACAAAAAAAACCGATATAGATTCAGGAGAAGAAGAATACAGACACACGAATCGAGAAGCCTTGAGACTGATGGCGACTGATGAGGAGGGATGAGCAGACAATGTCAAGATGAAGATCGAAGGCAAGAGGGAAGGAGACCGAGACAAGAAAAACAGAAGAGTTCTGCCTGAGAGAAAGGGAAGACGAATGCACAAACAGTCTCGAAAAGAAAGAGAGAAAAAAAGAGATGAAAAAAGGAGATAGAGCTATAGAGGACATCTGCATAACATAATAACATGATAAGGTTTGGTATGTATACAAAGACCTACAGGAACCAGTCATGTCAAGGCAAAGCATATGTGGGTGTCATAGTATCAATCAGTTTATGATGGTTGGGTGTATCATCACGGTGTCGACGCGCTCGTCGAGTATGCATAGATCATCAAGGGTCGTCAAGTGGTCGTTAGTGAGGTATCGCTGGGTTCGTAATGGTGGAAAAGGGAACGACCAAAAGACTGAAAACGGTGGTAAGGATTGTTGTGTGTGTTTATGATGACGATGATGCTGATTTCTGGACTTCGATGGCGGGGCTCCTCGGCCCTGGATGTACAAGATTAAATGGCGACTTGGGTTGAGCGGACAACATCGGCGACTGTGTTCCAGGTGTTCCAGACCAGGGTACGCCAGGGGCTTCAGCTGCTGCCTTGCGGGCTTCCTCGTGACGTTCCCAGAGGATCTGTGCCCATATTGGATTGGGAGGGATGCGGCCCACAATAGAGCGAAGGACTTCAAGCCTTGAGTAGAAGGGAACAAAAAACGTCAGTGGCATCTCCTAGCGAGGGGCTTTCACTGAAACACTCACCACTGCGCCTTCTCCTCATCGGTGTCCGCGAAAAATATAATTTCTTGGTCATGCGTAAACTTGACCCTGAACGAGCGTTCGACCCCATAGAGATCCTCGTACTCGTCCATATCCTTGCTAGTCCTCGCACCCTTCCGGGCATCCTCGATATCAATCACAGATACGGCTTTGCGGAGGTCGATGGTGGCCGTCGCTCTTCTTGTAACGTCGTTGTACGCGACGAGAGTGGAACCAATGATTCGGAATCGACGACGCCTCCATGTCTACACCAATCCAGCTTTAGTCTTCATACCCAACGCCAGAAGAAAGAAATATATGTAAACATACCGAGCAATCGCCTCCGTACTGCGTCAACGTCCCTTCGAAGTACGTCGTCTTATGCCAGGACATGTACTTCAACCCTCGACTGGCCTCCTCCAAACTCTGCGGCTGCTCATGCGCGGGCACCCCCGCGAGTATCGGAATCCTCAAAAAGCGCAGCACGAGCTGGCCGATCTGCATCGGCTGCATCCTCCCCCCCGGGCTGTCCAGTCTCTGCCCAATCAACGGATAACTCGTCTCGAACATGCGCGTGTCGCATCGACCGGCGATGTCCTTGAACTGTACAAAAGCGCGCGCGAGCGTCCCGTCGGGCTTGAGGTACCGCGCGAGGTTCTCGGGCAACTTGAACTCTGGCATCTTCGGTGGCACGCGAACGGGTTGAGCGACGGCTTTGGGGGGTCTCTTGGGCGAGGAGAAGAAGGAGCGCATGCCGCCCTTGGAGGGAGGAGGGGCCGCGAGTTGTTGGACGGCCTTTGGAGGTGCGGGAGGTGGTTGGGTCGCTTTGATCTGTGCTACGATATGTGGATCTGGTCGGACTTTCAGAGCGAGCGTGAATTCGAGTTTACTGTGCTCGATCCTGTTTTTCACGAACATCAGAGACTGCAGAGAAACATGAAAGGGTGACGAGAACAGGCTCACAGCTCGAATTCTTGGTCGATCCGGCAGTCCTTGGCCAATCGAGATTCGGGCGTGGTAACAAAATGAATGCCGTTATTGAGCGTACACGACACCGCTGTTGGCTCGCGTGGGATAGGGGCGTTTAAACCGATGACGCCAACGACTGTGTCCAAGGTGGCGGTGTCAGGGTCTCGATCTACGATTTGAACCTTGAACCTCTATCAAAACTCACCTCGCACGAACACCTTGCCATTCGACTTGCCCGGCTTCTCGTGCGCTCGATATTCCTTCAACTGTTTCGCATACTCGTTCTAATGAATTATTATCACATCAAGTCACAATCAGTTTCGTTATCAAACCATATATATATCGCGGCACGCCAACCAAAATGAAGAAAACGCTCACCATGTCAGACGGTCTCCTGACCGTTCGCCACGCCTTTCCGCTGTCCACATCGCCTGCGCTGCTCATATGCCCCACTTTCTCCATCTCCTGGGACGACGAAGCGTAGATCGTGCCCTCCCTTTCGCGTACATGATATTTCTGTTCAAAGCCAAAGAGACGGTCCAAAGAGGAAACGACACCAGTCAGCTTCCATCGATCGCAGACACACGATAACAACCCTAAAAAAAACTTCCGGTAGCGGGCCGAAAAGGGAAGAAAGGGAACGAACGAAACCGGACACAAGAGAAGAAGACACCCACATTCTTCGCCGCGCCACCCAACCTCATCAACTCCCTCTCAATACTATCCCTCAAATCCGCCTCATCCACATCCTCCCTCTTCACCCCCAACAACTTCTTCCCGCCCGTCGCCCCCAAGCCAAACTGTCCGCCCTCTTCCTGCTGCTGCTGCGACTTGACCTTATTCCCCCCATCGACCATCCCACTCCTTCGCTCGACATCCTCCGCATCACCGACACTGAGACTCCTGCGTCCTTTCCGCCTACCACCGCTCCCTTTGTGTCCAGGTACGTCCAGTCGTCCGCGCGATCGGGGTGCGTCCTCGCTATCTTCCTCGGACATGCCCTGCTGCTCTTCACGACGACGAAGCTCGCGTCTTTTCTCCATGATGGCCTGTTCGCGGTTCCGGATGTTGTCCTTCGGAGGTGGTGGTGGCGGAACAGCGGACTCGGCTGTATGATGATGATGATGGAGTCCTTCGGATTGTGATCGTGTGTGGGCGGATGCGCTGGTGGAGGCGTGCACAGGCGATGGTTCGTGCAAGGTGAGTGCCGGAAGTCCATGCCCGTTAGTGTGACCGTCGTCGTCCAAACTCGATGGCCTCTTCCCATCGAAATACATCGTCGCATCTTCCTCCGTTTCCTCTTCCTCTTCAACGTCCTCCTCACCTTCCTCTTCCTCCTCACCCCCCTCCTCCGCATTCTGAATATCCACATCCATCGAATCCCCCTCTCCCTCTCCCTCCTCCTCATCGCCCACAACCTCCACAACCGTCCTCTCCAACCTCATCTTCCCCACACTCACACTCGACCCAGAAGCCTTCGTCGACGAAGACCCCTTAGACGACCTCGACCCGCCCGCTCCCACACTATCGATATCATCCACCAGCCGATCCAACGCGCTCCTCGCCTCCTCAATATCCACATCCATCTCCTCCAAATCCAAATCCATCTCCCCATCCTCTCCAAACGGAATCCCCACCGGAACAGGAACAGGCAACGAGCTCTGTCTCTCGATGCCGCGTGGCCTCGAATGCGACCCAGCACCGGCGCGCGCCGTAGACCTCGAAGTCGACCTCGACACCGATCCCCACTTTCCCAAATCGAGATCAAACGTCGTCCCGGCATCGATAACATCCAGCCCCACGAAACTCGACGCGTCCGTCGCTCCCCCAACGCCGCCGCCAAGGAAGGCAGACGCGGACTCGGAGTACGCGCGCGTGTGTAGTGTCGGGCGCGGTGGATCTCGGGGTTGGGCGTCCGGGTCGATGGCCATGACGCCGTCGTAAGTCGGGTTATCCTGTCTCTTCATTGGCCGCGGTTTGAGTCCTTCCGTACCCTCTCCGTCTCCCTCGTGATCCGATTCGAGTTCGCCCATGATATCGTCCTCGATCTCCGTCGACACATCGACATTCCTGCCACCCTCAACACCCACACCCACACCCACACCCAGCCCCCCAACCGAAGACGACGGACTCTCCGTATTCCGTCTCCCCAACATCCTCCTCTGCACATCCTCCCTCCTAATCCTCGGTCCCCTCCCATTCGCACTCCCATTCAAACTCCCAACACTGCTGCTCGTCGATTCACCCAACACTCCCAGCCCGCGATGTAGAGGCAACGGCGACCCGACGCGCGCAGCGACGTATCCGAGCTCATGGTGACCGAATGGCGATCCGCCGCGCCCGGTGACAGATGCTGAGAGGGAGGGCGAACCGACGCGGCCAGTGAGTGAAGGCGACCCAACGCGTCCAGTGAGTGAAGGCGACCCAACGCGTCCAGTGAGTGAAGGCGACCCAACGCGCCCAGTGAACGAAGGCGACGCGACGCGTCCACTGATGGCGGGTATCGCGATCGGCTCCGCACGTGACCGCGTCAAAGGCGAATCTGTCCTCGTCAAAAAAGGCGAGTCCGTAATTTGAGTCGGTGAGTTCACATTCGTATTAGAATTAGTGCTGCCATTCAAACCCAAATTACCGAGCATCGGCGAGCCGCTCCTGCTCCTCGGCGTATCATTATACGAGATCCTCGACCTGCGCAATGACGCCGAAGCTGGTGCCGATTCGTCTTGTCCTAAGCTTGTATTGGTGGTGGTGTTCGCGTTGGTATTGATGCGCGGGAGAGAACTGAGATTCAGTGACTGAGAGGACGCGTTGGTGGTGGTGGTGGTAGTGTCCCGTTCTCGACTCGGACTCCCAAGGTTCGCGAGCTCCGCTTCGAGGCCCGTGAGCGAGACCTCCGAGTGTCCAATCGAGAGATTAAACGCGTCTCTGCTCTCGTCTTCCCCACCCTCTTCTTCGTCCTCTTCTCCTCCTCCTCTTGGGTGTGGGGGCTGTCGGTGTTTGGAATTGGGTGTCGCAGGCATAGCACGATGATGGTGATTGGAAATGGGATCCACAGAGTCCTCCCGCGCGTGTTCGTGTTCAGAGGGAACGGACGACATGAAAGACAGCTCGACGATGTGCATGTCCCCACTCTGCCCATCATCGCCATCACTTCCCTCTTCCTCTTCCTCTTCAGCAGCGGATTCAGGCGAAGGCGAATGCGAGCGAGATCGATGCCGCCGGTTCTTGTTCATCGTGATTGGGACGCCGAAGGGGTCGCCTCCAGATCCAGATCCCGAGGCTCGGGCTGAGATGCAAAACATCAGTGATTTGTTTGTTCCAGGAGCGCAGAGTGCGTACCTTCGAATTTCGGCGCATCTCGCAACAGATTCTCCAGTTCGAACCTCGGCACGCCCTCCTCTTCCCCCTCCTTTCCCTCGTGTGAAGGGCCCTCCTCCTCTCCTTCGCTCTCCTGTTCCGTCAGTTCCCCAAGCTCGCCACTATTGCGCCTCGCATCGCGCCGTCCCGAATGAATTTTGCCATTAGACGAGTGTATCGTAGGCGTGCGTGGAGAGTCGGGACGGGACGGTGTCCCCGAAGTGTTGGCTGTGGTAGGGGTGAGTGGGGATTCAGGACGAGAATGTGTGGCGGTGGCGCGTTCGGCATGGTGGGAACGTCCATAAGGCACGCCGTCCTCGGTCTCGGCATCCGGCGGCAGGACGACGGCACCGTGAAGCTCATCATGTTCAGGCGTCCTCGCTGACGCCCGTTCGTTGCTCCCAGCACCTTGAAGCATGGAGTCCATGAGGCCAGTGATGCTGTCGTCGGCAGGGAGGTAACGCCCCGATTGCTCGCGATCGTCGGGTTCCTCTTCTTCTTCGTCGTGTTCATGAGGCTGGCCGTGGTGGTGGTGTTGGTGCGAGTGCTGATCAGGCCGCCGATGGGCAGAGGGTTGTCGGTGAGATCCTCCATTTAGGGCGTCAGGCTCCGGATCGCCGTAATCGTCGTGATCGTCGTCGTCGGAGATGTCGAAGGGATGCTCGTCGACCTCCATCGAAGACTCGTCGCGGTCGAACTCGAGGACATCGCACTGTTCATCAAACGTGACCGTCTTGCGCCTCTGGCGCTTGCCCCCCACCTCGCCGCCGAAGATGCGTGGGCCATGGAGACGTTTGGAGACGAGGGAGGAGCGGGTGGGCGAGGCGGAGCGACTGGAAGGGCTCGGGACGAGGATCGCTTTCGAGGGCGGAGGGGCGAGAGGTTCGTCGTCATTTCCACTGTCACCGTCGAGATCCCCCTCGGTGTCGAACCCTGCGTCGTCCACGTCCTTCTCGCTCCCATGTGTGTCGACGGAGGATGCTCTGAACGGGGACTTTGTGACGGGCTCTGCCTGCACGAGACCAGCGAGACCTCTGGACTGCCTCCGTTTGAAACCGAGCGGGGGCTGCTCGTTCTCTACCATCGAGCTCGGTCTCGGTCTCTTCTCGCCACTGACTCTCCGCGGCGACGGGCTCTTGACGGTGGATGGGCGGTTGTTGTTGTGGCCACTCTGGGACTGTGGCGGGCCCGCGCGGAAGGGAGACTGGGAGACGAGGTTGGAGGTGCGGAGTTTGGAGTAGGTGTTGGAGGAGCGGCGGGAGAGCTGGGATGCATGGGGCCGGAGATGGGGTTGTTGTTGTTGTTGTGGCGGTTGTGAATGGGAGTCGCGCTTTGAGATGCGGAGGGGAGTGGTGGGGCGGCCGGGGTTGGTGCTGGGTGGGGGCCACTCTGGCTCTGGAGAGTTTGAGAGCGCGCGGTCTCGGAGGGGGCCCATGAATTATTGTATAGGGGCGGTCGTGAGAGAGAATGGTCGAGGTCGTGAATTGAGGGACGGTAATACAGAGAGCAATGCGAAAGGTCGTGAAGCGTTCGTGAGAGCGGAGAAAGAAGGAGGGCAGGGAAACGAGCGCGCGCCGAGGCGAGGCAGCGCGCGGGAAAAGACACACAACGCCAGATCCGTGAACAAGGACCCGTGGGAACAGATCCCAGATCCACAATCGCGTTCGACTTGGTCACGCGACCGTGCTGCACAACCCACGTGACCGCGTTCTGCCCTCTTTGTGATTCGAATTTCGTCGCCCGCCATCAGATAATGTTCTTCGCTCGTCTCTCCCGCCGGCCTCGAGTGCTCCTCTTTCTCCTCGCTCTTGCATTCGTTCTCTGGGGTCTTGTTTACCGCCCCGGATCGCTCGCTCTCCTGCTCAGTCGACGTCAGCACCCAGGCACAAACGACAGCCTGCGCGTCATCCTCGACACCGTCCACGGCAGCCTCTCCCGAGCTGTCAACTTATCGATTGCCAATGCACAGCCCTCCGCCTCCCTTCTCCATTCTTGGCCCTCTGCTCATCATGCGCGACCTGTTTCAGCCTCTGCAGAGCACGCGCTCCTCTGCGACCTTCTATCCGGAAAAGCAATCTACGTCGTCGGGCCCCAGCCCACGAGCTATCTCCTCCACGACCTCCTCCTCCACTCTCTCCACTCCCCTGACACATGCAACGGCCCCTCCCTCTGTTCCTTCCACCCTCTCTGCTCTGACGACATTCATCCCCCGCCCTCCTCTGACCCCTCCCGCCGCCTCGGCTCCCTCAAACCAAACGATATCATCGGCTCCAACACTTCCCTCCTCCGCTACATCTCCTCCGACACGCTCTATCCCTCTCCCGATCCCTTCCATCCCAGGTTTCTCGGTCCTGTCGTGGATGAGCAGACAGGCGTGCGTGTGACCGACGCGAGGTGGACTGCGCAGGTCTCGAGGAACGCGGGCGTGCTCGTCCTTAATCGTGGTCCCGTTCCCGCTCCGGCGTGGAGCTACGGAAGTCACAGACTCTCTTGGCTCGATGATCTCCTCCGGTCGTCTCCCTCTGAACTCAAGCCCTCATCCGACCTCGAAAAGATCATCCTCGCAGCACTGCACACGACTCTCACGACCTACCTCCCCTCCCTGCTCACCCACCTCTCCGCTCTTCGCACCGCAGATGGTTTTCCTCCGATCTTGGGTACTCGACCGGTCATCTGGCACGCGAGCTGGTACATGCTTCCGCCTTCTTGTTATTCTCGTGCTCGTTCTGGCTCTGGTTTCGGTTCTGGCCCTCACTTAGGGGCTACAGAGGGGTCAGACTTGTTGCCTCCTGAGCTCACATACCTCCTAGCCATCATCGACGGTGTGATATGTGATCCCTGGAATGTGTATTACAACATCCAAGGTCCGCCCACTCTTTCCCACCTCCATACTCTTCATTTTCTTTCACTGACGATGAAACATGACAGTCTACCTCCACTCCCTAATCCTCCCGCACATCCTCCCCTCCTACAACATATCCTACCTCCCCCTCCCCCTCCCTTCTGCTCCCAACAACTCCACATGCCCAAACCCGACCCTAGGACCCGCCCCCACCCCCAAAGAACGTGACTGTCTCAGACCAAAACTCGAAAGCGAGAGGGGACGGAGATTGGGTGCTGGGTTCATTAAGGGGCTGAGTCGGGCGTTGGAGATTTGGGAGGGGGAGAGGGTCCAGGTCCAGGTCCAGGCGAAGGGTGGTGGGAAGGAGACGGAGGGGGGATGAGATGGAGATGGAGACGGAGGGGCATATAAGTAAGGGTTCTTGTTCATTTCGTTTTCACATCCTTGTGTCTCCTACACCCTCAAACCTCATCAATCGTCAATCGTCAATCGTCAATCACCTCCAATAATTTATGTAAAACAAGTACGCAAAAAAAAAAATTCATCAAAGCGTACGTATGTACGTAGGCTATATCTGTAACTTACGAATGTAGGCTATGTCTGTACTGTACGAATGTAGGCTATGTCTGTAACTTACGAATGTCAGCAGTTAGTCAACGTCAAAGTCCATGTACATCGCGCGTCGTGACGGGTCTGTATCCAATGAATATACAGTGCAATGCGATACGATGCAATGTGAACGAAAGATGTGGGAGGGTGGGTATCGCCGGATCCGGGTGTCAGTGTATATAACGAGAGAGAGAAGGAATCGAAGGGAATCGAATAAATAATGCTAAAACAATGCTTAAACGATGCAAAACAAGAAGATACGAAAGGATTGGCGGATGATACAGCGTGCAGGAATATAAAGCAGAATGAAAAAGATGATGTGTCGCGCGTAGAAAGAATCCCGGTCTGTCAGGAAGTCAGGAAGTCAGGAAGCCAGGCAGTCCAAATGAGTCCTGGAGAATAACGGTCCTGAGTGATATGTGAGCCGTGGGGGGCGTCCTGTCCAGCTCGAGAATTCGTACGTCCCATCCGGTCCGAACGTGCCACACCGCCCAAGGCCGCCCATAACTGTCACCAAGGTCCACCACCACGCACAACCGTCCCATCCGTCCACCCATCCGTCCATCCTCCGACCCCCATCCCGCTCCCCATCCGCCCTCGTCCCCGCTTCAAACCTATACTCCAAGCTAACCATACAGTCTATGAAGACCGATAATACGGATCCGCATAACTCTCATACGACGACATCCGATTCAAATCCCTCTCCTTATTATTATTATTCCTCGGAAACGAAAGACTCTCAAACGGCCTATCCCCACCCATATCCGAATCCTCCTCAGAATCCCCCGCGTCCTCCACTTCGCCTTCCTTCATTGCCCCCTCCTTCGTTGCCGTTAATCCGTGCGTGCGAGAATGCGGGTTACTGAGCAACGTCTCCTCGGAAGATATCCTGCCGTGCGGGCTTTGGTCTTGGTGCTGCTCGAGATCGATGTCGACGTCATGATGCAGCCCAGGCGACACGTTCTCATACCCCACAAACGCGAACGACGACCCCGCCGACTCCCTATCCCTATTCACATCTCCAGACACCCTCCCCTGCCCCTGCCCTTGCACACTCCCCTCCGACCCATTCGACCCATTCGAGTCCGTTTTCTGGTGTCGATGTAAATGCAGGTGCGGAGGCGAAGGCAGATGCTGTTGTAAATGATTAAGATGGAACGAGAACGTCGATTCGCGTTGGCCAGCGGATGCGGATGAAGAGTCGTCGAGGAGATGTTTCGTTTCGGAGGTGTATGGTGAGTTGGTGTCGGAGTTGGATTTGGAGTTGGAGTTGGATTTGGTGTATGTGGAGGGTGAGGGTGAGTTTGAGCCGGACTCTGTGTTCTCGACGGGCGCGACGGACGTCCAGGCGTATTCTTGGGAGAGTTTGGAGGCGTAGGCGTGTAGTGCGTAGGTCGTCACTGAATCAGAGACACGACAGTGAGAACTCGTTCGAATCACGAATGCAAGGAAGAATGAAATTGTAAGCAGGGACTCACGAGGCTGCACAATCAGCATCCCAATCACACTCAGCACAACGACCGCAGGTCCCGCCCAGCCCTTCTCCTGCAACGTACAATCCCTCGTCTCGCCATTCTTCGCCTCGCAGTCGTTCAGAACGGTAGATGGGGAGGTCGAGAAATACGCCCAGAGGTAGAGGATGTCGATGAGTAGTTCGGGGACGGTGCACCACGCGAGGGAGGTCGAGTAGAGCTGGAGGACAGGGGGTGTGCGGGTGACAATGGCTGCGAGGCTGTTTTTTTTGTTAAAATCAAGAGCGTCAGGACTCAGCCAGGATACGAAAAGCGTATGCTGAGGACTGTACGTACCCGACGATCGAAGAAAGCGCGACGAATGCGTAAAACACACCAGCGATGACCACAACCGCCTTCTGTCCGACCTCACTATTCGCTATCGAAACGTAAACGCCACATACAGGATGTCGTCAGACATGGCTCCAAGAAACTGCGCATGATAGCCTTGTGGAGTGAGAATTACGCACGGAATTCGGGGAACAAAACGAAAGCGCCGGCCGCGGAGAGGATGCCGACGATGAGCAGGAAGGCAGACATGCCTAGTGCGACGAAGCGCAGGGGGATGAAGGCGAAGCAGAATGAACGGGCGCCCATTGTTTTGACCGGGGTGGAAAGGGGTTCGAACGGATAGAGGTCGTGAACTCAAGAGGTGAGTCGGATGAGTTCGTGGAGTTCGTAAATGCAACTAGCTGGTTTCGGATGTGGAGCCCGCAGACCAGGGCGATTTCAAAGCGGAAGAGGAAAGAGAGAGAGAAGAAGGAAAAGGGAGGCGAAGTGGGAACTCGTGTGGGGACTCAGGAGACACAGGTTATATACCCTCACACATAATGAACCCTATCCCCCAATCCTCGATCATCGCACTGAACACTCGGACTCGCTTGTCCGGCCTGCGTGTTTTATGATCTCAAACCGACGAGACCGCGCCTCGGGCTCACTGGAGGGCGACCAAGTGAATTATCGGCCTGACCGAGGCGCTTAGCCACCACAGCCCTCCAGTCTGCGCATTGCGACGGTGTCGACTAGTGGGACCGTGCACGGTGCTTGGACCTGCTTGGACCTGTGTACAGAGGGGTCACCGCCTCCAGGAAAGGGGTGACATCACTTCGTCGCGTATCCAAAACGAGGACAGAATGATTGCGTCCGTGTCAGGATGAGGGTGTTCCAGTAGTCTAAAAGTTGATGGAGACAGATATACCATCATACCATGGGCCGTGCTGAAGTCAAAGTGGACTGAAAGGTTGGAAATCTCTGAACATTGCTGGTGATGGTTGAAAACACGAGGCGGCGCGAGCGAGATGGATGGATTGGGCGAACTTTGCGCCAATTTTTCGGGTAGTTGATCCGGATTGGTCTCCGTCGGTGGGTGAGCCAGCCCATTGTACGCCACGGTGAGACGCGGTGCAGAATGGGTGGCCATTCGCCATGGGATACATGGGCCCATCCAGCTATAATAAATAGACACACAAAACGATTTCTATCACGACCAAGATACATTCCGAACAAGCGTCCACACTACTACTATCTTCCAAAATAGACAGAAACTCGAACAACAAACATCACAAACATCACAAGATACACAAGTACAGATAGTAGCCAGCCAGCAAGTACAAAACACATCAGGCCGTCTTTCTTGTATGACAGCCTTTGATTTTCCAGTCATTTGATACTTCGAGCGTCCGTTCTTACATCCCCAAAAATCCTTCCCTATAGATCCATCGTGTCTCTCACCTCCAACAAGCAAGGCAGATCCCAACCACGGACGCTCCGCATCCGCGAATCGCCCTTACCTACTGCCTTCCAATATGCGTCCCCGCCAACTCCCTCTCCAACTCCGCGCTCGGATCATCCATAACCGGACTCGACGGCCTCTGCCCTCCAGCGCCCGCCGCACCTTGCTGACCAGCCTGTCCTCCAGCCGGATTGTACGAGTACGTGTTCGTACCGGAGTAGTACCCCGACGTGGCCCCGTTCGCAGGGACGTCCTCCTGGATGGGTGAGGCGGCGATATCGTCGTGCGAGGGGATGGGAAGCGTGTCCTGACGGCGGCCTTGGGAGGCGGCGCGTGCTTGAGCGCGGACTTCCTGGCGGAAGAGGTTGACTTCGTCGACGATGAGCTTTTTCATGCCTTCGATGGAATCTTCTTCCTCAAAGTCGAAGTCGAAGGTCTAGTGAAGGGTTATACGGGTCAGATCAGATATTGTGAGACGACTTGCAGAATTTTTGTAGGGGAAACAAAGCGCGTACCGTGGGGCAGACGGGCTCGTCAGATGGATCGTGCCAAACTGCAAGGTACGGGTGTTCAAGCGCTTGCTCGCAAGTAATTCTGTCAAATGATTTAAGAACTTCCTGACAAACGACTCGTGAGCATACGAGACGATGCTCACCGTTTGGCAGGATCGAAGTTCAACATCTTCGATAGCAAGTCGATGGCTTGCGGGTTAGCTTGCGGGAAGAGCTGCTGGAATGGAACTCTAGGCCTGATGGGCAGAGAGCGAATGTAGTCTTGAGCCCTGGGCGAACCGACCCGCCTCAAAGTGTCCTCAGAGGGAGTACCGAGGTAGTGCAGGATTTGGTTCAATTGATCGACATAGCTGTCGAACCACAACAGTTAGCGGCTTCGAATTTGCTCTTACGGGACGATGGATACGTACTCCCGGCCTTTGAAGATAGGCTTGCCTGCCAAAAGCTCTGCGAGAATACAGCCAACGCTCCACACGTCGATGGCAGATGCCTGGGTTGATGGCAAATATTGCGCTCAGTAAGGCAAAGACAAAAACACAGGTTCCAGATACGCACATAGTTTGCAAAACTCAACATAATTTCGGGAGCGCGGTACCACCTGGTGGCTACGTACTCAGTCATGAACCCTTGCCTCTGTTGCTGGTTGAAGCCACGCGCGAGACCGAAGTCACAGATCTTAAGCTATTCATAGTCAATGATATCAGAATTTCAGAACGATAGATCAGAGCAGAAGAAGAGGAACGAACCTCGCAATCGGCATTCACCAGGAGATTTCCTGGTTTGAGGTCGCGATGAAGAACGTTGGCCGAGTGAATATACTTTAGGCCACAAAGGGTTTGATAGATGAACGATTGGAAGTGGGCATCGGACAAAGGCTGCCCGGATCGAATCTGGAAGAGGGAGGGTCGTTCATGAGTTCTTCAGCTTTCTGACATTTTCACACCCGATTCAGAAGGAAAGGGACGGGGCTATGGGCTAGGCGGCGATATTGCGGGAAAGACATACGATGGCATGCAGATCAGCCTCCATGAGTTCTTCCTGCGAAAGATTACGATGATCAATCAGCCAAGGGTCAGCCAAGGCGCAGAAAGAAAGACGCACATAAAGATAGACTTCGTCGAAGTTCCCACTCGCATCGAAGACAATATCCATGTCATAGAGGCAAGTGATCTAATGTTATCAAAGGTAATATTGGCGCCACGGAAGTTATAGGGGCAGTGTGGCGAGCGTTAGATGGAAGGTTGATATGTCCGTGGGGTCACGCAAGAGAAGGAGGGAAAGAATCAGCAAACATCCAAACATGATCGCACACAGTGGCCGGGCGCTGAGGGAGGTGCGTTGCTATGAAGGAGGGGACAAAGTGATGCCTACGTTCTTGTGCCTCCGGAAATGATGGAGCAGTCTATTGGCGAGGAGATATTTTGTTCAGTAACAGTATTCCGAGTATACGTGTGCCAGAAACGTACTTGATTTCTCGCAAACATCTCTTGGTCAAGATCCTCTAAGAATAGACCCGCAGCACCAGGATCCTAGGGTGAACATCGTGACCTCGCAAGCGTCCTTGGAGTGGGGACGAACCTTGGTATTGATGTTTGTGATCTTTTTAATGGCACAGCCCTCGCCGGTCCTCCTGTGCTTTGCGCTGACGACGCAACCATAAGCTCCCTGACCGAGTTCCTTGACGAACTGGTACTCAGAGTCGACGACGAACGTCGAGTTCAAAGCCTGAAACGAGTGGCGCTGCATGATAGGAAGCGTCTGCTTCAGTTAGCTCGGGTATTCGGCGACTCAAGTTGAGGGTATTTGTGAGGGAAACGGAGAGGAAGAGGTCGAGTGTGTTGTTGGTAGCTGCCCACCTTGACGGTCGTCTACAAGTACGATATTTGGATCGGCCATCGATCATTCCGATCCAGCTATCGGCGCTTGCCACTCCGGCAACACAATAAAACGCCACAAACGGTCGCTCTTCACCTCCGTCCTCCGAGTCTTCTCGTCTGTGAATCCTCCATGGAACAAACTTGCAATCGATAGCTCTCCTGCACGGTCAATGAGACTCGATGTTCCTCTTCACCAACGCGATTACTTTGTGACTTCAGCCTGTAGTAGCTTCCGCTGGCTCATGATCCTCAGTCCAAAAAAGTAATTCACTGCCTAATGCCGATTCCATCTCTGCTCTGCCATCACAAACCTTCTTCAGAGCGCTTGGAAGCGCTCGGGTCACGAAATAGCATACACAACACCTTGGATATCGAGCGCCGCAGGCCTTATGACCTCCCTCTTTAACCGTATCAGCAACCGTGACTGTTCGTGAACTCGACTCATCTACGCTTCTGCACTACTGTCGCTCGCACGAACTGGAAGTCGGTGACAGGAATTAGAGTGCATATTTTCCTTGAGAGGCTCGTCGGATTTAGAAGTTCTACCACAGAAGAGGAGCACACTCTCAATCGGCCCATTTGTTTTGGGAATTTATTCTTTTTGTTGCTCAGCAACTGAACTACCACTTACTCCATTCATGGAGGCGCCATTACCTGGGCCGAGGAGATGTTCATATGTATGAGATGCCCCATCCTACTGCGGGCGCAACACCTGCCAGAGCAACGTCGTGAAGCAATTCCGTGCTGCAGACCCTCTGCTAACTCTGCATAGATATTGTCTCGAATCACTGTTTTTCAAAAGTCAAAGCTGCAGAACATCCAGGGGAATAGGTAAACCAGAATAGCCCAAGTTGGCATTGAGAGCCTGAAGTCCTGACTAGGCACTATTTGGCGGCTGCATGGATTGTAAGATTTATTGGGAAATAGCCCCTGACAAGATGCTGGATTGCTTCCATCCTCGACCCGCAGAATCTGGGAATAACCTCTTTTATGCGATTCTGCATCCTTATTTCGCTCAGTTTGGGAGGTTGAGAGTTAGAAGGAACAAGGTGCTGTGGCGTCTGATCGCCACACTAGCAATGCGATAAGCGCCGTGACGTAATTAAATTCCTGTGACCCCACTGTTTCGCCTACCACCATCTTCTGGAGTCTGGACGAGGGACCAAGTCCACCAGCGGGCTGAGGATACCCACTGCAGAGCGCAGGTAGTTTGGTATGTAATGCGATTAGCGTTTTGGACAGGCTAAACACTGAACGGATCTCAAAGATATTGTATCTCCACTACATCCGTGTCCGCTCGAAGTGTATCTATCCCAACTCAAGAGGCCCTCTTGCCAGTGTTTACCTAGCTTTTGTGGATCTCTCCTCTGGGTCAACACTGCTCTGGAACTTTGCTTTCCCCTTATTTCATCGCTATCTATCTCATATATATTCCTTGCTGTATCTCCACCTGCAATTTTACGACTTTACGACCTGATTCACGACCTGCATACCCATACCCATCACTATTACCCTCTGAGACCAGCTATAAGCCCTTGCTGCCTTGACACCCTGTGAAGAACTATGTCCAATAGGTGTTATAACCCCAAAGCGCCAGAAGAGGGCCCGCCCCTTATCCAGAATGGCACTTTCGTGTTCCAAGGTGTGTTCATTCTGTTCTACTGGCGCCTTCAAGGCTCTGACCTCCTGCATTATAGCGCACGACGTCGGCTGGATCGTTGCCTCTTTCTTCACTATTGTTTCATGCGTGACATCTTTTTGGCTCATCAACAAGCACCTCATTTGGTACACGAACGTGCGTAGTCTGTCATATAGAGACTTCCGAAGCTACTAAATCGTAGAACCCCTCATCAACAGAAGAAGGAACAGCGCTGTAGGCCCCTTCGCCTGTACACTCAAACTAAGCTAACCATCCGCCCCATATCCCAGATATCGTCAGGATTCTATTCATGGTCCCAATCTATTCGATCGTATCTCTCCTCTCATATTTCTTCTGGGTGCGTGCTCTCATTCCTCAATGACTCGACTGGACTGAATAAACCGTTTCACAGAATAACTCGACGCCTCTCCTCCTTCTCCGAGACTGCTACGAATCCTTCGTCCTCACCGCCTTCTTCTACCTCCTCCTCGTCTACCTCTCGCCCAATCCAGACGTCCAACGGTCTATCTTCCGCAAACAAGGCTACTCCAAGGAGAATGACGCAGAGATGATTAGAAAGGGCGAACCCATCCGAAAATGGGTATTTCCGTTGGGGTTCATCAAGTGGAAACCGCAGGATGGCCTGTATTTCCTGCAGCTAATGAAGTGGGGCGTTCTACAGTACTGTGTGCTCAGGCCTTTGTAAGTATTTCCGGATAGGGCTATCTTGTAAGTCTCCTTGACTAAGTTATTGACTCTCGCAGAACGACTTTCTTCGCCGTCTTGCTCAACTATGTCGGTCTATACTGTGAATCCTCTTGGTCTCCTGCTTGGGGACATGTATACGTGCGTACCTCGAAATCAATCACTTGTCACGCACCAACGTAACATACTTCAATTGCAGATCACAGCCATCGTCTCTTTGAGTGTCACGATAGCCATGTATTGCCTTTTATCCATGTACATGTCAGTCTCTTCAGAGCTATCCGACAAGCGACCCGTCCTGAAATTGATCAGCATCAAGGCTGTCGGTGCGTTGCCTTCCGTTGATGACTCGCTTTCTTTTCTCTTGACCCACTCCCTGACTTCGGTGGTTAGTGTTCTTGACATTCTGGCAGGCTTCATTCTTGTCGGCCTTATCGATGTTTGGCGTCGTAAAAGACGTATGCATCTCTTAGTTTCAACAGTATAAAAAGTGATACTCATCTGACTCTCTCTAGACCGCGTACATGACAGCGGAGGACATTAACATCGGCTGGGGTGCCCTCCTGGAGACGTTTGAGATGGTGTAAGTAACCCCCGCCGCCTCCTCTTCCACAGCGGCTCATGCATGCCTCTCAGCATCTTTGGCTTCGTCCACATCAAAGCCTTCTCTTACAAGCCCTACCGCCCCATCATTCACGATGCCGACACACCTCGCACTCCACGCCTTCGTTCCTTAGCTCACGCCATGAACTTCAAAGAAACCTTCCGCGAGCTCCGAGACGGTTGGGTTTACTTGTGGCAGCGGATGCGCGGTAAAGAGGTCAAAGTGGACCGGAACGCCAGAAGGGATGGTTGGTATGAAGGAGCGTTTGGCAAGGAGAGACCTATGCCTGCAGCGGATTGGAGAGATCCTGGAAGAAAGGGCTGGGATGATAAGGACCTCTACAGCGGTGGCCTGGAGAATGATGGGTATGGGAACGGGAACGGCGATATAGGGAGAGGACTTAGAGTGAATAGTGAAGTTGTCGTTACGGTGGAAGGGGAGAGGCAGTGGTTAGGCACTAGGGACGAGTATGGTTATGGAATCGGGTTCGAATCTCGCGGCAGAGCTGGCACGAGAGGACGTGAGAGGAGTGAAGCATTAGGTACCCAGATCGAGGCAGAGTTGTCCAAGAGGGGCTATGAGTTAACCACTCGTGGTAAGTCCCTTAGGTCCCCATAGAGCCAATAACCGCACAATCTTATAGACCTCTTTTGCAGACGAACCTCTCGTAGAACAAGGTCACATACGAGGTGGTAAATCCTGGTGGCGCAGCATATACGAACGCGTCTCCCAGTCTCACCAGGATCCGGAACCCACCGAGGAGCTCCCCCCAGCACACCATCGTCAGACTTCTCGGGCCCCACGAAGGGACCTTGACGTCGTCGACGAGGGTCGTGAATTCGGAGAACGAAGAGCTTTAATGAGCCAATACGAGTACGACGATGCGCCCCCGCCGTCTATCATCCGTACGTACCGAAGCAAACGTAGCCGTCTTTCTTTGGATGTCCCTCGCACCCCACCTCGTCAAGACCAGACTTTGCGACCAGCACACGATGTGCACCCTCGGCAAGCACCGGCTCCAACGCCGGACAGTATGCTCTTGCGCGTATTCCCTTCAGACGCTGGGCATTCCTCGACGACCACTCCGTCTATGATGCCTTCTTCACAGTCACATAGAACGCGCGTCAATTTGGGTCCTACGCCAGTCATCGTCACGAGAGGTGGAGACATGAGTCGTTTACCCCAGCTGGTATCTTCTCCAACGTCTCTGCATCGACGTTACGGTGAAAATGGTGATCGCCGGGTGTCGAGACAAAGATCCAGAGAGAATGACGTTAATAAGATGGCTCGACACTCGAGCTCCCGTTCCCAGTCCCGACATCGATCTCATAATAGTCAACCTGATGTCGTACCTCCCTTGCCGCCACTGAACCTTAACGCTCGAACACGACCCACTCCCGTAATGCCTGCACCATTATCTCCAGCATCGGGAAGCTCTTCACCACATATCATATCCCCTCCTCCACTCCCTACCCCAGTCTCCTCTCCAGATGCAGCCCAACCTTCCTCACCAACTGCTCTGCGTCGCTTCTCTGGTTTCGTTTCTGCATACCCGCGCCCCACCTATACACGCCAACCAACGAGGCCACCAGCTGCGAAGGAACAGAGACGGTCTCGGGATATTTACAATGCTGGTATTTCGGTCGACCAATCGTCAAATCGAAGTCCACCCCGCTTCTCGTCGTATAATCCTGGACCAGGATCGCCTTTGTCACCACAGATGCAGTCACCTGTGGCTGCGTTCACGTCGTCACCCGATGGTGGGCGCTATTGGAATGTGAACGACGGCCGGGAACCTGTGGAGAGCACATCGCCCGACGGCCGAAGGTGATGACCACCAGCTTGTGAAGTCCAGTACAGGGTGGATTCCTTTTTTTTTCCTGTTTGGTTCGAGTGATATCTGGGGTACTTGCGAGTCTGTAGGCTATGAACACTAATGAGCTTACGATCCAGTTATAACGAACCTAATGATACATATTATGCTTTGCAATCTGAAGCCTCCCGCGTGTCCCGATCTAGGTATTAGGTAACAGTATGATAAGTTGTGTAGATGTTGTTGGAAAACCGTCGAATTTTCGGGCAAGCGTCAGAGAACAGGCAAGCCATGCCAGTTGGTTGGAATTACTAACGGAGTCATCGTATTATATATGAGAGAACCCCACAACTGTGCGCCATCCAGAAAGAAGAGAGAGAAAAGAAGAGAAAGACATGATTTCAAGGCCACGCATCCACACACGTCTTATCCGGTCTTTTACTATTTCTCCCCTTACACTCCGGTTTCCCACAATCCTGACACGCATTCGTACAAAAACTCCTACCGCCCTTGCCCTTACAATCCTTCGACCCACACTTGACGCAATGCCGGATTCGTTTGCTCGGCGGTTCCGTCGTCAATATCTCGCCCCCGCGTTTGAACACGAGTGGGACGGCGTTAGGGTCGGTTGGCTGATAGATGTATGGATAAGGTGCTCCGTAAATGGGCATGTAGGGAGGCGCACCCTGGGCGTATGCAAAAGGAGGCGGGACCGGTCCTGGGAGAGTCTGTGCTACTGTGGTGACCGCGCCGGCAGAGGATGTGCTCGCCTCTGGTTGCTGTTGTCCGTCACCGTTGACACCGTCTGTGCTCTTCCAAGCACCTGTGCTGAAGTTTGTTGCTGGAGCATCGCCCTCCTGTCATGATTGAAAAGTTAATAAACTGACAAATCACAGTGAAATATGAGAGATACAGACTTGCTGGACAGTTTCATTCGTCTGAGATGCTGTCCCATCCCCGTCAATCGTGGGACTCTGCATTTCAACGTCTCTATGGTCTTGGGATTCATCCGGTTCCTCCTCCCGCTTCTGGAACATCATCTGCATCCCTGTTGGCCCCTCGAGCGATCCTCGCAGAAGCTGTAACAACGTGTCTTTCCCAATCCCCATAGCTAGACCTGTCCTCACCATATTCCAAATCGTCTTCGAGACTCCCATCGGCTCCCAATTCCAGGCATATGAATGTTCAGGGGGCAACTCGAGAAGCTGCGCGGGCAGCTCGTCCCGAAGAATGGCAGGGAGAGAACGCATGATCAACGGGTCCGTGCTCGCAAACTTTCGTCCATCCGGCGACACGGACTTGCATATCTGACTGGAGCAATTGTACTCCACTCCGATGATGAAGAATGGCTTTCCAAGGTCGTACACTTTGATCGGTCCCGAGCGAATGATGCCTCTATTAGCCAGGGGTGCTGAGCAATGCGGACACGTTATGCCATTGAAGACGAGCTGCTGAGGGTCCCAGTAGAGGAATCGATATTCAGGTGGGGTAGGCGTGGATGCGGAGGCAGTGAGACAGAAATAAGTAGGGGAGCAAGGGAGCCAGAACGTCTTGACTGTAGAGTAGTATGAGGCAACCCCTGAGTTGATCCCGAGGGCCGCGACGTGATACTTGAACGCCTCTTCGACAGGGAAGCCGGTGCGCGAGATCGGATGAGGGGCGTGCAGTGACGCGATGAGGCTTTGTACCAGAGCGTTTGGGCTGGTACGAGAGAGGTTTGCCCAATCATCGCGTGTAAGAGAAGGGTCGATGGATGGTTGCGGTCGTGTGGTAGATCGGGTAGCATGCGCATTTGGCGAGTCCCTGTACGGTGAAGGTGGTTCTGCCTGGAGGGCGGCTGATAAGGTGCTATAACCACCCTGGAAAGGTGGCGGAGGGGCGGCAGAATACTGGCCAATTGGGGTCTGAACAAGCGTTCACGGAGCAGTAAGTGTTTGCTCACGGATGAAAAACGAACTGGCGGCGTACCGTCGCGAACTGTGGAGGTGCGCTGGCTGAAGTCGCCGCTTCTGAGAAAATGCCCGGCGCAGCGACCTTACGCTTCTTCACGGTCGTCGACGGCGCCCTGGGGACAGATCCAGCCGGGAGGCCATCCTTTCTGGGTCGACCAACGGGACGTTTGATCGGTGGAGGTGCGTTTGGGTCTATGAACTTGGATTTCACGCCACTACCTCTCGGTCGACCTGGTCCACGCTTGACGGGGGTGACTGGTGCGGAGTCTGCGCCAACTTGCAACGCGGGGGCCGTGGTTTGAGCATCATCCGTCGGTGCTGGCTGTGACGGACCGCCATGGGTGCTTAGCGTGCTAGGGAGACTTTGAGACATGTCTTCGAAGAACCACGGTGCTGCCATGGGAGTTCGTTAGCACTTTGCATCTCGGAAAGGGGCTCATTGTCAAGTCAAGCAGATGGAGGTATAAAGCAAGGCCGTAAATGCAGAAAACGTTTTGATTTCGATGGGGGTTATAACATGATAGGAGAGAAATAATAAATGTTGGCAACACAAGTGTCCACAAAATCGAATGGAAGGGCGTCAGTTCCTACAAAGGACCTTGAACACTCACCGTTTCAATATTCACCGGTTACGAGAACGTCTGGGTAATTCTTTGGATTTGTTAGCCGTCTCAAGCTTCGCCTTACAGAGAGCACTCAGTAGACGGAATTGCGGAAGGAATAGTTATCGATATTGCTGTCGACCACATCCGGACCATTACGTGGGAAAATGTGCGGAGTTCGAACTGCATTTACTTTGTCCAACGAAAATCCACACGAAATATTTCTGCCTTCAAGCGGTGTTCACTCCCTCGTATTTGTGCAACGTCAATGACCGGATCCGTAGTCTGAAACATGTCATCTCTCACCAGGGCTGATACCACTCGGCCGCCATTAGATAAAGGCAAATTATTATGATATGTTTGCGCTCCCGGGAGCTATGGGAGCCCATACATACATACACCTCAACACCTACCATATCATTATATCATCATCACCGCGACGTCTGCCCATTCCCACTCGCTCCCGACACGGCACCTCTCTCTAACAACTTCCGCAACATCTCCCCTTGCATCTCCACCGCCTTCCTCAACTCCGCAATCTCTGCGGTCATCTCATTCTCAACCCCATTCTCTCTTCGCCCGTTGCTTCTGTCTCGGAGACCGGGAAGGTTGGCAGGTAGACGGTTGATATTGGTGGGGTCCATATCAATGACGTGTCCGCCGGGTTCAGGTTGTGAGCGGGAGTTCTGTCGCGTGAGAAGGGGCGAGGGCGGGTGGGCGAAAAGACGAGGTGATTCAGAGTTGAGCTAGAGAATAGAGGGTTTGTTTATCAACTGAATCAGATTTCCTATAGAGCAAGGCAGCTTACCTGTCCGACACCATTAGTCATTTCATTCCAGACTAAACTGAACTCTCTACCCAGTACAAAACTGGGCAAGGCGATGAGAAGAAGGCCGAACACGAGGAGCGGGATCGTTATGAGGCGGCCAAGAAAGCTTCGAGGCGTGATTTCACCATAACCAACAGTTGTGATTGCTGAGGAAATTTGAGGTTAGAGAAAACATAATGCATCGATATCAGGAGAACCGTTACTGCTTAGCGCGAATCTTACCAAGAAATGAGAGATCCGGTTTGAAAAGTAATTCAAAATTGCCTGTAGATGCTTAAGAGGTACTCGTAAGCAGCTATAGGCTCTTCTGGTAGACTCATCACGCTAGCTCTCTCATTTCTTTGCAAGTTACGTGGTAAACAGTAAAGCTTTCCTGATGGGGTAAATGGACGTACTGACGATGACAAACCTTCCGGGATCGTAACGTGTCGTAAGCTTCGGATTCAGGACTGCATCTGTGAATCGACACGTACCAGGCTGCTGCCGGAATAGACTGTATAACAAGTCATTGGATGAGTAGAGGAAATTTGCACTCTCGTGGAACACTCACGGCGAATTGGCTAGGATCTCCATCCGAATTGATGAATATTTCTAATGTATCGTCCCACGTCCCTCTTTCTATGAAATATCTGTTTCACGGATAGCGAACGTTAATAGCGATGCTCGTAGAGAAGTCGCAAGAAACGTACAATAGGGTGCTGAATACAACCAAGACCATAACCACGAAAAAGCCAAGCGCAAGCAGGGCATGTTGCGAGCGATGGAAGGAGAGGTACATGACCTCGATAGTCCTATTATTTTAAAGTATTCAGTGATATGACTGAAGATGTAGAACTCTGCGGCGGACTAACATAAGGAGGGTATTATTGTAGCGGAACGGACGGAAGACACGCAAGAGACGGAATGTCCGGAGGATGGAGAACCTGAATAGAACAGACTTGTTCGACACTCGTCAGAATTCATTGGAGTGAGCAGGAACGGTTTAGGGTCTGGTGGACAACGCACAGTGTCCTCCTGAAGCACTATTTCGATGTAAAAGGGGGCTATGGCCAGCAGGTCTATGATACCGAAGAACGCTGTATAGTCGCCCTATTCAGTTCGCAAACCTTGAAAGAGACTAGGGAGAACGCACATCCAACCCATTTCGCCAAGCTCGACCATGAATAACTCCATGCCACACATCTAGCAACATACTCAATAGTAAACAGTGCCACAAGACTCGTCTCAAGTCCAAACCAGGTGGCGGGCGAGATATAGTGGAATGAGGGGACTGTCTCAAGGACGGTCACAAGAGCAGATATCACAATAAGACTCGTCGATGTAAAATGGACGACAAAAGCCGCAGAAGATGATGTAGGCCGTTCGAGGAGAGCAAGCAGGTCGCGTTTCCAGGGAGGGTAGATCACCGTCCTCGGAGACGGCGGCTGTGACTGATCACGCTCGCGGTCGGGTTCATGTTCGGGAAAGATGTCTTCAATGGACTCTGCCGCAGATGGAGAGTGTGAATGGGAGCGTAATGGTTGGGAGGCTCGGGATAAGGACGAGAGCGGGATGGGGGAGGACATTCGAAATATCGTGTGTAATTTCGCGCACGACGACGTCCCGTGAGACTTTGTCGGCGCCGTGCCCTTGGAGCTCGCCACACATCTTGTAGCGCCCGAGGCGCTTGCTACACACCGTGAACCGTTCGCCCTCATCCCTAATGGTTTTACAAGTAAAGGCAATCGCGTAACTATTATCCTGACTAGGCTTCCTAGTCGATTCGTTACAACGGCTGGATCAAGTCCATTCTTACATTCTGCGTACAGTGCGAAACATGTGTTGAACCGTCAGTCATCATTATCGCTGTATCCCTCCCAATCGTCATCGTCGTCTTCATCTTCATCGTCGTCGTCACTAATCACATCTCCCATGAAGTAGTCCACCGCATTTAGGAGCAACTATGAACGATGTCAGCGAGGGGAATTTTGCGATATCTCGATGGACGACGTCTACCTCTTTCACAGTCAAGCCAAACTCGAACGTCAGCTCCAAGTCCGACTCACGCTCATCCTCGTCGTCGTCGTCATGCTTGCCGGGTCGTGGGGGGACGGTAATGGGTGCCGGAGGCTGGAGCATTGAGAAAAATGACATCTCCCCTTCCTCCTCGTCCTCGTCTCCGACGTCAGCTTGTGCTGCCTTCTCGATGAGGTTCTGTTTTGGCTTCCAGTGAATCTTGTCGGCGACAACATGGCTATATCTCAGCGCTCCCGAAGGAAGCACCTCCGCCTAGAACCAATGTGTCATGAGCCATCCGAAAAGGAGGAGTTGCAACGAGCTCACGGAGTAATGGTATGTGACCATGATCTTCGAGTTCTTAAAATACTTGTTGTCCGAGAAGGCGAACTCCAAGGCGAATACTGGTGTATTACCCTGTGGGTAGCTGATAGCTATGTTCGTCAGATGCTCCAGCGCATGGACATCGCTCTCCAAGATGTGAGGGCCAACGTCAGAGTTGGAGAGAACCTCTAGCCAGAACTTTTTGACAGTCGCTGCTTTCCCCTTTGACGCTTTCGATGCGGGCAGTTTCTTGTAGTCTGGGTCCAGACGACGACTCCTTTTCTCACCACGCGAGACCTCGTCACTGGTTGCTTCTGCTTGACCAGAAAGCAGGGCAAGACGGCGTGCATAAGCGTCTTGGAACTTGGCAGACCACTACTCCCACCAGTCAAATTTCAGGAAGCAATTATATGGCGATCTACAACACACCTTCCGTTCCAATTCGAATCGCGCGAAAAGAAATTCCTTCTGTATGGTCGACATCTTGTCTTCGACTCCGCGTATACCCTGCACGGTACGTTGGGCATCGACAGAGAGATCTTCGTAACTGACGAAAAATACAACATCATTAGGCGTTACTCAGGTATGCAGGGCTGTTATGCTCACCCACCTAGTCAGGGAGTCCATGACGGGATATCAAGTCACAGATGGCTATCGTAATTTTGAATATCGCAATGGCGCTGCGTGGCCTTTTATTGCAGCCCGCAGCCTATGCGTTGAGGCCTTCCATCCTTGTATACGGTTCCACCTCTGTCGATTTGGATAAGATCACGTCAATAGGTCGAGAATGTATCTCGCGACGCAACATGCGGACACCGCAAGTTTGCAGTAATTTGCCAACACATCTCAGACGCTGTGCGAGCTTTCGCGCCGTATTCTTGTGTGTGAGCCCCCATTGAACGCTAACACCTGAATCGGTACCCACTGATAGGCGTATCTGCGGTTCACATTTGATAGACTCATATTTCCCGCTCATCTCCAGGATTCATGGAAGCTCTCATAGGCTCTACAGCCTCGTACTGCACTCGTCGATGCTTCCATTCGTTGACTCTTTGTTCCGCGTGGAATCTGCAGTCCCATGCTGATCGATTAGAGTGCACGGAGTTTACCTAGTCATGCACCCCAGGATAGCCCTCGAGCAGGCCAATTGGACAGCGTAAGGATATGGCGGTCAACATGCTGTTCACCTCTGTCTTTGCTCATGAACAGGTTAGCGCGGCAGACCGCGGTCCAACGTCCATTTAAACTCTGCTCAGTGCGCACGCACATCTTCACCCACTACGCTCTGTGCTAGATCAAATCATGGCCAACAATACTTGTCTCGTTTGTCGCAAGCGTGCTAAACGCAAGGACAGCCAATTCTGCTCCGACAGATGCACTCAGAAGATGGCTTCAAAGAAACTACCGCAGCTACTACGCGTCCCTAAGGATCATGCCATGTACAATGACGGTGAGTACTTCTACTGCATAGACACCGTACTTCAGCCTCTCAACGCAACCGAATCGCTAGTGAAGAAGAAATTCAGGACGAGCTGGAAGGACAAGAAGAACAAGTTACCAGTCATCGGTAAAATATACCTTATTACATGGCCTCGCAAAATGAGGGCTTCGTTTGAGAAGTATCGGTGAGTTGTCGAGTTTTATTTATTTATAACCTTTGAACTTCATGGATATGTCAGGGATTCTGTTGCAAAGCTACGCAAGACGCCCAAGAATAAGGCCAAGGAGTGCAAGTGCTTCAGATCTGAGCAACGTGCATGTCGTCTCGGAGACAGGAAGTCGGCCAAGCCGTGTACCAATCGGACTTGCAGACTCTGTCAAGCGATCAGGACTGGCTTCAAGGCGAGCCTGGATAAAAAGCGTGGCATGGTGAAACGAAAGTCGAAGTAAGTGTTGCCTTTCTACATCTCGCCTCCAGAGTCTGACGGCGTGGTACTGTATAGGTCCGGCATTAGATTTGGGGGCGGCGTTTACATGAGTCCCGAATCCAACAAGTCTGTATTCCCTTATAAACTTGTTCGCTATGTGCTGACATTGGCACGCCTATAGAGCATTGGAGTACGCTAAAGATTCTCATAGAGGGTCCCAGTATCTCGCAGTCCTCGTCACCCGCACCGTCCTCGGGAAGATGCAACACGCCCAGAAAGAGAATCATGGGCTGATGAAACCGAAGAACGGTTACGACTCTGTAAGTTCAATTGTGTGGTTCAATCTATAGGCTTCAGGCTTACGTATCAACAGGTCTTTGGGCGTGCGAATGGGGGTGGTCCTTTAGAATATATTGTCTACAATGCGAATGCTGTTCGGCCTGCATATCTTATGCTGCTAAAGAGAAAGTAGAGGCAATATGATGTCTTTGGGGTTTTCTTCCGAAGTGTGAGCCTTTCCGAGCCGCCTCTTCACGTCCGTCGCTGTGCGGCTTCAAGTTCTTGAATACTTGGTATAATTTATTCTAAATAACAAAATAATATTATGGAGTACCCTACTATATAACAACCTCTTAAAGTCCTCGCCGAATAAGTATGTCAGGAATGTAGTACCGAGGTGTTCACGTAGTACCAAATCAAGCTGCTACAATTGCTTGTGCCCGTTTCTTGAGACGTGTTCGGAGTCCGAAATATTGGGTCTGCGACACAAATATCCCATCTGCGACGGCTCGGATGTGAGTTGGCAGTATACCACTTACTCGGCCTGAGCCTCACCAACGACATCTGGACTAGATATCTGGACTATGCCTGTCGATATACCGCCTCGGAAGACCACGTAAAGTCACTCAGCTTGCACTAGTACTCAGCGGCGGACTTACTCACAGACCTTTCGGGCCCTTCGCCGCTCTCAGGAATCCTGATAAGAAACCCAGGACAACGAGTCGGTGGAGTCTCGAGGCCGGTGACTCTGAGGTCGCCTTCCATATTTTACACCCCTTCATTCATGGAAGCAAGGCGTGCGCTCTGCGGAGCCCTTGACGCTTCTTCATTGAATTTATCAGCTGCGAAATACTAGCCTTCCTGGGTCCCTGGAGCCTCTCGGTTTCCGCACCAAAGGCACCCCATCCTGATACCATCCCGCTAAATCAGTGATTACACAGGTTCATGCAACCGTCATCTCCGAGTTATCGATCTAGTTGATATGCGCGTCTTCAAGTTGACGGTGTAATGGGTGTACATACGGTCGGTAGTGCAGGCTTGACCCTGGTCGTTTGCTCTACGCCGGAAAACTGTGCTCGCCTAGTCCTTGTGTATTGCTCGTGTATGAAGATGTCGTTCCCCGCTGACATCTTCCCCTTCTCTATCCTCCATATCTCTCATTGGATCAGTTTCTGGTATGCTCGCTTTCCCACTCTTATGGCAGTGTATGCGATACAATTAGCATTTTACCAGTGACGAGGCGAAGCCACTATGGTAGTCACGAGTCGTTTGAGCCAAACTCATAGCTGATCACTACTCTTTCACAGAGGTAGTTCACCGCTTGTCCCGCAGCCTCCAGAACCATTCCAATCGATCCATTATATTGGAGTATGTGCGTCGATTGGCCATTCTGGGTTTTGCCCTGTCCGTGAAGAGACCGTCGGACGAGCACTTATACGTGCCATCTTCTAAGCAACTGACAACCAATTGAAACCCTCTCTCCCCCAAGCAGAAGAGTTCTACGGAGTGTCGTCCACTATCACATCTTTTCCCCTCCTCCTCTTCCCCCTCTCTCTCATATCGTAGCATGGCAAAGCCAGACAGAGCTACTGTTTGTTTGCGCTGTTGGAAGAAGAAAAAGCGCAAGGGCTACCAGTTCTGTTCAAAACGTTGTACCCAACTGGCTGCCAAGAATGCACCTCAGCTGTTGCGCGTACCGAAGGATCATGTCATGTACAAGGATGGTGAGTGCAGACTTGCTCTATCGATGTCAATATTTATCATAGCCTCATCAGTCGCCCTCGAGCAGTTGCGAAATCGTTCGGCAAATCCTGGCATTCTACGCTCCCTCGCCCTCGTATTGCCCGCATATACCTCATTACCTGGACGAAGAAACTTCGTTCATCCTTCGATACATATCGGTGCTTATCGACCCTGAAATGTGAGGTTGAGTAACGCCACTGATCTATTTGACTTGTAGTGCGAATGTCGCAAAGAAGATGAAGGGCAGCAAACGCCCCAAGGAGGTAAAACGCTTCCGATCAGAGACGCGCTACTGCCGGCTTGGAGACCCTGGTAAGCCCAGGAAACCATGCAAGATGCCCCAGTGCCGCCTCTGTCGTGCAATTGTTACGGGTTTCCGGTCCTCTCTCAACTACAAGCGTCAATTGGTTGCTCAGGGCCAGACGTATGTTCTCTATTGTTGTCCATCCGAGTATACGTGTTAATCCTGTGTGCAGTGCTTCCTCTCGTTTTGGAGCAGGTATCTACATGGCACCATCGTCCTCGAAGTACGTGCTTCACGCAACAAAGAAATAGTCTTATCTCACTAACGCCGTGTACCAGGGCTTACGGATATGCACTCAATGGCGGCGCAGGAAGTGGAAGATATCGCGCTGTATTCTCCACTCGAGTCGTCTTAGGAAAGTCGCAGATAGTTAACTTCGACGACTGGCGTCGTACAAGCCCCAAGAGGGGATATGATTCGGTAAGATTCTACGTACTAGTCATTATTGTTCTCGATCGTTAATTGGATTGTCTGCATAGATTGAGGCACATCCACAGGCTGGAGGGCCCACCGAGCTTCTGGTCTTCAATGCGAATGCTGTCCGACCTGCGTATATGATCATTCTGAAAGTGTAACGTGCAGGTCGAAGGCTGAGACTGTCTTGGGATGACTGCTCCTGCATTGATATTGGCATAGTAGTCCTGTTTTGTGATCGGGAATGAATTGGTGACTGTTCTGGTCTGGGTATTCTTGTTCGTCTTCGGCTTGAGCGTCTATTTAAAGCGCAGTGTGCCGTCTTTCCCCGCGCCCTAACGTCGTGGCGTACGGCCTATAAAGACCCTGACCATCCTCTTCTTCACCGGTCAATTTCCCCCTATTCTCACGAGTTATAATACCTGACTTGCCTCTAGGCTCTTGCAGAAAACTCCGCCGACTGATGGGTACGCTAGTTTGCATCATTCAGATAAAGGTCTAATACCAAAACATCATAATAGGCTTCGCATTGTGGCTTGTGCCATCTGAGGGCGAGTTTGCGGCATTGACTAAGCTCATGAACTATCGCCCGACACCACTCATGGTGAATCCCAAGTCGAGGTCGTATCCGACATTTGTTCCGCATATCACCCTCGCTACATTCGATGAGCTCCATCCCCAGTTCAAGCTCGAAGCCATCGTACCACAGACAGGCCTTGTGGTCACACACTTTCGGAACATGGATCGTGGCAATAACTATCTAGGCGCTTTGAAGATCCAGATGGACAAGACTCGCCACCTTGAACAGCTACACGAAAAGATTATCACCAACCTAGAAGGATTGAGCATTCAGTGGAAGAGCAGGAGCTTTCCGCATATGTCTCTGTTCTATGTCGATGAAGCGGAAGAGCGGAAACGGCTGGAGCGTGGGCTTATCAAGAATATGTATGTGGGACGCGAAGAAAGAAGCGGACGTATCATCCTGAAGGCGGCTGCCGACGAAAGGTTCATTCGGCGGTTCACGGGGTCAGAGGTTTGGTTGGCAGATTGTTGTTCGAAGAAGGTGGAAGAGTGGAAAGTCCTGGGGAAGCTATCACTGTCTCCACCCTCGCCTCCCCCACAAACTCCAGACGAAGTTGAGATGGGTGGGGAGACAGAGCCTGATGGGCCAGAAAAAGACCTCCAGCCATTATCAGCGTATCCGACAGTCTCACCAACCGTCATACCAGCGAACGAAGAAGCAGGTCCAGCCCACCGGGCTGTGACGGCTCCGTCGACGAGACCCCGCGAAACTCAGTATTCTCAGGCCACAACATCGCGCCAACACCAGGACCAGGTAGCCACCGTGACCAGCTCCTCAGACCAAGCGTCCAGGACGAGACGGTCGCTGCAAGCGGCTACCAAGACCAGCCATCACACACGGGGTGGGGGTGACGATCAAAAAGCTAATCGCAAGCCCGGACATCATCGTCGCACTAAACCTGGTAAGTTTGGACACACAATATCGTGAACAAGGAGTAATATAACGCTCATAGCTTAGTTTAGACGAACATCGCGGCGAGAAAGCGAAGAGGGACTGCTGGTACGACTGCGTTGCCATGTGAGTTTGGGACGACATACTGGGAATACTTAGAGAAGGCTGCGCTCGATGCTTACTTTAAGACCGCAGGGTAACCTGGACTTTGAATAATGTATTCGGATGTTCGGGTAGTTCGGAACCTTCGACAGTGTGTGCGGATGAACAGAAAAGTGCGACACGTATAAGAGTATTTTCCCGTGAAATGGAATATGACACTCACATTCGACGAAGACTTGACGGGAACGCAATGTAAGGCAGCCATTGCGCTCGATGACGGTCTCGGAAAGTGACTATTCACAAATAGAGTATCGATTAGTGCCACGAGAGCCAGCTCCGTCGGAGCAGTTGCGAGAGTCCTGAAGGAAACCTGAGTTTATTACATGGTGTAGAGCTCGTGTGGGCCATGTGTGCTTCAAACTTGACCTGTCGTATCGTTTTTGGACATTATGAAGCAAACATTGTATATCAATCGTTCGAAACTCTAGACATCCCACCGAATCTTCTTCGAATACTCGCGAATCCTGGAGACGAAATGATTCGGTACCTCGTCACCCGCACCAGTCGCCACCTTCAGGATAATCTCGTTCAGCATGGACGATCCTAGGACATCGATGTGGTCGCTTGTATTCGCTCCGCCTCGTGGCATAGTGAGTACTGGTTGATGTGGGAGCTACGTGCGTTGGAAATCAATGTCAGACGACGTGGATGAATACGGAGTGTGATAGAGAACTAACCTCGTACGTCGTTACTTTGATGCCTGCTGGGTTCCATCGTGGCCTATTCCAACCTTCGACGCACATCGCACCCAGACTTAGAAGAGAGACAGTGCCATCACCTTCTCCGAACTTAACCCCGTTTCGTGTCTGATGTTTGTAATGAAAGCCACATCGATTATTAGCGACACCCTACGGGCACTTAGGAGGAGGAATGACCTCTACCTTGGGGAATGAACTCTCATCAGAGAAATCCTTGTCGATCCAACTTCGTCTGGACAGGGGCAAATCGAGTGGTGGGCGAGCGCTAATGCAATCAGACGTATTCGAGCATTGCGCGGTTTCTGCGTCTGCAAAGTTGTCGTCGTGTTCATACGGCCCTGAAGCATACCTACCATCATTCAGTCAGTCTCAATAGCAGGGTTATCGTCTCAGCAGGGGGCACCGACCAATAAGAGCGCTAGATATTCGGAAGACTGTGAGATTATATGGCGATGTACATTCCTCGATGACAAGACGCACCTCTGTATCCTTGCCATGACCATACACACAGTAAATCTTCATGGATGGCGCGTATGGTAACCTGGTGGATGGAGATCGCGATCAGAGTCGTCACTTTCGCATATCCTTGAAAATGAGATCTTACCTTGATTCCAGCGGATTGCTCCACTTTCTATGGTCCCCGTCGTTCTTTATTAGCTGCTGTTCATCCCTCTCGATTCCAAATGAATAGTTCGTCTCCATCATCCGCTAATCGACACGAAACAATGTCAATCTGAAGCGCCTATCCGTACGGACTACACAAACTTACCTGGAAAGTCTGTGGGACGTGTTGTAAGATCCATGTTCCAGCATCTTTCGCAGTCATGTTTCTTGGTGTCCCGATGAGGACATCACTATGCTCGGGACTAAGGTCCTCTATGACCTCTGTTGTCTCCATGTCCTTCTGTTCTTTTCCACTGACATCCTTGGGAACATTATCCTGGTCCAGAGGTGCGACTGGGAGAGCTCTACGGAAGCCAATAAGTTCACCATGCGAGTACGTGCTATTGGGTTCATCGTCGGGAGCATGAGTCCCGTTGCCCCAAACAGCATCCCCTCCCTGTTCGCTTGGTCAGTAATTTTGTTTATAGCGCGATACGGTGGAATTGCCTTAATCCACATGCTAGCGCCCCCAGCCCAGCTACGAAACAGTCTTTGCCGCTCTTTCTTAGAGAAAAAGCGTTCTAGCACTGGGCAGTACGAGTTAGATTGGCGTTGTTTCGATCCACGAGGAGAAAAGAGACACACCATACGCGCCAGCAGGATTCACCTGGACAGTATCAGCCATCTCGCCAGACAAGTACACGGCCATTGCCTTGGCCTGTTCCCGAAGGAGATTTTTAGTGTTGTTCAGAACCACAAGGACTACTGACTTACGACTCCCTAGAAAAAAAGATGCAAAAATCATGGATCAGAGGACTTTCCGCCAAGAAACTCGAATGATCTTACAAGATGAGTGCCCGCGATAGAGATGAACGCTTCTATATGGTTCTGTCCCCACGTGTGAGAGACCCATCGTTATCGAACATCGGATTTGCATACCTCAACCCAGTCGGGTCCACCGCCACCGTGTTCTGGGGATTCTACCCATTTGAAGCTGCGCATGTACTTTTATTATGATGTAGTGGTCACGACTAGAAGAGGGAAGCTCACAAGTACTAGTCAGAGGTAGAGACCGCATATCAAAGACAATTGTCAGCTACAGTGATAGTTATCGGCACTGAAAGAACGGACCAGCATGACCTGCAGAAAGACAAAACATGAAGGACAGTTCGTTTGAATAGTCGGGTATGCTTACGGAGGACCCCATCGAGTGTGCAGCGATAACAGACTTCTTATTTTGACGTTTCCTGGATACTTGGTTCTGTCACGCCGATCAATACTTCTGATAAAAGCATGAGCTCACTTCAAGCCCTCTATTGATGTTTTCAACCTGGAAAAATATCCATCGCGCACTTCTAGGTTGTAATACGACAGCCGCCAGTCATATGGAGCGAGTACCATATTATTGGTGTCGTAGTTCACTACCGCAAGATTTTCGATGATCTTTGACCTGGAGTGGAGTAGTTGAGCCTCAAACAATGCAGAGCCGTCGGTCATAGGAGTAGGTGGATAAGTACCATATCCAATAGCCTTGAATGAAAGTACTTGCTGCATCAAGGCCTTCTGCTGCTCTTTGAAAATAATGATTGAACATAAATCGATGAACACTAGAGTTTGGATAGCACCTACCGAACCTTGATTCCCGGAGGGTCGAGTCCGGTGACTGGATCCAACATGAGGGCTGCCAGCCACCTATCCTTGTTGAACGTCACTTGTGAGACCATGTGGAAACCTCCCCAGAGTTTTTGACGGAAGAACGGTCTGTGCTCGGGAAGGGTAGACCAGGATTCTAAGCCCTGTATCCGACGTAGCTCGAATTGAGACGGAAGGCGAGAGCTGCAGTGGACATTGACATACCGTGGATATAACTCCGGGAACAAGTACTACAGGGTACTCGGCACTAAGCCCTCTCTCCTTCAGTGCGTCCCCAATGGTGAACTCCCTTCCATCGTTATTGAACTTCCACGGTTCAGGGATGTTGTTGACGAAACGCCGCCATTCCGATTCTAAACCGGAGAAGTCAAACTGTGGCATGGCCAGAGTGGGCCAGTCATACTCATTGAGAAACAGAGACACATTGGCTTGCAACTCCGGCAAATCGGTTGGTTGGATGAGGCTGAAGGCAAGAAGGATGCCAACTAAATACTAGTCACATCTGCTGTAATAAAACTATAGAACTCGAGGCTGGACTTACAGAAGATACCAAGAGGGAACAAAAATCGGCGAGTGGTGTAAAAATGTCGTGCATGGCGCTGCAAAAGTCCCGAACTCAAGTCAAGTTGCAAGCTAGATTGACCTGACGAGTAGACGCACCTTTCTAATCTTATGCTTCAGCGTTTCTACACTGTTGGATAGTTCGCTAGCCAGATTGCCTGCGTCCTTCGCCTGCTCTGGTGCTTCAGATCCGGGAGTTGAAATGCCAGAGTCACTCCCACTGTCTTCAGCAGATTGCGCAGTGCGTCGACGTAGAGACATTATAAAGACAAGAGAAGTATATCAGCGAGGGTTAGATGGTCAATAGACTAGTTGGGTATCGAAGAAAAGGTCATGACACGCGAGGGCGAAATTGAATACAACACTGAGCGGCGCGCACACAAAAATTATGCACATGAGTTGACCAGAGTTGACCGCAAATCCGTTTATGACGTAATGCCTTCAAGTAAAACGGATCGCCAGGAATCGCCACCCCCATCTCCTTGAGTATGCGTTCGCAAGTGTTTTCAATAGACCTGCCGGCGTTCTTTAATTTAAAAAAAAACAAGAATAGAACTCGGAAGATACTATCGACAGCAACTTATCATGCGAGATGTAGTACGAGTAGGTTCAAGGCAGCCCCCGCGGGTCAAACTCCCTTTGAGTTTGCTGAAGGCGAAACAGGATAGGGCCTTAGACATCCGCCGCCGTCGTAATGTACTGTATACACATAAGGACTATAGATCATCATCATTTTCCGTCCACGACCGACATCTACTCTTGCGTTACGCAGACGGGCCGTGTTGACCGCCAAAGCACCCACCGTCAACGTCAGCAAGAACGAGTGCTTTTGAATGACGTTTGCCTTGGAATAATTGTGTCTGGGCAGGTACAGAGGAGGAAGCAGATTGATACGCTCCAGCTAAATCGAGGCACTGCGACAATTTAGCTGTCATAATTCCTGAGAACAACGACATCAAGATAAACCAAGCAAATATAATACCTAAGGGTGGCAAAGTCCAAGTCCAACGAAAAAAGAAACACATCACAAAGTCCATAGCCTCGCATCTTTCATGCAGCCATACTTCCCTTACTCATTCGGATACGGCCCCAACCCTAAGTTCCATCCCGTCCATTTGTTTCTTCCACGACCTAGAACCAAAACAGTCTAACCCTCCTCCTCGCTCCACTGGTCAATGCTCCAGTCGTACTCACCGCCCCATTCGCCTCTGCAGCTGTCCCACTTGCGCCGGCGGTAACGGTGCTCGTCGTCATTCGTGTCGCAGTAGACGTGGGCGTGGACGTAGCGGTGGAAAGCACGGCAGATACGGAGCTGACGAAGGTGGCGACTTCGGTTGTTGCTGTGGAGGCAGCATCGGACGCGGATGCTGAGGCCGAGGCGGCAGAGGAAGAAGCCACCGAGGAAGAAGCCACCGAGGAAACAGAAGAAGTAGAGGCGGCGGAAACTGACGCCGAAGACGCGGCAGCAGAGGTGGACGCTGCTGACTTGGAGGATGCAGCGCTAGTCGAGGAGGAGGCAGATGCAGATGCGCTCCCAGAGGCAGCGGCGGAGGATGTCGAATTATCAGCAGCCATCGCGACGTCGACACAGTAGTAATAGTTCTGGCTGAAATCGGGTGTGGCCCAGAAGAGCTGGACGACGCAGTCGCCTGCTGTTTGACATTTGGAGCCTACGGCGTCTGCATTCGGGAGGGTGAATTGAAGGTTCGATTCTGAATATAATCAAACATGATTAGCATTGTATCGGAGTGTGGAGGAATAGGGAAAACCCGCACGGTCAGCTGGCGTTCCGCCCGAAGTGGGACAGAAATCGTCGAAGGTCTTGAGGAAAGAACCGATGACTTCGCCGGAGCCACCAGCTGTGGTATCGACGAGAGAAACATTGGCGGGTCCACCTATGCAGAAGAATCATACTCAATTAGTTTAGGTTCCGAGGGAAGGGATTGGAGGAACGAACCATGCGGAATAGTACAATCTACCGCCATGGCCATATTCTGTCCGGGGGTGACCTTCTGCACATTGGATGCTGGCTGATCGGAGAAGAGCTGATGTCCCATGCGTCAAACTCAGAGTTCGCCCTGTAACGTTTACATGGTGAAGCTCACCATTCCGCGGCAGAGCGTAAGCTCACATCCTGCAGTAACAGGAGTTTGCTCCTCAATATGACCGGTCGGATCTCCCTTGACGGAGTCAAAAGATGTCTGGCCACATGCAGATAGGAAGTTTTGACCAGGCTATGGATATTTATAAGTCTCTGGTGGGTATTCATCGAGTTAATTGAAAGTGTACCGAGCGAATGGGAGGGGAAGTGATGCCTGCATGAGCCAATGCAGTGGGAAGGAAAGCGGCGAAAATAAAAGCGCTGGCAGCGCTGCTGCTTGATGCGAAATGGACCATTATGACGTCGAAGGGTGAAAAGAGCGAAGATGGCTTGCCGTCGATGCAAGTAAAAAGAAAGAAAGAAATGGGGAAAGGGAGACCAGTCCCAAGAAAGTTCGAAGAGTAGGAGAGGGAAGAGGGAGAGACTTACGCAGACTTCGGTCAGCGAGACTGCAAGTTTTGTTTTGCTTTCTCTGATTGTCGATGCGCCAAGCCTTTCCTCGGGGTTCGTTCGCTCGGATTGTTGCCATCGCTTCCATTTGCACCCTCATTGACCGTAACGACAAGGAGCGAATCAAGTTCGTTGCGACCGATGGGCCACCTACGCCACACTGTCGCGCGACGCGAAGGCCACGTGATGTTGAATACGCGTCTATTACGTAACACATCTCCATTCGCGCACGACAAGAATCGACATGGCCTCTTTGCCACTCTCTTGCTACGCCTTCCATGTCCGGTCAGTCTAGGCGCACGCGGTCACAGCTTCCCCTCCCAGATACTCTCGACTTTGATCCCAATACTTCGCCGTTCAAGAAGGCTCGCAACTTAGCAAAGCAGAACGCGAGCCCACTCACTATCCATGCCGAGCAGCCAGGACCACAGGCTGGTGTTGGTGCGGACGAGGACGAGCTCATGCGTAGTACGAAGAGGGTGATGCCTACGAAGAGGTCATCTTCGCCTTTTGATCAGGATGAGGGGGACCTAGGCTCGAGTACAGGCTCTTCCCGACGCGTGAAGAAGGCGAAGACAGACGCCATAACCGGTTCGTTCTCCTCTTCATTCTTTTCTCTTGTGCTACTCTTTTCCGACCAAGTCTGTAGAGGAACAACGCGAATGGGGTCCAGACCTGTCGACAACCCGATCTGAACCAGGGCCCTTTGACTTTGCTGCTATCGCTCCCAAGACATCTATATTTCCTAATCCCAAACCACCGGAGACCCCTTCTCGAAAGCGCGCTATATCGGTTCCACCCATCTCCCCTTCTGCTGGCGCATCTCCGTCAAAGTTCATTGACTTCAACTCCTTACCCCGTTCACCTTCCAAGTCCCCTGTACGGAAACAACTTCGCTTTACCAGTGTACCACGCACACTTGATAGAGATCGGTCTCGGGAGCGGGACCTGGATCTGGGTGACCGAGAGAGGGATCGTATGGACGTGGATCAGAAACCCAATGGCGGCACGTCTTCATCCCAACGAGGAAGACCTCCAACCATTTCTCGCCCCAAGCAGCCATTGTTTACGCCACATCGACTCGCAGCGCTCATGTCCTCTCCTCTTACACCACTCCCTCCTACTCCTATGCCTCCTGCCACACAAGTCGCCCGTGAACTGCATTCGGTCCGTCATTCTCGTTTCAGAACAGACTCCTGGTCCTTATACTGCGCTAACACACTCGCAAACAGAATGACCGAGACATAGCTTCCTCTGCCGCTGCCACTCCTCGAGCTATTGCTAGGCCCCTGACTCTAGCACCTTCAGGTCTTACTTCGTCTTCCCCACCAGAGGAGATGATTCCCACTCCGTCAGATCATGTCGATGGCGAGGCAGACGACAACGACGATACACCGCGACGTCTTCCCGCACAGACGAATCTCACTCCCAAAGAACCATCATCATCTCCTGCACCGGTTCCGGCGGACTCTCCAGAACCTGAACCAGAGCCTCCTTCGAGCCAGGTACCTCCGGCTCAATTTGTGAACGAGGAAAAGGACAGTCATGTTGAGCTGTCTTCGGACACCCAACGTTCACGACGGCTATCTAGTTCACTGTCCTTGTCGACCCTAGATCAGTCTGGCTCGTTCGATATCGACCGGTCCAAACCACTCCCACCCGCTTTCCCACAACTCTCTCAAAACCCGTCCCAAGCCCAACCTAGACTCCTATCTCAACCTGAGCCTTTCCCGTCAGCTTTGCCTTTACCAAAGACACCCGGGCCCGTCAATCATGCAGGGGCGTCGAAAGTTTTGGCGAAGAAGGGGAAAAAGGGAAAGGCAACAATGTTTATGCCGCGGACGACGAGGAGCACGACGCTGCAGAAGAAGGAGATGGATGCGAAGACGGCTGCAGGACAAGCGGACAGGAAGAGTATTGTCGGTGCCGGGAGATTATCAGGTGTGCTTAAGGCTACGGTTGCAAACGCACCTTTCATATTTTGTCTGTGTGTGTGCTTAACATCGCATCTTCAGGTCCCAGCACACGGCCTTCGACATTCGGAGAAAGGGCTATGTCAGTAGTGGCAGGTATGCCCCGGACAGTAGTCATCTGTCATCAATGAATATGTATTCAATCATCATTACTTAGGTCCAAGTTCAAGCGCCCGTCCTGTCACCCCCGGCAATGTCAAGGCCAACGATAGCGCCACCGCAGGATCCAGCCTACTCAACACTCCCCAAACTAGGGAGGCCAGTACAAGCACGACTTCCGCTGATCCCCCATCGACACACTCCTCGAAACCGTTCGGAAATCGGAAATCCTTCGCCGCTCCGACGACTTCATCACTCTCCAAGACTTCCTTCCTTCCTACGTCCACAACAACTATTGCTTCATCTTCTAATACCCCCTCTTCGTCTATCCAACCCACTTTATCTAATCAATCGACCGCGTCCAAGCAATCTTCTCCATCTAAACCACCCTGGGGCTCGAGTGCTAGGACGACAACGTCCGCCTTCTCAAACTCACATTCCACTCCTTCCATGTCTCCTTCCAAGAAACCCGTCTCTTTGCCCAAACAACCCTCTCCCTCCAAACTCTTCCATCATAAACATAATGCCGGCCCTTCCTCACCCGTTAAATCAACGAAACCAGTCTCGATGGCCTCTTCACATTCTTTTTCTGGATCTGGCTCAAGCTCTGGCATGGGCGCTGATTCGAGTGCTGTTCCTACTTTGACCTTCAATCGACCGGCGAACTCTCGGCACAACTCCAGTCTGTCCACTCTGAGTCAAGCATTGCAAAAATTAGAGAAGATGCCAGGTCTCACCGCGGGTTCGAGGCCGGGTACGAGTCTAGGTTTCAGTCGGGACCGCGACACTTCTGATACAGAGGGAGGACAAACCAATCGGCCGAAATCTGTTCTAGGTCATAATGGAAAAGCGAAGGCGAAGGACGACTCACACGCAGGGCAGAATTCAATTGGTGCTGGTAGGAAGAGCATTGGGCAGGCTGGATCTGGGGCTCAGAGCAAGGCGAATAGGCTGAGGAGGGCGAATACGGTTGGGCCGTCTGATTTTGGTGGCGGAGGCGACATGAGTACGGGGGCCAATGGTACGGGAACGGGAAGACCGTCAGTCCTCTCGCAGGCCGCCAAACCTTCCACTTCCGCTTCCACTGCTCGACCCTCGGGGAGTAGCATCGGACTTGGCCCCAGACCTCTGACCACGACAGCATCCAAACACATCGTATCTGCAGCCTCCGCCAACAAATCCATCCTTCCTAATGCTAGACCAATATCCGCTATAGGCTCTGGACCACTTGCCAACAAACCTAAGACGGGCACGCTGGCTGCGTTTGTATTTCAACGTAGGACGGCCGGCCAAGGAGGAGGAGGCCCGAAAGCAAGCAAGAGGACGACATTGCCCACTGTCATCGGCAGTCCTGTCAAGGGCGGTGCAGATACTGTAGGTCAGAATTTTGGTGATATTGGGGGATCGGGTCCTAAGCTGGGCCCTGCTTTTGGTGCTGCCTCGGGGTCGGGCGCTGGATCTAGCGGACAAAACGGGTCAGGAACGGGACATAGCGGTGGAGCTGTCGATGCAAGGGGCGAAGCAGCCATGGATGTCGACTCATCGAACGCTGCACCGACGGTGTTCAAAGGCAAGGGAAAACTCAAATCCTTCCAAGACCCCGAATTGCACGGTGACGCACCACCCTCGTCGTTCAAGTTACCCACTTCATCCCGCATGCAGCTCGATAGACTAGGAGATGTCTTCTTCAATGACGAGGAGGAAGAATCCACCGGTGAACCTGGAACACCAGAATACAACCCTCATGCTGCCTGGCGGAGGAATGCGTCGAGGAGGGCAAGTATGGCTCGGGAGATGTTGTCTCAGTCGCTCACGGACAAGCCTGAAGAACATGGTGGTATCGTGTTTAAGGACTACAGGAGCGGGGGCGGCCAATCTGGTGAGAATGGTGCCGGTGCCAATGAGGCAACCACTGGGGGTGCTGCCACCGATACACAAACACAGGCTCTCCCGAGCACTACTACAGAAACTCCTCCACCCGCTCCTACCCACGGTCGTCACCTCCGCTCCTCGAGCACCTCAATCCCCTCAAAGAAACAATCCACTATCATGGCTGCTCTATCCAAAGGACACCCGCAAGGAAAGAGTGCTCCTGGTGGGCTGGGAAAAGCTTCGGGCTCGGGCGCGCACGTATCTGCTGGTGGCGCTGTACGACGAGCAGCATCGCAGGCTCCAGAGCGGAATGTTGGGAGAAGTGGGGGTGGTACAGGTGCTGGGGGAGAGTTTTCGAGTCTTTTGAAGGGGTGTGTGATTTATGTGGATGTCAGGACTGACGAGGGTGATGATGGAGGAGAGCTGTGTAGGGAGTTTTTGGAGGCGATGGGGGCGAAGGTGCGTCAACTCATGATGCGGCACCTGGACACTGTCCTTCTCTGGATGCTTAGCCCGAGTCCGGTGGCTGACTTTCTTGTGGTTTTGTGTGCGGCGTCTCCTTCTCTGGTCGTGTTGCGGTTCGTTGTGTAATTGCATTTGAGCAGCGACTGGGACGGATCGGCCAATCCTGCACGCATATTGTTTGGAAGAACGGAAGCAAGACGACCTCAGATCGTTGGAGACAGATGGACCCGAAGCCTCTGGTTGTGATGCTGGCCTGGGTGGTAGGGTGCGTCGAACAGAAAAAGAGGCTGGACGAGAGGTATTATCTGGTCGACCTGGAGCACGTCAATGTTGCTGGTATAAATAAGGTTCGTATTCTTCGCTTTTACTCGCATCTCCCCGCTACCTTTGTGTCTAACCATGCTGATATTATCTATGTAGCGCCGTAAATCTTTCCTGCCGAAGCATTTGATTTCTGACATTGGTTCCCCGCCCTCTGCGGGGAGTTCTGGTTCTGGAGGGACGTCCGCGGGAGACCGATCCATGGACACCTCTGGTGCGTCCATATCCCTTCCTTGTCACTCATCCTTGGATCTGAACGTGAACAATATTGGGATACAGTGGACGGCGAAGATCTCGGCAACTCGAGTCAACGATTTGGGGACGACGAAGAGGATTTGCCACCGCTGGAGAGGGCGAGGAGAAGGAGGATGGCGGCGAGCCAGGGGCCGAAGTAGGGTTTTCAGTCGACGAAGTTTGTGACTGGTGGCGCGAAGCATTGAACTAAATTCTATACCAATCATCGAGAAACTGTATCGTCCATTACTATGCTCATCCTTTTTATTATCGTGGCGCATCGGAGGGTTTTGTCATTGTGTATCATGCTGTAATATTTGCGGTGTGTTTCCTAGAAGTTCTTCGAGTTGTCGCACTTTACTTAATGGTCTTCTACTTCTCGAGTATGTCCTACCAGAGTGGTTTGTGACGGAGGATGCAGACATTTCGTGGCGGTTTGTGGCCCATTTACCCCCTTGAAGTTGTGGCGGAGTATTTCAACATGACCAACCCTTCTGCATCGGCGAAACCACTTCCTCCTCCCATCTGGCTTCGTCTTTTCCCCCCCGGTCAATTCGTGCTGTGTCACAAACAATATGGTTCAAGCTTTACAAAAACGTCCGTCAGGTCCTCTTCTCTAATATTCACTCGAGGCTCAGGCTCAGCGGCTGTGCGGGCGGCGTCGTTGAGCATCGGTAGAATATCAAGCCTGCAAAGGGGTTCAGAATGCATACCTCATCCATAACTTGTTTTGGGGGTATGATGTGATGATGTTCTCATTTGGATTACTTATGTGGCATCATTACATTGACAGTGTGTAGTACTTTCACCTCGATTCGATTGAATGCACAGCCCTCGCAATGATGTAGCTTTTCCGAGAGGCTGCGACCGACGCCCTACCCGAAAATATGCTGCGAGATGCCCGCTGATGGGTTATTTGCGGTGCAAAAGGGTCTCTGATGCCATTCGATCTTCGCCTTTCCCGATGAACTGCTCTTCTTTCTCTTCTTCGACTTTCACTCGTGAATTCCCTGGAGGACGAGTCTAGTTCGTGCTCTTCTCCTTGCTCCAGTTGACAGCTTGTGAGTGTTTTGACTATGACTGTGAGAGCTGTTTCTAAATCGAGTTATGCATGCAGTGCGTACGCCCACCGCAAGGTATATGGCCACGATTCGCCGTAGAGAAGAGACGCCGAACGTATGTCCGCCTCTCGTGCGCCTGTATCTGGCTCGCCCATCGCTCACGACATCCCCTGAAGACATCATCCTCACTCTCTTCTATATCCGTCGAGGCAGTTCTACTATGTCTTGTAGTCGTGTTCCTCACCGCCATCTTCGTCTCATGCATAGTTGTGCCCCTATACCGACGCCGTGTGGCCCGTCGCACCACGCCCTCTCTCAGATCCAGCACCGACGAAGAAGAAGATGCGGAAGCACAACAATCTCTCCTTTACCCCACAGCCGAGTCTGAGAAACCGAAAGCCGTCTCTTGGTGGCTATCCCTCAAGCGCTCTGTGGGAAAGGTGTTGGGTAGGGGTCTGAGGCGTAATCCGAGTAGACCTGTAGCTGTTATGCGGGTTCCTATGCCTCGACGTATAAGCACACCTTCACCCAGCGACTCTTACAGACCATCTACCGAGCCTCCGAGGAGCCGTCGGTCCACCTCATCGCGCCGCGGTTTAAGTATTCCTTCACCGCATTCGCCTCCCTCCTCTACTCTTCCACCGATTCCAACATCGCCTCAGTCGCCAACAGAATCCCTAGACGCTGCCGTTCGCCTCGTTACCAACACCGATCCCGTCATCTCCTTTTCTCAATACACCCGTCCTTCGTTTGACAATACGCGCGGGATCCTGGTCAGGAATCACCTACCAACCCTCCCACCGCTCGAGACGCTACTAGAATTGCCCATGGAGGAGAAAGAGTCGTCAACTGCCTCTCGACCTGCAAGCAATCGGAAGCGAACTGATGACTCTGCACTGGCACTCTCCTGTGTGAGTGTCCCATCCAATCTTGAGTTGGCACCAAACACGCACGATGATCAGGTTGTCCAGCCAATTGAACGGTCACCCTCTGCTCGGTCCTCGACTTCTTCTGGAATCTTTCCTCCTTCCCCCATCATCGGTTTCTCCCGCATGTCACTGGCAAAATTGAACACTTCCGGTATCAGACTTTCTGCTACCAACTCTGGTTCTCCACATACCCCTCGGTCGACCGGCTCACGGATTATCTCATCCGTCCCGATGAAACGCAAGCAATCCACACTCTCACTTTCTACGCCCTCTAGTCAGGGAAAGACGCCAACTCCAGCAGACGTTACGATGCCGCTCGTTTCAGCTTCGATCGCGAATACCGCGCAGGTTCCGACCATTCCTCCGCCACCGACAATAAATGCCCAATGTCCGTCTTCTCCGCAATCGAATATGATACCCTCACCGACTCTCCCCTTAACGACTGCTTTCAATCCCTCGTCACCACGGCGCTCCGGCACCCCATCAAGCACATCGACAATGCAGATCCAGCGTTGGCCTACCGTTAGCACAGTGATCATGGGTTCCAAGGATAGTCTCCCAAGCAGCACATCTGAAAGAGATGGTCAGGCCGGCCTCGATGCACCCAGTGATGCTCGAGTCGCTCGTGCACGTACGATGAGCGAGGGAAACAATCACGCCCCTTCCGATATCCCTCATACTTTAAGACCCGGTCGAGCTCGTACCTTCCAAGCTAGCGCTTCCCATATGCTAATGCCAAATATCACCGAAGTGGACACGCCTTCATCAGGGGAACTTGTAACATCGGCCCCTCGCTCCACACACGCTTCAGCTACCAGTGTGATCCTCCGGTCTATGTCTGTGTCCGGACTCGATTCGCTCCAGGCTATCACTCGCGACGATGATGAGGAGGCCGTAGTCATGAAGGCGGTGCCCGCCTCTCTACAACCGGTACGCTCGCTACCCATCCCGCCGATCCAGACAGAGCCGCCATCAACATCAGGCGCACACGCAGCGTCGCCCAGCATGGAGCCGGAATCACACAGATCCGAAGGCGATCCGGACGCTCTGAACATTCATAGCTCATCAGCAGCGACTATCATGCCTCCACGCCGAAACTCATCCAGAGCTTTCTCGCCCCGGCCGTTACCCACGCCGCCGACTACAATAGTGCCCTCCGTCCCGCCACAGCCTTCGACGTCGTCGATGTTCCATTCCTCATCTGATTTGACGGCTCGTACCCCTCCACCATCTGAGCTATCAAAATATCCTCCATCACTGCCGCACAGGCAGTCACCATCGATGGACACTCTTGGGAGACCACGGCTGCATTCTAATACACGCTTGTCCTCGGGTTACACGGTACAAGAAGTACATGATAACCTTGCGCCAGCGCACGCAGCCTCCCTCGATATCACTACTTCCCTCAGCGTGCCTCCTACAGAGAAAGACATCGTTCCATCTCCATCAGAGATGACCGCTGGACCGAGTACGATGACTACTAGTCCCGCCACATCTTCTGCAGAAATTACTGCCAGACCGGTGAGCTCTTGGTGACGACAATCGAGTTGTTTTTCTGCTGTATTAATTCATGGTTCACCTAGGCCTCGCCTATGACGGCGTGGAGAACCCGTTTGGAGCGGACCGACTCGAATGGTAGACATGCTGAAGTGGCCCGGAGAGGTACACGCTCGCAGGACGTTACCAATAGCCAATTCACATGGGGCGATGACGGTACTTTCGGTCGACCACGAGGGTCCGTCGACAGCACCTCCAGTGCACCAGGACGTTCCGCCTCCAACTCTACACCGTCCTCTCAAAGAACAGAACCTACGTCCCTCAGACCTGGCCCTCTCAATCGCTCACACTCCACATCCTCCACCAGATTCGTTAAACGCCGTCAATCACCAGCTCTCCAACCATTACCCGCCGCTCTCGTACTTTCATCACTCGCCACACCGTCACATTCACGATCCCCTTCATTGACGGGAAGCTCGAAAGCGCCGGAGCGGGAAGCAGTGTTAGAGATTCGGAAACCACCCAATTCGGCGCCTGTTGTTAGTTCACCTCCGACAGTGGCTTCCGTGCCTCCATCATTGCTTGCTGGACCGGCTTCGAGACGTTCGTCCGCCATTCGCTTCAGTGTTGGCAGCGGTAGCGGTGGCGTTCGTGGAGAATCTGTCAACTTGAAGGGCAGCGGTCAGCTGCCGAATGGGCTGCCACCGTTGGAGTTCACGAGCTGGAATCCGGAGGAATTGCTTGGATCACTTTCTTGATGAAAGGATGCGACGTTATCTTTATTACCTTTCACCTTCCGTTTCTTCTCTTTGTCGGACTCCGTTACCTCGTTCTCCCCGCTTTACCTAGTAAGTATACATACGCACTTTGATTTCGGACACTAGCCAAATTGCTGTTCGTTGGATATCTGTACAATATATCGCATAGTACATTGTCTTGTGTTTTTGCTCGCATTTTGCATTGTAATTTATCGTTTCGCTCTCTCTTGGCACCTTCTTTGCATCTTCTTAACCTCTGTGGAAAGCGCAGTTTCGAAAGGTCGACGAGTCAGTCATACCTCATTGGCCTCAATATAGCAGTCATCTCATGCTCACTGGCACTTGATTGGCAGGCGTTCGTATCTGACCCTAACTCTTTTAGGTTTAATCAGTTATTAATGTTTCAAATAAGTAATAAGGCAACTTGGCCGAGCGGTCTAAGGCGCCAGAATCAGGATCTGGTCCGAAAGGGCGTGAGTTCGAATCTCACAGTTGTCATGATATGCAGGACATCCGGTACATTTTTACATGACTTGTCTTTAATTTGTTCCTCTTCGTATCTCCTACGTAACAATCCTGCCTTTGGGTTGACGACTTGTACAGCACAGGGTGAACTGGACGGAGGACTCTGCAACTCAAATTGTGATACTGCTCTCTGTTAAAGCCTGCCGCGTTCGTTTGCAAGACTCCACTCTAACTTTAAACTACCCCCTTCCACCACTCGCCACCCACCAACTGCATGGGTGTGCACGGTCTTACCACATATCTGCGCGAACAGCAACGAAGTCTTGCGCAGACGTTAACGCTTCAGAAGGGGAGAGGGCCTTCTATACCTCTTGTCGTTGACGGATGGTCGTGCGTCTGCTTCATTTTCTACTTCCCCTTGGCTTCCACTTCCACACGTTTCAAGCCTAACACTGCTGTGCCTCAGCTTCATCTACGCAGTTCACGAACAGTCTCGATTGCCATGGGCTTTCGGTGGAGAGTACCAACAACTTGCTCACTGGGTAGCGAAAGTTGTTCGAGCATGGATTGAGGTTGGTTTCTCACTCCACTTCGTCTTTGATGGTATGTTTCCATTTCCTTGCCCGTATGCATCTAACATTGAGCGCAGGTCCCTATCCTCCCGCCAAATTCCCTACAAATATCACGCGTGCATCCGAAAATGTTATACAACCTTCCTTACTCTTTTTCAGGACATCTCAGGCCTCTAGAGCCTCACCCAGATTCCTACGCGAAAACGCCATCATACCGCCAATTTGTTACGCTGTCTGTCTCGAGACCTTACGTTCTCTCCCAGTGGAGATACACATAGCAGATACGGAGGGAGATCCCTACGCCGTCGAGCTTGCAGGACGCCTTGGTGGCTACGTTACTGGACGGGACTCCGACTTCGTGATTCTCACTACAGACGGATACCGAGGTTACATACCCCTCGACGAGATGATATGGACCACAACCGAGACCGCCGCAGAGGAAGGGCCGGAAGATGACGGTGGCTTTGTCGTTGCTCGTACTTCGAAAGCAAACAAGAAAGCCACCACAGGCTCTTTGCAGCGCGGTCAAGGCGTCATTCCACCGGATGGTACCACTGATCTCACATTGACCTGCTCAATATATACACCCTTGAAACTCGCCACGCACCTAAAGCTACCCATCACACTCCTTCCCCTTCTGGCCAGCCTTGTGGGAAACGACTTCACACCGGATCGTCCGTCTATGCAATGGCAGTTCTTCGAACGTGACATGACTGTTTCCCAGCGTATAACACGGGTGGCGGCTGCACTACATTCCATCGTCTCCCAAGCCAGCGCATCTCCACAGAAACGAAGAGTAAAGCGACCCATCGCGAGTGTCATAGACCTCATCGATCTAGCTATCGAAGCCTTGTTACTTCGTCCTTCGGCAGGCGTTATAGGATCAGGGGAACGAGAGACAATGGTGGAGAAGACAGTGGAGGCCGCGTTGCAATACGCCATACCGAAAACTCTCGAAGGTGTTGACTTGTGGCCGACCCCTGCCTGTGCTCTGCATTTTCCCGAGCAATGCCTCTTGGTAAACCACCTCTCACCACCTGTAACTTCCGCGATGGAGGACGAGGAGAACGCTATGCAGCGGATCACACAACTCTATGTCTCTGCTTACAGACAGGGCCGTTTCCAACCGAACCTCATGAATGTTTATAACAGCGGAACAATGTGGCCCAAACTTTTCCTTGAAGATCCAGACAAGGAGCCCACCGCTCGCAGCATTGGACGACCTCTCCGCGACTGGGCGTATTCAATCCTAGACGATGGTATTCCTTTGCCCGAGCCTCCTGTCGACGGAGAGCAGGAGCAAGTTTCGGAAGAAGGGCGGGACGTCGATGAAGCAGAAAACGAAGACGACGAGGACGAGGACGAACTCATTGATGTGGTCGAAGAAGATTCCGAGGGTGAAAGCAGTGATCCTCTTGCACGTCTTCGTGGCGCTTTGGAAGAATTACATGTTCCAGATTCATCTTCCGAACCATCGGCGGCGTCACATCATCGCCACCGCACATCTTCCCGTCCGAAGGTCGTCACTGAACATATTCGTCGAGGGACCAAGCTAACTCCAGAAGACGTATCTGTCCAGCTCCTGTCCACACTCCTCGCATCTCTGATGCCTGATTTTAACGTCGACGAACAGCTTCCACTACAGCTACAACCCGAAGAAGAACGACTATCCCTGTTCCTCCGAATCCTATCCTCAGACACCGCATTAATCCGAGCGCTCCCTCCCGCACAATTGATGGCCACAGTGGCGCTACGTTGGGTCGTACTCGTCTTATACAAACGTGCTGAAGAGCACGGCTTTTCAAAGGACAAGGACAGGGAGAGATGGGCGCCTACCGAGGTTGGCGCTTTCTTGACATCCTTCACATGGGCGGCCGCTACCTCCGCCGACGCGACTCCGACAAGCGACGTCGGTGCGAATCCCGCCCTTACGCCACCGACGCTCGAGAACCGGAATATACAGCTTGTCGCCCAACTCTCATCCGCTCTAGACGCCGTTGAAATGCTAGCTCAGGCGCTTCTGCTCGGTGACCGAGTCATCCATCCAGCATACGCATTTTCTGGACAGCATCTCCATACAATTCTGACGAGTCAACGGGGTCGGATCTTCGACAATAAAGATATGGACAAGGGATTATGGGAGACATGTATAGAGGGCCTACAGGAGGCGATGAGTGAGGAGAGGGGAAAGTGGGGGAAAAAAGAGCGGAAGGCGAAGAATGCTCAGAGTCACGGTGTAAGTGCCTCATCTTCGTCGTCCGGTGCCAAGAAGGGCACAGCAACACAAGGGCAAGGTCTTTTTGGAATGTTAGTTGACTTGGACGAGGACAATGCCTCGGTTTGAAGAACTGTCCAGCTCCTGTATGAAGTATGCGATGATTCGGTGTAGCTCTTCCAGAGTGTATCGCGTTCGATTATCTTTCACAACGTATAGTGGTCGTGTATCATTCTAGGCCAAACAAGCTTTGTTCTTATCTATCTTCGATCCTAGGACAAGCAGCTCAGCCGCGTCCATTAAAGTTTCAAAGAGAAGTCCTTCTCTTTCTTGTCTCGGTGTCCAAATAAAGCCTTCGTAGGGAGCAGTGGCACGATGACGCACACAGCCCTGACAACCGTATCCGGATCCCCCACAGGAAGGCACAATGCAGTGCTCTCGCATCAACAAAAGCCCCTTTCCGGTATATATACCGCTGCTCCCACTGTCGTTGTGACGCATCTCGACCACCCCCAACCTAGTCCGTCACCAAGACTACAAACCTCTTGCTCAACATGTCCTCCCACTCTTCGACACACAAGAGAGCCCCAGCAGATATCATCACCTACTCCTATAACAAGCAGATGGTATATGTCACGCCAGGAGAAACTTATGACGTGAGTCTTCTTGTAACTTGAATGCTGTCTTAGTGCGCTAGAGACCTTAACCTCGATGGCACTCGTTCATAGCAAGCGCTCGACTTCGCTCAGGAAGTCTATCCTGAGCTTCGCACCTGTCCACGCGAATGCATCCATTTCAAGATCAGTGTCTCAGTCAATGGATCGCGACAGAAAGTACGGATAGGGTCACGGGCGTGGGGGAAAGTCCTTGCAAACCTCACACGTTACGAGGTGGTGGAGATTCAGCTGGAGGATCTTCTGCCGACGGTTCCAGCGGTTCCAGAGAAAGAAGGGCTCACGTTTTTGGACTCGCCTCCGCAATATTTCGCCGATGAGAAGAAGACGAAGGAGCGAGGTTCAGGCTCTTCTACTCTGCGGTCAACATCGTCGTTCTCGAGGCTGTCGGCTCTGTTCAGGGGGAAATAATCCCCTCAGATGGACACTGTAGCCTGCGATCTCCATAGAAAACACTCGTGTCAGGATATCCTTTCGCAATATTCATCCTTTGACGTGAGGCTCTTTGATTCGTTCTTCTTCCATATTGTAGCTTTATTAAACTGCCTTGTTCTCCTCTGTAGCCTCTTTTTGAAGACTCCTTCTCTTCGTGCATATCCCTCCCCTAATAGTGACCTCACGAACCCTTTGACGTTCATTACTAGTTTAAGATACGTTTTATGTTTCCCATGTGACCTCGTCGCCGCCCCTGTGCATCCGTCAATGCTATTCACGCCAAAGACTGCTTTCGATGCAGATATATCCTCATGTGCCGGACTCTTCGACATACTGCATGAATATTGTTACTGCCATAGCATCCTACGTGACCATATGAACGAAGAACTCCTCTCTGTGTCTAAAATAGTGCAACGTGAATACAGAAGAGAACTGTGTCTCCGATCAAGATTGTGCATTCATGAGCTTGCTAGGCTGCGCAATGCTATACTGTACTTTTCCGACCTACTGTTCGATTTCAAATTCCCGGAGTTTGCCGGCCTGGCGCCACACATCTGTCCCCCTGTTCGTCGAGCCCGGGGGACAGGGGACACTGTTCAATGTCTTAACCACAAAAATATTACTACAGGGCACTGGATGAAGATTTTTCACTCATACATGAGTGCTCAGGGATTTTGGTAAGCCAGAGCATACAATCATCAACAAATTTCGGCCAAAACAGTGCAAAAACATCAATCGGAATATGTTCGTTGATTTTAATTATAATTATGAATTTTGCTGAATTACGAGCATGTCCCCCCTAGCTGTTCGTTGGGGCGGTGAGAGGGGGGGACAGTCCCCCTAAAAGTGTTCGGTTCGGTGGGGTGGGGGGACAGGGGACGAACAGTAGGTCGGAAAAGTACAGTATGATGGCTCTAAAAATGGCCCATCGAAAGATACCGGTGATGACCCATGTAGTTTAATAACTTGGAAGAGCACTTGGAAGGATGTACAGAAGACGGAAACCTGTGCGATGTCACCTCATAGCGGGACCACAGAGGCAGTACTTACATCCCAGAATATGCCTCTCAGAGTCGGTCAATATCTGATAATGATCTTGGAGATAGATTGCATGGAAATCACATGATATGCTTTATGTATGTATATCCCTTACAGGAAGGAGGAAACTACACCAAACCGTCTGCATTAGCTTCCATTCTGCGGTGGCCTGAACGGCAAGTCGACCTGCATGATACTCGGCGGGTACATCCCGTACCGTAAGGAGAATAGTATTGGCATATGTAGCAGTGTCCTCGTCCTATCAACAACAGCTCCTTGTGATATGTAAACAGCTGTACGACCCAGAACGACTTCTTGGAAGCACTCGTGCCATCAGGGGCCGCGTTAAAAACCTAGGACACGCGCCACCACATCTCCATATCCTATTCTCACCCTATACGCATTTCACCATCCCAAATATACACACCTCTCACGTCCGACTGAGCCTCAACAAAGCCTTACTCCTAAAGGTCGCGTTATACTGCAGCAGATTATTGATATCCCTGACCCAATCGTCCTCCTTTCCTGGGCCAACGCCTTCCTTCCTGTCCTCCAGTGGCTCTGCGATTGACGAGCGGTTGATGCAAGGTATAGGATTCGGAGATGCGCGGACGGTTACTGATTCTCCTGGTTTGAGAGTACGGGTGGTTTGCCCGTCCATGGAGACACCAGCTTCGGCTCGACTGCGCTCTCCTATCTGTCAATTGTGCAGATCCGTCAGTCGTGGTCTTGGTTGAACGGCAAGAGACGTACTCGTAGAGTGATTGAGGACGATGAAGGGAATACGAGTGGCCTGAAGGACAGGCTTCGAGGACATATGGGAGTGAGAACGAGCGCGCTCAGTGAGGGATGGACGATGGGGCCACCGGCTGATAGTGAGTAGGCGGTGGATCCTGTGGGCGTCGACACGATGAGACCGTCTGACTGTTCGATAGGCGCGTCACAAAATGTTAATGTATAGAATCTAAGAAGAAAAAGACTGAGACGTACGACGGACTCGGTCAGATGCTGTCCATCAACGAACGCGTCAATGGTGTTAAGGTGTGGGCTGGCGCCACGGTGAAGTGCCACTTCATTCATGACTTGCCACTCTATATTCTGCTAATTTAGAAAAAGGAAATGAAAAGAGTGTTCTGCATAACTAACCTCGTCCTTCCTTATCCATTCTCTCTCCATCTTTATTATAGAACAGACACGAAAGTCTCATCCGGTACAGAACAGTGGCCTTGCCCTGGAACACACTCGCCAAAGCTTGTGCAAAATCGTCCACGTCTGTAGTTGTTTGTGGTAGCACGAGTGAGTCATAGCCTTCATCGTCAAAATAAGCGCACGCACGAAATGGGAGTAAAAACCCTAGTGTGCCCATCGAAAAGCTGAGCACCGGCGGCACCGCGCCAACCTTGAAAAGCGAAGAAGCATGGAGTATCGTCCCGTCTCCTCCCAGCGTGATTACAAGGTCAATCTTATGGTCCTCTCTTTCTGTGATCCAGAATAAATTATCTGTCAACTGTTTACGGATCTGGAGGCACGATAGGGAAAGACGTACTTGGGTCCCAAAGCTCTACAGCTTGCGGCATATCCTTCTTGTCCTCATGAAATATTCTGACATGAGGATAGAATCCTGTTAGGTGTCTACGGCAAGGAAAGTTACATTAGTCAGTCTCAACTGTGCAAACATTTGGAAGGTCGCGGCGTACGTTAAGAAGGAGTCAATAGCATCCAGTACAGGTTTCGTCCGGAGCTTATTTACGATTAGGACGGCTTTTGGTGGCGTAGGTGGGCTGTCTTCAGTAAGTGATCAGTTGTGATCTTACATGTAGTTCGAACATCCAGCGAAATATACCGTACGCGATTGTTCAAGAGAGCGGTGTGGAGGAGAGGAGACGAAAGTCCTCTTCGTCCTTGCAAGAGTGAAGTCGACGTGGGGAATTGAACATTGCCGTACGAACCACGAGGAATAGGTGCGCGGTATAGTTTTCGCCACGCAATGTAAAGAACTTCGGCCCAGTCGTAGAGGTCTCAACATCTCGAAAGCAGAATTACTGTCGTAGTAATTCTGAAAACGCTGGCCACTTGCTGGCCACGCCACTGTGCTTACTACACTCTGCGTACCTAATCCTCTCACGTCACCGAGTCTCACCGAGTGTGGCGGAACTCGAAATTGCCATTTGTCTTCCTTTCTTTTCTGCACTCTTCTCAGGTATATAAGTACTCCAGATTCAATGCCTCGGACATAACACGACCAGACAAGTTCTATCTGCGCGATCGTCTCTGCCAAGAACTTCATCTTGAACGACTCAACTGCCTCCATTGGCGACAGCCCACTAGTACATTCTGAGGCAGCTCTGGAAAGTAGTCGAACTGAGGGTCACGGTGGCTGCTGGACCTTCTATAGGCTTCCAGAATACTTAGTACGCCGTTCATTGGGATTGGCAACTCTCAACGCTCAACGAGGGTCTTCTCTTAGTCGTGCTCGGAGGACTGGTCCAACATGTCCAGACATATTCACTCCGTGCAGTCCTCTTCCTGCGACCCAATTGGCCTCTAAATCCGTGCGGTTATAGGCAGCTGTGTCGGTGTCTCAGAGTCAGTCGGCTGTCACGTTAGGATTTGGGATACCATAGGAAGTTGAGTAACTATCTGTAACTGTCAACGATTGATGCTGTCTACATGTCGCTGAAGCTAGGCAATGAAACTTCTTGAAAGACTGCCATTGTCGTCTATTCCTGAGCTGTTCCAAGCAAGAGGCCTCTGAGCTTGAGGCCTTAATAGTGTGGCGTGCGACGTTCTGCCTTTACCTCCGCTCTATCTGTCGACCTTCTTGACGTCTCAGAATAGCATCATACGATAGCGAGCCCAAGAAGTTTGTCGCCTTCATCGCCATACCCTACTTAGTGCTTTTGCCACCCAGTCGACTCAGCCGGTTCTCAGACTCTCTCGTCATGGTTGACTAGGGCATTTTATATCTGGCAACACAATGAGCTAAACCCAAGTACCCTCTCCGGCCACCTCTACGCCACACAATCTCACTCCTCTTATACACTCTGAGTTAAGGCTGGAAGTTTAGTGCACCTCGCCTCTCAATCCTGTCTCACCCCGGCAATCTCCCTATGAGTTCTCCTTCGAGTCCACTCTTCAATCAACCTCTCTCGACGCCGATATCTGATATACATGACATCAGATATAATTCTCCAATCCAAACCTACTTAGCGGACGTTCTGCGCGTGCCGGAATATGTCAGATTACTTTCGCTGAAGAACGAGGTATGTCACCTCAAAACCCTAACGTCTGGTCAGTTTATAATGATGCTCGCCTATACTTGCTCGATATCCAGGGTTGGACAAATGATCAGATGGAGAGAGGCTTTCAGGACAGGCGACGGGAGGCGCATACCTACGATCGCAACCCCACATTCGATCCAAGCAAAAACGTGTTCTTCGTCAAGGGACAAAAAGTCATGAATGAATTAGACGACCAGCTCAGTCTAATCCCACCGTTCCGAAGTTTCCAATTCCTGGATCTCTGGTGAGTCACGACACACCGTCTTTCGTCGTAAATCACACACATTGTTCATACCTGCCGCGACATAGCTGCTGCCCAGGAGGCTTTTCTCAGTATATTCTCCAGAAGAATAGAAGAGCTCAAGGACAAGGATTCTCACTTCCTCCTAAAAAGGGGGGTCATCGACTTTCCATCACCGAACGCACTCGCTGGAAGATAACCTATCAAGACATTACGCGCTACGACTTTTACACACCCTTTCTATCTGGACCTCTCCCCTCCGAGTCACTCGTCACAACGGACGACGGCGACGCATACGATCTACAGCCTCTCCCCGAGCTTCCACCTCAAGATCTCGTCATTGCAGATGGCCAATTTCTCCGTTCAATAATAGTAGCCGAAGGGACAACCGTTGGTCACGAACCTTACGCCCGGCTCACATACTCTCAACTCGTCTTCGCTCTCACTTTTCTCCGCCCGGGCGGAACTCTTGTCTTCAAGTTAACTCACTGCGACCGTTATTCCACCATCCGAATAATTCTTAACCTACAATCTGTCGCCGATACCCTCACATGTTTCAAGCCCAAGAGCTGCTGGTCCGACCGCGCCTCGTTTTATGTTGTCGCCAAAGGCGTGCGGACAGACTCGCCGAGCTGTGGGGCCTTGGTCAGAGAGTGGGCCACTAGCCTTCGTGGTCTAATGACGGATATCGTAGTGCCGGAAGACGGCCTCGAGAAGGAGGATAGGGACAGGTTGACTGAAGAGATGATTGGGCGGGGAGAGATCGTGCCATTGGTGCCGATGTTCAAGCAGGTGTGGAGGACGCAGGCGGATAGGCTAGAGCAGATGCTTCATCAACGGTCGAAGTTTGGTCGAGGTGGTCTCTAGCGTCTCGTGAGATTTACATGATGGACAGTTTCAATTCTGGAACCCGATCTTCGCGTACTGGGAGTGGTGTGTGGTTATGGCTCATCGCTGATATTGTATCGAGTAGAACCTCGAGCGCAAAGTCTACCCACGGCAGCGGACCATCGTCGTCCAATACCGTACTGTGGATTGTTACAGTACTGAGTGATGCACGCCCCATTGAGAATTAAGGAACAAGAGTCAGAGAGTGGACATCGATAAAATCATGATGGCGAGGTTGACGCTCAAGCATACGTACGGGCATTGCTCTAAAGTGTCTACTGTATGTTTAGGATCCTGGACAAGGACAATGAAGCCAGAAGCTCAAATCATGAGGGGAACTCGTACATTCAGAACAAGAACGCCTACATTGGGGGACCCACGATGTCTGTCAAGCTTTAAACGCCTTACCGCGTCTCCACCCCGACCGTTTCTGCAGCTTCCATTCCATCCCATCCGCTTGCACCTTCCAAATCTTCTTCAGTATTGGCACCAATTGACTTATCTCCCCCCGCCTGATAGCTTCCTGCTCCCTCTCTGACCCATACTCCTCACTCAACTCCTTCGGGATCTCATTTCTCGTCGTTGTATAATATATATACTGCACCCACGTCCTCACAAGCTCAGCACACTCCGGCGAATTTGTGCGCACGCGTTTAGCGATAACGTAGAATGACGAACGGTCGGACCAGCATTTAGTAGGCTTGAAGCACTTCACAGAAGAGATGGCTTGCATCTTCTGAATGAGGTTCATGGTGTGGTAACGATCGCAATGTGTGGTCCTGAATACGAATGTTCCTCCAGGCCGAAGGAAGATGAGCCCAATAACTAGCTGCGCGTACAATAGCGCAGAATATGGACCGAACCCTGCTGGGTGACTCGGAAAAGATTCAGCTCCCCGAACGTTGTAGTCGCGAAGGACTTGGCCGTCTGCGATGATGAAGTCCTGAAGTGCAACAGCCGGGAGCGGACAGAGGTCGAGGGTGTTAAGTGGGGTAGGGAGTGTGGCGAGTTCGTGATCCGACAGTGACATATAGTCCGTGTAGAAGTCGTATCGGGTGATATCTTGGTAGGCGACTTGAAAGCGGTCGAATTCGTGCTCCTTGATTGATAGTTGATAACCAGCTGGGGGTGAAAGGGACAGACCGTTGCCATTGGCCAAATGGTTTACCTGGAGGATGTATTGGGAGAAACCGCCAGGGCAACAGCTGTACAAAGGTCGTACCTCGTAAGTTATAGCATGACATTTCTGACAGTGAGATTTTACCAGATATCCAAAAAGGTCAGGGCCTCGGACTTGGGTATAACTTTGTGGACGCGGTCAAGCTCCTTCATAACTTCAATGCCCTTTGGGAAAAACACATTGAGTTTGGGATCGAAACACGGTTGCCGTTCATAGTGTGGCAATTCGCGTCGCTTTTTCTCATAGTGAGACTCGAGCTCTTCGTTCTTCCATCCCTGGTGTAGAAATATACATGATTATTCAGAAATTTCTCAAGTTAAAATCAACAACGTGCCTCTTCTTTCAACCGGAGTAATCTGATATAATCTGGCTCGTTGAGTGTACCTGCTAGGTAGGCCTCGATAGGATTTCTATAGCTTGAAGACGTTGAAGGGTGAGAATCGCGATCGCCAGGGAGGTCTTCGATCAGTGGACTTGTTGGAGAGTTCATTTTGTGGGAGAGGGGATGGCCGCGAGCTGTCTGAAGGGCGAAAACGAGGGACTCTTTATGTCCAGTCGCGGGCGCTTGCTGGTTCAAGGGTAGTTTATGTGGCGTAGGTGCCGGAATTCGTGCTCTTAAGATAGCCGTTTGCCTTCCCAGGAAGACTGACCGCAAGGTCCTAGATCGATATGAAGGGTGTCTGCGAGGATCATAAAGTGAAATCGGTGAGGCCGCCAGGGCAAACAGGGGGTGTGTCTAATGTCAGAGGTTCATAGCGTATAGCGCGCGAGAGTACGTCCTCGAGACCCTGAGAGACACTCCGCACCCTATCACCCAAGAGGCTGAGACCACTGCGCAGGACTTGTTCAAGCCGAACAATGTGTGAAATCAGAGCCACGCACGAAGTGAAAAGCAGGTTCGTCATGGATTTGTAGAACTAGGATCAAGTCACCAAAGTCGTACCATATCGATAGCACCAGAGCGGCAGTAAGGACCAGAGGAGCCACCGATTGAGAGGGGCCAGCCTGAGGGTGTTGCAGAGGGTAAATTTACGAACTCTAACCACAGGTTGCCACAGCGGCAGGCCGACTCTGGCCGCCATGCCGCTTAGTTATCTCATCTGGCGCTGACCTTTCAAAGTTTCATCGTTCGCCCGACTCAACATACGGAGCTCACCGTGGTCTCTGGACTTGAAGAATGACTTTCCATCATATACTCTTCACGTCGCAGGCTAGACAATCGTGGCCGGAATGGATCTCATGTCACCGCCAGCAGGATCCTCTGCCAATATTCCGGCTCTCTCTACACTGGAATCTACGCTTCCTGGAATAGCCTTACATGTTATAACGAGCCCTGGGCGGTTCGTTGGGTTCTCAGCTAGCTCTTTTGCGTCACTCAGAGGAGTCAGCTGCTTCCTGGAGACCTTCGGTATGCCGGTCCAGGGCTTTGCGCTCTGCTCATTTCGGAACGGATGGTATCTCCAAGTATACGAATTCGTGTATCTGTGATGTCTCTCTGCCACGCCACATGAACAACGCGTTTAAATGGTCTCCACCTACCAGAGTCCTTATAACAGGAGATAGGGAGGTGAGACTCACCCCTCATCCAACTAGTATGAGCACCCCACCGAGTCCTCTCGAAGACTTTGGCCAGACCCCTTCACTGCGATACTGGCAGTACAGAGGCCCCATCCAGGCATATATAACAGATGTTCTGCGCGAGCCAGAGTATATCAAGCTTCTTTCACTGAAAGACCAGGCGAGAACTATTCACAATTATAAGGAACACACGTTTAATCTAACACATTTTGTATGGACCGTTTCTTCATCAGGGTTGGAAAGATGAAGAGTTGGAACAGGATTACGTGCACCGCCGTCGTGCTAACTGGGAATACGAGCGGAAACCCACTTTCGATCCTCAGAAGAACGTGTTCTTTCAGAAGAGTATCAAAGTCATGGAAGAGCTTGACCTCTCTTCCCGACTTGTTCATAGATTTCGGCCATTGTCTTTCCTGGATATCTGGTGGGTAATCATAGAGTCACATTATCAGACGTGTTAAGTGAGGAGCGTGCACGGAAATTAGCTGTTGTCCAGGCGGCTTCTCCCAATACATCCTGCAGAAGAACCGCCTGGCAGAAGGCCGTGGCCTGTCCCTCCCACCTCCAGAAGGTCATTCTCTCTCCATTGCCGACCCCGAACTCTACCGCTTCCAAATCACTTATCAAGACATCACCCGCTACGACTTCTACACCGATTTCCTCTCTGACGACGACATCGCCACCCTCCCCACACCAGTCTCTTCTCTCAACCTCGTCCCCCTCCCGACCTTTGCACTACAAGACATCATCATGGCCGACGGTCAAGTACTCCGTGATTACAATGCCCCGATCTCCGACTCCTTCGCAGACCGCCCAGCAGGCTTCAGTCCATACAGTTCCCTCCTCTACGCCCAGCTCATCCTCGGACTCATATTCCTCCACCCTGGCGGGACTTTCGTCGTCAAAACCACACACAGCGACCGCTACTATACCATCCGACTGATCCAGAAACTGCGGTCCATCGCGTCTTCAGTGACCTGCTTCAAGCCGACCAGCTGCTGGGCCGATCGATCCTCCTTCTACATCATCCTCAAAGGAGTGCGCACTGAATCTCCCGAATGCATTGAGCTTGTGAAGACATGGGTGAAGCGCTTGCATTATTTGACGAGCGGGAACAAGATCCCCAAAGAGATGAATGCAGAGACGATGTGGAAGAAGGAGTTGGAAGCGGCTGAGAATGGGGAAATAGCGGAGATAGCGCCTATGCTTAGGCAAGTGTGGAAAGCCCAGGCGGAGGGAATGGAGTGGAAACTTCACAAGCGGTCGAGGTGGTAGTCTCAGGATGGACAGAGACATATTTGATTCGATCAGGACAGATCCCACATTCGGAGGACATGTAACATTGTTTCTGCTTGCGTTCTGAGCCTCAGCTGCTGTACAACCTGTACGATATATTGTTCTTTGACATGTGATATCTCTGTTTCGCTGATACTGAACGGCTATGTGTGCATGGTTTCATGAAAGAAGCACGTAAAGGAAACCCACAGATATTGTGGCCTTGCGGACGATAGAATAAGGAATATCGCGCAGTGGTTGTAAGACGCAGTGTGTGGACTTGGCACCAGCATTGCAGACAAGATATGAAACTAGATACAAAGATGAGCACGTAGCTATACGATGCCATCAGCGTCCAGAACCTAAAAAGGAGTGCGTCAGAGATATTCAAGGGAAAGTTATAGCTAGTAAAAGTGGACGAAGTCAGGGGTGTCAAGATTTGGAGCTCGCCCTCGCCCGACGATGCAGGCGAGGTATTCTCCCTGAAGAAATTCAAACAAAGTTGAAGCATCATGCAACGCCACGTAGAAGGGAAATGTACCCCCAAAAAGACAAACAAAAACTCACCTCATAGCACCACCAATCCACACCAGATCCTCCAGACAACAACAGCTCAAGGCTGAAAGACGGAAAAAATAACGAGATGCGCAAAAGATCAAAAGAATCCAATCAATCGACATCAACGTAAAAATGCGTCGCACAAGAGTGAGCCCCATTGTGTTACCGGCAAGCAAAATACTCGCCAGCAATCGCATAACTATGCCTACGAGCAACGGGGTGCCCAAGCTCAGTCCGCTCGTATCTTCGCGTTTGGAATAACCAAGCTTGGGACGGCAGAGCTGGCCATCCCGCCATCCGAATTAAATGGTGAATTGGGAGGCCCCGCGCGACAAGAAATGAACCAGCGGGTTAGAGAAGGTCGCTTTCCGAGTAAAGGTCGAGTGCGCGGTTTCCGAAGAATGGCTCTGCATCTCCGGGGACTTTCCCCACAGCTTGAAGAAGGAGAGCGCTGCAAGATTGCAAGCTCCCTGTGTGTGTGCTGCGACAGCGATTCTTCGTGCGACGCGGTTGGGGAAGAGAAACCTCTGACCAAAATTTTGCGAAAGAAAAGGACGCGCCGAGCCACGTGAAAATCGGGAGATGCCGGCGCGTGGCCCCAACGGACTTCCGGGCAGGTGGCCCCATTGCGCAACTCTTCTGCCGCTCATCGTCGACATCGACTATTGCCGACCTCTTCCTCTCCTTGACTACCCTCGCATACCCAGTTCTGTATACGTCTTGTCGACACCTTTACAAACATGGGCTCACAATCGGATAATCAGCCCAGTGGTTCTCAATCCCGCCCGCCGCCACAAGGATACCGGACTCGTCCTAAGACGTTTGTGGATAGCTTGCCGTCCATCAGGCTCTCTGTTCCAGCAAGAGGTACGTTTTTACTCTACTACATATATCTTTTAGTATGGCTGTCATGATAGTGGTCGAGAAATGGAGCACCGAATCTTGCTAGCCTTCGTGAAGCAGCGCTGGCACAGTGTTAATTCAAGGTAGGCGCGACACCCGGACAAAGCGCATACCATTTCCAGGTCATACGAATCAATTCTAAAACAGTATCAAGCTTCGCTGTGCCGGCTTCGTTAGTCGTGACTCACGTCCATCGTCTTGCGTCTACATAACACATGGGCTCTTTATTGAATTCGTCTGTAATAGCCATTCTCGGTATGATTACTGACAGGTCACTCCCCCACAGGTCAATTCTCACCTGAGATCTCGGAACGATGCTTCACCTACTGCACACAGACTGCCCGAGGTCGTGCCTTCAATAAGGAACCGACCTGCCACACCTTCTGCATTCGTAAAGTCTTCAAGCACGAAGTCCAGCGTACTATCAACGACAATATCAACTATAATCCCATGTTCCAACCCCCACCACCAGACGTCCCCGTCACGAAACTCGATATCCCCCTCCCTCCCGAGTCTCGCACCCGAGTCGACGAATTCCTCGCCGGTCCCTCCAAACCTCCACAGTCACCCTCATCCTCCACTGCATCGAGTAAGCTTACGCCCTCCATTCCTGGACGGCCTACATCTGCTTCTTCTGTCATGTCCACGACAGATGATATGCGAACGTCCCGAACACAGTCATCATCATCAGCCCACGACTCCTCCCGTTCATCCGTAGACAACGCGCCGAAACATTGGCAAGAGGGCTACTACCTTTGGATGACTCGTTCGTACAGATCATCGATTGACCACATGATCTTTATGCGGTCGCAGCTCGGGCAACAGGCCTCTTTGCTGCATGACAAGGAGAAGGCGAACGAGATCTGGGCGAAGGCGGCCGCAAGGAACCAGGAGGTGGTGTGGTATCACTCCACTGCCCCGAATGCGGGGTATGGGAACGGTGTCTTCCCAGGGAAAAAGGGGCACCCTGAGCAACCGCTTGGGGAGAGGGAGATGCAGACGCCGGGGACGAGAGGACCACCGTTTCCGGAGCTTTAGTACGGCCTCTTTCCCTTCCTTATTACCTTTCCTATGTCTAACTAGCAGACTCCTTGCGGCGTTCATACATGTAGTTCAACCGACAGCATCCTGCTCTCCATCTCACACCCACCGCCATCAATTCACTTACCCACTCTGATCGCCAACTACCTCGAACCTACTCCCAAATTGCTCAACGTCATCAGGGAGAGTATAGTGAGTGGACATCAGAAGGAACTGGCGGATAGGATTTTTGAGAAGATAAAGGCCGGGGAACCGCTCACGCTGGGGAAGAATATCTGCAAGCAGGTGTGGAAGATATTCTGGCAGGGAGAGCAGGGCGATGGCACCGAGGGTTTCTGATCTTTTCCGGGGTCGCTTAGACCATTCTATTGGATATGGGCTGGAGAGGGCTGAAGGTGCTGAAGTCGATGAGCGGGAGGCATGGCACACATGGAGGGTCGCGTTAGCAGATGCTTGTATCTTGAGGTTTAATGTTCGCTTCGTTAATTATGCTATTTGTTCTGTACTTATGCCTGCACCAACATATGATGCTCATCCTTTCATGAGCAATGGTTCGCAGGTCTTCGTCGTGAAGATTATCGGTCGGTCACGGTCTGCTATTGGCGCCATCTTTACAGTCGGATATGGTGTAACGGCTAACATTGCCGCCTCTCACGCGGCAGCTCGGGGTTCGATTC